GTAACCCATGCTGAGCCACCACATAGTCCATTATCAGCTCTGATAGCCCAGCTGCGGTCAACTTCGTCGTAGTTGGGATAAAAACCGCCCATTTGGTCAATCGGTCCACTACTACCAGTATCGAATTATACCCATGGGAATTCGGGAGTTCTTCAATAAAATCCATCGAGATACTGGACCAAGGTTTCGTAGCCACCTCCAGCGGTTTAAGCTCTCCATGAGGTTTCTGCCTGTTAGTCTTTGCTCTCTGACATACCGCGCATCCAGCAACATAATCTTCGACATCCTTCCTTACTCCAACCCAGACATAATCCCTCAGGACTAGTTCAAGGGTTTTCGCTGAGCCTGGATGGCCAGCCAAGGGTGAATCGTGTCGCATCTTCATGACCTTCAGTCGAGCATCGGCGTAGTTCGGCACGTATGTGCGGTTGTCGAATGTGAGGAAACCCCTTGGGGTCCATCCGCCACGAAGTATTAAGGGAGATCGCGAACTACGACGTAGTTCGGTTATCGATGCTGGTTCCTGTACATTATCGTGACACGTCGGATGAGAACACTCAGCGCAGATAACTCCTAATAGCTCTCCTCTAACTTCCTCCACCTCTTCGTCTTCCTGTATCCCAACTGTCAGGTCCATGGGATCAATAAGGTCGTTCTCCCTCACTTCCTTTGTTCCTTGCAAGGCTCGAAGGAGGTGTTGTAACCCCGAGCTAGTCTCGTCAAGTTCGTCGAACTTCGGCAAGCCTTGAATAAGGTTGCTCTCTTGCACCATAGTACTTCCCTTTCCAGAGTGGTAGTCTGCTCTTCTCGACAGCCCGTCCGGCAGCGTAGCTTGTTTCCCAGGTCGATACACCATTTTAAACCTAAAGTTAGAAAGCTCTTCGACCCACCTGCCCTGCCTCGGGCTTAACTGCTTCGGTTCCATCCAGTATGTCAAATTCAAGTGGTCCGTGAGAACTGTAGTCTCTACCTGTAGTAGTAAGTGTCTCCTTCTCCTGAAGGCTTCAACAATAGCTAGTAACTCCTTTTCGCCTACCGTGTAGTTCAACTGCGCCGCCTGAAACGCTCCGGACTCGATAGCCACCGGGTGTTCTTGTCCCAACTCGTTCACCTGCGAAATTATGAAACCCCAGCCGAAGAACGACGCATCTGTTTGTAGTAGCGTCTTCAACGAGGGATCAAAGTGAGCCAATACTGGGGCCCTACACATCCTCTCCTTTAATTCCTTAAAAGCTCTTTCCTGTTCTACTCCCCAAACAAACGGTACATCCTTCCTGGTGAGATCATTGATCGGTTTAGCAATTCTGGAGAAGTTGGGAACAAAACGCCGATAATAACTGACAACTCCCATAAATCCTCTGCTCTCTTGCAAGTTCTTAGGACGAGGGAAAGACACGACAGCATCGATGTATTCCGGATTACTAGAAATCCCTTCTCGCGAAACCACGAACCCCAGGAAGACTACCGAATCTCTTTCAAACTCGCACTTACTTGCTTTTACGAACAACTTCGACCTTCGAAGCACTTCGAACACCTTCGCCGTAGTTCCTCTTAGTTCCTCCAATGTTTGACCGTAGATGAGTATATCATCTATGTAGACAACTACTCCTTTTCCCAGCAGCTCTCGAAAACTTTCATTCAAGAAGTGCTGAAACACAGCAGGAGCATTTCGTAGACCGTCTCGGACAACAAGAGACTCGAACATACCGTACTGAGTCCTGAACGCTGTCAGGTGTTCGTGTCCTTCCTTTACTCGTAGGAGTTGATAAGCCCCAATCAGATCTAACTTGCTGAAATACCTCGCTTTTCCTAGCTCTTCGGTTATCTGACCGATCAGAGGCAGCGGATAGGCGTCGGGTATCGTTGCCTCGTTTAACTTTCGGTAATCAATGACCATTCGCCATTGACCTTTTGCTTTCTTCGGTACCAAGAACATCGGTGATCCGTAGGGCGAATTACTGGGTTGAATTCTTCCGGCCGATATTTCGCGATCTAGGATGTCTCTCAGCGCACTTCTCTGATCTTCTCCAAGCGAGTAGAGTGGAGCAACCTTCAGGTTCGCCCCCTCCTTAAGATCAAACTCCAGATCATAGCCCCTCGAGGGAGGTAATTCTTCACCTCCCTTCCTTGGGTTAAAAACATCAATGAACAGGTGATATTGTTCAGGAACTACCTGATACAATTCCTCCTGTTCCTCCGGACTCAGTTCATCCTGGTCATCTTTGTCTCGGAGATCTATCGCGTCCGTCGGAGTCGGCAGCCCTATGGCTGCTAACTTCGCCGCACTTGGTGGGGCTGGGATGGGAAATTTCACCGAGTTGTCTCTTCCATCAAGGACAACCCCTTCCTTCCTGATCCAATCCCACCCTATCACAACATCTGCGTCGCAGAGCGTTGTTACGTCGAGACAAACAGATCGCACTTCGGCGTCCTTCGTCAAACTAAATCCGACTTCGACAAACTCGGTGATGGGTCCAGCGACACTCACCGAGCCGTCGAACATGTGAACGGGTACGCTCACCTGATATCGCCTCTTTTCTACACCTATCTTCGCTGCTGCCCTAGGGCTTATATATGAACAAGTAGCTCCAGTGTCCCAGAGCGTAGTTAGCTTTATTCCATTAATGAAAATGTCCGATTTAGGTTGATCTCTGGAAACGGAAGGGATGGGGAGATGATTATCGACATTGCATGAACAAGGGGTACTGAGTGGTGTATTTCTGTATTCACAATCCTCTGGCTCCATCAGCTGTGTTTCTTTTATGGGTTTGGGAATGGTGGCCGAGAGAATATGGCGGACCCGCCGAGCTTCGCCTACTGCGACAGGTCCTCTTCTTTTCCCTGGTCCTCTTCCAAATCTACTTCTCCTCCAACCACATTCAAGTTCCTCCTCTGTCCGAGAGGTACTGCGTTCCCTCCCGATCCTCCACCACGTTCTCCGAACTTCTCCCCCCATGGAGGCAACAGTCCAACCTTAACCTTAGCCTCCCTTACAGGACATTCCTTCAGCCAATGTCCTGTTTCACCACACTCCGTACACTTCCCCTCTTTCCTCCTTGTCTCCCTCAGGTCGGCGTTCGGCCTAGGCCATTTTCGGCGAACTTCGTCGATGTTCGGCGGCGCACTCCTTACCACCGTGGACGTCATGGCCGCTTGGACACCAACCTGCGCCGAAGGTTGTCCCTTTTCCCACTTCTTCTCTTCTTTCTTCTCCGTCCTCTGACTCTCTACCACTGTTGTTGTCTTTGTCCCTCCTTCCCTCCTCCTCTCTGCCTCTCTGCCTCCTTCTCCACTTGTCTCCTCCACAGGCGGTTGTCCAAGGGAATTACAAACTCCAATAGCTCCTTCACAGTCCCAAACGATCTGCCATGTCTTGCAATTTCATCCAGGAGGTGCGATTTTAAACCTTTCTTAGCCCGATCGACCAAGTTTCCGTCATCAGACCACTTGAGTATCGCCACATGTCGCTGAAAGGCAGAGAAGTAATCCGAAGCAGACCCGGTTTGTTTGAGATCATTGAGCTGTCGGGCTGCAGTTCCTTCTTCGTCTGGGTCGCCGAAGTTAGTCTTGAGATACTTGACGAACTGGTTGTGCGCCGTGAGGTATTCCGGGAGAGGCCTTTTCGATAGATCGGGTTGAACGGCAAGAAGGGGAGTTTCGCGTAAGTGAGAGATCATGAAAAAGACCTTTTTAGTGTCGTCGGGGAAAAGGTGAGAGTTTAACTCGAAATGTACGTCGCACTCAGACAGAAAAGCGGTTAACTTATTCCGCTCTCCTCTCCAGAAATCCGGGTTAGGCAACTTTATCCCCTTCCTTTGTTCCCCAACTACGCTTGGAGTCGCCGAAGTTTGCCGTCCCATGGCGTACCTCACCCCTTCTGATATCCCTTCTGCAATTCACCCCACTGTCTCCCTTTCCCTTCTTTGCTCCCACTCCTCCCTACGCCTCCTCTCCTCCATCATATCCTTGTTCATATTTGCCACCATCTGCACCAAGGCTAACATCACCCCTTGAGTCCCTCCTTCTCCGAAGTTCGTCCCACTTCCAGTGTTTTCTGGCCGTGGGGTTTGATCCGATCCCATTGGGGATCCAATAGGTGGGAGAATATCGGCCATAGGTGTAGGAGGATTAGAAGGTACTGGTGGAACGGACTCATCTCCTTGAACTGACCCCCCTACGCTATCTTCCACCCCAAGGTCCTGTCCCATCGCTCTTCTAAGCTCCTCCAATGCTCTCCTCTCATTATCCTCCATCCTGTCTTCACCCCTACTCATGCCTCGCGTAATTCTCCTTTCCGGTTCCATATTATCTTCGTACTTCTCCGAGGTTCGCACGGGTCGTCGGTAAGAGCGATCCTTGATACTGTCACGGCCGTCGAGCAACTTCTTCCTTATAGACCGACGGTCGACGAACCTCGGCTAACTTCACGCTTCTGAGTCGATGTCTCACCCAACCAGGAGGGCGCAGACGTCGAAAGGAGTGTAACTACGGCGTACTTTGGCGTAGTTACTCTAACTAAGGCTTTGTTCTATTGATGGCGATGTATCTCGATGTATAGCTATCTCTATTTGTCTTTTACTACTGACAACAATCAAGGATCGCTGAAGAAGTTCAGCGATCTGTAAACTATCTATACTACTCCTCTCTTCTCATAGAACGTCCCTCAACTCCTGCACTGCCTCACGCTCAGTCCTCTTCGTTCAACTTTGCCGTACCTCGCCGTATCCCCGATATCCTACTCCGCTCACCTCGACTAACTTCGCCTAACTTCCCCTGTTCTGCTCTCCCTCGGTTCCCTTCCCCTAACTTCGCCGTAGTTCTCCGCTAGGCGGGGTTATCGTGACAAATACCCTCTTGGTTCTCGTAACTTCGCCGTAGTTGGTCTCAGTGGTTCGAGTGGAGGTTGGTGGTGGTGAAAAGGAAGGTCGGTGATGGTGAAAGGAGGGTCGGTGATGGTGGTTGTCAGGGATGTTACGACGTAGTTCGTGACACAAACTTATATGCGAACCGGTCTACAAGAGCTTCAGTCTCTTGTCACTAGAATTGGTCAAGTGCCAACTGCTGAGACAATGCAGAATTTTGCGCTACAATCTCAGAAGGACACTTCACAATTAGTAGAAGGTCACAGGGTGAGTCAAGCACAAAAGAAGCTTGAGAGGACTACATGGCTAGAAGACGAGGAAATGAGGGAGCCAAGTGCAGCTCAAGGTAGAAAGAGAAGTTGGAATGATGAGGAAGTATTCGGGTCGCTGCCGTCAGACTCAGAGCATGACCAAAAGAGGAGATACCACCTGAATTGCTAAGTCATCCTGGTAATTTGGATGATAGAATGGAGATTCCCAAATGAGATGTAGATACTCAGTAATTGTGTATGAAACTGGTTGAGAGATGTTCAACCATGCACATTGGTAACTTCAGCATTGAAAATAGTTCAGTATGGGATGCACAAAGTATCAGATAAGTCACCCGATGGGTGCCTGGAGCAGACATTGTAGATAGTCAGCCTCAATGAGGTATGGGCTATAGGGCTTCGCATGTGGGAAACAGACCTAGTGATGTAATGAATAGTCTATAATGATGTAGAAGGTTACAGAGACTGCAAGAGTATCAGATTCTCTAGCTGCCACATTCTAGCAGTTGACTTGCGGACAGTAAGCTGGCCGTAGGGGAACCCCGTGCGCAACCCTTTCGTACCCTTTGTGTTCTCTTTTATGTCTGTTTGTGAGTGTCAAGTGTACATGTTTCATATTTATATCTCTGCACAGGGCTTCTTTATAGTATTACCCCGTGTGACTCTAGTGTTGTAGTCTCGAGAGGACGACCATTGACACACTATCGTGCTCTCACGAGCTCGGGAAGGCCAGTTGTCACGTGTTTCAGGTTGACCTCCTTTGTTTTCCCTCACCTCAATTGAAATGGCGCAAAATAGCATTACTAATAAATGAGCGTTTTTAGGTCCTGTGACACCAACTTCTTGACATTATCTGACAGTACAACATGGACATGAGCTCATACACAGACAATCACAATCCTCCCAATGATACAATAATGACAGAGTTCACTAGATTTTACCGGCCGTCACTTGCTCCGGGGCTTCTACAAGCTTTGTTTCACGCCCAGACGGATCTGGAGAGGGATAAGGCCCTGTCTGAGCTTGACGATGTTGTATTTTCCCTGGCAGTACTGGGCAACAGATATTCACAACAAACTTCTCAGAGTAATGTTGCCGTAAAAGCCTTCACTGGTTGGTGTTTTCTTTTTTGCTTGCAAAACCAATGTATGAGAGAAATCTGACCGCAGATGTGATTTTGGCCTCCGATGATGCAACAGACTTGATTTGGGATGGCAACATTGACATTCTCTCAATACACCTTGACATTGCTGCTCAGTTACCCATAGTTTACAATGAACTCCATCAAACCTTTCTCACGTTGGGCACCTTTCAGGCATCGTTCATGCCATACACAGAGCAGGTTATGAATCATATGCAAAGAGGATTACAAGAGCTTTATACCGTTGTCAATTCCATTGGCGAGCAGCCAACCAACGAGTCCCTACAATCTTTTGCCCAACAATCACTTGAGGAAACTTTGCAGCTCATGGATACTATCCGAATAATCCGACTTGAAGACAAGGAATTCAATGAAGAGGAATGGCCAGAGGATGAGGAGATGGGGGAAGCAAGTGAGGCACCAAGTGAGAAGAGAAGTTGGGATGATGAAGAAGTCATTGAGTCAATGCCACCAAGCTCGCAGCACAGGAGGAAGAGACGTCTTCGGAGGCACTAAGTACTCCTCGTTCATCAGTTCATCAGATGAGAGAATGCAGGATTTCACATGGAATAAGATGTCTATAGCTAGTGTTATCTCCTGACAAGTATGAATAGAATTAGGTGGGGATGATAGACAACTTTGCACATCGGCAATTCAGCGTTGAAACCAGTTCGAAAGATACGTAGCACGGAATATGAGGCATGCTGCCTGATAAGACTGTCAATCAAGCCATATCGGTCAAGAGATGGTGGTGTCATTCGAGAGAACCTTTGTCCTGATGATGTGCTCTCACGTGCTTGACAAGACGTGATGGCGCACGCAATGTCTAGCACTTCCATTGTGTGTTGGCTGTTCTTCATCAGGCGTGATCTCAATACCAAACCCGATTTAGAGCTCTAAAAGCTCTGTTGCTCCTCTGGCCGGAACCCCTCACCCTCTTTTCTTACTTATCCCTCTCATAACAGCCATGAACGATTACAACAACACAAGTTATAATGAAGCGTCGGGTTCTGCCAGCCAGGAGGGATATAAGACCTTTCTGGCCGTGGCCCTGGTACCTTCTACCCTGCAGGAAGTTCTTGAAGCTCCGGACGGGGAGGAAAGATATAAGCTCAATGACGACATTGACGACATCATCACATCACTCGGTATCCTGGGTCGCACCCACAATGCATTGTCTACTCAATGGGACCCAATTCTTGGGCAATTTAGCGGTGAGTTTGTGGTGTTTTTGATTCATTCACCCACATCAGGTTTATGAACACTGATGGTAGATGAGATGAGTGAATTAGGTTATACCGAAACGCTCCGTAACCCAAGGACTTTAGAGTCGTTTTCGATTGACATCAAGCTTGTACCACATCTCTTGAGTATAGAGACAGCTCTAAGAAACACCTTTATGGACCTTCAGGCGGGTGACGTAGACACTCTCAGAGCTTTTCGTTTTGAGATGAACCCAAACACTCCAGAATCTTGGATGATCAGACCTCTTGAGGAAAAAGAGGAGCGCTTTTGCAGTTTAGGTCTGGAACAGCTGAGCATGACAACATCTCAGCTGGGGCCAACACCCTCAGAGGAGGTGGTTCAACAATTTGGTCAGTGGTCTCAAGGACGGGCTATGGCGTTAATCCATGTGAACAATAAATACGCTCGTACAAGACGTAGTACGAGGAGAACGGACACATCAAGGCCCTCTGTACAGATCAAACGAAAACGAGATCAAGTTGGAAGCACTGTGGAATCAGCTCCACGACGGATCAGAAGGTCAGATTGGGAGCCTTCTCAAGAAGTTTACGATGAGGATCAGGATATGACAAATTGGTCAGAACAGTATTGAAGGACAAGCTCATTCTTCAACATGATAATCAGATATGGAATATGAGTCGAATGCATTTGAGATGATGATGAGTGCTGCCATAGAGTTTTGAGTGAGCAATGTCAGGGGATTACCATCTCAGATGTCCGAAGCGTGTTGGACCTATAATTCCTTGCCCATGGTCAAGCCACTAGCCACATGGACCAGCCTGATGGGTGTACTGATCACCTATCCTCCATTCCGGGCCTTCTTGTATTCATTCACTCTCAGCGAGCAACCTTTGTCCGTTCAGTCATGTGTCAGATAACAACTTCATACCACGACGTGTCCGACCATTCCCCTCTTCTTCCTCTTTTCCACCTTCAGCAGCACTCCGTATATACGTACACGATCTCATTTTGACAGGACCTACACATTGAGCAATGTCCCAAAAGACGCTTTCCATATTATCCCTCTTCCCCAAGGATCTTCAGCTCCTGAAAGGCGCGTGTAGCACCAATGACCGCCGGAAGATCTTGTTCGAGATGGGCAAAACAGCGGGATCTCTCAACATTCTGGCTTCAACATGTGTGCTCTTGAAGGAAGAGCTCTTTGAGCCTCTGATAGACTTTGCCGGTGAGTGATAAGCATTTCACGTATCATCGTTTCGAAGTGACATGGGGACACGGAAGGGAGGCTGAAATAATAGAGACCATTGAGAAATGTAATCTTGGGGACTTACAAACCACTGCCCCTATGGATTCTTACGATTTCCCCACACACCTGACTTCAGACATTCCCAAAATCATATCACATATCTCTCAAACCCAACAAGAATCGTTGATAATGAATTCTCCTCTTATGGCGGCCTTCCGCAAGGTGAGCTCGAATAATGGTTGGCCGGATGTCCCGGATGACAAGCTTTCAGGGAGCTGGGGATTGCTTTCCTTTTGGGCAAGTAAGGAGCTGACTATCTTGATGGGAGAGACAAATGGTGGGGATGCCAACTGGTTGGAAGAATGGGAGAGCAGAGCAGACCTGATGTATGACTTGACGGCTGATGATCGGGAGGATTACGTCTCGTACGTTCCCCAATAGGGGTACGTACCTGAATGGGACATGGATCACTTTTGATGTTATGAGGGTGAGAAGACAGAATAGTGAATGGCATGCAATGAATTCCTGCTCATCGTTTATGAGATAGACTTTTGACCCTACTGAGTATTGAGTGAATTATTACGATTAAAGTCGAAACCGACCGCAGAGTGTGGTGCTTTGAGTGGGGGAGGTCTTTCTGGAGCCCCGCAAATCTCCCCTTACTTACCCCACCCGCTAACTTACTCGCAACTTACCCCTTGTCTATCTATCCGAGATTCTGAACCATCTTTGCACTCTCAGACCCATCCATATCGACGTAGATGTCTCCCAAAACCATCGTCATTATAGGAGGTGGGATCGCTGGGACCTGTACCGCGTATTTTACCGCAATCTCTCCTCACCGTCAAGGGACCAAAATCATCATCGTCGAAGGTACCAAGATCGCCGCTGCTGCCAGTGGGTATAGCGGGGGATTTTTAGCTAAAGACTGGCATGGGAGTGCAACATCCAGTGAGTCATCTCACTTTGTATCGATTTGTCTTTTCTTATTTGTCCTGCCATCCTCTCACCCCGGTAGTGTGGTTCGACATTATTTCACATTCCAGCCATCACGAAGACATGAAAGAAGTCCTGGGTTCGTGGGCCCAGGGAGAGGTGGGCGCAGGGAGAGGCGGGCGCCGAAACAGAAGCTTGACACCTTGCTAAAATCCCTTCAGGTCTAGCTGCAAAGTCATTTGACCTCCATGCCTCTTTAGCCAAGGAATACGACGGATCCGTCAATTGGGGTTATAGAACGGTCGAGACTTTATCGGTGGAATACGATGCTACTCGTCCTACCATTTCTCCCTCTCCACTCCCTTGGCTACCACAGGGACATCTTCATTCCTCCCGGATACTCGGAACACATTCCACCACCGCTCAAGTCCATCCTGGGCAATTCACAAATTTCATTTCTCGACAATTTCTGAAACAATCGAATACAGAATTGGTTATTGGTCGTGCTTCGGGGTTGAAAATACAGGATGGAAAGGTGAAGGGAGTAGAGGTGAAGACTGAAAATGGGGTAGAAATGTTAGAAGCAGATTGTGTGGTATTGTGTGCCGGACCTTGGACGGGGTCGTTGGCGGTGGAGCTGCTAGGGAAGGTGGTAGGTAAGAAGTTGGGAGTGACGGGACATCGAGCGCATAGTGTAGTGTTGAAGACCAAAGAGAGATTGACTCCTCATTGTTTGTTCACTAGTATGACTATGGAGGACGGAAGTGTAGATGAGCCGGAGGTGTATACAAGGCCGGATGGTGAGTGTTGCATATTTCGTCAACTTGATCTGAAAATTCGATATTTCCAAACACAGTTATTTCCTCATGACTCGAACTGCTCCCATTACTCTCGGCTTGTTGGGATCTCCATGTATAAATCACAGTGACTGCTGACTTTCCGCCCCAGAGCGGGAGAAAGAAGCTGACTGTAAGGAACAACTTACTTGTCAGTGACCTTCCTGCCCTGAAACGGGTTAAGTACTGACCCCTGTTAGCTGCGGAGCAGGTGATGACGAACCTTTACCTCCCACCGCCTCCGACATCCATCCTAGTCCTATTGCAATAGCCAAACTCCACCGTCAAGCCGCAACACTCACTCCACACTTTTCTCGGGGAGAAGGCGCCGAAGTATTAGCTGAACAATGTTGTTATCTGCCCATTGCGGACAGGGGAAGACCTTTGATTGGGAAGGTCTCAGGAGTGGAAGGTGTTTATGTGGGAAGCGGGTATGTTACATTTCACCTTGTCTCTTCCTTCTTAGTAGACCTCGCCATATTGGAGACCTTGGCTCCTTTTAATCTCTCCCATGCTCGACGCAGTGCGGGCCCATGTGACCACGCCATTGCCCCTTTCTTTCCCATCTTGAACGCTTAAGGGGAAAGAACGTGGACGAACATCGCTGTGATGTCAGGATTGGCTTGTATCAAGGAAGCTGATTGGCAGATTATCATGCTGGGGTATCACACAAGGTCCCGGGACCGGCTTGGTACTTAGCGAATTAATACTTGAAGGGAAAGTGAAATCAGCTGATATCTCGAAATTGGCACCTTGATATGAGTACTCTGCGAATCGAAGTGTGTTGTATGTGTAAGTACAAGGAATAAGTAGAACAAAGTCAAGCCGAAGGTAAAAAGGTAGAAAGCCGTGGTTGATCGGATAAGAGCCTGGAAGAAAAGGTAATCTGCTGAGCAGATAGAAAAGGTCAATTGCCAAAATGTACAATATTATGATTATCTTTCTAAACAATCTATCTTTTGTATGAACCTCTTGATATACTTCAAGGCAAATCCATCTTTATACACCCTTTCCATGGGTTGATCCTAGAACACTTCAAGATACTAATAGAACTGTCATTCCTCTTTCTCTTCATCCTGGCTTTGAAGCCATAAACTCGCTACAGCTCCATAAATCGTGAAAAATATACCAAGCCCACAAATAAATCTGGTCCACCATTTCCATCCGAACATTCGTCCATTAACGTAAAGCGGAAGAATGACAATGATAATCAACGCACCGCTTCCTAACAAGGTCAAAACAGCTTGGAAAGAATGCATGATCAATCCTCCGAGTATGACCAAAATGGCAAGTGTCATACGTACACAAGCTCGAAATACCATTTTCAAACGTTCGTGACGATCATGTTGTCTTTCCATGTTCGAAGAAATGTAAGGCGAAGTCGAAGTGCCTGACTCGACGGACGGTGGTGGGTTTGTTGTTGATGTTGTGGTAGGTATTATCACGGTAGGATGAAGGTTGAACCAATTCATTATGATATCGGATAAAGGTCGTAGAGCAAGTGGTATTTTAGTTAAAGGATTGAGAGCAACCATTAGGAGTGCTACATGATTAATTGTGGATGATAAACCTGGTGTATGGGCCAAATCGACGCTGATCTATTTGTGAGTTAAATTCTGAGCAGGTATCACAGTATACAATATGTTGAAAATGAGGTACCGGATGATGATGTCGATGTGAAGAAACAGTATGATAATACAATGCCAGAGAACATGTGAGAAGAGATGGAAGAGAAAGATAAAAAGGAATTAGTTAGTCAACTTACTGAAACATTCGTACCGTACATTATATAACCGCAAACAGCCACGAGTAGGTATATAGAAATAGCTATCCCATATGCTAATTCACATACTCGATCAGCCTTTGAAGGATCTTTCATATCCCTTATGAGGTTAGGTATCAATGCGTGACCTCCGTACTACAATGTAAGCTTTCGTTTCAATCTTTAAGTAGATGTACAGTATTAGTGTCAGATCCATAGATGTTCAAGGGAATGAATGTGTTATGGAGATATACGTCTAAAAGTGTATCATATCCATGGATATTCAAGGAGAATGCAAATACTACGGATATATGGGTTAAGAAATGAAACATATGACTCATGCTAGACTCACTCCTGATAAAAGAATACCTATGACAGTCCCAAATTTGATTAAACCATGATTTGGCCAGAGGTCCGTATGAGCAGGTTCGTGAAGAGATCCAGGAGAATGTTGTCTATCTCATTAGTATCCCTATCAAAGACTCTCGACACCATATTGTCCACCAATGAATGACAAAGTGGTACAAATATAGATGGGCGATACAAAGACTTCATATGCGGAAAGTCATGGGACAATAATAGAGAAACGCACGTTACGATACCAGTGAAAAGAAGGATTCCAATAAGTACCCAATTAGTGGTGATTCCGAAACCACTGGTGAAGCTAAAATACCGTAAAGGCATAAAGCTGGTGGGGATTATTCTCTTTGTCAACTTGTCATCTCTATCATTCTCTCGGCCAAGGCAGATGACAATCTCTCGAAGGAATGGGTCCAAAATCCAGGGAAGTAGTCCCTCTAATTGGAGATGATTTCATTGAAAATGACTTACATGAGTAAACTGACCCATTTCCATTGATCCGAACGAAGTATGGGCCATACAGCCGCAAGCGTATCAGAGTATAGAATTTTTTAATCGACCAGTGTTACACTATGATAAGTTCTCGGAACCTCTTTTCAACTACAATCAGTCAAATAATAGATTGTTCCTCCGCTCTTGTCATGTACCAAAAGAGAAGAACAGGATTGACAAAATGAGAGAAAAATGAATTCAAAACTCACATCCAGGTCATAGTTTCCATCACAAATATCACAGTGACTAATTTAAGTCCTATCGGTCCCAAGCCTTGACCCACGACCTCAGTGTAGGTCTTCAGACTTTTATCTTTCTCGATGATTCGGAGAAGAATCTTCGACCTGAACATGAGCTCCCTAACGTATGATTCCACGCAACAGAAAATATGTATGAGAGAAAGGTCGATACCTCTGTTTGATGATTTTGATATTGATCCTCAGGAAAAGGAAGAAAGATCGACGAGATCGAAAGGAAGGAAGGGAAGGGCAAAGACCAGAGATACCTTACTCGCGTGTAAAGCGTAGTTGCCGCGACCATGGCCATGAGAATAGGACCTAATACCCATCCTGCATGGGCAAGAGCGATGGGACAAGCTAATAACCCAGTACCGATTATGTTGCAGAGGATGTTCAATAACTTGAACTCATCAGCTATCTTTCTCTGTCTTTTATAACATGATCATCGTATTTGGCGGTCACTTTGATTGACGGTGATAGTGGGTGGGCTTCTGGACCAAGAGGGTAGTAACTCATACATGAAGGTCAAGCTCTTCAGTGAATAGGAAGAAGATTGAAGTCGTTAGATCCGGAATATCGAAAGAAACTTACAGTTTGGATGAAAGTACTTTCCCCAGGAACAAAAACCTCGACTTCTTTGACAGTTTCTTGCCCTCCTCCATGTTCCAAATGATTGCTGAAGCTAGATGAAGTATTGGCATGTCGAGCCAAGTCGTCGCTTTGGGAAATCAACGGTGTTATCTCGGTCGCTTGGGTGGATAGACTGAGTGGGGAGAGTCCAGTTTGTGAGGTCGTTTGAGATGTCAAATTAGCAGAAATGACCATTCTCGAAAAAGAGCCTGTGTCAATTCAGTGGTCCTTGCTATGTCAACTCTCTTGATTCAGTCGTTGTCGAAGTACAGTTGTTACTTGTAGATAATAACTTTGCATCAGTGGATTCTAGTAGATCATGACCAGATGAGGAACTTAACTCAACCTTACTGTAACAAGTGTTTTTCCGGCAGGACGGCCATGAGTGTAAACTTCTGATCGAAAACCGATGATCGGGTGAAAAAGAAAAAGGGTTCTGGTATCTTCATCCCTGATCTCGAAGATAGCAAAGATAAGACCTATTCGAAAGAGACAAGGACGAGGAAGGAGGGAGAAGCATCACAGAATTGCATATTGAGATACATACGATACATTTGAACGATACCAAATTTCAGATCAAAATTACTAAAGCGGTTATTCCAAGCAACATCAAAGAAGGTCTTATCATCCAAGCTCCGCTTGTATCTGCCTCGGATGATCCGGCGGTCATTGAAGCGCTTTTGCTTTGACTACTTGAAGTTCTGGAGATTGAAGAATCGGAAGAAGGTTTGACTGTAAGAGTGAAACGTGTGGTAGTGGAATATATATCTGTGTCGGTTGATGATATGGAAGAGTTTGGTGTTGATGTGATTGTCACGGAGGACGATGAGGAGGTTTTTGATATTGATTTCGTTCTTCTTGATCAGCAAATAGGTCTTTACAATATTTTGTCATGTTCTTTGTCTTCATCTTTTATACCCATCTTTTCGGATTGACTCCCAACTAGTAACACTTCGTATTCTCTGACCTGCCTTCTGAGTCTATGTTGTCTTGTGATGATGTCTTACGCTTGATGTTTATCGTGGAATAGGAAAGACATACGAGCTTGTCACTTGACATGATGATGTCGCTATCATATCAGCTCCTCCCTCAGGCGAAAAAATGAATTTACAAGAAGAATACGAATAAGAAGATGAAGAAGTGATTGATTCAGTTATATTGACGTCGTCAGTCGATAAACAAGAATCATCATCGCCTTCGTCCACTGAAATATTTTGAATATATCCCACTTCTCCATTCGAATCTGTCACTTGAAAGATGAGGTCTGTACCTTGAGTAACGTTGACGTTCCACGTGTACGAAGAATCAGAGATATCATCCAAGGTGATGACAGGTGTTATGCCGACGTAATAACCACCTGTTCCAATACTGAGTGTTACGGGAGGCTATCATTTCAGCTCTTTCCAAACTTGATCAAGAATCATGAAGGAAGAGAGGGATGAGAAACATACAGTAGTACCTGTCCAACTAATCGTAGCATCACCACATTGGTTCACACCTTCAGCGCTGACGGTGATATTGTTGACTGATAATTAGCGTCTTCACATTTTTATTCCCTAATCGTTGGAGGATTTTTGTGTCCTTCCCTCATTTACATTTGTATCTTATGAACAATGTTGAACACGGAGTGAGGACGGAAGAAGTTATCCCAAGATACTCACCGGGTGCACCAGCGAGGATATCTCCCACTTCTTTCCTTCTGATAGCTTCCGCACTAACACCAACCAATAACAAACCTAACAAACGTAACATCCTCCTAAGTGTTACCAAAAAAAATCACTAATCTGTCAAAATCGTTCTACGGTGTTTGTTCAGAAATGTCAAGAGATCTGTTGAAACCTGTCAAGAAATACACTTCAGTGTAATCGGCGTCGTTCGTAGGGATCGTTGGGGCACAAAGGATCTCCTTTGTCAAATATGTCCAACACGTAAAACTCTTGAGAAACTGAACCCGCACTCGTCAAGTGAGAAACAGTGAACAAAGGATGAAGCATGAACAAATCAGATTTTAAGAAGTACGAAGTACTTGTATTCAGAATTTACGACACTTTAGGGAGGTCAAAAAGATCGACGTAACGTTCGACGAGAGAGTGAGAGGGGAGAATCAAAGTTTTGATGCTTGATACCCCCACATGTCATTTCCCTGATTCCCTGAACATCATTTCTTGTCTCCTCATTCTCTCATTTTGCAGATTTGCAAATAGTCAAGGGTTCGAGGGAAGGAAAGTGATACAGTGGCCTGGGATGGATTCAAAAGAGACTAGTATGACGCGTTTTCTTTTCAATCACGCACAGAAATTATGCCAGTTAACTTTTGACATGTCACGTCAATCGGCGAGACGCGTCGCGTGTCCGGTCCTTCCGTCGGATTCTTCATCTCGACTGTGGAATTGGCGGCTGGTCGGACTAGAGAGGGTAAAAAGAGGCACATTTATTGCAATACGACACTACTCGTTAACACGAGACGCTCGAACACACGAGCCTTTCGAACGACCTCTGATCTCAAGCAGGACGAAATTCAAGGCACCAAAACCTACCGGGCGTCAGAGCAGAGGAGTGTTCGAACAGGTCGTGTGTTCGAACGACTCGTGACAACGAGTACCTAGCCAAGCGACGGAAAGGGGAGACAACTTACAGGAGGTTTGCAATATCATAAATAGCTTGATTGAGTGTATATGCGCGAGGCTGATTTGTGTTTGATGGGGTGGCCGAGTGGTTAAGGCGCTGTCGTCAGGTGATGTCTCACCTGGCAGTGGGAAACCGCGCGCGTTCGAATCGCGTCCTCATCATGGAGTGTTCCAGTTTTTAGGCGGAGGGGTGGAGGTGTGCGTCTTTAAGTCCTTGCACAGCACACAACGCTGCAACCGATGTACTATGTGGTTCGACACCAAGAACCAGCTACCGGACACCGTTAGCGAGGTGCCACTTTCATCAGGGGCAGTAATGACGAGTGGCATTTCCTCAGCGCACCGACTCTTCCTTTTGCGGTCATCTGATCCCGATCCAAGTCAACATCAAAGCTTAAAGTATCAATTTGCATATGCACAACAACAATCTACAAAGCTTTCATCTCTCACCCTAGTATTAATCGAGGCAAGAGAAGGTTCAAAAAGTATAAAACATCAAGACAATAATGATAAAGGTGGAATGTCAGAGAAACTAATCAACCAGGAAAAAGAACCACCCTCAACGCTTGAAACTTCACCCAACACGCCCCAAACGACTTTCACCCGACCTGTCATTCCGACCTTACACCTCAACACACGCTTTCGTTCGTTCAACAGCTTAACAAATTCTCATTCGTCTCACAACAACCATCATGTCTTCACTTCCTCCTTTCCACATTTGTCCAAACCATTCTAGTCGATCTCAATCGCCTATAAATCTTGTCCACTTCTTTTCTAGCGCCCAACGATATTCTTCTACATTATAATCGCTTTCCCCTTACCCTCTTGAAGATTTTACTGATATCGACTCTATATCTCTGAGATACTTCTAATTGGAGGCAAAAGACATTCTAGCATTCGTATCACTCTGAAACTGTCCCATAGGTTGATGTTGAAACAAAGGTCGTCCTTGTTGTTGTCCCTGTCCCTGTCCTTGTCCTTGATGTTGTTGATATCTCTGAGTATATTCTTGATCTATAGGATGATTCATGTGTAATTGGCTCATCTCCGTCATGGGGTGAACGAATCGAGGACTTTGAGGAACATCAGAATACGTATGTGCGACATATCGAGGTTGAGGAAGCATTAGGTTATCTAAGTTTGTACTTTGGACCGATTGCATAGGAGGAAGTGATTGAACCGGATGTGGTGGAAGAAGGGATTGAGTAGGTGGTGGGAGTGATTGAAGTGGAGGATATGAGAAAGAGAGGGAATGTTGAGGATGAAATTGAGATCCTTGAGGGGGAGAGTCTTGAGAAGGCATTTGCCAGAATTGTTCGGTAACAGGTGGATGAGCATATAAAGATCGAGGGTTCTGTTGGGATTGGGGAGTAGCGGGAGTTGGATATGGGTCATGTGGGTTGAAAGTGAACATGAGAGGTTCGTTATGGGACATTCTCTTTCCTCGAAGCTGACCTCCTTTCGCCGCGGACTAGTATTCAGCGATATTCATTTCACAATCGAAGAGGCTCTTGCCCATGAGACGATCCACGGAAGGAAGTGCATGAGTGCTAGGGAGAGAGATCACGAGAACATGGATGAAGAAGAGAGATCAGTGAAGCCAGCGAAGGTCGGGTTGAAGGATAAAGCAGTGGAAACGGAACTGAGCACTCACATATTTCTGAACGATTGATTCCAGTCCATAAGCCAATCTATCCCATTCGAAAACTTTCACATCTTTTTCGATATTCCTCGGTTTCGGATTAGGAAAAGCCATTATCAACTTGAAGAAATCGGCCGTCGCAGGGTTATTCTTCGTGATGGTGATAGGACCACATCTTTCCAAATTACGTCTGATCCTATTCTTCTCATCGACTTGAAAACGTTGACCGATCAAAGCTTCGAGGAGATAGATGGCGTCGACCGAAGTGATATAACATTTATCGTGAGGCTCGTAATAGATGCAAGATACCACGATTGAAGTTGCGGCTTGCGAGGCTTTTTCTGGTTCCAATATCGCATAAGCGGTATAGATGCAGACGCCAGATTGTCGACGCCAGAATTGAACCAATCGTCGTTTGTTGTGTTTCTCCGCTGTCGACCTGACATATGAGCGAACGTTAACGAAAAGTCGAGTTGACCGATAGGTTTGAAATGATAGATGACGGACAGAGAACGAACAACCTACCATTTACTTCGATCGGCCACGACGGAAATATCATTCTCAATGATGAGATTGGCCTTGTCACCCGAAATTGAATCTTTCGAACTACCTGCAGAACGGGCCAGAGGAGCAGGTGGTTCAGAATGTATTTCACCGTGTGAGGGTCTTGATGACGGAGGAATTGCTATGGATCAGACATGTTGCAATGCAAAAGGTGAGTCTGTGCGAATACTCACGCTCGTAAGAATTGATGACTCCCACATCCACCGGCGAATAGCTAGGTCTCTGATCTCTCGACTCTGGTTCCTCAGTTTTTCACCCCACAGATCGGAAGACTATTGCGACTCACGAAATTCTTCCCCTGCTCCCACTAGTATATAACCCACCGGCGTTCGCTCCAACAGTGATTGTTCATTTGGCTCACCACGATAACAGTAAGCCATGACGAGATGTGTTTGACCATATCCAATGGAAGTAGGGACTCGGGAGACCAATCTTTTATATCCCGAGCTTAAGGTTTCGACATTGGTGATACTGGGCTGACCCCCAAAAACAAGTTGGACATTGGCCAGAAAACTTTGTTCGTCAGAACCGTAGCGGATATAATCGGGCTTGAAGAGAACGTCGACCATGTAGATATCACCGGGAACGATCGAGGTCTCTTTAAAAGCTATAGGTCTGATACGGGGGCTGCCCTCTTCTCCATCGAGCGTTATCGACCACGATGGTGGAATTTCTGGTATTTGAGTCAAGGGGTACTCGTGACCTGCTGAAGGACGAGGCCAGGTTGTTGGGGAAGCCGTAGGAAGATGAGAGGAAGAGGATGAAGGAGATGCGTAAGTGATCGTAGCAATACTAGGTCGGTAATATGATGGACTCTCTGGAGAGTATCCAACTCTTTGACCCCCTCCACCTGTTGTTGAGCCTGGAGATGGCGATACAGAAGCATAATATAATCGAGGTTGTTGTCGAGGGGTGAAAGGTGCCGTAGTGAGATGTCCATTAGGATAAGGAGAAAGATGTGTTGTATCGAGAGGAGGAGCGAGATTTGGGTTGAGAGTGGAATTTGGTGAGTGATATTGATCGATGATAAGATCACGATTAGAAATAGGAGTTACGGGACGGATATATGACATGACTATCGCGATAAGCGCTGATCATACCAGATACACCTGGAAGTGTGGTGACTCACCAGTATTGATAATCGAGATCAACCGCAAGGGAACACGAAACACCCGAAGAGATCCGAGACACACCAACCGGAGGACCGATAGAATGAGGTACGAGACCGAGCGAGAAATGGTTGGAATGGAAAGTGTGAGGGTTTCGGAAGAGTGAAAAACCTCGGTCAGCGTTGTTCAGACGAGTGGATAGACAATTCGGCCAGTTCAAAAATGAGAAACAGATGAAAGACAAGGTGGATCCCAATGTGGAACAAGGAGTAGGACATCCTCCTACTCGCCCTAGTCGACAATGACGGGCCAACATGGGGTCACGGATGTCAAGCTTTGAAGCTTGCTCAAGGCACATGGTGTAGAGGCCGGATATGGTAGCTTTGTACACCCCGAAGAGGCGTGAAGGTTGTTTTCCGGGGGCCCATTGGTCAGAGGAGAGTGAGGAGGTAGAAGAAAAGAGGTTTTGGTAGGTTCGGAGAATTATTGGGTCGGAAAGTCCAAGCCACCGGCATCGTGTTCACCGGAAACGGAAGAGGCAGATTTTGGACGACCCTGCATTCCGACAACCTTAAAGTAAAGACGCATGAGAGGGCGGGCGAAGAGAGGGGCAGACTCACGACTAGACACAATGGACGGACAAGTTACTCGTGTGGCTTCGGCTGTTCCGTACGGTTCTTCGGGTGAGGGACCGTTGCCGGTTGCAGGGCTAGACGGACAAGTGCTCGGTGGTCCGGACAGGTACGTTCGAGCTGAGAGTTAATTGACTGACAATTGAAGACACAGACATTGATACTACCGGGAGACACAAGAGACACAAGACAGAGGCAGAAGAGACTATCACTGAAGCTTCTATTTCACTAATGGGTCCGTCCGTGACAAGAGATCAGACTGTGAATGTCACACTGTGCATCGCTTAACGATCCGAGTGAGGAAATGTGACTGTGGAGCTTGGCTGACATTGCAGATCGATAGAGCTGGAAGTGATAGATAGGTGACGGAGGTAGACAGAATGACGGTAAGAAAGTGACCGATCGGGAATCGGGGAAGGTGTCGTCATCAGTGGTGAGAAAGTCTCCGATATCTTCCTAGCCATCTCGGTCTCGCTCGAAAACCTGTTCCATATTTCTCCAACATCTCCTCTCCAATTTGGTCACGCTCATCGTGACGGGCAAGAAATATGAGGTATGATAACGACATGGAATGATAGTCAAGAAGGCACGAAGAAAGTATCCAACTCACATTCACCCGGGTGAGGCATGAGTAGCGTCTCGAATCCTTCCATTCCGGTCATCGAACGACGAGGTCGGTCCAAAGTAGAATAAGGTTGGAGTCTTCTTCCTTGTCTATTGGAATTGAGATCCTCGTTTGGACGCATCACAAATGAGAGGTTTCTTGGATCTACACATTAGTACGTTGTCTTCCCATGATATCGAATACCTATCTCATACCAACCTATCAAGTGTCCTTTGTACCCCTCTTGCTTCTTATTCGACGTGGTATAAGACTTGACTGTCACCCAAGACTAAAGTGATGTGGTAAGATGTAGAAGATAGATGGAGCGTTGAGATAAAGATGAGAAGAGATTGAACGAGACATGGTACGTGATAGATATGAGTTGGGGACCCCTGACGAAGAGACGATCTGATCCACTCACCTTGGACTGACACAATTAAAAGTCTACCACAGGTTAGGAGACAGGAACGTTTTTTTTTGAGTTGAATAAAGATGGGCGTTACCACTATATCGGATAGGTATGTGTCTCTCCTTTTGAAATGGTGTAAAAAAGGAATGAATGTTGATGGAGAAAAAGAAATCAACATGGGGTTTATCATGAGATCTTTATGTCACCAACCCCCCGCTTCCCCCGACCTGACCCACTCAAAAAACTAATGTTCAGGACCCCAGTTGCTCTCCTCCCCTCCCTCCCTCCGGTCCCCCACTCGATACAACTCTTCATATCCGACTCACGGTCCTTCCTCTTCCTTCCCCCCCCTCCCTCCCCCTCCCCCTTCCCTCGGTATCTGCCCTGTGGCCTGCTGCCCTGTCAACAGGCTCTGATCCCGTTTACGCCTCGGTAGCGTCGCCGATCGCCGATGGGAGAAAGTATGAAGTTAGATGATGGTAATTGACGATTGAAATCAATCATAGGGTGGAGGAAGAGAATCCGCATCAAATCGGTCCCCGTGCTACATGTTCCAGATGTCCCCAAAAACTTTTCCCGTGTTCCATAAAAACCTCTTTTACATCTTTTGTTTGATCGCTCAAGTTTCTCATTGTCGTTCGTTCCGTTGTCATCATCCTACGCCCTTACTAGAAGCATGAGAGAAGAAATGATGATACTCGTGGATCCGAATCAGTTTGAAATCTTCATCTTCGTTTTCCTCCCCCCCCACTACCCTGTGGTTGGCATGCCTTGAGAGCAAGTTGAGACGGCGATCATTCATGTTACAGTACACGGAGATGTAAAATTGATCCTCTGATCCTTAGACTTACGCCCCTCGGTACGTGTCATATGAAATAGTGAGAGAAAAAAAGAAGACCCTTGGCTTAATTGTTTCGACCACGTACTTCTCCTTTGATCCCTTGATCCTTGTTACGGTTGATGTGTCTAAAAAGAAACTAAAGGAAAGGGTATACGACCCAAGTTTTGATCAAGAAACCTCGGCATTCGGTTCTCGGGAACCGGGAAACTGAGAAAACACGGAATCGGGATCTTGTATCAAAGCACCGCTCACACTAATTGAGAACACTCAAAGGAATATTAATTCTGGGGTTTTGTTTCCTTACCAACGTGCTACGTACCAGTACCGGGTATGAGGTACGGTTGATAGGGAAGGAAAGAGGGGGGGGGGAAGGGCAAAGATACGAAAGGAAGACCGGAGATCGGGATGGCTTGATGAGGGCGCACGTCCTCCCGGTTCAATCATTCATCATACAATCAACCATCAAATCTCGTGGACAAGGATCGGTGCCGAGTAAGACAGACGGTCAGATGGGCTAAGACGGCCGTTAGATGGACCGGGAGATGGGAGGCCGGCAGCGGACGGCAGACGGCCCACGGTCAAGAAAAAAGGGAACAAATCAGGAATTCCCTCGGTGTCTGACCAGGCCTAAGGTAACGGGTACGGGTGACGGCTAAAGGGTAATGGATCCAAATGGTTAGGGCGTTAGTAGTACGTAAAGAAAAAGGTAGTCCTTTCTACTACACAACAATTTATTTAGTGGTTTTCAGAGAAAGAAGTCGCTATCAATTGCGTCATGTCATGTCACATGCTTCAAGGTTCTTCAAACTAAACAAATGTTTCGGAAGATCTTTCCATCTCAAATTATACTCTCGGCTTTTCATTTCATGGCGACGACTCGTCTACGTTACAGTATGGTAAAGGTGGGAAGATACACGTCATGTCAAACCTTTTACTGATCAACTGATCCGTCTTCCCTGACGAGAAAAACAAAATATTTTCGACTGCGAAGGAGAAAGCATGTGGTGACATTCAGGTATACTCATCATCCGGCGTGAATAACATAGGGTTCGGTAAAGGGTGAATGAGGTACATAGACTCACGATTGCATAGGTGAATGGTTGAGGATAGAAAGAGGTTCAAACGCCGATATCGGTAGCATTCTTCCCAATCGACCATCGATCCCATCGAGCAAGAGGAAAAAGAGGGCGGGAGGAGGTGTAAAGGGTGGGGGAACCGAAGTTGCGGGACGAGAGCAATATATGTGTCAGTTTTTTGTCGATCTGTTTTTCATAATAAAGATTGTCGGATTAGCGGGATTGGCGGGATTGGCAGATTAGCCATAGTATCAGATTTTCATCGTTTTTTTGATTCTGTTCGATGCGATCGATGGAATGTGTTACATGTGAAATGACGTGTCAATCCTCGGTTGTTATTGTTTTGAAAATGTCAGAAAGTGATTGATGCCAAGTGGTCATTTATCATTTAGTACCACAATTTCACTTTTAGGTTTTACGTTCTCCGTCTTACCATCACCGGCCCCGGAAGCATCACCAAAACGCCAAACGGATCAAAACAAAAATTGTGATGATTCCTCAATCTCTATGGTCAGAGGGTCGTAAAATATTCAACTTACCGAACCACGGAAAGATGAGACGAATTACGATCACTATGATATTAAGCGACTCTCAACTCACCTCGTGACATTTTTGAAACTTTTTCTCAGGGCAAGGGTGGACTGTGAGAATCATGAGAATCCGAGAAAGACGGATGGGAGAACGTGTGTTTATTGAAGCTATGAATATACGCTTCCCACTACTTGTATGTAACGAAAGTGATGCATACTCCGACCAACGCCGGTGGATGTGGCACGACTGCCGTAGGTGAGGTTTTGGTGCGCCTCGACCTGTGCCACATCGTCGGTGTTGAACGGAGTATGCAACACTTATGGTACATACAAGTATAGACCGACAAGATCGGGAGGATAGGAGTGGGCAAGTGGGTAGGTGGGTAAGGTGGGGAATAGGGTGATAGGGGATGAAAGATGAACGTAAGGAAAGAGGGAAAAAGTGGGGTTGAGTGGGGGAGGCGAAATTTCTATAATGTTAATCGTACTTGATCTGCATGAATAGATACGAATTTGGGCTTTACCAGTATACATACATACGGGGGGAACACATGAATACACGAGGTTTATCGGGTACTTTGGGGGATCGAAGGATTGGAACCGCATGGTAAGTTTGGGAAGGGATCGAGAGTGGGATGACAATCGAGTTTGGGATCTGGTGGGGTGGTCATGAGCAGAACATGATGTTGTGTAGGTTGATGACATGAGTTGAGATTATGGACAATGATATTCGTAGTGAGAGGACATTCTTCATTCCAGTTTTGCGAGAACAGCGGTTTGTCACCACTTTACGCACATTGGTCTTTTCATGGACAGAATCGTATTGTCCAATTCAGCTCGAAAGATAGACCAGCTTCATCGAGGACTGTCGCTGTCAGTCACTCATTCGTTCACTCATCCACTTTCACGCTTAGAATCCCATCCCATGAGAGCAATCTACAGATTCAACATTCAGTAAAAGACACTCACCTTTTCCATCCACACGCTTCACATTTCGCTCTCCCTTTCCTCTGCTTGAACTCTACCCTCTCCATCACCCCTTTCTTATCAACCTTACACAATTGCATTCCCCTCTCTTCCTCTAACTTCGGGAACGTAATCACCCATCTTGTCTTCCCAGCCCATTCTGCCTCACCTACATCTCTTTCGCACCTTGCAACGCTCTCACATAACGTTTCCCTCTCGTTCTCATCACATTCACCTCCCTTACATACACTCACATCATATCTCTTCAAATCCAGTCTGGCTCGTCGTAGTTTCTCCTCTTCCCGAGCTATCTCAAGCCGACGCGCTCCGTCCACACTGCCCCTCATCCATTCCACCCAATCGTGCATTTTATTAGTCTTCTCGACATATCGATAGGGATACATTTCTCTTTTCATCAAGAAGTCTTCGTTGAATTCGTCTTCCTCCGCATAATACGATTTTGTGGTGACATACTCTGATTCACCTACAAATGGCCAAGCGTCAGACGTCCAGTGAGCTTGATGAAGAACACCAGGGAGAAAGAAAGGTAAATCCGAAGAGACTTGATGGAAGTTTATACTTTCCAATCGGGACCAACGCTGGCGCAAAGTGATAACAGCCTTTCGAACCCGATGTTCGGACGACGGATACCATCCAACATTTAGACAAATTTGAACAGGGTTCGCTAGGAGGGAGAAATCTTCCATGAGTTCCACGCTGTCGTCACTCGCCAAAAGAAGATATAGGTCGGCCATGGCTTTGGTAGAGAAGTGAATGGTATTGACGCGGGGGAAAAGGCGGGGAGTGGTAGAAGAGGACGTGGGAGGAGAAATGGAAGATTGGTCGGTGATGACAGATGCACGGAGACGACAAAGCGTTGACGGAGTAGGAACAGTGTCGAGGATGAGGATCTCCGCCTGTTGGGAGAGATTGTGAAGTTGACTGGAAGGCTGGAATAGAACCGTCCAAAAGCTGCTGGAACGTCGCTCGGGCATCTGCGGACGTGTCAGACCATCTAGGAAGTTGTTCAATCGCTCATCAGAATCGAGAACGATGGTTTGGGGGTCGAAGCATGTGTCAGTCGACTTTTCAGTCAACTCCATCGGAGGAACTGTTGGACCTTCAAGTATCAGCTCTTCCTGACGTATGGACAATGCGGACTCACAAGAGGGATTCGATGAAGGGGTTCCGCGCTGCTCGTCTTCCTTGACCCCTTGGCAGTCGCCTTTCGGGTCTCCTGGCAGTGGTGTGTGTGTGGAGATGACAGTTGTCTTGGGAGAAAAGTCAGAAGGGAACTCCCTGCAGGCAGTCCGGTCAGAAGAAGAAAACGAAGGAGGATGGGGAAATTTTGATATATCGGCGTGGCCATCTGACTTCTTCGTCGACATCGCCGAGGACAATCGCTGCGGTAACATCATTGTTCGACCAGCCTGTAGTGAAGAAGGTGATGTTAACTTCTGGACGGGTTGCGCCTGATGGTTCAATTCGGTGGGAATGTTCAAACGGCCGTCCTTTGTGGTCGCTTGAGATGTGAGCCTCTTCTCGGGCTTCTTGGATTGAAGATATTGGTCTTGCACATGATGGTTGTTCGGGTTAGTGCAAGGCTGGCTGAGAAGCGTCATATTTTCAGTATTGTGAGAAGTAAATGGGATGTTCGTTTCAGTAACATTTTCAAATATGACAGGAAGATCGGATCCCTTCCCCTGCTTCGAACCACCCATGGTATCGCCGTTCACCGGTAATGCTGATCCCTTTGACCGAAGCTGATAAGGATTTATCCTGGGACTCGATTTCTTCCAAAATCCTGTGATCGCAGGATGTGGTGATGTCGAGCCTGAGAAACGACTTATAGCACTCCAGTCTGGAGTTCTGAGAATATAATCTAATTCTTTCTTCTCTTTGTCATGATTGCTCACCGGAAGATCTCCCAATACATGATGAGGAGAAGATGGTGGTGACGGTCGAACAGAGGAACGAATGGCAGAAATCGGTATTCTCTGCTTAGGCAGAAGCCGAGGACTGGAGGGATGAGCTGATAGTACGAATCCGTGAGATGTCAGAGTTGATTGGTTATGCATTTGATGCGGCCGTCGACTTGAGACGGAAGAGACACTGGGCGAGTTTTGCTTCGGATAGGATGATCGATACGAAACTTGATTCTGGCATAGTCAACTTTGACCTCTCAATACCTGGGGAAGACACACTCTGGAATCAGAATCGGATTGACCATACTTATTGTTTTGAGGCCTGGCTGGTCGTCCTTTGTTGGGCATCGCGAGGAGAGAAGGATGTTCGTATTCGTATGTTTCTTTTGGGTCAGCAGGAAAGCTAGAACGGAAATCATGGGGATATCGGGATGAGTCACGGATCAGAGGTGCCTGAAGAGCTTTATCAGTATTTCTAGAAGTAGAGGTCGACTTGCTTGATAAGCTACCGAACATGGAGAATACTAGGTACTTAAGAGCAGACAGGGGCATACAAAGTTAGAGTAGGATGCAAAAGAAGCGAAGGAGGCAACTGTTTGGTGGAAGGGTATGTTTACGTAATACATACATAGTGTTAAGAACTTTTGAGCTGTCAACTTGTTTCATCTTTCTACAAAACATGTTCAAGAAACGTACGAGGCCAACTTCAGTGAGGGAGAAACCTGCGGAAAGAGAAGAAGAGGCCATAGCAGGGCCTTCGGATACGAATCAAGTGAGAGATGGGGTAGAAGAGGATGATGATACCACGTCAGTGATCTTTCTTCCTTTCCTTTCCTTTCCCTTCCCTTCCCTTTCCGTGAATATCTTTCACTCCAAGGTGATCGCGCCGCGTTACTTCATGATGACCTGCTCATGGTATACAGACTCTGTCAACAAACAAAGAGATTCTGCTGTTGCATAGAAAGAGGAGAGTGAGAATGACGCTTACCTCGACCCTAGACAGAACATTGAAGAACTCATCTTGATCCGTAAACTTCGCCGACCTAAACCTGGTATAGATCTTGAGAAACTCAATAGGGGTGATGACAGAAAGGGCAAGAGACCTGAAGGTGATGCTGCGGAGAGATATGGGTTGCAAAGTCAACGGAAGAAGATGATGGAAGAGTAGGTATTGTTCACATTTCGTTCTCCCCTCCCAACCGCACAGAGCCTCCGTACTGTATTTGTTGTCCACTTCTTCATTCTTCTCTACAAGATCAGAGTGATAAGTTTATCTTTGATTTCATCCGTAGCTGACACAACAGAGGTTTTGATGACGAAACAGAGAGAACCAAAAGACTCATCAGGACGAATAACTTTACTCAACAGACCAACGCTTTGGACGTGGATAAGCACATGTGAGTGATCGTTCTTTTACATGACCTTGACTCCTTCCCGTCTTTTCTCTTCTCCACATCCTTTCTGGAATTGTTTGATGGGAAACGACAACTCTCTTCGCAATCAGTCCGGACACCGTGAGAGAGCAATAAACTCGGAGTCAGAAGACATGACGTCAAGCTGATACAAGGCTTGCATTTATAGAAAAAGAATTAAACAAACGTCGTGGAGCCGAAGCGGCATCGAAAACTTCTAATACCCAAAACGAATCATTCGATCCTCAATCAGAACTACTCGAGGTGACTAAAAAGTATAAGATAGAAAAGAATATGAAGTTGGAAGAAGAAGGGAGTTTGACAAATTCCATGGGAATGTTAACTACTATACCGGAAGTGGATCTGGGCATGGAGTGAGTTTTGATTTTGTTTCCTTCTATCTTCTGATCAACAATCCTCTCACCAACGAACCACTCGTCAGTTGTGTATCAACTACACGTTGCTATAGGGAAATGTCATTAAGTGGCAATATGCTTGGGACAAGTCACGGGAACGTCATTTGATTTCTAGTCATGTACTTGTGGTCGGCTCCGCTTATGAGTAGAAACCGTTTACGGAATATCGAAGCTACTGAAAAAGCCAAAAGAGAGATGTTGGAAAGTCGAAAAGCTGAAAGTGCACCTTTTAAGAAGAAAGCAGAAGATGAGGATTTTTCTTCGGCTCGATGTGAGATCATATACCTTCTTCTATACCTTTCATTCTCTGAACTATTCATCGTCAACAGTCGTATCTCTATCGTCTCATCACCTAATCAGCTCGGTCAGAAGACGTATCTTGACAGTCTACACTTACCCTCCTTGAAAAGCATCCTATCTCGTATCTCGTCTCAGTGTCTGCACTCTCACTCCACCCGGTAACGAGGACTTCCCCTTAAGAGGCATCACGCGCCGACCAAGTCAGATGTTTAGAGTTTCAACTGACATCAGATTATCGTCCCCAATATCGACTCCCTCCCGACGGATTCGGGCTGCACGATGCTAAACGCCAAGCCGCTGGACTCTTACCTGCAGAATTACCTCCGGTTCGGGAGAAACCCGATCGGCCCCGGCATGAGCAAGCGACGGATGATCAAGTGTATGAGAGGTTTAAGAAACGGTCAGTCTTTTTACCCCTTTTCTCCCTCTCTTTCTCTTTTGTTCGTCCATCCACTGTATTGCAACAAGCAGGCGAAATGTGCTGATCTCAAGAACGAGGAGATGACTCTGTATTATATGCATGTATGACATACGTCCCTTTTTACTCATCATTGGAACCCAACAAACCGTACATCATTTCAACGTACTCGTATCTCACATATTCCAAAAAATCTCAGCATATCTTGTTCATTAAACGGTCAAAACAATGGTCAAACCCATGAAGATTATACCTGACGTGATCCAAAGCTCCCTGCTGTTTGGAATCGTACTCCTCGCGCTATTGTTGCTGGACTGATTGTCATCTCAACATGATATTTCATATCCATTGACTGAGTTTGACTCACAGAAACGGTAGCAGAAGGGTTCACCGGTGTTTTACCTGTCTTTAAACTGGTGGTAGTGGTCGGTGGAGGAGGAGGATTTGTGATTTGGTCGACATAAGAAGAAAGACCTGTCCATATTTCCAAAGGCGCTTGAGCTGTGGTAGTGAATGGACCTCTGAGGATCAACATTTTTCAAAAACATGATCAGACTAAACCACTTGAGTCGTCGATAGAGAAGTATGAACGAGTTATCTTCAAAACTGAATGGTGTATCCAGAGAAGAGAAGAGAGAGAAGAGAGAAATGGAATATCAGTAGTTAGAGAAAGAAACTCACGTGGTGGTGACTACAGCACTGATTGTACTGAGAGGTACGAAACCTGTAACATTTGCTTGTTTACAAATTTGGTTGACTTGTTCTAATTCTGCTAAAGCTTCTTCTGTTGATAAATCTTGTTCTCCATTGGATATACGACAATTAAGACATTGTATTAAACCTGTATAATTCCCACCTGTACAAACGGGTGTACAATTTATAGAGTTTGTAGTTAGGTAACATGATCTATGAGGGGTTAACTTTTATTCTTTCTCTCATTTTTGCTCCCACTCTTCTCTCTCTTCTCTCTCTTCCCTCTCTTCCCTCTCTTCCCTCTCTTCCCTCTCTTCCCTCTCTTCCCTCTCTTCCCTCTCTTCCCTCTCTCCCCTCTCTTCTCTCTCATCCTCTGTGCGTCTGCCTCTCTTTCATATCTCCTCCAGTCACTCACATCCATTATGCTCTTTCTCTCAATATCTCCATTGTAGAGATAACTCTCCCCCATTCTTCTCCCGGTTTAACTCACACGATCGAAATGGTATTTTAATTCTACTCCAATTCCCTCTTGAGTGAACCAAGTCATACACACAACATATCCAGTTCCAATACAAGAAAGGGAGGTATCATCAGGTCAAGAATACAGATAGATATATTATGCCCCGTGACGGGAAAAAGAAGAGCAAAGAAAAGGGTAATTTGACTCACGTATAATAACCAACGTAAATCAAACAACCTTCATAACAAACGACCGGGATGGTACTTGAGAAAGTCCCATTGGTAGAATTCTGACCAGAGATATGTAATCCGTGATTCCCATGAGCAGGATCATCGTTAGATGATGGTGGTGGAAGGTTTTGAGCTGAAGTATAGAGGATTAAAATTGAGATTAAGAAAAAGAATGATATGATCATAGTTTTGGTACGAGGATCTTTCTGATGTTTTTGTTTGGTATGTTGTTCACTCTTCTCCTCTTGATTTCTTTCGATCTTCCTCTTACGGAAAATGTACTATCGTTTTGTCCGACTGTCTTCTTCGTCCAGAGTGAACGGGGTACTTTATGTATTTTCTTTTCGATTTTGATGTTGATATGTATCAATTGATGTTTCCTTTTTCTTTTCTTCTGGTAGATGATTCTTCCTCGGCTTGACTTTTATCTTTCTCAATACTTGACTTTTATCTTTCTCAATACTCGACTCGTATTTTCACCAAAACCCAACTGAAAGTGTAATGTTACTCTACTTCTTAGGAAGAATGAAGTGTCAAATCCTGATTGATCCAAAAACCTTTCAAAGTTTATCCCTAATGACCCACTTAGAAAGTTCAAATCAAACACTAGTAGAGTGCTTAGGGGTTGAGTGATAATTACGACCTGATAATTCGGGTGTTGTCGTTGTCTGAGAATATAGAATGAGTCTCACTCGTTAGACGTGTACGAGTACTGTGACAAAGATGAATCAGTGATCAGTGAGTTGTCTTGGTCCTGGGGAGATTGGAAAAACGAGAAAGATGTGATGACGTAGGACAAAGGACCCCCCCTAAATTGGAAGGCTTCTCGAGGACTCGAGTCACTTAGGACATGTTGTTTCAACGAGGCATGATATCATGTATCATGTATCAACTGTGTTTTAAGAGATACAGTCAATGTCAAAAGGAGTGATTCCGCAATGGAATTGATCTCATGAAAAGATCAGAAAGGTACTTTTTGAATATGACGACGAATACAACCCTCCCGCTTCTTCTTCCCTCCACGATGAGTACCTTAGAAGTTAAGCTTATGGGATAAAAGAGATAGAGAGGAGAGTAGAATGATAGACCGTAAGTATAAGACTAATGACACAACATGCATGAATTTGTTCAAACTTGAAACACTTTTTATCTAAGCGATACAAAATTGAACCAATAAACCACCAACCGCAAGTACACTTTCTTATCATCCTAAACTCGAGTACTCACTTCCACACCCAACTTTCTGTTCTATAAGTATGATCACCTCGTGACTCGCTTGACCCAATCATGAATCCACCTTCACAACTCTCTACTTCCCATCTATCTCTACCTCTTCTCACATATACTCACCCCTAGAAAAAGCTGAACCACATCGACCTTCTCACCGTCATAAGCCCGCCCTTGGGACTTCGAGCTGACCAGCTGACCACTTCGAAGTCAACATTTGTCGGCCGATAAATCTTCACACGAGACAGGATGATAATCGGAGGAATGGAATCGGGACCATAATCGGAAGATATCCATTGAGGGACCATGTCGAATGCCTAAACGAAGCGAAGTCGTCAACGGACCGAGAACAATGCTTTTGATTGAATAGAAGGTGGTACCGAAAGGAAGTGTAAGAAGTAATCATGACGAAAAGATTCTCTCAAACACCCATCAAACCCATAAGACCCGTACATCCAGCCCATAAAACGTCCACCAATTCTCTTCCCTTTTCACTCAAACCACTTCCTCTCCATTCTTCATAACCAGTAGGTCCCCAGGCACTTTCACCATTACAAAACCCCAATCTATCCAAACCTTCCAAAACGAATTCGACTCCTTGAGATCTAGAATGACAAACAGCTATGACAGTTGGGAAACTTCTTCCTGCTGTTATTGCATTTATCCTTTCATCTCCATCAGATCCAATATTCATTCCTCCTTCATATGTTTCTTTCACAAGATCCTTTTCCGGGCTCCTTGATGACTTTAGTTGATGAATATCGTTTGATTCAATGAAAAGATCTGTTGATTCAGATTTGATAGGTTCAGAATTTAAATCTACCAAATCGACAACTCTCGCTACTATCCTGAATGATCTGAATGGAAGAGGTTGGAGTTGTTTTATTGATGATTCAGAATCTGATCGAGGTAGATATCTATCTTTTTCCATATTTTGTTTCGGTTTAGAAGGTGTGGAAGTGAAAATGTTGGAAGGAGTCGGGGCTGAAGAATGTCGGAATTGATCTTTACTAGTTCGCCTTCTTAACAGTTTTTGGAATTTAGGTAAAGAGGAAAGTTGAGTCGGTTCTGTCATTCGGGGTGTAGAAGGAAGACTGGGAGAAGATTGAGGAATAGGGTGTGATGGAGGAGGTACATCGTCGGTAGAGTTGAAGGGGACATACCATACCAATAAAGCTTGTTTGGTATGTTTTTCAGTCTTGAGAGGTAAAGGTATCTTGGGAGTAGAGTTGAAGGTACTGGGAGGAAGAGGTATGTCAGGACCATTGTCAAGGAGTATATTGTTCGAGATTGTCGAAGTCATGGAGGAAAGAGCAGGTCTATCATCTTCATGAAGAGGATTGACAGAAATTCCAAAGGCCGAAGTTGTCGTATCTGTGACCAATCCTTCGGAAGTGGGAGAAACAGTAGGAGTCTCCTCGATAGGAATAATCATCGCCACAGCATCTTCAGGTACACCTTTCCATCCTTTCCCTTCTCTATATCCAGATTCGTTATCAGAAGTATGTAAAGTACTTTGTCTTTCTTCTTCCACTGTCGTACCAAGACTTCCGGGATGGCGATCTTCTGTATTGCTGGAGCTGAACGTACTGGCTGAAATGGCGGATGAACTGAAAGCTCTTTCTGGACCTTTTGAAGCTGAAACTCCAAGTTGTTGTGTTTGTGCTCCTGATCCAAGATGTCCTATTAGTCCAACTTGACCCACTTGTGCAACGCCGACAATAGTCGACACTACGTTGGATGTAGTTTGCCCTCCAACCCGTAATGGTGGTCTACTCCTAGCTCTGATCAAACGCCGACCATCCACCTGATCCTGTGTCATTTTTGATTGTCTAGAATCAGTGGAATTAGGAAGATTCGAAAGTGTCGTTTTTGGTGATTGCCGGATACCAGTCGATTTGGGAAGACTAGGAGCGAACGGATGATTCGGGTCGAGTTCCATACCCATTTTCGGAATATTGGTAGGTTGTCTAGAAAGATCAACTTGGTTTTGTTTACTTGACCAATTTGACGTAGGAGTATGATGAACAGTATAACCTCCCCAAGATTGAGATTGCATCTTTTCTTTCTCCCTTTCCCTTTCTTTCTCTTCTTTTTGAATTTTACGCTCTTCGAAAGAAGTTACGAAAGAAGATGATTTTATACTTGCCATTATTCCTTTTCTAAAGAAACCGATTTTTTCCTTCTTGTTTTTGTCATCCTCCACTTTCTCCCCATCTCTGAATTTGGAATCTTGTTCTACTCTTTCTCCATCTTTCAATTTAGCATTACGATCTTGTTTATCTCGATCTTTCGATTTAGACCTCATGTTATTACCTGACGTAGAGGCTTTCCTAGGTCTATCTTCCGTCGCATCTTCTCTACCTCTTCTTTGCCCTTCCCCTAGTACATCTTTCGAAGGTCGTCTCTTTTTCTTAGGCATGAGCATGGCCATCGTTCCTGTCAAAGGTACGCTAGATGATAACATCCTACCACCTGTCGAAGTACCCAAAGTGTAATCTGTCGACCCGATTCTGTTTGTTCGTCCAGAAGGAGAAGCTTCCGATATACTCACTCTCAACCGTCCTGGTGATCCGGTATTGGGGTGAGAACGGATATTGTTGAAAGGATACTCCATTGAATCTCTGGTGAAAGTTCGAGATTTAGCTCCTCCATATTCTTTATGTGTCGCTTTTCCTGTCAGAACGTACCCGTCGTTCGAGACGATAATCGTCGGTCTGATGGCCGTCAGAATGGAGGTATTTTGAACAGGAACGACACCACGTTGAATTTGTTCCAGTTCGTATTCCCTACTTTGAGTCCTTCGCACACGCCAAATGGATCCAGTCTGGATAGAACGGACTTCTCCATTAGAGAAAAGTTGATATTTCCCAGCACTGGGAGCTTCCCATTCTGATCTGATAGTTTTGGTTTGGGGATCGGCAGGATCGAGAGATGTGAAATGAAAGGAATCAGGAGGAGAAGAACATATTCTGAATGTCCATTCTCCTCTTCGATCTCCATATTCATCGTCGAATTTACCTACAAATCGGGCGAAACTATCTTCTTCGTCGGCTCCTAGTTTCAAGGTCGGAGTAGGCATTTCGGCCAAAGGTTCGCGAGGATGCAGGATGTCGACTGGTTGATTCATTTGCGTTTCGTCACCTAGTTGTGACAGAGATCCAGCCAGGATGAAATCGATGTCGAATTCCGTCAGATCGACAGGAGCGGGAGGATGAAGTGATGGTGGGAGAGGATGTGGCAGAGGAACAGATTGAAGATTTCGTGAATGTAAAAGGTGGGTTGCTCTGTGAAGCGCTAACGTGGATGGAAGATGACGAGGACCAGGGTCGGAAAGGGGAAGTAAAGGAGGTAATGGTCGTGTCAGATTATTCGACGAGTCATTCTGTTTGATCAGCATTATTCTCCATGGATATGATGTTCAAAACGTACCTCATCCCTTAACATTTCTTCCGAATCTGGCGTCTCTTCGTCTTCCGCATCACTCTCCCCAGGTGATGTTCGTGAGATGTCCATCTCCTGTGCTCTTGCTGAACGTCTGGAATTATTCCTTCCGATATTCCCACCCATGATCGGTATGGCGATTGGTAAACTGCCTCGTCTTGGTATCATTTCCTCCGGCGGCGGATCGGGAGGAGCTATGAGGTTGATAGCCGGTGCGGAAACCGATCCTTCCTCAGTTCCTTTGAGGGAAACCATACCGAGTCGTTCCCATAACATCAAACTTGGTCTCCGTGGACTACCCGGACTTCCCCCTGATGAAGTGTGATGTGATCCACCCAGGCTCAACCTAGCCCTCGCTCTTCTTCCATCATCTCCGAACGTGGCCGCGATAAAAGCTTTACGTTGTCTCTCTGCTTCTGCTTCCTCTGTCTGTTGAAAGACGTCTTGAGCTCTTGGTCCTCTTGATTTGGTAGGTGCGATAGCTCTGAGAGCAGCGGTAGCGGCAGAAGGTTCATGAGGAATACTCCCGAATTTATAATCTTCGTTTGGTAAAGCTCCTTCATCACCGAAGCTTCCGCGTTGAGGTGCGAGCGAGGGATTCCAGATTCTCTGAGGGGGTCCGCTCCACGTGCCATGATGTAAATGCAATTGTGGTAAACTACCACGACGACCAAACTCGTCTTCCAATTTCTCGCCAGTAAGAGGGTTTAAGGCTTTCGAGTTCCTTGCTTGTCCTACACGACCCTCGTTGCCGTCACTACTGGTCGGTCGTAAGTTGACGCGTCCTTTGGCATGTGCGGGGGTTTGCGATGGTGGGACAAGCTTGGGAATTGAAGGAGTAAGGGATGCGCGACGAGGTTGAGCATCAAATCCGAGAGGATAAGGAGTATAACTGGAAGGACTTGGTGCTGTTGGGAAAAGAGAAGATCTTCTTCTCTCTCTGTTACATGGAGGAGAGAAGGGTTGTGGTGTAGAAATGAAAGGTCGTGTTTGAGTGAGAGTAGAATTTGAACTTGTGGTGGATTCTCTTCTCCCAGGTGACGGACTCATTTCCATCGGAAGACCTGGTGGACTGAAAACTACATTTCTTATCGGTGAAATGGAAGTGAAGACTGGACCATAAGGAGTGGCGACTGCTGGTGGAACGGGTGAGATGACATGTAATCCTATCGGAGTGAGAGAACCACGTCGAGGATGATGTGTGTGAATATAAGGTGGTGGATGTGTCATCGACATGACTGAAGGTGTAGGAGGTGCAGAAGATGAAGAACTAAGGAGATGGTCAGTATTGAATATTATAAGGAAGAGAAAAGATGAAGTTTTTAATATCGACTGGCCACCGGTTGATTATATCCCGATAAAGTCTAGGTATGACCAGAAGAGTGGAATGTCCACAATCCCAATTTGGTAACGTGACAAATGACCATGTTGGGGAATAAAAGTCTGAAAGGGGAAGTATAGGTGAGGTAAGGTAGGGGTACCGCGGTACAACTAATTACCACTATTGTTGAGAAACACAAAGAAATGAAGATGATGACGAGATCAAGATGTCACCGAAAGATGAAACGAAGGGTAAATGAAAAACTCACATATCTCTTTCAGGACTTGTACTGATCCTCCTACGTCTATTTACCTGTCCCTCGGAGCTGGGTCCAGCTACGGCATTCGGAAGTCCAAAACCAAATCCATTGCCTTCCGTTGACCTCCCGCTCCGTACCGAGGTAGACGTTGGAATCGGTATCGAACCCGAGTGAGACATACGGGATGTTGGTGGTGATGAAATGTCACAGTTTATTCTCTTTCACGTTGTATCTCTTCCGATGGTAGGGAAGATGTCACAATTACAACTAAGGTAAAAGATCCGTTGACGATGATCTTGTTTCAATGGTCTTGTCTATTGGTTGGGTGGTCGAGTGGCTGCCTTTGGGGATCAATGCGAATGAGGAGAGGATAAAGGAGGAAGGGAGAGTGACAGGATGAGAGAAGGGGGGGGTGGTTAAAGGTATATGAAAAGAGCAAGGGATGGATAGGAATGGATTGAAAGGCGGAGATGATCGACCTTTGGACAAGAGTAGAGTTGATACAGTAGTCGAGGTGCCACGATATCACGAGGTTATAATGGTAACTTGTAGTCACTCAATCGTACAACGATCAACGACACTTTGTCCACACCTACACTACCACGATCGCTATCTCAAGGACATGACACGGATACAAGGAGGGGGGAGGGGGAGGGAGGGAACACCATGTACATGTGTCCGTTAGGGGAGGAGCAAGGAGAAGGAGAAGGAGGACGAGTAAGAGAACGAGATCGGGATGCGGCAGCCGCAGAGAGACACAGACGCTAACCCACCCACACTCAGGGTTTCATACCCAAACCTAGACTAGCGCCAAATTCAGGTACGACTGGTGCACGCGGGGTAACTGAAATAAACTCCGTCAAGTCGGGCTCTCATGCCTGGTTATGCTTGCGCTGGGATAAAGTGCCTAGTGCTCACCCTGTTGATGGACAGGCACTAGGAACGAGGCTAGAAGGGCAGGCAGCTCCACACACTCGCATCTTTGTCTCTTGCCTCAAGGTCTATGCTACACTTTGTACCAGTATCGTTCATCCTCACCGGCTCCAATCAACCAATCCCAACAGGCACCCACGGGCCATAGCTCACAGTCCACAACGATACCATAAAGTCAGAGCCCAGGTATAGAAGCTTGGGAGAGGAAATGATGGAAGGGAAGCTCGAGGAGAAGCAAGCAAGACCAACTCATCCACTTCTCATCTCCTTCATCTCCCTCCCATCCCATCGATATATCCCACCAGATCCCACATTATACGTATTATAATTCACCGTGGCATACGGTACCACACCTTTCCTAAACGTTATGTTGATCCTCCCTTCCGCTTTCGCCCTTTTCGGGATAGCATGTTGCCACATCTCTTGAGTTTTACCACGCATCACTACCATATCACCATCATGCAACACCATCTTCTCCACTCCGATTCCCAATTCTTTGTATTTGACATGACGCAGATGGAAATCTCTCGGAGCGCCTAAAGACAGACTGGCGATTGTAGGTTCTGGACCGAGGAAAGATTCAGAATCAGAATGATAAGATATAGAATCGGTTCCGGATGAGTAGTAATTGACGAGAGCGAAGTTGAATGTCGAGTTTGTGACGTGTTCCACTGAATGTCAAACCCATGCCCTGACATCCCCATGAATCCCCACCTCCGTCTCGATCTGTGTATCTTCCCGCTCGTGGCAATGTCAGAATACGTCATGACACTCATATATGATCCGAAGGGGAAGATGGAGATGAAGTCGGAGTGGGTGAGGAAGGAAAGGAAGACGCTGAACGGTCAAGCGATAAAACAAACTCACCCTCACGCATCAACAAAAGCAGGATTTCCGGTATAGCCCTAGGTTTTACCTTGTACCCATTCCAAGGTTTATCCGTACTATCTTTCCCAAACACCGTGGTATATCTAGGTGTATTGATATTCACACCTCTCACCGTGTATTTGACCCTATACCATGGTAATTCCTCCAATAAATACCTCGTCAACTCTCTCGTGACACATGGATCGATGAATCTCTTAAAGTAAAGTAAATCCAACTGAGGTGGGCTATTGATCACTATCGGGAGAGTATTGAACTTTAAACTATCTTTGAGTGAAAGAGGAACGGGGGAAATGGGAAAAGGATGATTGTATGTTGAAGAAGGTGGGAGATGGTAAGACGGATGATCGGGTGGAGGATAAGGACTTGAGAGACGGGGTCTCTTTTGTGGTCTTTCATCTGCTTCTTCTGCTTCTTCTTCTTCTTCTTCTTTTTCTTTAAGATCTTTCAATGTCCTTGAATGGCTAGATTGTTCATCGGAGGACATGGGAGAGTTGATGTCGCGCTTGAGAGTTGATGGGCTTGGTTTAGAGGGAGTTTGCTTGAGGAATTGTACAAGGGAAGATTGTCGAGTAGATGAAGTGGTCCTGATTGGACTGATAGACATTTTGTAACTTTTACCACCTTCACTTGAACACTTGGATTATCAATACCCGTAATGAATCAAGTTGCAAGTTGCGTCTATGATGTTAAGTTTGAGTGAGTATGAAGGGTTTCTGATCGTTTTTGTCGATCTTGATCCTCGCGCTTGAAATCGCCACATTTTAACATTTTCGAATTTCGCCACTTTCGATCGAAAACACAACTTTTTTCAATAATTTTGACTTTTGACTGACGGCAATGCACTTTTGAATCCGAGAACTTTAGATCTTATATTTTATCCTCCAGGTAACAGCATTAGGATATAGGAGCTTCAGAGACCAGAAGGACAGATCATCAAAATAAAAAAGAATGACGAGCAAACCTCAACTAGAAGCTGTTTCAGCTGAAGATGCCGCTATGATCAATGAGAAACCTTCGAAACGTCCTTCCGGGAAGAGGGACATGGATGAAGATGATGATGATGACGACGACGAGTCTGATAGTGATGTGGTAAGTATTTAATCTCATGCCCAGACTCACACCATCCCTCTCCCCTGCTATGTACTCACGTGTGGTTATCTTCAGGATCATCACATTTTGGTCCGGTCTGTTATATGGGGATGGTTTCGGTTTCACAGTGGTATGGTGGAAATGTGGAACAGAGGATGGGGAGATTTGATTGTAAGGAGTGTAGTAGAGGACTATGGACCGATAAACTGACAGGAAAGAGTATGGTCAATGTCGATTTTGATTTTTACAATTTAAATCCTGATGTAGATCAGTGAGTCGTCCTTAATACCCCTTTCCCGCTGTATCCCCTAACTTATATCGCTTCGGTTGATAAATTCATCCTGTCGCCTTCGCTTCCCTGTCATATGAGGCTTCACGACTCTAGTCGGTATTTGCCGTTATGACTTGGTATGAGCGAGAATGGAAGTAAGGATGGAACTCTCTTTTACTTTCCTTCGGGACTGAGTCATGGGAGGAATTCTGCAATAGGTAAACTAGCAGAAGAATTGGATCCTTGCACCGAAGAGCGTTAAGGCGGTCAAGCCATAGGTCCATAATACACTGCTCTATAGATCAAGTCTTACCATTCCCTTTCAGGTAAAAAGAACTGAAGGGGGAGAGTGTGATGGGAATTGCAGAATTGACTGTGCTTCAGGTTCAATAAAGATTGAGAAACGACAAATATTGATAAAACCAGAATAACGGTCAAACGATTTTTACGTCAAACCCTTTCTACCGATGAAGAAATGATAGACGTACATCCCTTAGCCACCTTGATTCTGGAGGAAGCTAGTAGGATGAGAGTTGGGAGTAGTATAAAGACTGATGGAGAGGAAAGTGATCCTTGGGGATTATTAGCTGCTGTGGATATTAACAGAAATCGGGTGAGTTATGATTTTATCACTTTCTCGAAACCTTTATCTTCCCCTGCATTTCCTGAACTCGGTTCCTCTCGTTAATACCTTCTACCTCACAACAACCCTCTCGGACCACCTTTTTACCTATCACCGACTTATATTCTCTGCTAGGCAAGTTTCCAACCTCGGGTCATTGATAATCTTGACTCATTTCGAGAGGTCCACTTCCATCTGTATCCAAGGAAAGACAGCGAACCAAGCAGGGATAATACAGATAAAATTATCCCGTAGCCAGGAGCGTTTGATCTACAGTAGGGGAAATTTGTTCCAAAGTAAAGAATAATCGGGGTGAAAGATGGAAAGACTTTAGCAAAATAAACATAAAAAGTACTAATTCCCAGACAAACCCATCACTCTCCTCTCTCCTAACTTACTTCACCTCAACTCTCAGTCCTCGTTCACCTCTTCGGATCTTCTTTGACGTTTCTTCCTCTCCTGCAATTTCTAATTCCCCCTTCTTGCTCTTCTCTCTTCGGATGCTCAATCTCCCACTTCCACTCATACCCCCATTATACACCATGCTCCTTTCCGAACTTACCGAAGCGGAGGAATCAGGTAGAATACCGAAGATCACACATTTTCTCCTTTGGGGTAGAGGGTACAGGTTGGAAGGTAATGAAGAGAGTAATGGTTTAGATATGGTCGATGGAGATGTGAAAGGAAAGGGAAATGGGAAAGGTGGACAAAAGAGAAAAAGACAACAAAGTGGGATGATAGGTTTAGGAAGTGGGAGTTTCCCTTATCATCCAGAAGAAGAATTCATAGATAAGGTATGTTTTCCTTCCTTTTTTGCTCTTTTCCATTTCAACTTTTTCACTTAACCCCAAAAATGAATCACATGACATTACTTGTGACGTCTTTTCGGTGTAGATGTTGAGCCGTTCAGCTGCTTAAAAGAGGTTTTCATATTTTCGTCCCTACAACGTTGAAGGTTTACGTAGAGTGGAGTGAGCTCGAGGTGAAGGATAAATGATGTGGTTTTTAATGAGGGTAAAAGGAAAGTGAGAAAAAAACAATTAATCTTCAGGTCGCTTCTCATGTCCACACATACCCATTCAAGAATTCTCAAAAGAGAGATGATGATTCATTGGGTGTGGAACAATACGGTAGATTGATATTGGTAGAAAGGGACAACTTGGCAAGGGCAGTGAAAGCCATGACGGATGTTAAATGATCATTCAATTCACATTTTTTTCTCTTTATACATCATTTCGTCGAAGAAATGTATACATATTTGTTCACATCTTTCTATCTACTTTGTTCAACAAACCTATACAACCACTCTCTCAGATCGACTCTAGCGAATATATGTAATCCATTTTTCACATCTAAACACTCTTCTCTTCTAACCTTGTAAAAAGATCCCAGATCTGTGAGATTCGGCAAGTCCAAAGAAGATCAAGAGATAAAGCCACAGAAGAACATTTGAGATAAATGTAGAAAGATGAGAAGATTAAGCAATTTGACCTTTACCAAACTTTTCTTTCATATCGAAATAATTAACGTGTAATCCACATTCGGTTTTTGATTTTCCTTTCCATCTACCTGATCTTTCCGCTTCGTCTGATGCTAAAGAAGGATCAGGTAAAGCTGTGGAATGGATATCACCAATGGAACGATAACCTTTATCTAGGAGAGGGTTGTAAGGGACGTTTCTTCTTCATCAGTTTTTATCTTTTATACTTTCATCCGCGTGAATAGAAAGTTTGAAGGTATATGACCAATAAGTAGGGCAACTGAGGGATTGAGGGTTAGACAAAGATGCAGGAGTTTGGTGGAGATTTGTGAGATCTATCACTTCGAAGCGAACATCCGAGAACCAGTCAAATTGGTTATTTAGCTACACAGCAAGAGGGTTGAAAGTGTCTTCTGACCATTCAAATGATAGAGCGAATAATTTGCCTTGCTTATGGGATGAAAAAGGGCGAAGAATTTACTGAAGGAACGAGGAAGAAAGGTCAAAAAAAAAACACTTCACTCACTCTTTATCCACATACTCTTTCACCTCTTTGAAATTCCACCCGCCTAACGGATTAACCTTTATCAAACCTCTCTCATCAACCTCTATAGCTTTCATTAAACTTCTCTCTCCACCTTGACTTCTCCTTCGACCAGTTATCACAGCTCTCACACCGATTTCTTTATACGCCCTGGAGGCAGGTTCAACCTTTACGAGATAATCGTACGCCGCTTCATCGGTTTCCCATAAATTTGAACCGTATTTCGTTGCGAACTCCTCGGGCGTATCGACGGAGAAGGGTTTGTAGATGTGTAAAGGTGCCAAGTATGTTTCGGAAGCGATTTCGGCTAAGGAGATTGTTTCTGGGAAATGATGAAGGGTATCGAGAAAGATCTGAAGTAAGTGTAAGTTGATCTTCTATGCTGGCTTTTGGGATGTGGATGTTACGTCTCTACTACACACTTGGGGGCCCCTTCTTGCCGGAGTTGAAGATGGTTGAACTGGATATGTATGCTCAAGACTCTGAGATTTGGGACTTCATACACATGACTGACTTCATTACACAAGACTTGGCGAGGGGTGGCAACAGATGAATCATCGCGTGTGGAAAGGCAGAGAAGAAGGATGAGGAATGGGAGTTGAAGGTAAAAGGTGGTATTGGGGAAGAAGATGATAGTGACGACATATAGCTGGAAACGAAACAATTACTAACAAGAGGTACCAAATGCGTGACTCCTCTCTCTTGAGAAATCTTCGAAATCATATCCAAAGCTGCTAATCCAGTCCTATCCATATCAGCTATCATTGATTCTTTTAAGGAGACTCGAGCTCACAAACCAAATGCCGTGGTCTGATATAATCCATCTAGATTATCAACAGCCCAAGTGAGTATCTCCTGCGGTGATTTCCCTTCTAATTGAACGTTGATAGCTTCTATTTCCTGTGGAGTGTATGGAGGGATGAGGATATCGGAATCTTGAGAAGGCTCTTCGATTGTCATATTGATCTGTTCTACTGACTTGATGAATGGGGTCCTCGTCTTTATCAGTCAATGATAGTTGTGATACTGTCGGAAGATGACAGTTGCAGAGAGAAGATGAGAGAGAGACTTGCTTATATACACAGGTTGAGAAGAGTGAGATGGGTGACATTCCCAACATTTCAAATCACGTCACTTGTTCGCTTCGAATCCTATTTGGGAATATTAATTCCTAACAATCCATTACTAGTGAAATACTGATCCCTTTTCTAATTGGGAATACTAATACCACGTGCCTATCTAGCTTCCTTCTTTCCGTTGGAACTTGTTACCGCCACGTCACGCCGGCGTGGAGGTGATTTTCTACAATTTCAAGAGCTTTCTTTGACAAAGGCTTTAGCTTTTCTGCTACTCGGTCACTTTCAACGACGATATCCAGGAGAAATGAGAATAAGGAGAATATGGACAGCCTTGGCATTATCACTCCCCGTTGTGAGAGCCGCCGTACTGGCAATCGACTACGGAGCGGAATTCACAAAATTATCCCTCGTCAAACCTGGCGTTCCTTTCGATGTCGTCTTGGATAGAGATAGTAAACGTAAGATACAAAGTGTGGTGGGATGGAAACGAGATGATAGATTGTTTGGACAAGAGGGTAAAATGGCAGTGAGTTTCATGTCTCTCTCTCTCTCTCTCAAGCTTCATCCTCGACCATCTTCACATTCCTCTACGACTTCTTATTCCCCTAGTTGATACACTCTTGGATGGGGAGTACTTAGAGTTGAATGATGACTTTTAGGCAACAAGATTTCCGGATACCCACTTTCCTTATATAAAACCTTTACTAGGTTCCACATCCCCACGATTAGATACAATCTACCCAACTCCTCCTACTATCTCACCGGATGGAGTTCTTATCTTCCCTCATCCTTCCCCACCTTCCCACTTAGGCGACGAAACCACTTGGACACCCACAGCTCTGCTCGCACACCAATTAGCTTATTTTCGGACTCTCGCCGAAGACCTAGCTTCTAGTGGAGGTGGAAAATCTAGAGAACCCATCACACAAGTCATCGTCACCGTTCCCGCTTGGTGGACTCAACCTCAACGTCGAGCATATAGAGATGCTTTAGAACTTCAAGGTCTGACATGTTTGGCAATGATTGGCGAAGGAACAGGCGTGGCTTTGAATTACGCTATGACACGTTCTTTCCCTACATTCGACCTGGAGGATGGAACTGGACAAAAGGAATATCATGTGGTTTATGATTCTGGAGCCATGAGCACCACCGCTACCGTTGTAGCTTTTTATCAAACGGAAAAACTTCCCACTCCAAAGTCAAAAACTCCCATAGTTACGACTCATATCGATGTTCTGGGAACTGGTTGGGAAGAGATAGGAGGGGTTATGTTAGATATAACATTACAGAAAATGCTCTTGAATGATTTCATCTCCAAAAGTGGGAAGAAGGATGCGAGAGATGATAAGAAAGCTTTAGCCAAAATCTCAAGAGAAGCCAACAGAGTAAAACATATTCTAAGTGCGAATCAAGAAAGTAACATTGCAGTGAGTCTCAAATCATTTGTCCCCCACAAGTTGGGTTCCCGCTGATCCACAAGATCGAATCTCTATATGACGATATCGATTATAAATCTCGAATCTCCCGTGCGGATCTGGAATCCGCCATATCGGAATCTCAATCCCTTTTCTCAACACCCATCATTTCGGCTCTATCTTCTGCTGGAGTAACATTGGATAATATCTCTTCTGTCATTTTGTTCGGAGGTAATACAAGAGTACCTTTTGTCCAATCTGCCATTCGGAATGCTTTGGGGGGAGACGAGAAAGTCGCACAGAACGTTAATGCGGATGAAGCGGCCGTTTTGGGTGCGGCGTACTATGGTGCGGCTTTGAGTAGACAATTCAAGATGAAGACTCTTGAAGTGGTGGAGAGACCCGTTGGGGAGATTACCTCCGGAGGACAGGTGGTTTTCTCCAAATCCAGTCGATTGGGAGAGAGAAAGAGTTTGCTGTATACACCTCAAGACGATCTCACAATGGAGTTTGAACAAGCAGGGTGAGTATCTCATCTCTTCCCATCATACTATCCACACAGCTTGAAAGTTCCTTCTCTGTTCGAAGCCCGAAGCTCTAACCTATCGTTGAGTAAGATAGCTGACCCGCATAGAGAGGCGATCCTTTCCGTACATATCCACGACGTACAAAAAGCCTTGACCAACTTCACCGCACCACAACCGGTCGTCAATCTTACCATGCGTTTAGATCCTAGAGGACATTTATCAGTGGCTAACGCGGTCATATCTTCAAACATTACGACCAAAGAACCGGGTATGGCGGAAGCTCTCAAGGGGTTATTTGGGAAAAAAGACAAAGACTCTGATGCGACGAATGTTGAGGAGTTGTCTGATCTATTATCGACAACGACCAAAGGAGACAAAGTGGCATTACGGTTCAAAGAGACTGTGTTGGGTGTGAAGCCCATGACGGGGGAACAGAAACGATCTACCATGTCACAGTATGTCTTCTCCTTGTCCCCATAAGACTGTGGCATACGTCTCATCATTCTTGGCATCCTGCCCGATGACTAAGAAGGCTACTTTATTTTCACCCAGCATAAAAGCCGGAACGGCACCAGGCCAAATCGGCTAGGGAACCATTTTTGGTTTCCTTGTTAGTTGTCAACATGTATAAAGCTTGATTCAAGATAAGGGATTTCCGTCAAGTGCCACGACTGACGGTCAGATTATCAGCCGTCGCATCTTTCGAAGCGGCGAAGACGGCCCGTGAAGAAGCTAGAAACTTGCTTGAGGGATATCTATATCGACTAAGTGGGCTTTTGGATGATGACGCGGAAAATAGGGCATTACATGAATTTGCGACGAAGGAAGAGAGGGAGAAGATGGGAAAGTTAATGAGGGAGAGTTTTGAATGGTTGGGAGAACATGCGGAAAGAGCAGATGAGATGACTTTGAAGTTGAAGAGGGCTGCGTTAGAGTAAGTGTGAAATTTGCTCCCCTCCTTCTTCTCCATGGAGTGTGTTCATGTGACTGGTCTTTCAATGTTGGTATCGATTTCTTCCCGTCCACGGGAGGGTTTCTGAAAGAGGGACCATCGCAGGTGGACGACGTCACGTGTAGAGACAGAAGGGGGGTTTAAAGGAAGTACCCCAGACAATTCGTAATGGGCAGAAGAAACGTATCTCGCACGGATCCACTAACATTCAGATCTCTTGAAGCTCCGATTATCCTGCGATATAAAGAACACACAGCTCGTCCTCGTGCAATCGACGATTTCCAACAGGCCATGTTCTCCGCTCGAGCCTTTTTCGTAGAAGCTCACAAGAACAATTCTCTAGCTCTCGAATCTATTTCAACAGCACCTTCAGACAAACCTGTACCTCCACCTAGATATACGGAGGAAGAGTTGAAAGTCGTCGAGGATATGTTGAAAGATAATGAGAAATGGATAGATGGATTGATGGTGAAACAAGTCAAAATAGAAGGAGATAAAACGAAAGATCCAGTGATTTTAAGTAAAGATTTAGACGACAGAGGAAAGAGGTTACAAAATACTGTGAGTGATCATTCCCCCCTTTGCCCCTCTCATATTTCTCTCTCGTCTGCTTCTCACAACTTTAGCAAAATTTTGATATTCTTCCTTCACCCATAATATTCTGCACCTTGCTCCATTCAAATCCTCCAAACCAGGGCCATCCTCCACTATGGTCATCCATCCATCCCTCCATCTCAATGCGACTCACGAGACGAGGCAGTTTCGATTCCCCAGTTCATATGAGATATAGAATTTTGCACACTATATGAAGATATACTGATGTCAGGTTCTGAGATTGATCAATAAGAAACCCTCAAAACCACCCAAAGCCAAGAATACAACTTCGACCACTTCTACCACTTCCGTCACTCCCACATCTTCCGACAACTCTTCATCAGCGACATTCATCCCGAAAGACACACCAACCTCTCAGGTCGAACCAGATAAAGTAGAAGACGCTCTTCCCGCAGAACCTGAAGAAACTCCCGTGCTTCTGGAAGGTGAGGGGGTAAAATTGGAGGAAGAAGACTTGATGGAAGATGCGGCTGAACCGGAACCGCAGGAAGTACCTAGACATGAGGAGCTGTGAGCTTGATGCATTAGATTGCGCAAAAGATATGCATCTGGAACATTGTCTTCACTCTCTATTGACATTCAATTGTTGATCCATAAACACCACAATCGAGTGCCCATAATCGAATATCCCTAATAGGTATGTACCCACGGGACGTTGACTTTGTGAGAAATCAAGCTACTGCTGAATGAAGGCGGCACATTGATACAGTAGGTAACAAGTACTTCTACCCTATGTCCTAGCAGAGAAGTATTGTGTCCCGCATATGTTTGTGGTTGCATCAAAGTAAAATGAGCTATCAACTTTACAAAATAGATACAGATTTCGTGTATGAATCTATTGGCTGATATCAGGAAGTTCTGTGACGGATGGGAAAGGGGTGTCAGCAGTGAGATCCGTTTGCCCCGATTTGCCAATCACCGGACTGGCAGGCTCTTCAACTATGCCGTTGGTAAGAGGACCATCTATTGGTGATTGAAGTGATTGGGAGGCCCTCTGCAATATGTAATTTCTAAACCTCTCTAGGTCAAAAGCTGGTTTTGATGAGTCTTGGCCCTTCCCCAGCATACCCATCTCATTCAACATGTTTGCCTCAGCTGCAGAGACTGCCAGAGGAAGAGGAGGTGGTGGTCCAGAAGACTTTGAGTATTTGCCTCCCTGTAATATTGACTTGACCAACTCGTCTAATGAGATTGTCTCAGAGGGTGGCCGTTGTGATGCAGTTGGTGGTGATGTACTTGTCTCTGCAGTGTCTGTCTCCTGTGGAGCTTTTTTACCAATAAGCTTTTCACGCCAATTTGGACCAAATACACGTTCATGCCGGCTGGCTGAGTCACAGAGAACAGTTAAGATGCTTGATCCCTGTGCCCTCGGGGTCCGAAACAATGGATTTTTCCGACCTACTTGTGACAACGACATGAACAAGGTTGCGTCATCCTCTGTCAGTGTCTGCGGTGGTAGATCAAATACCCCCCTGGCTTCATCGAAAACATCTGAGAGTATTGCTTTTCGTTTATGAGTCTGAACTTGACGGGCCTTAGCCAACTCAATCGCCAACTCACTCGCCCTCTTAAGTTTTTGTTCTTTGATCCTTTCTTGTCCGATTTTGACATTCTCGCGATGTACGTCTTGCCAATAAGTGGAAGGTGAGGTGCGCTCAGGAATCCACGGCATTTCTCTCCTTCCTCTGTTAAGTGTATCCTGATCGGCAGTAACCGTGGGTGGCGATGAAATAGGCATACGACCCACCCTCATTGCCGCTTGATTGATGGCTTTCTTCCTACGGATCCAGTCGTCAAGATGGGGAGTCTTCTTGGATACTTCTGAATTATCCCTCAAGATACCATGTTCTGTATCTGGATGTTGAAGTGTATTCCACACTGCGTTCCCATGTCTTTCCCACACTTTACCCAATTCGATAAGTTCCTCCCCGGTCGCCTCTGTTTCTATATCATCAGCAAGATTCTCAGATCTGTCATTGCTTGCAACCCTGGCATTTGAAAGAGTAAACCCAGCGATGCAGGAAAAAGGAGGAAAGAATAACTTCACAAAACACACAAGGAGGACAAGATATGGGTAGGTGAATAAATAAAGTGTGATTGGAAAGATGAGAAAAGGAAACCATTTGGACACACCCTCATCAAGTTTATTAGTCGCTTTCATCAATGCAAATAGTTCATATCCTGTTATCATTTGTGATTGCTGGTATGCCTCGTTTGGACGAAGAGTCCTACCCGCTGAGGAACTCAAACATTCAGCAACAGGTGCAAAATCGGATCTCTTGGAGTAACTTGGATCCGGTGGGTTCAATGTCAGACGCGAAGGTCTTGTAGGCCTTGAATCAAGTACATGCTCACCTTTGGTAGTGTGCAATGTAAGGGTGTCAATAAGTCCTTTTTTGTATGGATTAATTGCCGGACCCGTCAGAGCGGGTGGTTTTGGGCCAAATTTCATCTTCGCAAATTCATTATATTCTTCTATCTTTGCATCCCGTCGGTTGATTAGGTCGTACAGCTTTTTTGACTCTTCAGGGTGTTTTGACGACAATTGCTTGTCAAACCAGCTTATTTCAGGTGTTGACAATGTAGCTTGCCAGTATGGCATTACCATGCTTGCACTGATAGGATCTTTCTGTGCAATAAAATCCGCAATACTGATGGCCTCTTCTCCCATATCACTTATCTCAGACCGGATTGCCCCCAGCACGTTCTCCCGGAAATGTTTCTTATCTCTCAGAGCTGCCGCCTGGAGTTTTGCTTTCTGCCCCAGAAGTTGTCCCATGATCTGTTGGTAAGCAGCAGAACTGATGTCAGGTCCTCCGTGGGTGGTCGGACGTTCCGGCTTGAGTGAAGCTTGCCCGGGTACTTCGAACGTGAGAGTCTCCATCGGATGCCCATTTGACATACTTCTCGTCAAGCTGTATTTTGGTCCACCTTTGTCTTCCCGGGCCCCTCCGATATTGCCGCCGGAATCTGTCGTAGGCTTGTCTGTTTTAGGGGTCACTTTTATTGTACGGGTCACGGATCCGCCTGCCGAGGAATCAACTTCACCCGATGATGGACTTGCGGTTTGGTTTGGATTTTCCGTACCCCAATCTTTCGGCTTCCGTGGTGTCACTGTCAATGTCCGGGTGCCGGAACCATCTGCTGGACCGGTTGAATTATCATTGTTGTTGAGCATTTGTGTGGTGGGCAATGGTTGGAGTAGTCCATCCCCTATCGAAGATTTATCCTGATCCGTCGCCCTCGGCGTCACAGTCATATGTCTGAGTTTTCCATGGCCTGCGTTTGATGAAGCGTCGATATCAGTTGACGGTATCTTCGAAGATTTGTTAATATTTCTATCGGTACCGAGCTCATGTGCCAAAGCACCCGGTTCAACATCCATGTTTTCAAGAGTCGAGTGATCCATCGATTCTGGTGAGCTGGTCAATTCGCACGCTTGTGACGGGTCAAGCACCGAAAGTGGTCCAACATTCATGTTCTCAGAAGTCGAGTTGTCCATCGATTCCGGTGCGCTGGTCAATCTGTACACTTGTGACGGGTCAGGCAGCGGAATATCTGGTAGAAGATCAGGATTTCTAATTGGCGATGTTATAGCTGGTTGTGAGGTTTGGTATGTCTGTGGGTATTGGCTATCAGGGGGCCGAAATTGGGTTACCTGAAAATCAGTACGACACCAAATGTAGATGAGAGGTACCGAGTGAAAGACGTACGACGTATTCAACTATCTCCTTCCATTGGGAAAAGTATGCTTCTGATCCGGGAGCATACTGCTTCAAATTTCGGACCTTTTCGTCGACTACTCGAAGCTTGGCGGCACACTCAGAACAGGAGCCGTAATGCGTTGAGTGTTCATCCTCGGGCGTCCCGTAGGACATCACGGTTTCTGTGGGAGGGGCAAGATTGCTAGGCAATTCTGGTTGTTGGACTTCTCCCTCAGGGGACAAAATGCTAGAAGATTCTGATTCGAAGCCTGGGTCGCTAGGAGGGATATCCTTATGCGACGGTGGTTCATAGTCTTCTTGGTCAAAAGGAAAACCGTCGAGCGATTCTGGTTGATGGTCTTGTTGGCGAGGGGACAAATTGGTAACCGACTCTCGTGGAGGAACTTTTGGGCGACGGAACGGGACACGACGGGTACGGGTACCTCTCGATCGTGGAACTGATCGACCTGATCGACGGATTGTCCCCTCTCTTGTGCCCACTGACTCCAGTAGCCGAAATTCCGAAGGAGGGGAAAAAGTGGGAGGATCTTCCATTTCGAGTTTATTCGTCAATGCCCTCCACCTAGAATGATACCAACGAGCTGAGGATCAACCGAGTAGACCGATGAAGACCACAGATCCAACTATAACAACACGCTTTCTATATCTTGATGTATGAAATATAACGCCAGCTGGGTCGGAGGGAAGGATTGTCGATTATTCAATAATAGAGATGTCGAGTGGTTAAGATGATCCGAAAAGTGTAGAATGTAGGAAGAATGAAGAGGGAATAAGTGGCGAAAGGGTCTTGAGTCGTCCGCCTTTGACTAGAACGTTATGGTAGTGAATGACGATCCTTTATACTGTCGGACAGAGGTTTCACGAGGAACCTTTGTAGTGCTGGGTTGAGATTGGTGTAAAGGGATTACTGAGGGATTGAATAGGTTTCAGAACCTCAACCGATGAGCCGGAGAGACAGGAAGGGGAGGGTTTGGTGTCGGACAATTGGCGATATGTGCTTGTATCGATTTGGATGAAGAGAAGGCGATGGTGGATTAGATCAAACCCAAAGAGCAGGCGTTAGTCATGTCTTTTCTTCTCGCTTGCGGATTATAATGTGTTAGTATAGTAGTATGAGCATGTAGCTACCTCTCGAGATGATCACCGTCTCGCCTTCAAGTCGATAGAGTGTCAAGTAGGAAAGTGATGAAGATGGTACAAGGAAAGGAAAGAAATTGGTTGGTTTTTCCATCAAAATGGTTGGTGCCTGACTTTTTCCACTCGTCGGTATCTTCACAACCACCTTTTATCCCTCAATATAATCGCACTTTTACAACCCAACATGGCGGATCAACCTGTCAAGGTGAGAGTGTTAATGGTATGTACAGGGTGAGTTGTCTCTTCGTATACAACTCCCATAAACTCATACAAATGATCAAAGGCTGAGGAGGGCGACGCTGACCAACAGAAAGTGAGCTCGTTAAATGACTATACTACGCTGACTCTTGACTGATATCTCGCAGTATATGGTATGTCTATAATAAGTCCTAATCTCCTATAAACACACCTCTAAATCACTCAATACCCTCATATGGAAGTCAAGAGCTCCGGCGTATCCCAATTGCCATGTCACGACTTCACCGGACCTCTTCCACCCTATCAGCCAACATCTCCGGCCCCTCTCTTGTGCCCTCTTCATCAGGACGATAGAGACTTACATGGAGGTCCATTTCGGCGGGATTGACCATATGTCAGTCTATTGGAGTATAGAGTATAATCACATGAAAACCCATTCTCTGACACACAGTCGATCTCCCATGGCAGAAGCCGTCCTTGTCCATCTTTACAACCAACGACCTGCCCTGAAACAAAAGGTAGATCTACATGTCGATTCAGCAGGAACAGATGCGTATCATGTAGGAGAGAGTGCGGATCCTAGGTGAGATTTGTGATTACTTCTTCTTTCTCTCATCTTGAATCTTATTCATTTGTTTACAATTCCCACTTGTCAGCCTCGCTACTTCACTTCGCCATTAAGCTTATATGAATCTATCATCGGATGTTCAATCATCTTCCATTACCGCAGTATCTCGTACTCTGTCCACTGGTCATGTGATCTACGATCAATCACGAAAACTTCACTGTTCATGAGTATCGACCGGATGAAATGCAGATCACAAGACGGGTTGCAGTTAAATTCAGAAACGAAAGGCATTGGGATGAGTATGAATGAAATCAGCTGATACTGTAAATACAGGACTATCCAAACTTGCAAAAAAGTATTTTTCTCATAAATCATGCTAGAGAAGGTACTGACAATAGCACGGGATACCTATTTCCAACAAAGCTAGAAAGTTGAGGGCTGACGATTGGAACTTTGATTATTTATTAGCAATGGATACTTCTCAGTGAGTTTCGACCCATCATGACATTTCCAGGTAATCCACGTCCAGTGTCTGGAGGTTACGAGATATACCATTTCTTAAGATACCATTTCTTGTGCCCTGTAAATATTTGCCGCACAACGTGGGTGAAAAATAAAATCTCAGGGGATCAGGATGTTGAGCTTACTACTCTGCATGTCGAGGGAGGGAAGAAACGTCAACAGACTTAAGGAACAAAAGTAGATAGTAGACGGGAAGGAAGGATGGATGTGGACACATTGTTGACTTGGACAGTTTATCACATCTGAATCGTAAAGCTTCAACATACAAATCTAAATCACATATATCTTTATTCGGTTCTTTCGATCCTACCTTCTTGCCCACTTCGTCTACCTCTGCTCACAACTCTTCGGAAACGTCAAGGTCTTTGATGTCTTTGATGTCAGACGCCACCTCTTCAAAAACGTCAAGGTCTTCGTGGTCGATGATGCAAGGCGGCGCCTCTTCAAACATTCCAAACACTTCGACATCGACAGTGAACGACCCCACCTCTTCAAAATCTTTGATATCCACAGTGCAAGGTGGACCCACTGCAAAAACTTCCAATGACATCGGAGGAGACGAGCCCGAAGATAAAAAAATAGAAGATTCAGACCAAATGCGAAGAAACGTCATTTGGGAAAAAGGAAAATCTATTCCCGATCCATATTACGGTTCTCAGCGCGGTTTCGAACAATGTTATGAGAGTTGTGTGATTTATTCCAATGGGTTTCTGGATCATTTAGAGAGAAGTTATTCATGACTTTTCGACATGAGTCCGACTCCGAGTCCGAGTGTGTACGAGTACAGAAAAAGGTGTGTCGGGGGGAAATGTGTATTTCGTTACACGAACTCAAGAAACGTCAGTGATCAGTGGAGTGGTCTGAGAGCGATGAATGTCAGTCGATCAGTGGAACGGTTTGAGAGAGATGATTTGAGGAAAGTATATGGTTTATGGGATAATATGGTGAAGATGATGAAAAGATTTGTGACAATGGTGATGATTGGCAGATGTATAAATGAACGAGAAAAATTATTATACATAAATCATGACATACTACCATCCTCTTATTTCCTATTCTCATATCAAATATCAAATCCTATCATATATCAATCGATCGCCATCGAAGTAAAACAGGATGGGGTTGGATGAGAAGCCTGAAGTACAAGTATTATAGCAGTAGAGTACAAAGTAGCTAATTCCGGTATACTTGTACTGACTCGATCGATATTGAAAGACGAGATAGCAAAGTCGAGTTGATTGACGAATTACAATGTCAGACTCGACGGAAATAACCAGGCAGTTGATAGAGATACGAGAGAAGGAAAGAAAAGGAAGCTGATTACTAATTCGCAAAGGTCGACGTAGATGGTTGAAAGGGGTGAAAGAAAACTGTTCGAGACTTCTGATAACTTGAGGAGAGAGAAGAATTCACGATTGATGATACATGCCCATATGGGGCAAAATTATTATCGACTAGCCCTGACAAGACGTGTAAAGCCGGGCGATGTCGGATGATTATACGGATTGCGAGTCGGTTTGGGAGGTTGGAAATCGTTGTGGAGTGAATGAGAAAATCAAGTGAAAATCAAAGTCGAACGTTTAGGATCAGGCGGAAGGCGAAAAATGATACTTAAATAAGGATGTGGAGAGATAGAGAGACGAGTTGTAATTAAGAGTCCATGACGATACGGGATTGGGTTTAGGAAATTTGAAGATGGTCTCGGCAGGTGGGCGAGTGTGGATGGAGCTAGGAGGAAGATGAGTTTCGAATCGAAGAATGATGGGGAAAAAAATGGGGTTTGTAGACAGATCGGTCATCGACCCCAAATCCACCAAGAAGACTTTTTCTTCTCCGGAGGAGGGTTGTATGCCATTCTCATTTCGTTCATCAGAGCTTCGAAGGCTTTCCCTGACTGATCAGCATACGTTTTATCATCAGAAAACGCCACTTCATTTGCGTCGTATTCAGAGGAATGATACATCGTTTTGTGGCTTTCACGGGAGCAAAAGATGAGACATGATAATAAGATAACGTGGGCTGGTGGATAGTATCCGCGCAACACTACGAAGATCACGGTTTAGCGAAGAGTGATGACGGGACTAATCAAGTGCGACAACGATGGTGGACGTCGGTTTTCGTCCCGGATCTGACATGACGTCGTACATCGTATCTCGTTGAAAGATCGGATAAGAAGGAGCTATCAGGAAGGAGGATTTTACTAGATGCTGGAAGAATATATTCAAAAAGCTTCGCGACTCACCAACATTCTTATTGTCCTTAGCTGAACATTCAACAAAACCAGCTTTCAGCTTTTTGGCCAGTTCTTGTCCTTCGATGGTTGTTACACGTCTATCAGTCAGTCGATCGCCTCCCACCAATCATATGCGTTACAAAACATAACATCGTTTAGACAAAGACACGATGCATTGTCGATTCTTTTTGACTGCGTAACACGCTGAGATATTTCAGATACCAGGGCGGAAAGGGCGGTTAATGAAGGGCGTGGGTGGAGTCAACGCGTGTACGTTTTACAATACGCAGCTCCGAAACTCACGCGATGAAGAGAAGGAAGTACAGGGGGTGTCAAAAGTTTTCGGACAGCCGGTTTGTCCCGGGTAATGACAGGGACAACTTTACTAATCAAAACCTATTGCGTAGAATATCAATCAACGATGGCTTGTCCGAAAACTTTTGACACCCTCTGTACGTGTCGGACGACACGACACGTATTCAAGCTCCGAGAATGGAAGTTGTGAGGCAAGGGGCGGGAAAAGAAAGCAGGAGGGGACAAATATGAACATCCACGAGGTATTGGTGAAGGAACGGGGAGGAAAAGTTAGGGCTAGGCAGTGAGATCATGGACATGAGGAGGGCAGGAGGTGTTGCCCAAGCCGAAAAGGAAGAAACGAAGAAAATGAAATACAAATACAAGATAGAATGAACTCACCTTTCACTGCTGTCCAAATCACATTTCTGTCCGACAATGACGCAAGGAACTTTTTCCAACCCAGCAAAGTCCAATATCTTATTATGTACGGTCTGTACCATTTCGAAACTTTGTCTTGAATTGATACTGTAAACCAATAAATACCCATGTACCCCTATGGCGTATTTCGAGGGGAACAAGGTATATTCGTCTTGACCTGCGGAATCTACTATTTCACAATTATATTCTTCGCCGTCGTAGTTGATCACCTTGTGCGAAGTCGCTTCAATCGTTGGGAAATAGGATTCGTTGTATGTGGGGGGAGATACATATTGTTGAGTGAGGGATGTTTTACCTTTAAGTTAGTCTCCTGACATGTACCTTCAGCAGGTGAAGAGGCCGATGAGGTCATTTCAGATTTCACCATGATCTTCGGAAGAAACGTCCAACGTATTGGGCTGAATCTTTCGATGCACATGGCAGAAGTGTGATGGTTTCTCCTCTACTCGCGTGAACCATCCTGCGCGAGAGAGGACTCCAACGACAACGAGATAAGAAGAAGAGGATATACAGGGATGACAAGTGAAATGATGTTGACAATTCGGCAACACTCACCAACACTAGGCGCGCCCATGATAACCAACTTCCTTCTCATAGATCCTGACATGATGTATGGTCCACCGTGTATGAATCCAGTTTCTTCTCTTACAATTTGATTCCTCTTGATTCCTTGTAATGGTAATTCTGGATCCTGATCTTCGTCTTCGAATGTTACGTCGGGATAAGACGGACGTCTATTCTCCAATTTCCTATCAATGACCGAAGCTCTGGATTTATCTCTCGAGTTCACAGATGATCTAGAGCGCGTCTTTGTGAGTCCGGAAGACCACTTGTCAACTAGGTAAATAGGAAGCGGATGAATGGCTGTGTCGGAGGAATCGGGTGTTGTGGGAGTTGTGGGTGAGACGGAGGTGGAAGATGTTGTGGTGGTTGTGGTTCGCGTCATCGGAAAACCGGGGGTGGGACGTGGTCGATTGGGTCGGGAAGATATCGTGGTCATCGGAGTTGTTATTGTGTGTTCAATTGAGTGTTTGTCGATGTTGCGATTATGGTAGTTGTGCGGTATAGGTGGCGGTGGTGGTGGGCGTAGTTGTGGTGGTGAACGATGTGTGTGGGGGCAAGTAAGTGTTATAAGAGAATGGCGTCAGATCAACGACTCGTTTCTAATAAAAAATGCCGCCAGTCCTTATAATCCTTGTCCTCTCAGTGGGGCAAAAGAATCAACCTAATTCCCTAGTCCCGATCAAGGAAAATCAGATACGTAATATAAAACGATGACTGAGGCGTGAGTGGAGAGTGGAGAGGTGGAGATGATAAGCGATCGGGCCAGACGAAAGAGGACCGAGCGTTCAATGCCGACCAGAGTGAGTTACTCTCTCAGGGTTCAAATCAACAGATGTGATGAATTGGTGGTGGTGGTCCGAGCGAGAGACTAGTGGGAGATTCAGATGCTGGAATGTTAAGGTACCCGGGCGGCTGGGGGTGGTTTGAGATTTGGAACTAGCGTCTTCTCAAATGAACGATAGCGTGATAGGGGAGAAGCTAAGTATCTGGAGATGGATACCGAGTGATAGGGGCGTGATAGTAGGTAATGATAACTCAGGGTAAAAGAAGAAGAACAAGTAGTGGCAAGAGACAAAGGGATGAAAGAGAAGAGGCATTAAATCGTTCCCCGTAAGAAAATGAAAGATTTACCCCCTTGGTCACTCTCACGCATGAGGCATGAGGCAGAGGAGGAAAGGTAGAAGGAAGGAAAAAAAAACGAGTCAAAGGCGTTTCGGAATGCACTACAAGTTCAAAGGCATGTATTTGCCGCGGGTAAGCCGTAGTCCGTAGAGCGTGGATGGGGCGATGGGGAAGACCGAAGGTCCGAAGATCCGAAAGATTACTTGATCCCCGAGACACCTTCGTCATGTCAAACACACGTATACGTACTCTGTCTAGGAAATGGTGTTACGGTGTTTACGGTCCGACGTTAACGGACGAGGGTGGGGACTGATCGTCGTGACAATTCAATTTCAGATTCGGTCCAAACAATCTTTCTTATAGCCATGAGACTGAGCGGAAGACGAGACGAGCCTAGATTGACAAGGTTCACGAAGAAAAGGAAGCAAAATGTGAAAAAAAGTGATGAGAAAGAGAACAGAAGGGACCGGAAGGTATCCCGGTCAAGGAAGTATAGAAGATCTTCAAGGGATAAGAAAGATAGCTTTATTCGGAAAGTTCCAAGGCCTTTAGTGCGTGGAAAAAACAAATCAACGTGAACAGACGGACGAACCATGAGGAGTATTGAAGAACCGAATAGATTGGCTTACCAAGCCGAAAACAAAGCACGAGGTAAGGTGAAAGTGGGGGAGATGACTCACGATGTTGAGGTATTGTTATTTCTAATCCCGATATTCTCGCTTTTTTTCCAATCCTACACTAATCTTCCTACTTCTAGCTCGGAAGTTACTACGGCTTGATGTTCGATAATCGTAACCGAGTATTGGAAGCTTTGTAATTGGTTGTTGAAATGACGGTAGATCGTTCGAAAGATTGCTTGGCAAGTGATAATGTTCAATATCAACTAGCGATTGGAGTGGGGGCGGAAAAGGTGGTACGATAGTGATCGGTCAAAATGGGGATGATGTACAATATCAACTCTGGAGTCAACACCGATTTCCCCCTTCGTGGTTCAATGATCGATGATAGGAATAACCGATGTACACTCTCGTCTTGATCACGGCTTACTGACCGGTCGGTCGGAGCTGTGTAATGCAGTGTCGTGTGATAAACACAAAAAGTAGCTGACTGGTTACGGCTATAATACAGCGTTGAAAGTTGGTATACACTGGAGCCAATGATCCGTTTATCGGCTATGTCTCCAAATGGATTATCTACAATGTGATAGATGATTAGATAGACAGAGGAGGGTGAGAAAAATGATGAGAGACAGGTTTTTGTCCAATGGCAGTCAAGAGTAGTAAGGTTTCGAGTTCAGGGATCAAAGATGATCACGAGACTTTAGGAGGTTGGTTTCCCACGGTTGCGACTTACTTTGTATAAAAGCTTTCACTGATACGATTGTTGTCGCTGATCACCCCCCTCTCGATAAAGCGTTGAATCTTTAGGTCTCTGATCTCTGGGTCTCTGATCTCTGAATTGCACTGCGTCGGTTGAGAGTTATGCGTTGGTAAGGTATGTCACTAGCGGGGAAAGTTAACGGCTAGCGGGCTCGGGATGCGCGGCGTATCGGTCCGACAGGAAGGTGTATTTGACAAAGTGTTTTTTTCGAATACGACGATCTGTTGATCAGTTTGTGCTGTCTACGAGTACGCTTCACAATATAACAGTAGATGAAATCACAGCTTGGTCAAATTTGAAACCTCACCCTCAATGACGGATTTCGAATCTTCGCAGATCTTCCCTTCCACTGTCCAAAAGTATGACGTCAAATGACAAACGAGATAAACTTCAGGAAGATGTTTTATTCTTATGTAGATTGGTATACACTTAGACACTTCGGAACAGAAAGACAATACACTGACGAGTAATGATCACAAGATCATGACAAGTATGAGAAAGAAGAGGTTTGAGGAATGAAAGATACATAAAAGAAAACTCACTTATTCTTTGATGATGATGTTAGATTATCTTTTTCCCTATACCCTGATAACCTCCGATTTCTCGGAACTAACTTTTTCACGTGCAGTATATCGTGTTTTTGGCAGATATGAAAGGTTGGAGATTACTTATGAAGTGACAAATGATATCTGTCTCTCGAGAGTGAGGGGTGTAGAAGTATCTTATGTTCCAGTGGATTTTTCAAGTCAAATAAGCTTTAAAACTGTTGGAGGAACGATGGAGGAAAAGGTCGAAACGTATGAACGCGTCGAAATGTGTAGATAGGGTATACGTGATTTGTGAGAGAAGGAATATGAGGGGTGAATGATTCTTTTCTCTGAACAAGCGGTGTGGGGAGGATAAGGAAGAAAGACAAGGATGGACAGGGGGATTTAATGAAAGACCAAAAGAAAAGTGATTAGTGCGTTGAGTAAGTGTACGAGTTCACAAATTGTCATGTAAATACTTAAATTGTAAGCTAGAGCGGATGGCTCATGTCTTGTTTCATTCATCAAACCCTCCTTGAACCCCCCCCCCCCGAGGTCCCTTGATCAATCCCTTTACATCTTTCGCTTTGATCCCTTTGGTCAATGCGGCAGTGTATCAAGTTGTCATGTGTCGGATCCTAAACGGAAGGTCAAGCCATTACGAGTAGAGTTATCCATATTATCAGATGCCTTTTCATTTCTTTGGAACAATAGTATAGGAAGCTAACACCAGAGCTGAGAGGGAGAAGAGGAGTAGAAGTTGCACAAGTACGCGAACACGAGGCGGAGGGAAGAGGAAAAAGAGGGGTACAGAAGGGAATCGTTGATGGTGAGCAGTCTATCCGATGATCGGGAACATCGATCAGACAGCGTGCGACAATTTTGATAAGAAGATGTGTAGAGTACAGTATCTTATAATGAAGCTTTACAAAAGATGGGGTTTATGAAGGTTTTGATTCCACAAGGAAAAGTATAAAATATCAATATCGTACTTCCACCCTTCCAGTAACACTTGTCATTCTTACACCTTTAAAAGGTTTATACATCTCACCAAGAACTCGTAGTTGATCTATCTTCAAACCGGAGTATACGTAGTTGGGTATATCATAGGATATCGCGAACGATGGAGAAGGGATGGGAGTGGAGGTGGTTCTGTGAATTCAGTAGAGTCACTCGTCGGATGGTCGGACAGGATTTGAGATGTCGCCAGAGGTATGAGGCCAGTGGACGAGAGGAGGGAGGAGAGAGGAGAGGGGAGAGGAGATGTTTGGTGTTCTTGGCTCTACTTGGGGGTTCGGAGGAAGAGACGCGACAGACAGTAGGAACAAGCGATGGTAAAATGGAAGAGGGAAGGAGTGTTGATGGATGAAACGGAGAAATTACTCACACGAAAGATCCGGTCAAAGTTGGTGGTTTCTCCGTGGAGGTAAGGGATGAGATAGTCCATCGAAGGATCTGTCATAAGTGGCTTAAACCTCGGACAGTGGATGATGTTTGTGAATCATCTCATTCACGTAAGACAAGTGGACATGATACAGCCATCGGTCAAGTGAAGCAATGCCTGAAGTACAAGTTGAGACATGTCTCAAGGTGTCCACATTGAAGATGAGCAGGAGGTTGTGAGGACAGGCAGTCGATGGTGGAACCAGGCGGCTACAAAGATAAAGGAGCGATCTTGATTTAAGGACCAGCGAGCAGAAATAACGAAAAACATACCCGTGTATTGGGATCAAACTCCCATACTCCTCCACCTACCATCCCTTCCGACATATCATCCCTCTTTCCCAAACCGCCATGCCCAATAGGTCTTCTATCACCGGTAGCTGTAGCAGATACTGAACTAGCACCTTCACCTAAATTTATAGAAATGATAAGATTCTCCAGTGGACGGTTGTTAAGACGAGACATGATTGTGAGGGAGAATCTGCCTGGTTGTCATTCAACACCTTTCGGCTTTACTCGTACTCCTTACTCCCCAGCATGTCCCTACTTTGACAGTCACAGTGTCTCGATACAGGATGACCAGCATCGACGATTCTCAACCTCCCTTTCTTCATCTGACCACCTCACATCTGCTCCTGTGTGCATGGAAATGCAGCACTCAACGAGGCTGAGGCAGTGGAGGAGGCAGAGTGTGGAACAGATAAGACAAGCGGTTGAAGCAAAAACAACCCACCACCATTCTCTTCCAATGTCATTGAAGGAGATAGTAGAAATGGTAATTGCCCTTTTGTCAAATCGGCAGCTTGATATTCTAACAGTTTGAACTTTCCATCTGGTGGAATGAACGATAAGACTTTATCTCTGTTCCATCGATTATATCTGTCCATCAGCCTTTCTCAATGGCGAGAAAGGAGGAAGATACCGTATACAAGGATGGAAAGAACAGTTTGACAATTGATCTGGTTTGATTAATGTCAAGAGGAGATCAGGTGTACCGGATAGTCGAGAATTGGCATTGATCCTTCCCCATACGGAGGATGACAGGACATTTCCCTTTCTGTTGATCAGTTTGAAGTCTCCCACTACATGCTTCTCATACCACACGACGAGGAACGCAAAGGGTCAAGACCGCGGCCCGGAACTATACAAATTAATGCGGGAGAAGCAGTGGGCTACAATAGCGATGGTCAAGAATGAGACCCCTCGGAGGAGCATAGGGGTCAGGGTAGTTTTGTACCCATGAGGAAGAGGCGGGAAGAAGTCTTTGAGAGGTGTACAAAACTCACCGATCAACAATCGCATCCAAAGTCTCCTCCACATCGAAGTAAATTTCATTATTCGGATGTCGTACATGTGTCCTTCTCCAAGGTATAGGAGCGACTAAAGGAGTTGTTGTAGGTGTTTGTAATCTGCTCATGAGCTTTCATGTTGACATGAATATTGTATAGCTCACCCTGAAACACCAGCGACTGAAAGTAATTTACGCATGAGAGAAGGAGGAAGTACGATCTCTTTCAACATGGCTAATTCCGTCATGGCTACATGACCTTCGTCAAGCATCTCTTCTATCAACTGGGGGTCAGCATCAATGACTGTCTACATCAAGCTGGATAGGGTACATTCCATTTTGATCTTATGGGGTGTAGGTCGGAAAGTGGAGGATTGGTCATTGGCGGAATAGAGTGGAGGAAGGAAAGTAAGGAATAAGATTTGTGATATACTGACCATATAAACGATGTCGAAATTATCTTTCAAAGTGGTTTCTGTGACTTCTCCTAAATAATCCTTCAAAGTTTCTAGAAATCGTTCCAGAAATGTGAAAGCTAATAAAGGGTTCACTAATGGTCAATTCCGTCTCTCTCCTCACATTATCCACCATCTCGGCAACGCCTTCCATCTGACTACCGACCATATGGAGATCATTCAATCCTAAAGCATCGGGAAGTTCCCGTCTTTGGATCAAAAAGGAGGAACATTGAAAGGGAAAAAGCTGACACACCTTCCTGCGAAATAGGAACGAGAAAGGTCAATCCTTCCCTTTCCAAATGACACAACCCTGCATTCCCCAATCCTCCACCTCTGACCAAAGTGTTTACCCACAATATCGGCCGGGGTTCATCCGATGATCCAAATTGCCCAGAAATAGATCCATTACGTGTAACCGCATGGTTATAGGCGTCTATATGTACGTTAGGGTAAGAAGGGGGATGAGATGAGAAATGTGAACTGATGAGGGGTTTTCTGGAAGTCAGCTGAGTAGGGTGAACGAAAGAGGGTGAACATACCCATTAGGAGAGAGAATGATGATTCCGTCTATTCTTGACATTCCAAGTAGGGTCTCTCAGGCCTGTTTGAGTCTTTCCAGTATGCAGGGAATGTGTCAAGATAGGATACAAAGTCCAACATTGGCTAAGTAGGTTTGCTTCGAATGTATGGGGAAAGGAAAGAAGGGGCTCCGCAAACCACCAAAGATTTTGAGTCCACCCTCGACTTTTGACAAACTTCCTCGTAGAGTAATTGAACATCTTTCTATCAATATACCTTGTCAGGATGTCATTATCCCTCTCTTTCCTAGCTCCTTCTCTCCATCCGAATACTCTAACAGATGTATCCATCCCTACTTCTCCTCATGTCCAACCAACAGTCCGACACCTGGCCGTCAAACACTGTTCCCACCGACCATTAGGTTTAATCAAACATATCGTTTCTTCTTCCTCTACCGTGAGTTACATATCTCCAACTCAAACTTCATACTAATCATACAGGAGGTAGTAGTATTGAACGATTCTTTTCAAGTATCACACCTACAAGTAGAACCTGAGGAACCACCTGTCATCGTAAGACAACATACGGTCGATCATGTACCAGGAGATAAATGGGCGGGGATTATACATACTCCCAGGTACTTTGTAGCTGCTCCCCAACGGATTCGGCTGATAAATAGTGGAACAATATCATCTTCTTCCTCCGGTTTGACAACATTACATCCTCTCACTGATTCCCAGGGACAAGATGGAGATAACAAAGATACCTCCTCGATAAACCTAGGAGGTCCTCTGACGACCATAGCGGGATCAAGACATGGTAGAAGGATGGCTATAGCGGGTAAAGAGGTGGATGTTACTGTATTGGACATAGAGAGAGCTTTTGGAGGAGTGAACGATGTCAATATGGGAGGAAAGAAGGGCGCGTCATTACCTGGAGAAACTTGGAAAGCTAAGAATGTGAGTTGACGCACTTCATGGAGCACAGGCGACTTTGTGAATCGGAGATCAGTATATGGAAAGAGAGTTGAGGAGACCCCAATACCTAAAGCTTCACTGCGAATCGTCTTGACGGCGGTGAGAAGCTAGAAACCGGTGGACGAAGAGACGCGGGAAGGACAGGAGGAGGGAGAAAGGGGATATGAGAGATACAAGGGGCTGATTTGAAACAGCTCCCAATGACTTCTTTGAGATTACGTCCACCAATACATCATTTATGTCTCACATATCTCTTGAATGACGAAAACGATTTGGTGAGCGGTACGAAATCAGGTTCTATAAGAAGATACGATACTAGACAAAGAAAACCTGTTTCAGAATGGAAAGTCGCTAGAGAGGGTGGTATAGGATGTTTGGTAGTTGGATATGCCGAACAGTGAGTTGTCAAATTTTTCGTTCTCCCTCGACATTCATCAATTTTCCTTTTTCTCATATTCTTATCACTCCATTTCTCCCCCGCTGTTTCTTATGTTGGATATATTCCTCACTTTTTGCTTTCCCTCCTATAACAGACCCTTTCTAAATCTATGAGTGTATCTCCGTGAATCCCAACGAATTCACAACATTATTACAGATCTTCACATAAACTCAAAGAACCGACAATCATTCGTCTGATACTCCATCTTACATCCGCTACGGTCAATTCATCATTTGCAAAAGCTGAGAATTGACTCGGCAATGTCTTAGATTGATGAAAATATAATATCATTCTGACCAAATAGCGAACTCTTCTTCTCTGATCGATCCTCTTATTTAGCTTCTTTAGACCTCCGAACAGGTCGTTCATTATTTTCATTCCCTACGAACCCTACTACTCATCATATCATCCCCATTCCACCTCCCCCTATCTCTGTTAGTCATTCCGTTCTTCCAATCAACCCCTCTTTTAACACTTCCGACTCTCCCTACAGTACGTCCGATACTCAATCGTACGAACCTCGGATTGCCTTAGCTTCAATATCATCCGATGCGACTCTTCGTCTACATACTGCTTCTCCGCCTCCTATGCAGGTGAACGGTCGGTTAGCTGGGGAAGGTAAGAAAGGTGGGACTGTGCAGACTGTTGGAGGGATAGGTTTAGGGGGGTTCATTTTTAGAGGATGGACTGAAATTGTTGATACATCATTAGATGGAGGTGAAGCAAGGGACAATGGAAAGAAAGAGGAGGAAGAGGAAGAGGATGTTTGGGAGGGAATGTCAGAGATTGATTCGGGTGAAGAAGAAGAGGACGAAGAACCAGTCAAGAAACAGAGGAAGACTGAGAGATAAATTTGATACTGTATATACCTTCATCAGGACAGGCTGGTTTTGATACAACTTGATGCATGATGATTTACGCGTGACATACTTTCACAGATGACGAAGATGAAGAGATAGGGACGGAATTGAAGAGATGAGAAGAATGAAAGATCAGGATTGGGGGTTGGGGGTGAAGCTATGAAGCTAAGTTCCGTGCGATGGTCCGGAATCAGGATTTCTAGATCTCCAATGTCTTTCCACTGTCATCCTAGCACCGTCCATCGCTCGACCGGGAAAACCAATCCTAAACGGGACAGCAAAAGTTCCTCCAGGAAACTCTCCTGGCATTCTTCCTTCTTGTACTGTATCCCCGCTCTCTTCTCTCTCCTCCACCCCTACGGCCTCGTGCGTTGGTTCATCTTCATTACCCTCTGTCCCATTTCCGTCCTTCCCATCTATATCTCCAGTGTTTTCTTCCATGGAACTCTGCTTATGGCCATTCTCAGTCGAATCATTGATAGACATAAACGCGTTTTTGCCTAAAACCAATGCTCCTGTATGCCAACCAGCCGCCGCTAAACCAAACGCGAATACCTTCTCCCCGAAATCGACCTCTCTAGGCTCATCCACAGTTCTCATACGTTCATATTCCGTTCTGCCTAATCCTAATTCTCCATGATCACCTTTACCCCAAGTAAAAACCTTTCCGTCGGCGGTGAGCGCCACGTTGTGGTAATCGCCGGAAACTACCTGAATTACGTTTTTCTCTTGAAGAGTGGGAAGGGGATCAGGTAAAAGGGACGAAAGGTGAGAGAGGGGGAAGGAAAGACGGGTGTGGTTGAGTTTTGAAGAGAGGGAATAAGAGGTGAGAGATTCGAATTGAGCTGTTATGTGAGATATGTGGGGAGAGGAAAAGAAAGGTAACTAATGGTCAGCTAGGAAGACTCGCTATATGGTCCCAACGCCAAAAAGGAGTGCTGTGAGTGGTAGCAAACGTGGGGCTGAACGAGATTGAAGGTGTTGTGATTAGGAGCCGGCAACAGAAGATGAATAATTATTGAACCAAACTTACATATTGCCAATTCCCCACACTCGCTTCTGTCACTTTCGCCAACCAAACCTCTCCACATTGTTTCAAAGCCACAACAAAATCTAACCCCGAGGCGATTTTCACAACCTTTTCTCCATCTTCTTTCTTTCCTCTCATCGTCCCCTCACGCCATTCTTTCCATTCATCTTCCAACTTCTCCCTTCTATCTCTAACCCTCTCATCCCTCTCTTCTTCCCGTATCCAAACCGGGGCGACTGGAAGAGGATCCATCAAAGTCGTCACATCCCCCACTGTACCCCATCTCACCGATCGATCATCATCATTATCATCAGACCCAAGAGGACGAAGTGGACCATCCAATCGATCATCAGGTGTCAAAGTCGATATATAAGAAGAAGAGAATGGAAACCAAATATAAATCTTTCCTGTTGATGTTAAACATGCAGAATGATTCCATCCTGTTGATAATTGAATTATATGTTTTCTGATTGAAGAAGAAGAGTTTCCAGGTGTTGTGGGTGCTGTGAGAGAAGGACTGGTATGACGATATGCTTTACCATATGAAGTGAATTCCCAAATGAGGTTATCTTCATCGAGAATTAAAAGATGTTTTCTACCGCTACTTATAGAGGTCGCTCGACATGGTAGAGGGATACGAGTAGGTTGAGGGATTTGACAATTTGATTGCGACCAATTTTTCACGGAGAATCTAATGAGGCCTAGTCCATCTAAAACACCTGGAATAAGCCTAAGATTTCACAACTAAAACTACATGGTGGTGTAGAAGATGTAGTGGAGTGAAGAAAAAAAACACACTCACCCCATACCCAAACACCCCCATTCATATCCCTGGCAGTGAAGCTCCATCCACCAGCTTGTAACTCTACCACTCCATGACCTTTCCATTTTTCATTACTCTCAATAACATTGTCCCCTCTCCCTTGTTCTCGCCCGACTGTCCCACTGCTTGACTGGTTCAATCTAGCTCCAGTTGGTCCCACGTTTTGACCCAGCCCAGTGATCCTCGACCTGAAGACGCCTAGCTCTTTTCTCAAACCATCAGACCATGTACCTCCTCCGCCTTCTTCGGGTGGGACGTACACTTCCATGGGAGAATCTATGTACCTGCGATTGGTCAACTGACAACCTTCCTTATATAGCATCTCGCACTTATTTCCCTTCCTGCCGCGTGACAACTGTAAGAATTATCAGAGATCTGACACAAGCTAAGTTGAGGAAAAGATAGATCGGGGTATAAAGGAAGAAACCGGGGGAGAGAAAAAAGAGTTGAAGACAAGAGATGTTCCGAACAAGAGAGACAGGGAGAAGAGACCTCTATAGTAGCAAATCGAGGATATCAATAAAAGCATCATCACAAACCTTTGATTCCTTATCACCCCTCTTCCCAATCTAGGATCCCCAGTTATAATCCCTAATCTTGATGAATCCGTCGAACCCCATAAAAACGTTCTAGGATGGGATAAACCACGGTAAAGATGTCGAAACCATCTAGGATCAGAAGGTTTAGCCAGGGTAGAAGGAGAGAAAGAGAAATCGCGTTGGACTAAAAGACGCCAGAGTGATTCGTCTGTCTACATTGATCAATCACTTGGGCTTCTCAGTCAAGGATGATCGTTAACTAGGTGTGACCGATTTGGGGTTTGAACCACCTTACAGAAAAGCCTAATGACCTTGAGTTTTCACGATTGTGTGGGGTGTTTGAGGGAAAGGAGGAGAGATGAAGATGGAGGAGAGGAGAAGAAGATCAACTCACTACTAAAGAATATGACCGTTTACAACATATCATCATATTACTCAGTTCTCGAGCTGATAAGAGGGGTAATAAAATGTCCACCATGACTTCTGTGGGGATATCCAAGAGGTTCGTTCTGTCCATCTTGACGTTCATACTTATAACTTGAACTATGTAAGTTGTCAATGTTGCTGATCGATACCAGCTAGTGAAATGTTGACTGGCTGTTCGCTATGGTGAAGAGAAAGGAAGAAGAGAGAAAGGGGCAGTTAATGTGCAAAAGTGGGGAGAAGAGTGAGTGAGTGGCAAGAACGACGTCATAGTAATTAACTACTACAAAATCAAGAAGATGTAATAATTCATCTTTATGCACATTTTGCTATGATAGAATTTTCATTTTAGATAATTTGCTTGTATGTAATATATGATCAAGAATCAACATCTAATCCTTCTGCACCGAACAATGGCCTGCAAGTCAGCGCTTGACCGATCATGGTCTATCAATGTCCAAGAGAGATGCCTCTATCACAAACTTCTTCCTCATGCACCTGTGTTCTGAAGGAAGGAATGATATCACTAACCGAGACATACTCGAACATATGAGGATAAAATACAAGTATCAAAGTGAAAGAGGAGAAGGATAGAGAGAGAAAAGATGACTAACCACATGCTCAAAGCTTTCAAATCTTCAGCTCCGTCATTCGATACCGTCACTTCTTCCCCAATAGCAATCACAACTTCTTTCATACCTAAAGAAACTTTAATCCCTCTTGGTCCCGAAACGTACTTTTCTAATTCTACCGAATCAATATCCTCAATTTTCTCTTCAGCTTGTATGAGACGTAAAATGTTTCGGACCGCCACATCGGCTTGCCAATATGCAGTATGACCAGCTTGGATAGCACCCGTGTCTGCACAATCACCAATGGCGAATATATGTGATAGGTCGGGAGTGTTTGAGTGATGTTGAGTTGTGGCATCGATATGTTTATCATTCCTTCCACCAAGTTCAGTTTGGTCCGTACTGTGGATTCCTTCTTGGATGGCATCGTCAATTGCAGATGAAGAGGTGTTGGGAGTTGTTCTTGAAGGCACGGTGAGAGTGCTGGACGATGGAGCATCAAGAGATAAAGTTGCCAGTCGTTCGGCTACAGTAGACGATTCGGAAGAAAGTCGAATTGGTCCTTTAGCTACTTGAAGAGTTGGATAAACTCGGATCCGAGAGTTGAGGGGAGAGATGGAAGAAGGTGATAATGCAGCGAGGAAAGATACATGAGGATGAGTACCTGTGCATGCGAGCTTGGCTCAGCAAAACATCATTTCTCGACAATTTCATGGACCTCTCTCGTCTCATGTGACAAATCCCTCCAAGTGAGAGATGATGCATTCCTAGCGACGCATAATCGACAAGTACGACGTTCGCCGTGGACCTGTATCTGGCGAAGCTGAGGAAAGAGATATCGCGAATAGGGATGAAATATGTGCATAGTGAGAAGCAAGAGGATCCGTTCGAAAGAGGAAGACTGTGTGAATGAGAGTTCGAATGGGCGATGAGAGAATATGTAAATGAAGACTCACCACTATATCAGCTTCAAAAACTCTCCCTTTATCCGTCATCACCCTTTTCTTTTTCCCTTCCAATTTTTCTGGATCCTCAGGCCACGTCATGACCCTTTCACCGAGCACGACTTCCACACCAAGTCTTTTCAAAGCGTCGATTATGGCTAAATGAGTTCGGAGCGGGTAAAGAGGTAAGAGACGGGTACGAGAATGAAGGAGGGTTATACGTTTTTGAGGATATAGATCTTTGAGGTCTGTTGCGAATTCTGGTTGGTCAGCCTTGCTGTCTGAAAATGTCGAAGCCTTCAAATATCGAATGAAAAATGTACTGTTTCGGGGAGACGAAGAGAGTAGATGGTAAAATGTAATGTCAGAATTCAAGCTAAGAGGATGATGATGAGATAAGTAAAGAGAGACTCAGGTCAACACAAATCACTCACGTATCCCTAAAGCTCCACCACCAACAACCAAGATTGTATCAGCTTCCTCGAACATTTTCGATTTCTCTTCCAACCATTTAACTCCACCCCATTTACTTCCAATCCCCAAATCTTTCTTTCCAGCCTCTTTGACACTCCCCTCTTTACTAAACATCCCTAACTCATTCGAATTTTCCTGATAGGCTTCCCCATTACTCGGTAACATATCAGGAGGGAAAGATTCGTTCTTCTCCCCCTGATGTCTTAAAGAATCCGCATTCAATTCTCCTTCCCCTGGTACACCCTTTAAACCATGTTCACTCCATACATTCACAGGATCAGGCATTCCACTACCCAAAGCGTAAATACAATAATTGAAACTTATCGTTTCTTCCGGTCCATCCCAATCACCCATCCCTTCTCTATCCTGGGTGGACAAAGTGGGTTGACGTCGAATGAAAGTGACTTCATGAGGTCGAAGAGAAGTTATAAGACCTTGTATACGTTCATCTTGGTGTCCATCTTTTCCCTCCTTTTGATCAACTTCTTCTAAGCGAATATCGTTCGTATAATCTTGAACATCTTCCGGTGGGGTTTTTGATGATGGTTCGGAGAGAGGTTGAGGAGCTAATCCGGGACGAAGAAGGTTGGTATATGGTATGAAACCTTTTGGTGCATGTTTGGGTATTATGGAGAATCTTGGGAATGTGTATATATCTTCGGGTCAGTCATAAGACATCTGAACAGTCTCTCTCTCTCTGATAATGGTGGAAAATCCATCTCTCTCCAAAAGAATCAAGGAGATTAACTTGAGAATATATCTGAATGAACACGCGATAGACAGACAAGGCGAGCGAAATTGATATCCTGAGATAGACATCATGCCGACGATATACGGTGAAGAGACACTAGAAGTGAAAGGTAAGAGTAACTACAAGAGTGAGAGTAAGTGTAGAAGGAGAAGGATTGAAGAAAAGAAGGAGAAAGAAAACTTACGATTCATATGTGAATTCCTATCGATAACCACGACTTTCCAACCGATAGGTAATTTTTCCGATAATAACGAAGCTGCCCATCCACCACCATAACTAGCACCTAGGACCACTACAGTTCTCGTCCGTTCATCTTTATCATTCTCAATCATACCTTTCACTTGACCCGATAACCCAGGGTCGTTCTCGATATTCGAAGCAACGCCAAGAGGCGTGGAATAAAGTGATGACATTGAACTATGACGAAATGACGAGCTTGAGGTAAGAGTTTGTCCAAATGAAGATCCGAGTATTCTTCTCAACCCTACCTCAACCCTCTGACGGGTAAAGTTGATCAAGTAGAAAGTATTGAACGTTTTGATATACTACGCTTTCCTGCGTTATGCAGATGCAGAGAAGACATGATCAGCTATTATATAGACATTTTTTCAAGATTTCGACTTGGGAGAACGAGAACAATGATGTCGTACTTAGTCGAAATTTCACTTTGGATTGTTCGGAGTAATCCGGTCCGGGCACAAAGTTCTTATTCTCTCCTCTCACTGGCAATTGCACAAATCACCACTGTACAACTCTGAATTTATGCAACTGCTCGGCCGAACGATAATTCGTACGACTATGTATCCTTGTCGGAGACTATACGGCACTATAGGATACAGTACAAGGCTAATCCATACAACAAACAAGTTGATGATACTGATACAGCAAAGATGACAAGATGAACAAACGTTCTATTCCAAAGACCCAATGACTTCCCTTACTCCTCCCAGATCTTCCATTTCTCTCTCCGCCTTCACCTTAGCATACAAAACTGGACAATCGACCGAGTCACACAATATGACCTCTCCTGGTGGTGTGGAAGAGCATGAAGCGCAGATCCTGTGAAAGTCCGACAATGCCGATTGGGCTAGATGTTCTCGGGATAATAGTGCATGTGAGGTGGAAGATGGGGTATGTCTACATGATCGACAAATGTCTGCGTGTCAGGTTTGTTCTGGATATGAAATAAGAGGAAGCCGATATCTCCGATCGTACCATGTTTCGTTTATGCACAGCTTAATCAGGATCGAGTGGGAGACATCGGCTGAAAGGGAAGGGAGCTGCCTGCCGCCCACGGCGCTTGTGTCGGGCATACGTTGCTAATTGGGGAAGTCAAAGTGGAGAGATGCACAGATGTGATTCGGGGTAGCCTTGATGCGCCAGGATGCACAGCATCGTCCAGGACCAATGACACTCAGAAACAGAGGAGGGGTAGAAGGATAGGATGTTGAAAAGTGGCAGAAAAGAGAAGATGGCAAGGTGCAAATCGAATAGGTTGTTTGTAAAAAAGATTTCTAGACTCACCAGTGGACGACTCTCCTCCACAAACCACACAATGACTAGATCTGAAATGACTATCAATCCTCATCTTTCCATTCGATCTGTCATACTTTCCAGCTCGCTTCGTACGTGGCATAGACTCGTACCAACTTTCCACATCTGCTCCGACCAGATTGAAGATGCGCGATAATGGGGGGATGAGTAAATTACGGATGTAGTACTCCGCGTCTATCCCGAGTGATCTAGACGTCAGAATCGTATTGAATCAATACTACCATCCACCATTATACACTCCATTGTCTGAATCCTGTATCAAGTGAGAAATCTCATTGCTACCATGGCCCTTGTATGTCAAAGGACCATGAGCCATCATCGTGACGGGAGAGGGAGCATGAGAAGCCTGGCCCTAGATGATAGTGAATGAAACAACTCCTCAGCCGGACAGGATGACTGACGAGGGGTACAGGCAGGAATATTTATTAAGACTCACCGGTTCGCCAACATCTCCTCCGGCGTCCTAGCTCTATCAATCAATCTTCGTCCCTCAGCGTTCGAAATAACATAAGGGACCCTCTCGGCGTATTGAGGTTCATCCCTTGGATCTTTCAATATACGTCTATAAGCTACGGCCGCTCCTGGAGGCGGAACGCCTTTATCAGAATAAGATCCTAATCGTACTTCTTTGGCAACGATGAAATCTTGTAACGAGATACGTCCTTGAAGGATTTTCGTCCATTCTTGTCGGCAAAATTCTTTGATTTGGGAAAGGTCTTGATTACGGAAGAGCATTCTGAAATCAGTCATTGTCTTGACATATCATCAGTCTCTTGAAATCAAGCCGGGTTCACGAGTGATCGGCATGGTGGCATATGAATGGAAAAAACGGATGGACGGTGGAAAATTAGGAGATAATCCGCGATGGATGTATGTGTAGAGAAGGAAAGAAAGACGATATTCACTTCAAGCAAACCTCTTCTATCTTACCCTGAGCCGGAAAACCATCTCGTCGTATCGTTTCTATACCCTTTGCATCAAACACCGGTTCGGTCTCGTCCGGATGTTCATACTTGAACCCTACGTAGCGTTTCTTGGCCATGAGTACGGATCCCATGTAGACCTGTATATCAGCTTGACCTTCACCATCAGTTCGGTGTGCTCAGCTGATGGTCTTATGACTAGGCGTGTTTCTGACCGCAATGACCCACGCCCTCATATCTTATACGAGCGGCGAGCACGATCATTCGGTTTGGACCCACGATAGATGTAGAGATGGACTTGACATTGAGCCAGGAGAGATTGAAGCAAAGCGAGCATGCGAAAAGGAAGACTGACTTTTTCAAACTTCAACTTGACAGGTTTCGGATTCGCAGCCGTCACTGCATCTGCGATCTGATTCCCGATTACGAAAGCTTGATCTTTCGTCTTTCCTGGTAAAGCGACAAATAAAGAGTCTGTATCTCCGTACACCACCTGAGCTCCCCATGCAGCGTTTGAGTGAATCATCTCTTGAGCCTAATGATCAGCTCGGAAATTGTTATAACGCCTGTAGCTGACCTTTTCTAAAGTCTCTCGACCAGTTTGAACGATAGAGTCGGCCACTTCGATACATGGCATTCGACCAGAATAGGTGGCGGAAGTATAGCCATAAGTGACGTTCTGGAATCAGCATATGTTTGATGAAGCCACGCCTAGTCACAGGAACTTTCAACGTATCCATCTTTGGAGCTTAAGACACGACGCCGGAAGGGCAGCACAGGATAGAGAGTGGGATATGTTCGTGAGAGTTAGGAGTGATGAGGAGCCAGTCGAGGATCGACTCACCGCCATGAGCTTCAAACCAAGCTGACGGGCATTGAGAAGCTGCAACAAGCTCTGTATATGATGAGTAAACGATAATAATATCACGGGTCGAATCCTCACCTTGTCCCCTCGAGCCCCTTTCATAGCTTGTTTCACCATCACACGAGTGTCGAGAATCTCACCAAGCATTTTGGATAAAAGACTCTTGCGTACAGCTGGTTTGACGAAGATCATACCATTCGGTGTGACTGCTCCTCAGCTCCATACACCACACACAATCCTTCATCGAGACGGGTACAACGACAGAACCTCAATTCATTTGTAAAGCAGAGCTCATGGGAGTTTAATTGTGTTTCAAACCTTGCGGAACCTCCGACTTCTCTTAAGTATCTATGGGAGTAAAACAGAAGTGGTATTACAATAGAAGATCTGGGGAGGGGAAAAGATAAGACAACCCACCAGTAAGATAATCCTTCAACAACTCCAAGACCCCATCATCAACTTTCAACTCGGTAAACCCAAACTTATCCGTCCCTCTAAACTTCTCAACCCTCCCTAAACAGGTGGAAAAACATATGTTATACGCAATCATAACACTTGGATACAAACTTTGAAAATCTAACACCAGGATAGGATGAGTATAAAACTGGCTTTCTGGCTCAGCGATGAGAGGTACTGCAAAAGGAGCGTTCTGAAGTCCTACTTGTTGTTTTGAGGGAGAGACGAGGACGAAAGATTCGGGTTTCGCTATTCTGAACATGAATGATTCGACTTTGTATTGGGAACCTCGGAACATGACGGATGCGAAGTCGACACCGAAGACACGGGCAAATTCACTGTGGGGTCAGCAGGACTGCGTGACACAGAAAGCTTATGTACGCATATGAATGACCCCGTCCCGAAGAGATGGGGCTATCGATAAAGGCATGTGAATTATCTTTCATCAGAGAGACGGGATATTAGATGGTCGATAGGACTGTATAAAAGGGGCGAGGTGGAGTGTGTGGTGGAGGTCGATTTGGGTGGGTGGGTTGGAGGGGGGGGGAGGGAAGAGGAAAGGGAAGATATATTGTTCACTACAAGACGTCAAGACGAAACGTACGCATTCTTAGTGATTATCTCAGCCGCATCTACCATCTCCATATACATTACCACCCTCTGTAAAAGATATTTGATGACTCGAAGTGTATGAGAAGGCATTTTACTTTTCCACAGAGCTGTCAGATTCGCCGCGGAATAGTGCGGTACTCTGACGATCAGCTCTGTTCGGTGGAAAAGAGTGACCGACCTTTGATGAAGTAAATGAAATGCAACATTCTCAAAGGTATACTGGGTCAAGTTGAGTTCAGATCGACATATTCGCCAGATGTTGAGGATATGTCTACCGGAGACTTTGAAAGTAGAAGTCTGAGTGGCGGAGTAGAAATCTTTCTTTGGTCCAGTATGACCTGTTATAACACGGGAGAGTTGATCGGTCAGGTCGAGAGCTGTGGTCAATTGATACGTTTGAATTAGACTATTGTGAGTGATGGAAAGGTGAGACGCGGAGGCTGAAAAGGAGGGAAGTACAAGTGCTTCATAGGTAGAGGGGAAGCAAGATTGAAGAGCACCACGACGTTTCCCGGGCGATGAGGGGGAAAGTCGGATCGAGCGAAGGATTGACAATCAAACGTATATGCTAACATGACGATGATGAGAACATGGTGAGCAGAGTTGGAGAGATGAAGATACGAAAAAACTCACAAAAACCATGTTCGGCCCTAGCCGCTAAATAACCCCAAGAACCATTATGCAACTCCCATCCCGCCAAAACATCCGGATCCCAATCCTTGACCAAATCAATGACCCAATTAATGAGGTCTAATTCAGAATCAACGAGATGATGAGGTATTTCATCGTCCAGCCGCATACGTTCCGGCCGACTCTGTGGGGAATCAACTACGGCATAACCGGCGTAATAACCTGGAAAAGAGGTGTTGTCAGGCAATGATTCATCTTCGTTTTGATAGCAAAAGAATATGGCTGTAAGAGGATCTTTCTCGGGGTCAGGGAGCAGCTGATGGCGCGACGTAGCTAATGGTCAGATTGGTTATCTCCTTCCACTCGATCGCATCAGACGCCGTTGAGGTACTATGACTCTGTTGTTTCGTAAAATCTGACAGAAACGCATTGAAGACAACGAAAACATATCTCGATGTTGGGTATCTCTCTAACAATGCTGATGAACAAAGGGGCAAAAAGTGAGGAAACAGAAGGTGAAGACGGAGTGCCAGAAACAAGACGACAGAAGAAAAAATCACAAAAGCGAGAGGACTTGACACTCACCAAACACCTCCAGAGCCAAAACACTCATATTCTGCCTCTCCCTCTCACTGTCCCTCGTCTTTTTCTTCTGACTGAACTTGAAACCCCACTTATTCTTCTGCGTAGGACCTTCCAACTGACTCATCTCACCCCTCTCCTCCCCAATTACAGTCTCCTCATTGTACCACTTGACGACCTCTCGCTTACTCGGAGGTGGCAACCCATATTCCCATCCATGTCTACTCCTCACAACTTTACGGAGAGTCTTCAACCATCTTTTCCCCGTAGGAAGCATGGAATGAAACTCTTCCAATTCTCTCGTACCATTACCTCTTATAGTGAACATACGACCCGCGAATAGTTTCGCTCTGGAGGGTACATCTGAATGATTGGAATAGAACGGTTCTTGGTAAATTATTGAGGAAACTCCGTGTTCTTCCATCGTGTTTTTCACGAAAGCGCTTGAAGGTGGAAGACGTGAGTAGGACCATGCTGTGTCACAGAGTAATGAGGGAAAGGTGGAGGTTGTATCGGTAGCAGGGAGAGATGTATCGGTGGAAGACAATGTGTCGCCGCTTGATACCAGATGTTGACTGTTATTCAGAGATGTGGAAGTGGATCTTACTTGAGGGTTAGAGGAATTACTGGAGGAGCAGGGAGAAGCCATACGAACTCGTTTACGTGGTTTGTCGTTGGAGCCCGCTACCACTTCAGTCGGAGCTATGTCATGTGAAGTCAGTTTGTCATGGACATCGACGTCGTTCCGAAGGGTCGGACTAGGGATCTTTCGTTTTCGTGTGGGCGTTGAATCAGAAGATGAAGATGGGTGGCGATCCCCATCCGAATCTGGTGTGGAAGATGTCCGCCGCTGCGCTGGAGGAAGCATGATCTCGATATCTGCTGAATCGTCCTTGATCATGATTTCGCGGAGTACCTCGGTCTCAGCGTTGACGTCGTTTTCATCCAGTTCAATCAGCCCATCCTTAAGCTCGACCTTTGACGCGGTGGGAGTCGGTGTCGTCTCTCTTTCGACAAGAGCATCGTCGGGAGAAGTCGACCTCCATTCCCCTAGTGACCTCCTAGAAGGCGGCAAGACGATGGCATTTTGAGCAGTAAGTCGCCTCGTAGGGGAAGCGAAGGGTGATCCTCGTCTATTCTTTGAAAATATATTTCTGATGAGGGATGTTGGCGTCGGTCTTTCCGATACGGGCGTCTTGGACTTGCTCGGGGTCCTAGGACTGTCACCCTCTGAAAATGGATTATCGGGGGTTAAACTGATGGATGAAGCGTCAAAGATTGTTGACAGATCGCCAAGCCCAGCTTGTTGACGCATTCGTAAATCCCTCCTCTCCCGTCTCGTAGTCAGGGAATCACCAGAAGCAGAAGCAGTCGTCGTCCCGCCGGTAGTGGGCGTAGAAAGACCAATCACTCTTCTCTTACGAGGAGTAGATGTAGCAGACCCTCCGACAGTCCGACGGAACAGCTCGTCTACTTCTTCATCACCAAATTCGGAACCATAATCACTACCTTGGCCGGAGATCTGGGTCGCACGGAGTTTCTGTGCTTCCTCTGCGTGAAGTTTAGCAGCGTTTTCATGTGCCCGCTCGGCTTCAGTCTCGTCCTCCTCGTCGATGGGAGGAAGAACATCACTCGAAATGGCGTACTGATTGACTTCCACCGGGACGGGTTCTTGAGGAAGTTGGGTAAGAGCGAACAGCTCGAATGGATTCTCTTCGTCACTTTCGTCATCGGTAAACTCTTCCGGATCGGCAACGTCAGCAACGACATCGGGCGGTGGGGGCTCCTCTGGAAGGTCAATATGTCTTTTCACATCGAAAAGAGGAGGCAAGGGTTTGATGGGAGATGTATGCGGTTTTTCGGGCGACGAGAGTAGAGGGAAAGGTGATGTGGGAGCTGAGGGAATCGGTGAGGAAGGACGGGTGGATCGACGAGATCTCTTAGATCGTTGCGTTGATTTTGGAGGTTTGGGGAGACGTGGCCAATGCGCAGAAACGGCTTCAAAGGTTGTCATGACCCACTGCTCGTCAGTGAGGATATCCTACGAAGGGTGGCAATGGCTAATGATGTTCCCAGGTTCTTGTCAATATACAGGACAACATGCTTGAGAGACTGAGAGGGGGGGTCCGCTGACAGTTTGAGAAGTCAGAAAAACAATAGAGAGAGGAGAAGAAGAAGCAACTGACCTTATCATATTTTCTCTTCTCTCCCCCTTTACCTCCAGTGACATCTGTGATGAACCTCTCAAAAGTCAACTTCCCCCTCTTTCTCCGCTCCTCATCCATCCTCTGTTCAATCATCTCCCACAGTTCTTCACTAATCTTCCAATCTCCACCCCTGTTCTTCCTCTCCTCTCCTTCCATCTTGTACCCCAACTCCGCCATGGTGTGACCACCCATACCCCCCGAGCCAGGCATCATGGCTGTTTCCGACAGGGATAAACCTTTAGCAGCTCGACGTCGACGTTCATCGTCCCACAGTTCTTTGACGGCCGGTACGAGCTTCTGGTTCGGATCCAAAGGGCGATGGAGGAGCTCTATAAAGTCATGATGCAGATTTCTGGAAGCTAGCCGACGACGATTGAGGATGTGTTGGGGGAGGACGTCGATTTCAAGAGGTGTGTATGTGTCTTTCGGAGGGGAGAGATTGGGTGGGTATTTCATATAAGAGGGAGTGGAAATGTTGTTAAAGTGGGTAACAGGGCCTTGAGGGGATTGGAAAGGGTCTCCTTCTAAAATGGTCAGCAAGAACACTACGCATTTCTGACAAAATCTTATACCTGGCAACACGGATTCCAACAACTCACCCGGTAAAGGTTCCCTGAAAGTCCCTCCCTCCAGCTCTAGCCACCCACATCCATATAGATCAAAATCACACATGAATTGCAAGACGTGGTTCAGATGAGCTTCATGAGGCTGCCATTCTCTACCCAGAACCACAGGTTTCCTCAGTTGTTCCAATGCCACCCACATCCTCCCCGGATTACTGAGACTGACTTTGAGCCAATAACTCCATCCGACATGATAACCATAGAATGGGACACCTTTGACCAGCATGACAGAGAGGACGTGTAGATGTCGAGGATCTGTCCCTCCTGCGTACTTGTCTTGCCTGGGTCTTTGAGGTCTTGCCGTATCCCTACCATTGCTTGCCCCCAGGTCTGACTTTCCTTCTCCAACCACCGGACCTGAAGCTTGTTGTGATGCCCCCGGTGTTTGTCTCAACGCCAGACATATTGCATGATTCAGTGACACTCCAAATCTTGAGCAGAGACGTCCGACTCGTTCTGGCCTGAGAGGATCGACAGAGTCCATGGGGAAAGGCACGAAGAAGTAGGGGTAACACAGGTGTATATTTGCGCATATCTTTTGGCCATGAGAAGTAGTACCGAATATTCTAATGACAGGCATCTGATGAGGTAGACATCCTGGGGGAATTGGGGTAGGGAGATGGGGAGGGATGTAGGTCGTACTCAGGGATGGAAGAGGAGGGGAGAGGGTGGAGGTGATGTGAGTTATCCTGAGTCGAAGGACGGGGCTAGGGGATGGATCGGACATGTTCGGAGCGAGGAAGGGACTCTGGCGTGAAGGAAAGCGATGCTAGAGGGGAGACGAGGGAAGAGGGCGAAAGATAAGAGAATGAGAGGAAGGTGGGAGTTTGTGGGGTGGACGAGAACGGGTGAGACCATGAGAATCGGACGGTGTGATAGTTTGATCTGATGTGAGTGTGAGAAGTCGGGCCATCGGCAAGTTGATTCCTAGGGGCAGTGTTCGTAGTATAGGATAGGAGGAAGAAGTAGATTGGAGTGAGAAAAAGGCAAGATAAGGGAAGGGAGGGAAGATGAAGAGAGAGGAGAGGAGAGGAGAGGAGAGGAGAGGAGAGGAGAGGAGAGGAGAGGAGAGGAGAGGAGAGGAGAGGACTAGCAGTAACCCGCTCGCTAGCGCTGGCTGAGAGAAATACAGGTCACAGGTCGCGGAAGCAATTACTCCTACGGCCTACGGCCCACGGACAGAGTCAAATGCATTTTGGTACCACCTAAATGCACTTTACCACCTGAATGCCTATGTACCACCTAAATACCCATGTACCACCTAGATTCTTGTGTACCACCTAGATGCTCGTGTACCACCTAGATGCTCGTGTACCACCTAAATGCTCATGTACCACCTGTATGCTCATGTACCACCTAAATGCTCATGTACCACCTAAAATATTCAGCCAGCCCACCCAGGTTGCGGTCGGGGAATTAGCCACGTGGTTTGTCTCGACGTTTGTCTGTGATTCGTGAGTAATACTTACTAGCATGCCAACCTGTCAAATTGACAGGGCCCGTCTCTTGCCTCTTGAGCCAACTCTTGAACCCGTGGAATTCATTCCTCTCTCTCTCTCACACACACACACTTTTGACCCGTGAACCTGTGAACCTTCATTGTATCTCTCTCTCTTGATTCATTGCTCCCCCCCGGCGTTCTCCGCCCTCTTTATCCTGGCTTTGACCCTGCGGGCCTCACCGCTAGCCACGTGGTTTGTCTCCACGTGGTTTATCTCGTGTTTTTCTATTATTGTAGTAGATAGAAGAGGAGCGACAAGGACGACGACTGTACTCGGGTCCACGTGACTTTCGAATCGACGTCATTCTCGAACGCCGCATCATATTATGATCATGCATCGATACTTAGTCTCTGCATTTAACATTACTCTACCATGGGTGACCCGATTGCTGCAGCTGTTCAGTACAAGTATGAGCACCCCAAAGAGAGCTTCAAGAAAGTTTCAGATGTATTTGACATACCAAAAACAACTCTCTACGATCGATTCAATGGGTTACACTCCGACCATGTCACTGCTGCTCGCCATGCTCTATCTCCTGCTCAAGAAGAAGTACTCCTCGATAAAATCAACATGTACGCCCAAAGAGGAACCCTTCTCACACCAAAAGCTGTCAGACAGATGGCGGAACTGCTTCATGGAGAGAATCTTGGGGTCAACTGGGTGTCCACTTTCATCAAACGACATTCTACACGTATACACTCCCGCTTCCATGACTTCCGTGAGCTTGCACGACATCAAGCGGATACTCCAGAGACTCGACAGGCATGGTATAAGCTTGTAAGCACCAATTGTCACAATGTATAATGGTGCTGATGAGCAGGTGAAGGAAATTTATGATTCCCACACCTATTTCCCTCACAACATATACAACATGGATGAAGTCGGCTTTGATATTGCTATCCAACATTGCATACGGACCGTTGCCCCTCGCTCCACTCATCGCAAAGCCCAAACCCTTCCCAGTAACAGTGAACACATATCTGTGGTTGCTTGCATTGGTACCAAGTCCGCACCCATCCCTCCTCTTGTCATCTATAAAGGTGAATCTGTTCTTGAATCATGGACCGCCGAACGAAACCCCAACATCCCTCAACGAGCTATCACCACCTTCTCCGGTTACACCAACAGTTATATCACAAAGATGTGGTTAGAAGACATCTTTGATCCAGCAACAAAAGGGATTGCCCGTGATGGACAAGACCGCCGACTCCTCTTCCTTGATGGCTTAGATGCTCATGTTCAACTCGACTTTCTTGACACCTGCTGGGTTCGGAATATTGTCCACATCATACTCCCTGCTCACATGTCCGGTGAATTCCAACCCCTTGATGTCAAATTCTTTGGACCCCTCAAAGACTCCTATAATTGGTACCTTCAAAAATATCTCCTTGGAAACACATCTCCCGGTATTGCAAAAGGTGTTTTCTATCGCTGGCATCAAGAGGCATGGAAAGATACTGCTCATACTTGGCAGCTACGTAGTGCATGGAGAGACTCAGGCCTATGGCCTTTGAATCAGCGGATAATGGGTGCGTCTCGTATTCTCAGCCCACCTCCCTGTGTCCTGGCGGATCCTCCCATTCCGGCAAATCTTGAGACATACAAAGCAAATGAGAGAGGTGTACGCCAGGGTCGATACACAAGAACACAGGTAGAGGAGAAGAAAGCAGCTGGCTTGGAAGCATCTTTGTCACGGGAGAAATTGACGGAAGAGGACATCAATAGATTGCAGGAAACGGCGGCTCTTGATAGAACTTCCAGGGGGAGCGGGAAGCGGGCAAGGTATCCCAAGGGGAAAGCATTTGATCCGGAGAATGCAGATGCATACAGGGAGGAGCTAGCCAGAGATCAGGAGGCCAAACGGATCAAGCTGCAGCAGAAGCGTGCCGAGAAGGGAAAGGAGAAGGAGAAGGAGAAGGAAAAGGGGAAGGGAAAGGGGAGGGGAAAGGAGAATGGACCAGGTTCATTGGAAATCTCGACTGGTGTCTCAGGAGGGACAGGAGAATCATCTGCTAGACCATTTCGACCGCCTCTCAGGTGTTGAGGGGATCACTATGCTTTATATGTATTTCCAAGCGACATGAATTGGATTGCATGATCTACCGGTCGAAAATCCCGTGCGGTCGAAATTCCCGTGAACGGAAGTAAACTGACTCACTTTCTCAACCTCACGTTTACTTCACCCACACCTTTGATCGATAGCGTGTAGCTATAAGGCTAGAAGACGTATGAGTCCCATCCCACCCTTGTTCTTGACTGAGTTGGACAGACAAAGCAGCTAGCAGCGCTCTCCTCATACCCACTCCCTCTTTTCATATGAACCTTACTCGCTCTACTCGATACAGACCTCGACCGACCGATAAAGCCAACCTTCTCCGACGCCATCTCACACCAAATCACTCACTCACACACACACTCTCTCTATAGCCCTAGCATAGTCAACAATCTCTCTGCCTGTTTCTCAATTAGGCCCGCAGTCATGCTATCTGAAGCCAATCCATCAGATGAAGAACCACTGACGCCTCTGAGGGAACTATCCTCCTTGCCCGATATTAGAGAGTTGGATCCATTCAGTGATCGTTCCACAGTCCTTCGACCTCCGGTCAATGTCGACGGGGGTGGTGATGTGAGCTTGCATCGTTATGGCACACTTTGGCGTCGTTATGTGCAGAGTATGGTCGGCCATGAGATCCCGGACGTGACGGTGTCCTGGTCAGACAAGCCAGACACGCATGACATCATAATCAACTTCCTGCACCCTGAAGAGGAAGAAGATTATGATGTTGACATCACCTTGCATGCAACCCCAACGGATAGCATGCAAACCCAAGTCCCTCAAGATATAAAGATGGTGACTTCAAACTTGTTCAGATATGAGCCAAATGGCAATGCAGAGGAGGATGTGGCAGCAAGACTGCCAAACCTGGTGAGCCAGATCCTTTCGGGAGTTGATAAATTATTAGAGCGCAGTGGACTCAAGAGAAGGCTGGGCACCAAGGGTTTGGCTTCCTATGAGCAGACTCGAGAGGTTCTTCTTGCATCTGCTCTCATGCAATTGACCATTGAGGGACTTCCTGGACTTAAATGGACCTCACCACCCGGACAGAAGCAAACGGTTCAAGAGGTTGGTGAGAACATCAACACTGGATCCAGCCCTAAAAGGCCCGCTCTTGAGGTTAGTACATCCATCCAATATCATCCTCCACGACCTGAGGTGATAGAGCCATATGAACGTAGCTGGCATTGGAATCAATACTTGAAGAAGGCGGTGAATCTAGACATGAAAGTGACTGCGGACTCCAAAGGGAAGATCCAGTCGGTCTCTATGTTTTATAATGATAATCCCTACACATTCAAGGTCAAGGGTGTATCAAATAGGAAACAAGGAACCAATGAGCATGATATTCCCTTCAAGCCAGACCATGGTACCTTGACAAAAGTGGCTACACTTTTTTCTGTCTGCCGTCACAGCAAAACCCATTGGATAATTGACCGCACACGCACTGATCAGCTTGTCAACAGGGTCTGGTATAGCTGTGTTGAGATACTACTGCAGAGTGGTCATGGAAAGACACTGATCGGGGACCAAAAAGTGCAATTCCCATCACACATGACTCTTTATGCTCTGGCCATTGCAAGCAATGAGAACGTGCCTGGGACATCAGAGGTCGTTTGGAACCACTCACCTAGGCAGCTGTCACGAGGACCAACTAACCAGCATTGGCTCGATATAACAGTGCCCAACGTGACAGTGTTCAGGACATCTAAAACCACTGTGACAAAAAGGCCTATTAATTGGCGGTTAACCCTACCGCCGATCGCTGGTAAAATACCCTTCCCCGACTTTCACTCAACTTGTCACACGCTTTGTGACATTATGCACTCTCTTGGGCCCCGCTTTGGGGCCCCGACAAGGGGACCCCGCTTGGGCCCCCACACTGGGAAGGGTACGACAGACCGAAAACTTACTCCGAGAGGGAGGTTTTCCAAGTAGGGGCTGAGTTACCCCCGGCGCCGTCCGGGAGTCGAACCCAGGACCCTACCCGTAACCGCCGATTAATCTGTCACGAGGACCAACTAACCAGCATTGGCTCGATATAACAGTGCCCAACGTGACAGTGTTCAGGACATCTAAAACCACTGTGACAAAAAGGCCTATTAATCTGCGGTTAACCCTACCGCCGATCGCTGGTTAAATACCCTTCCCCGACTTTCGCTCAACTTGTCACACGCTTTGTGACAGCAGCCAGCCACTCATAACAGCTCCACTCCTGATGTGACTTCACAACCTGCCAAAACTAGCGATGTACAATCATCTGATGTCCAGGAGCCCTCTATGTGGCCTGGTTCAAAAAAGGAGTATAGGGACAGATGGATCAATTACTTGGAGAAGGGAGATCTGCCAGCTAGGATGCATACATCAACAGAAGGCATTGTTATAACTCTTCAAATGGTTCATGATGAAAATGACGAATTTCATGACAAAAGAGAGGTCCCAAACAAGCTAAGACAGAAACGTTTCTCCGAAAGTGGCCACAACTATGACCCACCAGAAAACATGAAGCTGCTTGCTGAGACACTAATGTATTATGATTGGGCCCAAAACCCACATTCACTAAAAGTTGGTGCCCTTTTTACAAGGCTCTATCAATCATGTATAGAATTGTCTGCATCAACTGGCTTAGATGCCAAGCTGTCCAAGGAACCACCAGATATTCTCTCGGTCCTGACACTGCAGGCTTTATTGAAAGTGAGAACGCCGGGCCTCCATAGATGTGTTGAACCTTAATTGTGTGTGTCTCCGTCTCCACCCCATTCATAATGTGATCTTGAAGTGTTACGAACTGTCCTATGTTGACCTTGCTGATTTAAGACAATTGGAAAGTGAAGGTTTACGAGAGGTGCGACTACAAGGGATGGAGTAGTCACAACTTGTGAGTTGGTTGAAGGTGGTGGATCAACTGAGAAGGACCCGTGTTACATGGTAACAACAACTTGAAGCAGATCCATCAAACCCGACGGATTAGGATAGAGAAAAGCGGGATTTGGAGGCAGTGCTGCAATTAGGTAGGGACAGGTTTTCCCTTTCGAGATTTCCCCACTGGGTTTGCTCAAAAGCGGTTTTTCACCTGTCCAAGTATGTACATAGACGCTTGCAGCAGGAAGGGACAGAGACACGGACACCTGTAGACAGTATATAGTACAATCAGCAAAGTACCAACTTTACTGATTCATCAATATCATTCTTTGACTACATCAATTGCAGAGAAGACACGATCCTGTCACAGGTGTCACAAACTACAGTCGGGTCTGTCAAAACCCATAGGGCCGGGGAGAGTGGCGGAGTTAGGGGTTACCACTGACTATGGATTTTGACAAAACTGCCACACATGCATGCATTTCTCCCTTTCAACAAACATCATGACCAAAGCCATAGTGTCACGAATATACGACTGATGATGATGAAGCCGCAATGGCGTGTCTCAAACAGTCTTAAACGCAACAGTAAGTTAGAGTAGAGAGTTGAAATCAAAGATGACAATTGATCAGAGAGACAGAGAAACAAACAGAGAGCTAGAACCACTATTTATAGACAAAACACCCCAAACTGAGCCTAAAACTCCTTCCTCTCCTCTCCTACTTCAAGGGGGAAAACCCTGAGGAAATCCTGAGGAAACCCTGCATCAAAAGTAGTGTTTTAAACAAATTTTCAGAAGCCTCTGACTCATCTTAGAAGCCCCAGAAGAGATCTCCTCATCAAAGGCTGAAAACCCATTGAAAAGTCAGACGAATAAAGGAGCCGCAAGAAGTGATCTTGAGGCCTGGGAATTAGAGGAGCTCTGATCTTTCAGGGGGTTCAGAGGGTGTTTCTTAAGCGCCCACATTATGCAGATTTTGACCCAAAACTACCTGGTTCAGTCCTGCGGGTTCGGTAGAGGTTCGAGAGGTTCGAATATAGGCTAAATATGCTTAGTAGAGTGGTTCTCCTTCTGGTTCTCTCAGTTGAGTCGTCCGCACTGCTGAAAGAGATGAAACTTCTGACCATTAGTGCGTACTCCTCAACACTAGTGTGTATTCTTCATCAGTGGCGTACACTTCTTGATCAGTAGCGGGTGTGTGTTGATCAGTAGCGTGTTTTCCATGTTCAAACGCGTGTTTTCACAAGGCCATCCTGACAACCGGTTGACAGGTTGATCCTTTGGTTGACCTGGTGGTTGACCCGGTGATTGATCCTGTGATTGATCCTGTGATTGATCCTGTGATTGATCCGGCGAACCAGTTATTTGGTAACCGAGGGAGTCGTACTACCATTGACAGACATACATACTCTCCTATGATGTCAGTGGTGTGATCACTAATTAAGGTACCCGCAATTGATCACTAATTAAGGTACCCGTGATTGATCACTAATTGAGGTACCCGTAATTGATGGCTAATTAAGGCACTAATTAGTAATTAAGGAATTGATGGCTAATTATTGATCATTGATGATTCTGTTGTTTGTTGACTGGGACGGGCTCATACACAGAAATAGATGCCGACCGGCCATCCGGCTGATATTGCTCCCGAGGTACTCTCGCTTAGCAGTATGTCCGGTCTGAGCGGAACCGAGGACACGGAACCTGGTACATGTCGGCCGGAGCTTGGGATGACGACAGATGACGACAGATGACGATAGATGACAACAGATGACGTGATTGATGTATACAATGTTGAGTCAGGTTGACTCAGTGATGGGAGGGTGATTAAGGTTGAATGGTGATCCACATGTTGTGCGATGGGTCGAGTTGAGACGATTTGAGTAAAGTTGACTGGACTTGAGTGGATGATATGCACGTGGTATTTATAGATATTCGAGGGTTATGACAGTTAGTATGTTGTCCGTAGACTTGTGATGGGGTCGGACTACTTAGGTGACTTGCGAAGGATACGGGCAGGTTGAGATGATGATAGGGGTGTGAGTGGTGATGTGGACAGGGGTAATGATGACGGGTGATGTGTTGGATGTAAGTAGTATGTCAAGAGAGGTCTTTTGTGAGTGGCAAATAATATTTTGATCCTTGGAGAAAAGGAACTACAAACTCAATAGGTCCAGTATTTATACTTTTTGAGGGGCATCTCATGTACACCCAATGTGGTCTCCCCTTGTCTCCCTTCTTCTCCCCTCGTGTCTCCTCATGTCTCCTTGTGTCTCCTTGTCTCCTCTCTCCTCAGGGTCATGGGTCACCACACTGTGTTAGCCAGGTCGTGACACCGTAGTTCTCCGCCAGGCGGGGTTGTCGTGACAAATGCTTCCTATGTTCTTGTAACTTCATTTAGTCGGTCTCAGTGGTTCGGGGTTGTGGTGATTGGCGATGGATAGAGGTTCGGTGATGGTGAAAGGAGGGTCGATGATGGTGGTTGTCAGGGGATGTTACAATATTTGTGACAAGCTTGCAGCTTGTGGTGTACTTCATGTCACAAAATGCCTTTCAATAGACGATCTCTTAAACCCAAAGGGTGAACAGGGAGGGGTAGAACACTGTACCTATGAGATGCTCCTGGAAGCGGTGCATTGGTTTATGGAAGGAAAAGATGGAGAGGAGGAGATAGAAGAAGTGGTCAAACCACCATGGTGTCATGAGACCAACTAACCAGCATTGGGATGTGTCACAAACCATATCGTAACAACCCCTGACATTCACCATCACCGAACCCCTATCCACCATCAACCACCATAACCCAAACCACTCAGACCAACTCCGACGAAGTTACGAGAACCTAGGAATTATCAGTTACGACAACCCCGCACTTCAAATCACAATCTACTCGACTTACCTTTCCTGCTTGATTCTCACCCGCACCTTTCATCAATGACGACGACTTGGCGCACAACCACTTTCGTCTTCGGGCACAACCCCCGAGTTAGGCATGCTCAGGTTTTCCGACGGAAGTAGTTAGGCGCGCGCGAGCACGGGCCTCCCTTCCACCACTTCTCCCCGTGTCCAATACATGCAGCTGAACATTATTTTTTTCACCCAATGTTCTCCACACATTCAGTCAGGAAACACAGCAAATATATAGAACTGACTATCCTCTATCTCGTGATACTCGTTTTAGAACGATGTGATCAATACTCACTGAGATACACCATTCCTCCTTCCCTTTGACTTTCCCAAGAAGTCATTCCTGTCGCATGGCCTCTACTCACACAGGTATTTAGCAGTGAGATGGATATCATTCTACTTCGCGCAGTTCTCTAGAATGTGAAGAGCAAGTGCTTCAGATAGTAAGGTCTGCATTGAAAAGAGTGGAACATGTTTTAGGTAGAGATGAACAGTTGATACTGGATGAAAGAGAAGAATGAGGCCCGAGCTGAACGCGTGCCTAATCGCTTCCGTCGGGATTTGCTGCATGCCTATTCTCGGGAGTTGTGCCCGAAGACGAAAGTGGTTGTGCGCCAAGTCGTCGTCTCATCAATAGTAGATAGCATATAGCAAGAAGGTAAGCTCAAGACAGATCAAGCAATTCGTTCCCTTCCCCCCCCCGGGACCCCATCACGACCCTCCTTCCATACCTTAGAAGCCCCATCCAAATGAGGCAAAAACGACGAGTCATCTTCGACGCCGTCCAGCACGCATACAAAAGCTCGCCAATATCTCTCTCGTCCTCGACCCCAATAAGGTTGAAATCCACTTTACTCACTTGATACTACTAGGATAAACAACCACAAAACTGAAAAGACTGGTATGTCAGCATCAGTTTCTCCTGATCATGACGTTGACAGGCACCACGGTAGTCGTGACACCTCGTTGACCACATTGAGTGGCTTTCCCTCGTTGACTAATTCCGAAGCCAGTGAGTCCGTTGGTGGGGGCGGCCACTTGAATTCACCCACGGGTCTGGTCACATGTAAACAGCCCCCCGTCGAGAGAGGGGAGAGTAGGATGTCCCTCTATCAGTTTAGCAAGATGTGGCGTTGATATGTGAAAGAAGCGTCAGTTGAGAGAGACCTCCCCGACATGTCCCTACAGTGGGATGAAGAGGGACTAGAGTACTTTTTACAGCTTGATCGGACAGGCGATGAAGGTGCACTGGAGGTCAGCATACAGCGGAACCACATGTCATCCGCCAAACGCTTGAAATCTGATATCCCCAAGGACATGATAACGGTGGCATTGACCTTGTTCAGGTACAACCCCAATGGTAATGGTAGCGAAGAAGAATCCAAAGAAATGGTGAGAAACCTGATGAGCAAGTTGATTCCGAGCATTGATCAACTAATACAGCATACCGGCTTGAAAGAAAGACTAGTGACTGGTGGTTCAACATCTCTTGAAGCAACTCGAGGACTGTATATTGCTTCCTTACTCATGCAACTGACAGATGATGGATTTCCTGGACTTGTGTGGACCTCACCACCCAAGTTCCCAAAGGTCCAAGAGGTTGTTGAGAATGAAAGTGGTGATTTGAACACCAACAGGCAAGCTCCAGAGGCCAGTGAGGCTGTGGATCAACCTCCACGACTTCCAATGCTACTACCATACAAACACAGCTAGCTTTGGAGGCAATACCTGGACAATGCCAAGCCAACAGGTGCAAGTATCACACTATCAACGAGTGGAAAGATTGAGTCAGTGTCACTCTTTCACGCTGGTGCATGGCACCCAGCTAAGCTTAATGCAAATAGCAATAGAACTGGGAGTACCAATCTTGGGATCCCTTGGGAGGCAGACAGTAGGACAGTGAGCGCAGCATGCACTCTGTTCTGCAGGAGGGTGCAAAGGAAAGATGGGAACTGGAAAACTCAACATAATCTGACCAAGATACTTGTCAACACGGTCTGGAGGGCCTGGGTTATGTCACTGCAAGGAAGTGAACGGGACGCCACACTGAGCAATACTGAAAAGACAGAAGTCCCATGCTTGTTGACACTCTGGGCCATGGCAGAAGCAAGCAATGTAGATAAGCATGGATCAACAGAGGTTTATTGGAACTATCCTCCTGAACGGCCACATAATCATAATGATCCTGCTTTGAATATGACTGCACAACCAGGTGAGCCTAGCAACACAAGCTCACCCATGCTCCAGAAACCTGCCTTGTGGCCTGACCCAAGGGACGAATATATCTTCAAGTGGATCAAGTACCTGAAGAAAGGCAGTGAGGTAAGTGTAGATGTAGAAGAGGGACAACTACAGCTTGCCCAGATGGCTGGCCCAGTGTCACACCATGCAACTGCCCATAAGAAATATTGTGCAAAGGAGATGTCAACCATGGTATCTCAACGTGGCTTCTCTTATCTTGCTGACAAAGACACAATAGCACAAGCTGAAGAGCTGTTCTATGCAACAGGCATCAAGGGTAGTGGGGCCCTTACAGCTACACAGCGCGTTGTCCAGGGGGCAGCTAAGACAATCTATCATGCTCTTGTTGAGTTATCTGAAAAGACCAAATCTGATGAGTTGCTTAGTCAAGATTCTGCTAGTCCAAGTTATGGACCCACAGTATATTGTGATATGATGCTTGGGGTGCTCATGCAAGCAGCTGAACTGGGATTTAAAGGCATACATAGGAGGTCAGTGTCACAAACCACATTGCAACATCCGTAACAACTGTCACGACCAGGATATTACGGCTCAGTCATGACCCATATCTCATCTCTATGGCAAATAACCTATTCAAATCACTACAATAGGTGATCAAGCCATGATAGGTTGTTTGACGACTAAATAGATGATTGATCCTATCAAGTAGATGATCAATCCTATCAAGTAGATGATTGCTCATATTAAATAGGTAATCAGTCATATCAAATAGGTGATTGGCCATATCAGATAGGTTAGCTGACAAGCCAAATAGGTTATTGGATAGAAAATAGGTACTCTAAGACGGGGGATAGGTTAGTTAATAGGCAGGATAGGTAATTCAAGGGATAAGTAGGTAGTTTTGCCTCGAGAATTACCTATGCGAGCTATATCATGGATAGGTTTGCTATCTCTAGGTAGACTATATAAAGAGCACATTTACTTTGTAGTTATTCTTCTTCTCAAGGATCAAAATATTATTTGCCACTTCACAAAAGACCTCTTCTTGACATACTACTTACTTCAAACCAACCCTCATCATTATCTCTGTCAACACCCTCTGTTACGACCTGAGAGCTAGGCAGTGACCAAGACCTAACTTCAGAGGACAACAACAATGAAGGACGAAGTGACAGCGTAGAGTGGATTGGACGATGATGATGAAGAGCACCTCAGTGCTGAGGAAGGGTTGTATTGGAAGTCACTTAGACGAAGTGCGCGAGTGTAGCGAGCGCAAAGAGGATTGTGAAAAATGAGAAGTTTAGAAGTGTAACTTTTGAGAATTCATCGACAAGGAAGAGGGCTCGCGGAAGGGGTTTTTATACCCTTGCGCCTTCACTTTGCCTCCACTTTCTAAATGACTAGTGTTCAGGCTTAGCCTGACCTACGGTATATAATTCTAACCAATGTGTCCAATATGATTGATGTGCCCAAGTTGACCAATGTGTCCAAGTTCACCGATGTGTCCAAGTTCACCGATGTGTCCAAGTTCACCAATGTGTCCAAGTTCACCGATATGTCCAAGTTCACCAATGTGTCCAGCTATGATGTCATTACTGACAAAGATGACCAGTGTTTAGGCTTAGCCTAAACAGTGGTGAAACATTGATAACCTAAGTTCCTATTTGCCACTCTAATGCCACATCATGTTCTAAAGTTCCTGATACTCATCTTAATAATGCCACATCATTGTGTATGACCTGCCTCTGTGCAGTGTCATAACACCATCACATATGCCGTCATCATCATCTTGACCTGCCCGGATCCTTCGCAAGTCACTTGGTCGTCCAATCATATCACAAGTCTACGGGCAACATACTAACCATCATTGTCCAAGCTAACTAAACAGTTGCAGTCCACCTGTCTTTGATCCATCGAGGTCTGTCAAGGACAGGACCGTGACAACAACCACCATTATTGACTGCCATGGGGAACCAAACTTTGTGCACAACATCAAATCTCTTCACACACGACAGAGTCACGTGATAGACTCTTAGGCATGCAGCTGTCACAAACTATGTTGTGACACCCCAAAACCACACCACCAATGACCCTCCTTTGACCATCAAACCTCCATCATACCTCAACCTCTTTGGTTTACACGTAACTTAGGACATCTGAGACCAACTACGACAAAGTACCTTGTGGGAAGATGAGAGACAAACATCAGAAGCATAAGTGAGGCAAAGTTAGGCGGAGCTAGGTGGATTAGGGACAGTGGGATCAGAAGTACGGCAAAGTGCGACGAAGTTAGTGAAATGATGGCCGGGGACTTGGGGAAGTTGGACAAAGTGCGTTGAAGTTTGGCAAAGTGCGGCGATTAGACACGGCAACCCGGCCTAGCGGAGAACTACGGCAAAGTCAGGAGAGAGAGATTGAGGGATACTGGGTGGAGAACGGAAGGAGGTGGAAATACGGTAAAGTGCGGCAAAGCTGGATGAAGGGGGACTGAGCGCAAAGCAGTGCAGGGGTTGAGAGATATTCTACGGGAGAGCAGAGAGGTATGAATAGTTTACAGATTGCTGAAGAGGTTCAGCAATCCTTGATTGTTGTCAGTAGTGAAAGATTGATAGTGGTAGCTACACCTACACCTCATTGAGATACCTTGCCACCAGTGAGCACCCTAGTTAGAGCAACTTCGGCAAAGTACCTTGAAGTAGCACCCTGTTTGAGGTCTGCTGTAATGATCCTGCTTGTGAGGATCACCACAAATAATTAATTGTAACCTACCCATAGGTGTCACAAAGCGTGTGACAAGTTGAGCGAAAGTCGGGGAAGGGTATTTAACCAGCAATCGGCGGTAGGGTTAACCGCTGATTAATAGGCCTTTTCGTCGCAGTGGTAAACTGGCTAGTCATTGATGGTGGAATGGGAACTATCAGTGTAATGTGGTCATGGGTTCAATTCCCATGCCGACCAAGGGGTTTTCTCCGGGCACTCCGGTTCCCCTTGTACATGAGTCTGTGCAAGCCATTCATGCTATAGTTCTTATAGTAGGCTTATTTTAGCGCAGGGCTTGATGCCTTGTGCACAGCAGCCTCCTCCCGAATCAGGTTAAGATCACTGTTCCGTTGGGCACTGTTATATTGAGCCAATGCTGGTTAGTTGGTCCTCGTGACAGTAGGGCTGGATACTGAATCGGAACTCTGTGATGTGGATAATACTAGCCAGCAATGATCAAAGGTCAGTAGATGTAAGTAAAGAGTGTATCAGGGAAACCAAAGAGGGTCTGAGAGAGGATGGAGGAAAAAGTAGGAGAAGGAGGAGTGAGAAGAAGAAGTGAGAAGAAAGAGAATGGGAGAAGAAAGAGAATGGGAGAAGAAAGAGAATGGGAGAAGAAAGACAATGGGAGAAGAAAGACAATGGAGGAAGAGATCCCCCTCAGACCCGGCTTATAGGCATAAATGAGCTGACATTTGACGTAGGAAAGACGTTACAGAATCTGTGTCTTTGACACGTTATGCATGAACACTATATACTAGGAGACAGGAGAGACTATAGGTAGAGAAGGCGTAACTGAGGCAAGTGCGTATAAGCACTTGTATAGACTATGATATGCAGACAAGAGAGAGGGGTAGGGGTGTCTGTGTCACAAACCACGTCTTAACATCCCTGACAACTACCATCACCGACCCTCCTTTCACCATCACCGAACCACCATCCATCACCAACCATCACCGAACCACCATCCATCACCAACCAGCACCTGAACCACTGAGACCGACTACGACGAAGTTACGAGAACCGAGAGGGTATTTGTCACGATAACCCCGCCTAGCGGAGAACTACAGCGAAGTTAGGAGAAGGGAACCGAGGGAGAGCAGAGCGAAGGAAGTTAGGCGAAGTTAGTCGAAGTGAGCAAAGTAGGGTACCGGGGATATGGCAAGGAACGGCGAAGTTGAGCAAAGAGGACTGAGCGCGAGGCTGTGCAGGAGTTGAGGGACGTTCTGTGAGAAGAGAAGCGAATTATAGATAGTTTACAGATCGCTGAACTTCTTCAGTGAGCCTTGATTGTTGTCAGTCGCGAGAGATATATTCAGTAGCTACAACCATCGAGTTAGGGAGAGCTACCACCGAGCAGTCCGACGCACTACGGTGAAGTTAGCCGCAGTCCTTCGACGATCACCTTGTCATTTACCACCTGACGTATTACTACGGCGAAGTTAGCTGTAGTCTCCCGACGAGTACCCTGTCCTAGTGAGACATTGACGCCCCACTACAATGTAGTTAGCCGAGGTTAGTCGACCGCCAGTCAGTAGAGAAGAAGAAACAACAACCGTGACAGTCTGGAAGAGAATCTAGTAGCTTGGTACTGATCAGTATGTAGGGGATGGTCGGATCCACTACAACTCATTACTGCACAGTTTGCTGAGCTTTTCTCTCTCCCCCATCTGCTTTCAAAACTTTCCATCTCTCTGACCTAGAAAACAGATTTATTACCTCAACCTACCATCCCTCGTTTATTTCTTTAAGAATCTTGACGTCATGGCCCTCCTACTTCCACCCCCAATGCCTTCGCCGCTATGAGGAACTTTGGCGGTATTGTGTCATCTGCCCGTGAGTTGTCTTTGTTATTACACTTACTATGCCGAACTTGGCTGATATTCAGTCTCCTTCGGCGACAGATCTCGCCAAGTTTCCTCCCTTGGCCTCAGTACTCTTTCTTTGGAGGAGCCTTCCCACGCTACCGCTCCTCCTTGGGCCGCTTCTCCTGTTGCCATTGCTGGTCCCTCAGGAGGGTCTCCTCCTCCCTCCACCCCGCGCCGTAGGACACCCGCCTTCCGTCCTGGTGAGTCCCCGTCATCCTCCGATCAGGAGTCACTTGGCGCCGGGGACTTGGGGTCCAAAGATCGACCCGACTTTGATGAAGACGATGATGATGATGATGATGATGAACCTGAGGTTGAGCGTGAGAGTGAGTTAGAGGTATATTTGGATGACGATGTGAGAGGAAACATGAGCAAAGAGGAAGTCGAGGTAGATGATCATGAGTGTGAGTCCTTCGCCTGTCATCTCATGTCCTCGCCAAACTTCGCATTGTTTATCTGTTCTGTAGCCTCTCAAGCCGTTGCTAACTTGCAGCCTTCCCCGCCCCTCCCCCTGCCCAAATTGTGGGCAAGAAACGTCCCCGTTCTCTCTCCTCCTCCTCCTCCTCCTCCTCTTCTTCTTCTTCTTCCTCTTCCGCGGTTCTTCCCCCCGCCAACGCCAATCGCTGTTGCTGCTGCCGCCGCCCCTGCCGCACCTGTCGCCTCTGCCGCCTCTCCCTGAGGAGAGCCTGCGCCCAAACGGGTGAAAAGATCATTGCGGGAAGAGCAATATTTGTGGGAGAAGGTCAAGGCTGAGCCTGGACGCTGGGTAGTGGTTGGTGTCAATGAGGCGTGTGATTGATGCCGGTGAGTGTTCCTATCCGTGCTACGCCAATGTTATCCCTGCTAATTAGTAGTCATGAGATTCTCACGTATAACCGCCCGAACTGGCCCTGCCTCAAGGCAGTTAGGCCACACAACAAGGCTCTTTGTTGTGCTTTGTGCACATCCAGCATCTGCTCCTTCTGCCCCCCCACTGCTGCTTGGGACATCCCCCCTTGTCCCTCCGACTTCTCCCCTCTTCCCCCTCCTCAGACTCCAGTGTCTGCCCCCCGGTCACGGGGACCATCTTTGTCTCTCCATCCGGTTCGCCGAAGTTCACTGGACTCCCTCTCTTCTCCCCTGTCCCCTTTGCCTTTTGTTCCTGCCGCTGGCCCGTCACATCTTCCGGCTGCCCCTCCTTTGTCCTCTCGTTGTCGTTCAGTCCCTCGTCCGTCCTCTCCTGTGGTGCTCTCTTCTCCGGCCCATGGCACTCGAAGTCGCTGTCCTTCCGCTCCTCCGGCCACCCCAACAGCCGCTCCTGTCACTCCGCCCTCCGCTCCCAAGAAAACTCCAGACTCTTTGTTAAAGAAAACAAAAGGGAAAGGGAAAGAGAAGGAGGTCGTCTTTGATGATGGTGATGTGGAAGATGGAGGTACTCAGCGTGTGTCACAAAGCGTGTGACAAGTCGAGCGAAAGTCGGGGAAGGGTATTTGACCAGCAATCGGCAGTGGGGTTAACCGACAATTAATAGGCCTTTTCGTCACAGTGGTTAAGATCACTGTTCCGTTGGGCACTGTTATATCGAGCCAATGCTGGTTAGTTGGTCCTCGTGACAGCGTGTTGGACCCTCTGCTCCCCGGTTGTCCTTTGTCCATCCTTGTATCTCCATGGACGTTGGTATTCCGGAGGATGAAAAGGAGTTTGCTACCTATTGCTCTCTCGTTCTCGGCCTCACCACTCAGCTCAAGGCCGCTCGACACAATACATCTCTCCTCCTTGACTCCTCTACTTGCCAAACCAACGCCCTGAATAACCTTACTGTGGCGTTAGTAGATGTAGTCAACGGTGAAGGTGTGAATGAGGCTTCAAGGACAAAGCTAGCGGACGTCTCTTGCCAAAGTCTCACTGAGATCGGCGATGTTTGACAAAGATTGTACAACACCCCCTTCCTTGTCACTCCTTTGGTGTATGAGCCACCCCCGTCCATTGGCTGGTGAGGTCGCCGTAGTAGCTCTTGTGTCCCTGCATCCGCTCAGACTGCACTCAATCTCCTCAGTCTTGCCCTCGAGTGTCTCCGGACCATACATTCTTTGTGGAGGACTCTGAGCATGCAAGCTGCTCGTGACATCCAGGACTCCGGTGACTTCTTTGGCGCTATGAACCGGGCTTGGGAAGCTTCTCTCTCTGCTATCTTTCCTTCTGACAGCCTCGACCTACCTTCCGCCATCCGTAGAGTCCAGACTAACGCCGTAGCACAGAGTAGAGCGGAGGACAAGGGAAGGAAGGGGTAAGTGAGCGGTACTTAGCTGTAGTCTTGTGTTGTATGCAGTACTGTCCTACCTCCTTGTCCTTTGCAGGCGTCCTTCCTTTGGCTTAGTAGGGTGTAGTTCGTGGAACTTCGCCAATATGTCAATAGCTCCATCCACATTCTCTACCGGTTCCCTTGATACTGAGTTGTCTGTGCCTTTGTAACCTAACCACTCCACCAGGTACTCTAATTTTCCTGTCCTCTTATTTACTCTAGAGTCCACAATATCTTTTACTTCCCATGATTCTCCTATGTTATCCACCTCTACTGGGCCAGGCGGTTCAGCTCGCTGACCAGGAAACACTGGAGGGTGGTAGAGACGGAGCAAGGAGACATGGAATACATCATGGATACCTGCCATCATTCCTGGTGATTCCAATTTACAAGCATGAGAAGCTACCTGCCGTACTACCTTGTACGGCCCACTTTGCTTCACCTCCAACTTCTTCATTGGTCTCTTAGTTTTAATATGCTCTAACGACAGCATAACTAGGTCACCTTTCACAAAGTTCGGTGTAGTTCGGGGATTCCTATTGTACCCTTTGGCGTACCTTTTATTAGCTTTCTCACTCCCTTCTATACATTACTTATGTATTTCAGTCAGATCCTTTACTATCACTGTAGCAGCAGGCACTTCGACCTCACTAGTCTTGATCTCTTCAGGCCACCGAGCATGGTATCCATAGTTTGCATAAAATGGTGTCTTGTTTATTGCAGAATGATGGGTGTTGTTATAGGCAACACTCACTTGAGCAAGCAGCTTTGACCAGTCGTTCTGCTGGTAGGAAGTGAAGATTCAAACATATAATTCCAGGGACTGATTGGTTCACTCAGTCGTCCATCAGTCTGTGGATGATACGTAGTGGAGAGATATAGTCTTATCCCCATACTATCGGTTAAATTCTTCCAAAACTTTGATGTAAACTTCAATCCCCTGCCCGACACTATGTTCTCTGGTAACCCATGCTGAGCCACCACATAGTCCATTATCAGCTCTGATAGCCCAGCTGCGGTCAACTTTGTCATAGTTGGTATAAACATGGCCCATTTGGTCAATCGGTCCACCACTGCCAAGATGGAATAGCAACAGTGTGGGAAGGTGTTACGACCTGAGAGCTAGGCAGTGACCAAGACCTAACTTCAGAGGACAACAACGATGAAGGACAAAGTGATAGCCTAGAGTGGATTGGACGATGATGACAAAGAGCACCTCAGTGCTGAGGAAGGTTTGTATTGGAAGTCACTTAGACGAAGTGCGCGAGTGTAGCAAGCGCAAAGAGGATTGTGAAGAATGAGAAGTTTAGAAGTGTAACTTTTGAGAATTCATTGATGAGGAAGAGGTCTCACAGAGGGGGTATTTATACCCTTGCACCTCCACCTCGCCTCCACTTTCTATCTGACCATGAATCCAGTAGTACTGGATCTGTGGTGAAAAGCTGATTCAGCAATTGACCAATGATCCAGTAGTACTGTATTGTTGGTTAGAGGCAGACTAAGCTATGATGTCATTGCTGAATAAGCAATTGAGCAAGGATCCATTTGTACTGAACTCTTGGTTAAACTCTGATAATCCTAATTCTCCTTTGCCACCCTAATGCCACATCATGCTCCTAGTGTTCTGATACTACTACTACTAATGCCACATCATTATCTGATGTCTCTGAAACTACTTCTATAATGCCACATCATCATGTATGACCTGCCTCTGTGCAGTGTCATGACAGAAGGCTCCCCCAAAGAGAGAGTACCGAAGCCAAGGGAGGAAACTTGGCAAGATCTGTTGCCGAAGGAGACTGAATATCAGCCAAGTTCGGCAAAGTAAGTGTAATAACAAAGACAACTCAGGGGCAGATGACACAATACCGCCAAAGTTCCTTATAGCGGCGAAGGCGTTGGGGGTGGAAGTAGGAGGGGCCATGATGTTAAGATATTTAAAGAAATAAACGAGGGATGGTAGGTTGAGTGTCATGAATCACAAGTATCAGTTTCCACATGTTTTAGTTCTGCTCTGATGCCTTTGAGGCAAGAGACCTGAACCTTTGGTTAGTTATGTTATCCTCAGTTAGTATGCCTGGTATGGCATTAGACCCAAGACTTTAGTTTAGTTAGATCTGAGGCGAACGTATGGTTTACGTCGTGATGCGTACTTCTGTGTGCGGTCAACAGCGTATTATACGCAGCACGGCAAGAACAGAGTGCAGTCTGTCTTTGTTAGTTAGAAAACAGTAGGGAACGCAAGGATTACGACGGTTCACTATGCAGGACAACTCCACCTGGTAGAACACCTGTTTTATAGATATAAATCCCTCATAGTTTTACATACTTCTTCTTTAGTCCTTGATCAAAAGTCATTTCCATTGCCACCCTTTCTTTGAGTCCAGTCCAGTCCAGTTACAGTTACAGTCCAAGTCCTTCCTAGTCTTGTTGGACAAGCCAGAGACATTCCTTGGGTCACAGTCCCATTCCTTGTTGGACTCAGTCTTGTTATCTAAGTATATTCCTTGTCACTCCTAGTCCTTGTCCCCTTGTCCTTTGTCCTCTGTCCCAGGGTGGGCAGTATCCTTGACATTGAGGTAATAAATCTGTTTTCTAGGTCAGAGAGATGGAAAGTTTTGAAAGCAGATGGGGAAAAGAGATAAGCTCAGCGAACTACTCAGTATTTAGTAAGATCAGATCTACCCCCTCGTCGTCAACATGTGTTACAACCTGGTTGACCAGCACCAGGCCATACACTAGCCATGCATGTGACATCTTATGCCACTGCGCTAAAAGGCACAATATCGCAATCAGCCCTATGATTGTGATCCGGTTATAACCTGATGTCACGACTGAGATTGCAGGGTTGTGACAGGAGCTAACTACTTTGTAGTGGGGCGTCAATGTCTCACTAGGACAGGGTACTCGTCGGGAGACTACGGTGTCACGGACGTCGAACAACTATCTTCTGGCAGACCGACGGTCGACGAACCTCGGCTAACTTGATGCTCCTGAGTCGAAGTCTCACCCAACCGAGAGGGCGCAGACGTCGAAAGGAGTGTAACTACGGCGTACTTCGGCGTAGTTACTCTAACTGGGGTTTTGTTCTACTGATGGCGATGTATCTCGAATTGTATATAGCTATCTCTATCTGTTTTTCACTACTGACAACAATCAAGGATCGCTGAAGAACTTCAGCGATCTTCTCAGCTAATATTATCTACTCCTCCTAGACATTCATCCAACCCTCTCGCGCTTTGACGTACTTCAACGCACTTCGTCCAACTTCCCCGAGCCCTCGGCCATCCTCTTCCTCCTTCGACTAACTCCGCCTAACATCGCCGCACTTCTGCTCCCATTGTCCCTACTTAGCCTAACTCCGTCTAACTTCGCTGTACTTCTGCTCCCATTGTCCCTACTTAGCCTAACCCCGTCTAACTTCGCCGTACTTCTGCTCCCATTGTCCCTACTTAGCTTAACTCCGTCTAACTTCGCCGTACTTCTGCTCCCATTGTCCCTACTTAGCCTAACTCCGTCTAACTTCGCCGTACTTGGCGTCAGAAGTCCTGAGTTACGTGTAGAGTAAAGAGGTTAAGGCGTGATGGGGTTTTGATGGCCAAAGGAGGGTCATTGTTGGTGGAGTAATCGAGGTGTCGCGACGTAGTTCGTGACATACGGCTAACTTCGCTGTAGTAATACGTCGAGTGGTAAATGACAAGGTGATTGTCGAAGAATTGCGGCTAACTTCGCCGTAGTGTGTCGGACTGCTCGGTGGTAGCTCTCCCTAACTCGATGGTTGTAGCTACTGAATATATCTCTCCCTACTGACAACAATCAAGGATTGCTGAAGAAGTTCAGCGATCTGTAAACTATCTATACTTCCCTTCTCTTCTCATAGAACGTCCCTCAAATCCTGCACAGCCTCCAGCTCAGTCCTCTTCGCTCAACTTCGCCCTTCCTTGCCATATCCCCAATACCCTACTCCACTCACTTCGACTAACTTTGCCTAACTTCCCCTGCTCTGCTCTCCCTCGGTTCCCCTCCGCTAACTTCGCCGTAGTTCTCCGCTAGGCGGGGTGTAACGGTACTGGAAACACGATGACTAGGTCGCAGGTTGGGTCGAACTCGATGGATGTCTCGTAGAAGTCTAGGGGCTCTGGTGCTACTGGATCGTGTCTCCTCTGCAATCGATGTAGCCAAAGAATGATATTGAAGAATCAGCAAAGTTGGTACTTTGCTGATTGTACTATATACTGTCTACAAGTGTCTGTGTCCTCTTCTCAGTCCTACTGCAAGCGTCTATGTACATACTCGGACAGGTGAAAAACCGCTTTTGAGCAAACCCAGTGGGGAAATCTCGAAAAGGGAAAACCCGTCCCTACCTACTGCAGCACTGCCTCCAACTCTCGCCGTTCTCTTTCCTAATCCGTCGAACTCGATGGAGTTCTTCTCGATTCGTTGTTACTCCGTAACACGGGGTTATCGTGACAAATTCCCTCTAGGTTTTTGTAACTTCGCCGTAGTCGGTCTCAGTGGTTCGGGTGGTGGTTGATGATGGATGGTGGTTCGGTGATGGTGAAAGGAGGGTGGGTGATGGTAGTTGTCAGGTGTTACGACGTGGTTCGTGACACATGTCGTAGTTAGTTCCCCGACAAGTACCCTGTCTCAGTGAGACCTTGACGCCCCAGTACGACTTAATTAGCCAAGGTTTATCGTCCGTTAGTCAGTAGGGAAGAAGAATCGACATTTGTGACAGTACTTGTACAATATTATTCGGTGCGTTTCGTTTTGTGATGACAACAATCTCACTCGTTCTATGAAACTTACTCAATATGGTGGGAAATCATATTGGACATACATAGACTATCACCTCCTTAGACCATCTAGCTTTTTTTGGCAACCATCAAAGGTGAATCATCCTTTCTCACGAGGTAAGAAAGAAGACGCCCTAATCCAGGCTCCGCTCGACAACGTATAGAAACCAGAACCAGAGACATCTTCCCACAAGTCTCCAATTTATCGCTTATTGTTCTATTTCAAGCCCTCATTTTTAATACCAAGTACTTACTTCCGACGTCAACTGGACTTTCAGAATGAGTGATCAACTTACTACGTCGATGCAAGGTGGTGCCGATGAACATTCCGCCGCCTCAACTTCTTGTGGAACTGCTGTCATCCGTGATCATACAGATGTTGTGCTCCCAGAAGCCGATTCATCTCAGGGACCATCTGTGGTTCCAAGACCTTCTATGGACCCTATCGGTCTTGACTTAACTGAGTATACTAGATCCTGGTGCCGTTATCTCGAAAGTACTTCGGTGTTCCCGGTGATGGTAAGCAAAGATGAGACAGGAAAGATAATACTCTCCCTACAGTATGAAGGCACAACATACATAGTCCCTATCCCAAAAACGGGAGGCAACGTGGCCTTCCTTACGAAGCATTCCTACACTCCGGATGAGCCCACAAAAGCAGTGTGTCAAGCTCTGTTTCACATGAAATCCAAAGTGCATCTTATGGGAAGATTAAACAAGATGTATAGAGGAAGTGTGAAGTTGATGGAGGATAGTGGCGTGGCCCAAAAATATGATGATGGATTGGATGGGCAAACATCATGGCAAAGAGTTACAAGTGATATATGCCTGTCAGGTTTGGCACAGCTGGTAGAGAAGGACAAGCTTCTTCACTGGTGCTCTCCAAATGGGGTCTCAACAACCTCTCAATGAAGTCCTACTGAGTTCAAATGACCCGTCACATTGCTGAGGAATGCATATCATGGAGGAGAGACGTTCTCGCACACTATAATCTGGGACGGGAAAGTGATTGTGATACACAGTGTCTTCAACAAATGCCACATTGTGTCATATGCTATAGTGTCACGACCAGTGCTTATAGCAAGATCGACTCTCACTAGCAGAGTTGATATTGAGCCTTTTAGGACGGTTTATGATCGCGGGCTCGCTACCCGGTCATGACATATAGTCTATCAGCTACATTTCTCCCGATCTACCTCTACCCCATCGTTTGACCTTTCCCCACTTTCCTCCTTGTTCCCAACAATCGTCCTGCCATCTTTCCCAATCTCTCTCCTTCCTCCTCGATTGCCCGTCTGTTCCTTCCTCCGACTCTCCAGCTCCCCTCTCTATCTGCTGATATCTCAACGCATCCCTTGCCCTAGCCAGATCCGCTTTCTCGTTGATCCATATCAATCTACCGGGAGGTGGAGACGCTGTCGAGCTGATTCCCATCTTCATCATCCCGGGCCAAGACCTATGTCCAGTCCATGGTTTTCTACCGCGGAATAATCTCCCTAGAAAGTACATTCGTCTCATAGCTAGCTGAGGTAATCCTCGGGGAAAGTGGGGATAGCGATACGAGAATATCCTGCCGAGCCATGTAGGTTGTTGTTGATGGGGAATAGAAGAATGAATGTGAGCTTGGTCGGCTAATTCGGATAAGAGAGGTAAGTGTTGACTATATTTTCTACCACCGGCATTGAGGGCGACGCGCCTGACTCGTCGTAGTATACGGAGACCGACGTAGGAACAGAGGAAGGCTATGCCTATGGCTGTTCCGGAGACAATGAAGAAGGCCTGAGGATGGCTTTCGAGACGGGTCAATAACTGAAATGTCAGTGAAGGGCATCACAACGGAGAGTAAGGGACTGACGTTCATACCGAAAAAACCCGCGACCAGGGCACCAGAGGTGACTCCCAAGGTGATGATGGACACTTTGATATCAAGTGCTAGGAGAGCGTTTCGACCCGAATCCAGCATCAGCTCGGTGATCTCTTGAGTAGACTGCATGTTTGCCTGATCATTAGATACTACACTTGGTAAAGAGGTTATCAAACATACGACGGTGGTATCAACTTCAGATACGATCTCTTCTACTTGTTTTTGAAAGCTCTCGAGCAGAAGCTCCAGTTGCTCATGATCGTGCAGAGCGCGAGGTTTCCCCTGAGCTCGGGAAGTGAGATACATCGCCGAAAGGTCCTCATCTGGCACATCAGCTCGGCTCGGAGCAACATAATATTGTGCGGTAGAGATTCTGTTCCAGCCTCACGCCTTCTGCTCCATTCGAGGTGATCATATCATCGTAGAAGCCCTAGCCAGTGTGAGAGTTCGGACGTCCCCCTGTAATCCCAAATCATTCAGGTATGTTAGGCAGTGTACAATTACATAAGCAGTGTACAAGCAAATCATCACTCACCAGAATCCAGTAGCTCATCCACTGCTCTTTTAACGTATCTCGCACGGGACTGAAACCCGACTACCCTCCTGGAATAGTGTAAAAGCTTCTTGAGGTTCTCGCGGTTTATGTCATCTTCAAGATCGGCCAAAAGCTGCTGAACTATCCGTCTGCAGTAGGCCATCTCCTCTTCCAACGCATTGGCTGTGGCGACAAGGATGGACTCCAATGCTCTGACAAGTCAACTCGGATCTCTGAGTGAAATATATCCGAAGTATCAAAAGACGCCAGCGTCGAGCTTTGCCAAAATCGGTCACTTAAGCTGGGGCAGAAAGTGGGCGGCGAGTGTGATCAAAAACCCACCGATGTTCATATGGTAACTCAACATCCTCATCACGAACTTCATCCCCACACCTGGTGGACAACCCAGTCCGGATGTTCTTCTCTAAATGCCACTTGAATTTTCTCTGAACCTCACTCTCTACGGTCCCCGCAGTGTCGAACACGATGACCCGGTCGGGCTTAATCAGCGCTCGAATGTGTAAGATGGAGATAAGGATGCATGATTTTCGAGTGAGTATGAGAGGAACCAGGTTTGGTGCTAAAGAGTCAAGTTTGCGCAGGTCACGAGGCTATTCGTCAACAGAGGGCCGATGATGGCGAAGCTCCGAGACTCTAGAAATGGGTTTTTGAACCACCAGGATAGGGATAGATGGACTTACGTCCAGGTCGTGTTCCTTACACAGCTCTGATTTCTTATATCTTCCTTCTTCAGCCGTCCAGTTCCCTTCGACATCAAGGACGGAACCTATCCGATCAGCTCCCTATTTTCCGCATTCCACGTGTACACAAAACCTCGCTTCAAGCAGTAGTGATCGTGGGTGAAGAAGAGAGGAAGTGATTGGTTCAGGTTTCACTGAGTGGTGGAGTACTGATTCAGATGACTGTATTGAAACTGACATCGTAAACTCAACTCTCCTGCTTTATCCATTAAACTCTCGAACATTTTCATCTTCTTCTCCTTCTGCTTACCGTCATCTGCCACGGCGCCGCCGCTTCCTGATCGCTTGGCGGAAGGCGGAAGGGAGAGTCTCGTCTGAGTGGCCTCTGCCGACGGAGGGAACGAATGGGTGTAAAAAGAGGTACTAGAGGTACTTCGACGGGAAAACAGTGACCGCCTTTGTCCCCTTTGCATGATCGGGGTTCGGGGCCGGAAAGTTGAAGGACCGGCGAGGGAGGGGATCGAAGGAGAACGATGACATGATCGACACAGTGTTCGAAGGGTACAGGCGGACGACATGGGGATGATAACCTAGCCTGATGTCGATGACAGTTCCAAGTAGTAGTTGGTGATATGACTGACAGAAAGTGAAATCGAAGGTTGTTTCGAAAAAAAGTTGGTGTGCGGCAAGATCCGGAGTGAAAATGGGAGGATCGAATAATCTGCGATCGGGGGAAATGATGACATCGTCAGTGGTTCTGATGACGAGCACGACTATATTGATGACGAGTACGACCTATATGACGACCACGACCACTGTGACATTCTTACCCTCTATTTCTCCGTCTGATCTATCTGTTTTGGCGCTTGGTGGATATACCTGAATCGTCGGTGTGACCGGGACACTTTCCGGAGAGAGAGATGGACGTCGAGTTACCTGCCGACGATGACGGTGAGTTCTCCTTGTCGCTGAACACTGAAGTGGACTCATGCGTCCAGCTGTTCTCACCGCAATGATAGATCTCATGCGAAGAGTATCACCCCGAGAATCCGTCCGTGTACTCGATATGCTGAGCGAACTTCAACCTGAGCTCGCCGATGACCTAGCGGGTCATTTCGATATCAAACTAGATTCTGTAAAAGATGAAGATGGGGATTATATCCAATGTGACTATAATATGGTCGGGACTTCGTATAGGTGAGTTACCAAAACTCTTCCCCACATGCACTTTTTGATGATCAGATCTCCTTGGTCAAACACTTATCATCCCGCCATACCTGACGCTCCCCTTCCATCGCCCAGACTCAGGGAGTTGGAGTTGGTTCTGAACAAAGCTTTCAAAGTCTACACTCAGATGTATTTTGGCGGAGGGGTTTGTAGTGTTTTCCTGTGGGATTTGGAAGAAGAGAAACCTAGAGATATGGGTTTCGCTGGTGCTGTCGTTATCACAAGTCGTGAGTGAGCGGAGTATTTAAAGATGTTACTCTCTCGACTTCCCTACCAGTGATTCAACAACATGTTTCCAACGAGAAAATTTTCCCTATCCTAGAGAGTGTGTCTCCAAGCTATCACGTAACCTCTATCTCCCAGTGCAGGTGATTTCGTGATGATCCGAGATTCTATGTGAACGCATGATTTGTTTTATCAAAGAGAGGATTTGTCCAAGCTCATTACAGCTCCACCTCCCACGGACGCCGTAGACATGCGATGGGATTCTTTCCACGTCTTTGAATGCCACGAAAGAGGTCGTTCAGCGAAATACAAACTTACTTCGACCATTTCAGTCTTTCTCAAAGCTACTTTGGCTCCTGTCGTCGTGGATAAAGTCACGTCGGAGAATGAGGGTGAAGCGAATTTATGTGCACATACAGCTCGGCAGGTGAGTCAATCCTCAGGTCTCATCTGTCCATCCGCCAGGACTTAATCACCTAATAATTTTTGCCGTAGACAAATCAACTAGGAGTATCAAATATATCATCACGTCGACACAGTTTGCTACTCAATAAATCAATAAGAGCTGATCACAAAGGCGGAATACGATTATCTTCTCACTACACCTCAAGGACATGTGGCCAATATAGGTCGTATGGTGGAAGATATGGAGTAAGCGATCATCCTCCTTTACTTCGTCCTCTCCTTCAAGACCACCTATTCACATATCGAAGCATGTACTCGTCTCTCATCCTCTCGTGCTCTTCGAGTCTCTGCTTCTCAGGCCTTAGCCTTTCAAGGAATCACTGTTGCCCTGCAGTTTTCCGTAAAGCGATAGATGAATTCTTCTCCTAGAATTGCCTCCGACATTGTCGTAATGCCCAGGATCAAGTACTGACACGAAGGGGTAAGATGCGCAACTCCCTCTCTTCAGTACAATTTGAGAAGCCCCGATATGTACTTTCGGAATTACGATCTTCTTCTGTTCAACGGGCAAGAAATACACAAGCCATGTTCGCCGCAGCGATAAATGAAAGACTTGGGGTTCGTCGGATGACATGATGAGGTGAAAATCTATTTGTGTTTGATTCCTACATTCTGTATGTATCTCATCTTAGCATGCATCATTCATCACCTTCTCTCTTTACACCTCATCTTCGAGCATAGGTACCTCGATGGACTTACCAAACCCTTGGATAAAACTTGTGCCATGGGCACATTCCTTTCTCACTGTAGATCGAGATATTAAGATTCCTGAAGATCTTATCGACCGTCCTCGTTATCCATTCTGAAATGTATTGGCTTCACTGCCTCGAGATTCCCCTTCGCTAAATTCCTCTGAGGGTCCGATCTCTGACAGAGTTCGATCCGTCGATCGAGAAATTTCTCGGGTCGTCCCTTTCTCCCCAACGTCCGAAACGGCGGTATCATCCTCAGACACCTGGCGAGGGAGTTCGAGGTATCTCCAAGGTGGAAACCCCGTCCAAATGATCAAAGCGAGTATGACGGGGGTATATTCTAATGTCCCAAAAAGAGATTCGTGTGTAGATGCGAACCCGAAGAAACCTGGGATCAATATTTCACCACTGATATCGCATAACCTCATCAACTACGAATTGTAGCAGTTTTCTTTTCGGCTTACAGATGGTTGGAACTTTGGAGTTTCACTCGAAGCGATTTATCCCCCTTTTTGTCTATATGCGCTTGAAAAGAGAAGAGAGGTAGATTGAAGAAGGGGAAGAAGAAGAGAGAGGGAAGGAATGATACGAGTTACATGACAAAGACTCACCTTGTCCAGTTTCAGCAAGACGATATACCGTTCGTAATAAAATCAAAAGACTAGTTAGCGCTATGACCCATAACAGACTTCGAACCTCATCACGATGTCTTTTTGAGTTTGGCAAGGACATAGAGCTATGAACCCGGTTGATAGCTACAAAAAGGATGATGAGGAAGATGGAAAATGTGAATGTCTGAGTGTCAATTTCCCAGCAAAGTTCGTCTGTGATCTTCCGCCGATATCGTCGATGTCATGTATGGGACGAAATGAAACGTAGATCAAATTTTATTCGATAGTGGGTGAAAGATGGAGGTTAGAGTAGTGAGTAAAGGTTTGGAAGGGACTTTTGGGATGTGGGAGGATTTCAGGATGAGTTTGAGTATGGGAAAACTCACTTGGACGGCTAAACCAGCTAAGAGGATATCGTTGGCTTGTTCAGGTGAGAGTTTTGAAATTTTGCCAGAAACACGATTTGATTCGGCTGATCCTATGAGTGCCGCACCGAGTATTTGGATGATAGCTGAGGATCAGAGATCTCTCATCATCCCTTCCACTCAAATGAGTTTCTTGGGTGAATGGTTTTCCCGAATCACGAAGGATTCCCTTGGACAAAACGACGCTCTGGGATTTAGACTCCACCGTCAGAAGGGTTCGACAGTTATGGAAGTCGACATGACGAGGCCGAAATTTGTAACGAGCAAAAGCGGAGAGGGATGTGGAAGAAAGATTGATACTGAGGATATGAAGGTTGAATGAAAGAAACTTACTTGTCAAAACGTCAAAAATCACGAAGACTGAATATATCGAATGTCAATTGTCTTCTTCATACATTGAAATGAAGAACTCACACACCAAAACAAATTTAGCTCGAATCAACAAGAGGTTTTTGGCTGAGGGTAGGTGTTGAACTATCAAATTGATTGAGAGGTAAATAGCAGCTGAGAATAAAACTGGAGCCTGAAGATCAGTCTTTCATTGTCTTTTTGGTGAGTACTTTTCGTGAGATATTCAAGACATCTTTTGTCTTCTCTTCCCAAGACTCCATGACTAGGTTTGATCAACCCCATGATGACTTTTGTATTTCCGGGGGAGAAAGCTTATGACCTGTGTAGCTGTACAAAGTCTCAAAGGAGATCATAGACGTTAGATCGAGATGTCATTTCTGATTATTGACAAAGTTGTTAATTCCATAATACAAGAGGGTAAGTAGATAAGAGTAGAGTTGGAAATGAGAAACTCACCACTACGATGAGAAAATACTGAGCGACGAAAGATCCAACAACAAACGGTCTATAATGTGAATAAATTCTTGCTGCATAACCACCCGTTTCCATCAACTAAGATATCAACAAGACCTCAACATAATGTCATCACATAAACCCTTGTCATTCTGAGACAATTCCATAACAATTCCATTAAACATGATAACATCCTTCTTCTGATCTCTTGACCAACTATAATCGTCACAAGTATGACGAGCCGACGAGCAGATGAGTAAACTAGAAACAAGCAAGTAGACAAGTAGACGAATAGACAAGTAGACCAGTCAGTGTGTAAAGCATAACCATTCGATATCAAAAAGGTATGAAGCTGAAGTATTGCTTCTTCAGAGAAAGAAAACCTCCTCTTTAGTGAGTACATTTGGAAAAAAGCAAGTGTGATACAAATGAATCAAGGGGGAAACATGAAAACTTACACTTCCAACAATTAACAACCCATGAAACCATCTATACCCTTTTCTCTTCATTCCGTATCCCAAGTTGACGAGTAAAACCAATAAAAAAGTCGCGGATCCAACGATTGATAATCCTAGATCGGGTATGTAACCATAGATTATTATCCCAGCTTCATCAGGTGCGGGATCAAGGTTGATAGGACCATGATAATTGTCATCTCCAACGAGAGGGGATGTTGAAATTCGAGGATTAGGGATTGGAGAATGAAGATTCTGTCAGGATGATTATTTGGAGAGAAGGAGCGAATGGATGAGTCGGGTTAGTAATTAGCATGAATTAGTATCTCTGTATCACGTTTGATGAGGAGTGACGTCCTCGGGATGATGCCGTTAGTGCAGTGTGAAAGTCAAATTATCGTCAACTTGGTGAGAGTTGAACCGATGGCCGATGGGTGAACATTTGGTGACATGTTGTCAGGCACCCGGAGAGGAGTTCATCATCCCACATCAGAGATCGTAGAGTAGAGTAAGTTCACGATCGCTTGGCTTGCTCTGATTATGAGATGTACCATGGACCATGAACCATACAGTAGTGTCTTGTCATCCCTAAGACGATACAGAGGAAAACGAAACGAAACAAACGATGATTGTATACATCTGTCAACAATATCAAACCATGTACTCATGTACCATGTACCAAGTACACATCAACAAATCAAACATACAGTAACATTCTCCGATCACACACCCTCCTCCACCCACTCCCAAGCTTCCTGTTCCTCAACTTCACCAACTTTATCACCCACCATCTTAGGTCCCTTGATCACCGTCTTCTTCACCTTTCCTTCTTTCTCCAATTTCGAGAGATAACCTTTAGCATTACCTTTATCTCCCCAAAGCTTTTTCTCATCCGCCGTCTGTTTGACAAGTCGGACCAACCATCCCAAAGCCGCAGAGGAAGATTGGAATTTAGCCACATACTCTTCTTTATCTTTCGCCTTCTGTTCAGGAGTACGTTTATCTTGTTTGACTTTACGAGCAGGAAGACCAGAATTGAATTCTTCGTCGTATTTCGCTTTTTGCCTCTTGCGTTCTTCGTTGGCTTCGTGGAATTCGTGCATGAGTTCACCGAGTTTTCCATTGGCAACATCACGAAGGACATTACTGATATGATCGGTTTCTTCCGAATGACTATTGATGATTCCTTCCAGGTATGCTTTGACAGCCGAGTGACCATGGATCGCTTGACCGTGTCCCGGGTAGATGGCGGGTGGTTTGAGAGCTACGAGAACTTTGAGAGAGGTGAGGTCTGTAGTCAATATTTATCCCCGCTGTGATGAATCCCTCTGAGAGACGTAAAGGAGTGTTGTGATAAGCCGACGTCTAAAAGAGTGGTGTAAAAGTGGTTTGAGATGAAGAAAACGTACATGTGGCTAAATCGGTGAACCTCGCAGGACCATTCTCACCCAAAACGGTATCACCTGTAAAGACGCCCCTTTCACCTGTTGAATCAGCATCAATACCACACATTAAGGGATACATGCTGACGACTCACCTTCCTGGAGGATCAACGAAACACTGTCCGCTGTAACACCCGGAGTCCTCATACATTTGACGGAAACCCTCACCATCTCCGGCACTTCATTCCATTTCGGCTGACCTTCCTGATCGTATTTCAACAAATGCCTATACTTCGGATCAATGATACTGATCATCAAACCCGGCATGATAGGGTGAAACGGTTGGAAAGGCGAGAATCCAGTGTATGTACCCGGTACAAGATTCTCCCAGAGAGTCGCATCTGTGGTCAAACGACCTTTCGGGTCCAACGCAAGCTGCGCTTCATCGGGGCTTGGGAATTTCCACAATTTAGGTGGAGGACATCCACGTTCTTTGAGCGTCTTGAGCAACAAGGGTAGAGCTCCCACATGGTCCAAGTGTCGATGGGTGAGAATGATATGTTCCACATGAGGAAGACGACGATCTTGAGTAGAATTTGGTACCCAACCGGAACCGGGTCCATACTCGACAAGCATGAGATCATTTTTACGAGGATCTTCAATATGTTCTTGATACTGCTGAAGCTTGACCGCATCATGTTTTTCTTTGTCAGTGTATTTGAGGACAGCGTTCGCATGAGGTCCATTATAGAAGACTTCACGAACCCCAGACTGAAGACCGAGGTGGAAGAGATGAGTGAGAATGCAATCGACGTATTGTTGTGCGGTGTGAGGCGACGACGTGTCGATGAGAATCAAAGGGGCCAGAGGGTTGGATGGAGGCTGAAGAAGATAGGTGTTGGTGCCTTGCATCGTATACACTCCCGGGTTTTGACCAAGGACCCGGGTGACGTGTGGGCATGTAGGGAACTGTGTGTCAGATCTGTACCATCGCACGTACAATATGTCGACCAGATGACACCTTCAACGACAAGTCAAACCCGTCAAGGGACCGTTCAGATAACGACAGGGACGCTTGAGGAAAGATGGTCAATATCGATGAGGATAGAGACAAGAGGGAGGAGTTGTGTTGAGACTCTTCTCAGCCAGAGAGAGACCCAGAGCCGTAAGGAATGGGATTAGAAGCCACTCACACGGACGGCGTCGCTCAATCGTTCATGTGTGTCGATCATCTTGTTGTGGTTTTATATCTATCTCGAGATTAGCAAATTGGTCCAGTCGGTCGATAATGAGAAGAGTCACTTGAGCTGCGCGATGTGATGGTAAGTAGGTTGATAGTCGTCTTCCAAGACGACCTGACTTATATCCCGCCTCGATGTACAGCGTTACATAGTCTCAGAGGAGGCGTCGGGGTCGAATTTCAAAGGACGACTCACAAAGGATGTCGGAGAAACATAGCGTCTGGAAAAATCCATCGTATCGTCGTCACTCGCCGGCGTGGCGGTGATCTGAATGGGAAAGTTTGTTGGCAGACAATACCGTATCCCCCATATTTGCTTGAGAACGAAACGTCTGACGATTGGATCTATGACAGGTGGGTAGATCGCGGTCGTCCGCGATCACTGCGACTTCGGCTTCGGCTTCGCCATCCGTTGGATAGAATACTCCTCAAGCGAGTTTCCAAAATTTCCAAAGTCTTGTTCATCTCCCGGGGATCGACATGAATCACTTCACTGGCGGAGTCCATAAGGACCTGTAAATCGTTCGGAAGTACTCCACCTACGTCGGAGGCAATGAAGGAAGTGTAGAATTCTCCTGGCGAAGGAAGCACCTCATCTGTGGGCATGTTGAGGAGATTAGTGGACTGGGGACGAAGGAATGAAGCGTGGAACGCAGCCCAGGAATTGGGAGGAGGGATCTTGGGCGGTGCCGGGTGGGACGTGGGAATAGGGAAAGGTCCACCGACTGTGCGTCAGTATGTTCCACATGTCAGGAAATCTGCTTACATGTCAGATCACGATCTTTCAAGAGGATAGCCTCGCTTGCATCGAGATAACGATCAATATCGTCCATTTCCATCGAGTAAAAGTCCCTTCCATTAGTAATCTAGTGACACAGTCAAGTATCATGTTAGAGACTCACTTCTTGTCCAAGTTATGTCGATCGGATTTTAAGACACCAGAACTGACCCTCTCACGAAGCTCTTTGATCCATGTTTCCAGGCGAGGGAGACCATATGCCAAGTCCATATCGAAATCGTCATGTCTGTCTTATCAGAGGATATTAGAGAATGGATCTGCGTGGAAACCGACCTTTTTTGTCCGTCAAGCCCGTATGTCATTTTCATGACTATTATCCAAGCCACCATCACTACCATTTCCGGCATGATAGCATCATGGTGCCTTGCCGAACGCCGATACGTGTTGATTGAGCGATCCGCGTCCGGTGAAGAAGCTCGTCTCTGTGAACGACGTCGGACAGTGATGAGATCTGGAGAGTCAAGGAAGAGATTGATGTCTAGCAAGGCTAGGAGATGAGTTACTTGAGAATACATGGTTGCTAATCAGTCAGAGCAGCTCTTCGTGCATAGTTCACGTATCTTTTCGCGAGTTCGTGTGCCGCAGTAAGAGGTGGAGAATGAAATATCACATAAGATGAGGACATACGTGTACCGCCGACAGTGGAGAGAAGCCGCCAGGCCAGCGGGGAAATGTTACATTCTGGCAATTTTAGACCAAATCGTCGACCAAGCACTTGAGCAAACTCTTTGCATCTCCTGAACAGTGTAGAAGGACTGGGAGAACGCTGAACATCAGCTTTTTGCTGGACGATTAATTATTCGCCACGTACACCCGGACATAAAGCCAACATGACAGCTCTATTTATATGTTTCCTCATTTCGTAAGAAATCAAGGTGGATCGTCCAAAGTCCAGATAGGGGATTCGGTTCATATTTACTAGACTGTTCGTGAGCTCAACTAGGTAGAACACCTTGACAAGAGCATACCTTTCCATATCAACGAATAAGACAGGAATGCGAAGGATCCACATTCCCACGAGAAGAGTGATCAGAGTGTCGGATATCGCGATTCGTCTATGCCGTGTACGCTGGATACCGCCTGTATTGGCCTCTTCGGTTGCTGGGTGTTGTTTTTCGTCCGAGTCAGAATCCCTTTCGGATAGCTCCATCAAGATGTCAGAGTCGATATCCGGCTCATCGGATTTATGGTCTTCCAGCTCCGAGTCGGAATCGGGATCGTCTTTTTCGTCTTCTGCTAACTCATCGTCTGCGACAGCCTCAAGTTCCGGGGCCGTTACAGCTACTGTAGGATCTGGCTGCGAGAAGAAAGCATGACCTTGCTCAGGATACGCTTGTTCGCCAGGTGGTTGAGGCATAGGTGAAATTGACAGCTGATAAGTCCAGAGATCTCTGACCACTCGCTGACTCATCAGCTGAATAGAGGGGACGTGGTTGAGCTGACCTCAAACAGATCAGGTAGATCCCATGACTCACGGAGCGCAATTACTTGATGTCTGAGTAGAAGCTGAACAGCCTGGATCCTCAGATACTCGGCGTCGTCACCATGATAGTCTTTGCATGAGTTGGCCTATAAGTGTTGCTTGCGAGTGGCTCACAATCAACATTGGCAGCACCATGTTCTTTTCTCTTGTTGATTCTTGGACCTTTTCTCTCTCTTCTCCGTTGGAGAGCATGAGGAGTAGCTTCGGTTACCAGATTCTCAGAACGGAAATCCTGTGGTTCAGCAGGGGTAAAGAAAGAAAGGAAGGGACCAACCTGATAGACATGTCCTTCTTCACAGATGGACTTACCGGTGACACGATCCTTTCTCCACGTCTTCGAGCCGCATATGGGACAGGCTCGTACCATGGTGATGTAGATAGAGCGTCATGTGGTACGAGTCAGAGTGAGATGAAAGATGCATACCTGATGGGATTAGGGGGTGCAAGTGGACGGAAGGGGTGGAGGGTTTCGTCGGATAAACCTAAAAGAATACAGGAAGAAATATAAATTTCAAGATTTGACCCGGCGCTGGGTCGTCCACTTTGTACACCATACAACCCTACAATCACACAACCATACTCAACCTCAACTAGACACAATGGCAAAGATCAAGAGACGTGGAGAGTCCGGAGCGTGAGTAACTGATATGTGGTGGAGATCTGGCTGATCCACAAAGGGCCAAAAACTACATCACCAGGAATCAAGCTATCAAAAAGCTTCAAGTGTCCTTGGCAGATTTTAGACGGTTGTGCATTCTCAAAGGTGAGTTTCTGTTCCTTCTCTCCTTAGTTGATGATGCCTCACTATATGACGCCTCACTATCCATATCCTCATGTATTTCAGATGATGGGGGTGTATATGGACCGTGATGAACACATGACTCACTCCAGGCATCTACCCTCGTGAACCTCTCAATAAGAAACGGGCCAATAAAGGTTCATCCGCCCCTGCGACGTTTTACTATCACAAAGATATACAATATCTCCTCCATGAACCCTTATTGGTCAAGTTCAGAGAACACAAAGCATTCGCCAAAAAACTCGCACGTGCTGTAGGAAGACAAGAATGGGCGTTGGCCAAAAATCTCGAAGATGCGAAACCCGTAGCGAGATTAGATCATTTGGTCAAGGAACGATATCCGACTTTTACCCTCGCATTACAAGATTTACAGGATCCGTTGAATTTGATACATCTCTTCTCGAATCTGCCTACGAACCCTGTACCAGGACGGACTCTGGTACCTATCGAGGTTATTGAGGGGTGTGGTAGATTGTGCTCCGAGTGGAAGGTGGGTTCGACTCAATGTCACAGCCCAATCATCCCTCTCTATCTCCTCCTCTTTTATCCCCGTGTGTTTGATTCATCTGTTCCAGCTCTTGAATAGTGGTTCTATCAGACTAGTGCTTGTTACTATGAAGTGGAATTCGAAATGGAAAGCTCAGTGTGAAAGAAAGAGACAATGCTGACATCCAGGTATGGGCTATCAAAACCCATTCATTACGAAAAGTCTTCCTTGGTATAAAAGGTATCTATTACGAATGTCTCGTCCCTGGTCAATTGGGAGAACCCGTCCGCGTTCGGTGGTTAGAAGGTTACGAATTTCAACAACATGTTCCACACGATGTCGATTTCCGTATCCTTCTCACATTCATCGATCTCTACCGTACACTCATATCTTTCGTCTTGTACAAACTCTACACCATGGAAAATCTTGTTTATCCACCTCCTCTAGACCGTGAATCTGATGAACGAGGGGAAGGTGTCGGTGCGTATCGATTGGTCGAACAAGCCGCTCCGGGGGTATCAAGTCATATCTCAAAGAAACAAGTGAAACGTGTTATTCAAGGTATCGTTTCTACTTCTGCTGAAGATGTTGAAATGGACGATTCTACACCTATCACACATGAAGTAGAAGAGGAGAAACAAGATGATGATTTCGTGGAAAGACCTTTTAAAGGTGATACGGAAGATATAATTTCTGTTCCATTACCTACATATTCATCTCTTGTGGCTTCTTCATCAGGCAAGACAGAAGATCATAAATTACTTTTCGAACCCTACACATTTTATCTCTCTAGAGAGGTGTCACAAAGAGCCTGGGAATTCGTCATTAAAGCTTTAGGAGGAAAAGTTATAACTTCTCTACAAGCTTCTAGTCCGGATCAAGCGACAGGAGCGGACAGTATAACTCATGTGGTATGTGATAGACCTATGACGACTGAGAGGATACGAGAATTAGAAGGAGGTAGGAAATGGGTTTGGGTACAACCGCAATGGGTGGCGGATAGTGTGAACGCAGGAAAGATTTTAAGTAGTGAGGAATATGGACCTGGGAGATTATTACCACCTCATCTCAGTCCGTGGGATGGGGAAGGAGAATTAGAGAGACCTTGGTTAGGTATAAAATCGGGTATGGAATCTCAGGTTACAACAGGTGATGATGTTCAATTGGAATCGAATGAATCGGAGGAAGAAGAACAGCAATCTGAAGTTGAAGATCATCAACAATCTGATGATGAGGAAAATGAGGAGCAGAAGGAGAAAATATCAAGACCGGCATTATCAGCAGCAGCACAAAACCCTACGGACTTGGCTTTACTTCATGCCGCGGAATTGGAGGCGGAAACTTCAGGTATACCTCATTCAACATTCCAACAAGAATTGAAAACAGCTTCTAAACGACATATCTCTTCTGGCGGAGGAAGGGTCAATGGGAAACAGGGAGAAGAAGATTTGAGAAAGATTATGATGACGAATAAGAAAGCAAAGTTGTATGAGAAGATGAAGTATGGGAATGCTGCTAGGGCTGAAGAGGTGAGTTATCCAGTCTGCATACATTTACAACCTGTTCCTTCTTTGTTGTTCGTGCAAGCTGTGCTTCGAGATATCCAGCGATGTGACAAGTTTCCTATTGTTGTGGTAGTGAGGCATAGCGGAGAAAGCAGGGCGGGGTTTCCGAAGAGGAAATCACGTTGAGCGAGAAAGCTGGGTTCAGGTAGAGATGTCAAGATTAGAGGAAATACTTTGGGATCACAGGAAAAAGCATAGGACGTTGCTGATGTCTCAGAAAGATAAACTGGAGAAGAAGAGAAAAGACATCGAACGACGAAATCGGAAGAATCAGTCTTAGAAATTTCTGACTTCTTCTCACATTTCGTCCATCCAGCGAGCTGTACGATGATAGCAATGAGCATCGATACAAGGCAAGACCCATTGGAATACCTGTTTAGATGTTTGAGTCGAGGGACTAATGGAGGGAGAGTAACGGTTAGAAACCGGGTTTGGGGGTGACGAGCCAGAGTTGAGTCAGAGGACATAGGGTAGATAAAGACATCGTCGATTCATTCACTATGCATTGTTACAAAGACTTAATCTGCCTGATACAGACTTGAATACAGAATAAGCATAATCAAATGATCTTCATATAAATATTCAAGATCTCCCTCTCTCTTTATCCTTCTCATCCCAAAAACCTTTACACCGACATCTGAAAGTCCACTTCTGCCTTTGTTTCCCGCCATCTCCCTTACCCCTCCCCTCCCTCCGTTGAGTAACCACCCCCCAAATAAAAAAAACCACGACAGGAGCAATAAATTCACTCTAACCGCCCTGTCTCTCAAAGTATCGATTCCAAGATCAGATATGATATGTTATGTTATGTTATGTTTAGATCGAAGAGACATTTCGCTAAAAGAGGAAAAAAAAAGAACTCAAGCAATACCCCAAGTAGCATGACCTTTATCAACCCCTCTCATATCCCATTCCACCACGGTCCTATCCGTTCCAGCATATAACCATTGTCCACTCGGATCAAAACCTAAACCGGCATTACCTCTACAAAACATACCTGATCTAAACCTTCTTTCTCTTTCCCAAGAAGAAGATTGAATTTGTCTTCTTTCCGATCTTTCCGATCTTTCTAATCTTACTCCACCTACCATATCTTCTCTTATCCTACCTTCATCACCTATCACTTCTGAATTTTCCGTCGTTCTTACTTCTGTATCATCATCTACTCTTCCGACAATCCCTGATGATGTTGGATGAGGGTAAGAAGAATTCGTATGGGATGTGAGTGAATTTGAAGAATAAGGAAAATTAGCATTTGTTACTGTTTCTTCTGAACTTGAAGGAGAAGGGTTCGTAAAGAAACTAGGAGCTTCTCTTGGGATTGGTAAAACCAAATGAACGTTGAGAGTTCTAGCGTCTATGAGATGTATGTAACTATCTTCTTGTGAAAAAGCTAATATATCCCTTGATGAACCTTCTGGGGAGAATTTGACCACACGAGAAGCGGGTAGACCGGATGTACTTCCTCCCGCTCTGGGGTCTCCTGTCATGGGATCGATAAGGAGTGGAGCGGGGGATTGGAGGTCGGACATGAATGATGGTGAAGAAGGGGAGGAAGGAGTAGTGGGAGTCGAAAAGAATTTGGCCAGGGGGAGAGAAGAACGATGATCGTAGACTGTGACTTGACCGTCTGGTCGTGAGCTTTGTTTCTTTAAATTTATTCCCACTTCAGTAAGAATTCTCCTACCTCCGAATCTCCCGCAAGACTCTGGTAATAATGTCGAGTGGGAATGAAGCTATAGACGTGCTTACAAGCTATCATAGCAGCGTGATGATGTAAGGACTGCATGGCTAGAGGGAGGAAAGTTGGGGGAACAAAACTCACCTTGAGAAGCCACGGCAAATTTGCGTCCGTCTTTACTCCACGCCGAACTAAAGTGTGCGTCCGTGGCGGCTTTTTGATCAGCAAGATTGACAGACAGAGTATAAAACGTACCATTGTAGACGGCAATCTTCTTGAATTCCCGGCCACCGTCAAGAACCTGAAAGAGATTGATCTCCGTCGAGTCGCCGACCGATACCAATGTTGACAAGTCGGGGGAGATGGAAGCTGAGCTTAGCTCACTCCAGTCCACAACGACAAATCCAGCCCCTGAGCCCGTGAAGAAACTGGGGTGGTGATCCCACAAGGATGATGACTGACTGACAAAGGTTCAAATGCAACGGCAAAGCTGCTGTCACGTCACAATTAGAGTCTTGGAGATAGGAGGGAAGAGGGCCTGATGAAAGTTGACAACTCACAGTGATTGATAGGACACTTGAAACCCGTCCATCCGATCTTGTTCAACCTCTTCCCTCCTTCCTCCGTTACTCTATCAGGACCCCAATCTTCCCTTGGTCTCCCTCCTATCCCTACACCGCCACTCCTCTGACTCTCCCTCAATCTTGCTAACCTTCTCGCACTCGCTCTGACCTCATTCACATCCCCTGCAAATGTACCTAAACGCATTCCAATGGTCCTCTCAAAGTCTTCCCTTCTTCTCCTCAATGCCTCACTTTCCGCTCTCAGCTCCTCCTGGGCTCTCTGCAACTCGAGCTCCAAAGCTTCTTCCTGCCACGGTCCATTCCTTTCCCATCTTCTCCACGCGTCATCCAACCCCAGAGTTTCCCATATGGTGCGAGACCCGAGACGTGAATACAAGTCCAGATCGGCCCTACCCCACCTACGTCGATCGGCATTAGGTGAAGGGGCTTCAAGACGGGATTCAAGGAATGTAGATTCGTAAGATTCCGTAGTCGCACTGGAGATGGAAAACATTTTGATGGATTTATCGTTGTTACTGACCAATAATCTTGGTTCTTCTGGTTCTTCCTTTTTGACTCGATGTCGGGCGCGAGAATTGAGTCGAGGATCTTCCGATTCTTTCTTCGGTGGACGAGACGCCGGAGGGTATTGGAATGATACACGACGAGAGGTGACTATTTGCGGTGGAGGTAGACCACTGAGGCGGAAATGATTAGCTCTGTTCGAAGAGAAAGACAATTGAGAAGAAGAAGAAGAGGCACGTCGAGGACCAAGAGAAGATCTATCAGATGTTAGATGAGGCATTCGAGGAGCATGATAGAATGGAACAGTGTTTGGGTAAGTTGCTACGCTTAAAGGACTAGGAGCGTCATCTAAATCCATGGTATCGTCGACGACATTTTGATCATCATCGTCTATCTCTTCCGATTCTCGGTCCTTCCCAGATCCGCTGACATGACGAGATGAGAATGATTCGGAATCAGAACTTTCTTCGAGATCGTCCCATTTCCTAGATCCATGTCCTACGAAGCCGGCCCATTTGGTTTGTCTATGTTTCCGCCATCCAGAGGGATAGGTAGGTAGTAGAAGGAGTGAGTTGTTGATGCTATTGGTAGGTAAAGTGAGAGAGATGGTGAAAGCTCCATCTGGTTTAGTGCTGGGAGGGCTTTGAGGCCTCGGGGAAGGGGAAAAAAAGGCTCGAGTTGAGAGAGAAGGATATTTGGGAAGGGTGGTTATGTGTAATTCCCCATGTTGACCGCCAAAAGCAAGGATTTGGCCACTGCAGATTAGCTATATCTAGGTAAAGGTAAGACTCTCGCAAACGAGTGAACAAAAGATCATGGTTGAAAAATGTGAAGAAACATGAACCAACACCGACCTTCTAGCTAAACAATTAGGCGTAAACGTTAAATTCGCAATAGTCTTCGTCGTTCCCAAGACCTATGATCAGCTTGACTCTCCATTCCTGTCTTTCGACCATCCAAGACATACGTCTCCAAAAAGCAGAAATCTTCACTCTCTAGATGTTCTTACCTTTCGAACCTCCTCTTCAAATCGGATACCAACAATACTCGGGTACGATAGCTGAGTATGATAATTCACCCATACCCTCAATCACGAAGTCCGACTACTTTTCTCAAGCTTCACAGGCCGAGGAAGAAACAACGGGCCGAGTTATACGACAATATGAAGTGGTAGGGAGATAATTTGAAAAAAAGACAAAACTCACTCGTCCAATCGTTCTCCCATCTTCATCATCCTCATCCTTCCCCGCATCCCAACGCTGTTCCTCTACGCAATTTCCACGAGGATACAAGACCCTTCCTTTTTCCAAAGGTAAGATCAGATCTCTCAATTGAGGATGCACGATTGTTATTTTAGCTTGACGAACAGAGGTGGGGTTTAAGTTTAGATCTTGGAGTTGACCCGATGGGGTTTGATTTGGTGGATCTCTAAATGCTATCAGCTCTTGCTGTGCTCTCACCTTCAACCGTCGTCTTGGGAGACACACAGGTGGTATCGAGTGACAGAAGGTAAGCGTGAAAAGGAGAAGAAAGATGAGGTAGATGATACTTACCTAGCCATGTTGTATGAAGTGATGAAGTGTGAGTACAGTAGTAAGGAGTGGTGGTGAGTGTGATAGAGATGTGCAGGGGGGTGGCAAGACGTCATCAGGTGGTGGCGAACGGGCGATACCTTACGCAAAGTGGCACTGCCACTTTCCTTCTTTTTTCCCCGGTTATCGCCCACACCATGGCAGTAATCACTCTACTGGTAAAGTGGGCTAGGGAATACAGAGTAGGGAGTAGCCAAAGAAATGCATCATGCCAAGCCCCATTACACTCATCTCTACGTCAAATCCTCGATGGATCATGTCGTTGGTTCATCGTTATCTGGAACAAACCTGAGGGATGAATTGTCCCATTATAGCCACCGGAACCCCCCAAGCGTCTCTCCGGATAGTAGCGGAAAAACAACATTTAATAATGTTATATTGTTCCATCCAACCTGAATCCGATCCCGGTCCTCCACTTATCAATTGGTGTACTCCAACACCACCCAGATGATTGGAAGGTATATGGTCTAGTGCGGCTCCGGGAAGAGAGAAGTCCGGTGGGAGAGGGTTTGAAGGTGCTGGACGGGGTGGGGGTAGGGAGGGGGTGAATGTTCTGGGAGAAGGACGACGACGGGTCAGGGATTGAGGGATTTTGAGGGTTATAGAGAGGTAAAGAGCTCGTTGACCTATCGATCAGAACGATGCATGATCAAGAATTGATGTGTGATCGGGAAAGTAAGGAGAATTGAGAAAGACACATCGGGGGGTGGGGGTGGTATGAGGAAGAAGGACACATCGATGAAGCAGCAGCACAAGTTGCAGTTAAGCTGTAATCAAAGCAACATGAAAAGACTCACCAGCATCCAGACCGACCTTTGCATACCCTTCCCAAAACCTCACTGCGCTATCCTCATCCATCAACTCGTAAACGCACAGCAGCCCATTCCGAAATAAACTGGCGGGAACGCCAGTGAGATTGGCAAATTCCTGGTTCGCCTTCTGGATTTCTCCAGTACGACGCCAGATACAAGATGGGGTGTGTATCGCTGGAGGTCAGTTGATATCTCATTCGTAGTCCTGCTGGAGTCTCAAAACGTTGAGCTAGACAGAACAGACATCTGGAAGGCAGCCAAGGCGATAGCAGGGAAACAGATAGCGGTACGACCCGCATAGATGCCGCCCAATCTGAAATATAACACTCACACGCAAACGCTCGATCATACTCCAACATCCATCTCTCCATCGCTTCCTCGATAAAGACAAGATCCACATCAGTCAAAGTTCTGGCTATCTGTCTGAATTTTGGTCGGAAGCCATTCAAAGCAGCAAGGATGCGTCGGCGTGATTCGGGTGAGATACTGTTGGCATATGTCGGGACAGGAGTGGAAGCTACAAGTCAGCTCTCATGGATCCACGGGGCAACTCATGGGACACTCACAAACAGGTCTTGACCCCGCTTTATTCTTCTCCCGCTTGCTGGGACTACTCGGAGCACTCTCAATGACGCTATCCGCCTTCGGGGCCGCTCTACCACTTTCCATCCACTTGTTCATCCTTTCGTACCCTTTCACATAGTCGTACGGCTTGAGAAGTCCGGCGTCGTATTTCGCTTTGATCACTTGAGCTAAACGAGCAGCACGAGGACCGGAAGGTTGATCCGCAGCTGCTAAGAGGTATTCTTCGCTTTCTGTCAACCACGTCCCTTTAAATTGAGGACAACGTGAATTGTCAAAAGTTGATCGTCGTGGGCGATATATACAGCGATGATCGGCTAGACAGCCAGGAATGAAGGATTCTTGTAGCTGGCTAGATGAGAGACTCACAACCTCGACTTGCCAACTAAACCAACTCCATTCTCACCACCATCCGACTTGCCCTTTCCTTTACTCCCTGATGAGGCCTGCTTCTGCATAGACAATGACGAAGGACCACTTGTCGCGACATTTGGTCGAGTCTCGATCTGCAAGCCCGTCGTAGTTAAGTCGGCTGGGGGTACACCATTTGTTGTCCCCTGTATGGATCCAGGTTGATCTTTCTTACTGTAGGCAGTAAGAATATCAAGCCATGAGCCTGACCCGGTGGAAGGGAGAAAAGGGACGCCAATCTCGAGGAGAAACTTTCTACTGGTCATCACGAGCCCGCTGCTACCAAGGTGTTTGAGGGACTCACGACAAAGCTCCAAATTCTGGTTCTTGCGCCTCGGGCCAATTCGATTGTCCTGTATTCGACACCGTCCCATCGACGTACGTTGGACCTGTCGCGGTTGTGTCGGGTAACAATGGCCAGGCAGGCGAAAAGCTAGTATCCTCATATAATGTAGGTGGCAGTTGACTCGAACCTGAGGCACTGGCCATATTGGCTGTGTGTGGTGCTGTTGGGAGGGTCACAGGAGATATATCTTCCATATGGGATGGGGAAGCACTCCGAAGTTCTGTAGATTGTCGGGGGATGGGTGAAGTGGGGTCCCGGCAAAGATGCGGAATCTCGCGTTTGATACTGTCTCTGTCAGAATGTCTCTTACTCTGAAAGGGACTTATGTCAGAGTAAGAGACTTATGAGATTACTCACCACCTCTCACACGGTCTACCGCCCTCACATACCATGTGACTAGTCGTCAGCACGCCGCAAAACTCGATTAGCATAGGCCCATGTCGATATAGGAATTCCAGTGATGGATGTGATAGACTAGGCACGAAGCCCAAACAAAAGTGGAGGTGTGAAGTGACAAACTCACCTTCTCCTACAATAAACACAAGCTCTTCCGGTAGATTTTTTCGCTCTCTTCTTTCTGACATGTGAATCATCTTCTCCCTTATGTTCCCCGTTGGTCTCCTTGTTCAGACGATGCTTATCGCCATGATGTGAGTCAGATAAGGATGGCTTGATATCTTCCCCTGATGCATAATCTTGACTATGACCATAGGAAGCATGTGAAGAACCAGGAGAAGGCCAGAGGACGTCTCGGAGTTTCGGAAGAGTATCTTGAGGGGGATATCGAGAAGAAGAGTTGTGGGGGGCGGGCGCTGGGGCGAGGCGTGGTTGGGACGGATATCCATTAGGATTGACCGATCGAGACATTGGTGGGGAAAATGGAGGGATAGAACGATAAGGATAATTGCAAGGCTGATGACCGGTGTTGTAGGTGCCAGGTGGAAGGACGATATAGAAGAGAGAGCTGGGCCAAGAAATTTGTGTATGGTTGACACCCCAAAGGAGGAGGAGGGGGGAGGAGTGGGAGGGAGGGTAAGAAGCGGCGATGGCCGCCTATCCACGTGGGTTCGCTTAAATGCGAACGTGGCGGTTTCGAACAAGGTGGAGGTGGTCCAAACGCGTCTCCAACGCGATCACAATCTTTTCGTTACCTACCTCTACACTTTCTCCACTTTCTTCGCTTTCTTCTCATTCATATTGCCCTCCTTACACTGACTCACATTCTCGGTCAGAAATGAGTAAGTCGGCTTCTCGGTAGAGGAGGTGACATCAGACTGATACTCCAGGTACCATGTCGCAGCGACCAATGACACGGTCTAGGGTCGCGTCGCTTGCGTCGAATGAGCTTCTAAGCAACTCGAGTGAACTTTCCACAGATTCGAGCGGAACTCAAAGGGCAATCAGAGGGGAGAATGTAAGTTTCCGATTATGTGTAGTGTAGTCGTCAATGACGTGAAGCACGTTCCTCGAAGATTGATCAAACGAGAGAGGTCCCCCACACATGTCATCCACCATAACGTCAGCACGACCACCATCTCAGACGACCCAGACAATTCTATTCTACCCAGCAACGCCATACAACATGCCACCGCATGGGCTAGACGAGTGAAGGAGGAAGCGAAACGACAAGCTGCTCGGAACGAACAGAAGTTACTGGAGGCGGAAGAAAGAATGGCTCGCTACCGACGAGAACGGAATGATTTTTTGTCCCAGCTCAGGAGGGAACAGATTATCCGAGGGGAAGTAGGGAAAGAACTCGAGGAAGAGCGTAGTCAGCGGAAACAAGTAGAGAAGAGGTTAGAGAAGGAGACAGAGATGGCAAGGAGATATCTGGAGTTCGCTCGGGCCCATCAAGAAAGGGGGGAGAGCTTCAAGACGATGTACGAAGAGTACAAAGAGAAGTATGAGAAGCGTAAAAAGGAAATGGACAGGTTGAGACAGAGAAAGGGTGTTCTATCTGGGAAGGTCAATGAGTTGGCTGCTTTGCTCGGTTGCTGATAGGTACGTCGATTCGTCTAGATCCGTTCATGCCTTCGTGTGTAAAACACTAAAATCACTTACGTCACTCTCACCACGTCGCCGGCTCCTTTGTATCTGGTACCATCTCCCAAAGAAGGACCATTGCTGACGGTATAGTGAATCTTCACCTTCCGTCTGCATGTTGATTAGCTACGATCCTCCTTCTATTTCTCCTTACATGTCGTCGCACGCTAAGCAGCTCATCTTTCAGATTGAATTTGATATCTTATCGGCCTAAAGCGACGTATCTAAGCCAATTAGGAAAGATAAAGGGTTTATGTTTGGAAAGCTGAAAGGAGTGAGTTAATGGCTTCTCTCTCTCTTCTGTCTATGCTAAGAGGCGCCAGGCATAAAGCTTGTGGAAATCGCTCACTAATTGACCCTATCGTTCCTTGATCTTACATACACATCTTCACTAGTCAATTACATCAATGGACCGTGATCACCAAACAGTTGATAATTTAGGAGAATCGTACACCCCCACGACTAATGTCGAATTCTCGGGCGGTAGCCTACCTCGGCCGTGGCTCGGAGCCAAGCTCGATTCGACAAATTTCAGCCTAGAGCTAACAAATTTCTGGCATCGAGTACAATGGCCGACACCAAGAATCGCCAAGAAAACTGATCCCTCGAGCACCTTACTTTACTTTGTGACCGGGAGAGACGACGAAATCACGTACATACCCAATACACATGCCGTCGACGCTATTGCCCGACTATGGATTCCACAGCTGAAAGAAACCCAGAACTCATATACGGTTAAGTCCGGAGCCTCGGATTATACAACAAGAAAGACGAATGTCAGGCGTGTTACCGGTACTCTGATTGGAGCCGTGATGAAACGGTCATATTTCCAGGTCTTGGAGACACTTATGGCCGAAGATTTATTACAGACGTGCCATAGTATGACTGTGAGTACGTTCCTGATCGACTTCTTACCCTCTCATCCCACGGTGATGCGACATCTCAGTCCTGAGGTGATACATGACAAAATCCTCTTCTTGGCGCACTGCAATACCACATTTCGCACTTGCCGTATCGAGGTCAAAGTACAGAACAGGCAGGCCTGGTGGGACACCGTATCAACGCAGATCAGTCTGATCGACCTGACCGAAGCAGATGACAAGAATACTGAGGTGAATGATTGGAGGATGGATGAGGCTAGACTGTACTACTCAATCGAGGATTCGGAGGGATGCAATCAGTGCCCGTCGTGGTGGGTGCCTTCTCGGAAGGGATACGCGGAGTTTGACAGAGATCATATGATCATGGACCACGATAAACTAGTCAGGCAGAGCACATCTGAGTCTTTGAATCTTGCTCCCCTACAAATTGATAGCACCCTGTCGAACAATGGGTAGTACGGTACAAGTAGGGTGTGCAGAGACCATATGCACACAAATTTCTTGTAATTTGAATGCCTCTCACGCTTCCAAGTTATTTCCGGAGCTCTATACAGAGGGTATGAGCATCCGAGTGATTCAAACGTAAACCGGATGTCGGCTGATATATGATGGTAGGAGTGCGCCTACAAAGTGGTACAGAGGGGGTGTATCATACTGAACTGAGGAGTAGTCGGAATCTGTAGCCGACTCGTGATATGCGGAATCTAGATACATATGATGTATCCGGAAATTGAATTAAGATGAGTCATACTCATAATCCTTTCATACCTCTTCCCCATAAGCTGAGTATCAATTGAAGCTCTTGACCTGTCCTCCAGTCTCCCACCATCCTCTTTCAGCATCATGACTCCACATCAAAACAGCACAATTGTTTTACAAGACAATCCTGGGGAGCTAGCCCTGTCCACAGCCCGGGATGTGATTAGGTACCCTAGAAGCCAAGAGAAAAGTGTGATGAAAGATTCCAATCCGTCAATAACGTTATTTTGCTCCATGACCGATTCTGGGGAGGAGATCACTTATAGTGCAACACGCAATGGTCTGTATGCTGTAATGAGATCCATCAGGACAACATTGATCTCCATGGACGATCAAATGGAAGTTCCACCGCCTTCCCAAAAGCTCTCTCGATTGAAGGCGATGTACAGGGTTAAACGAAGCAAGTCATTGCTTCTTGTTTCCGCGACTCTCAAAGTATATCAGTCAGCATTGACATTGATGGTAAATGAAGGAGAGATGAGGGGGTGGCTTCAGGAGACAGTGGAGAAGGTTGTAAGTGACAATTGCTCTCAAGTCAGGGAGTCCTTTAGTGAGAGAAGTTTAGAGTTGGCAATCAGGGAGGTCCTGCTCCAGAATCGGCCTGATCCGAAGTGTCAAATATCCTTTCAGAGTCAACCGACGGTCTCCTCTGATAGGCACAGGTATCCAGTGCCCACAAGCACTGTCAAGAATAGCAAGAAGAAGGGTGGTGGTGTGAAAGGGGTAGGACGAAAGAGCAATGCTGCCAAAACTGCTGTTGCGAATAATGCAGCACAAAGGAGTCAACCAACTGGTGAATGGTAGCACCATTAAACAGAACACAGGATTGAGTAGTTTAGCCAACTGTTCCCCAAGGTTTCGGGTGATCAGGGAAGTTCCAGCCTAGGCTGAAAGCGAGGATGGATTGAAAAGTAATCCACACGATCCGGGCGACTTTCATCTTCCCTCACAAGGGGACACATCTGGTCGTGAATCGACAAAGTAGGAGTAGAGGCGGTGACTGAGTAGATGAATGTTAGACTGCACATGAGTTGATATGAAGCCCCTCAGAGATCTTCCTGCTCCTGCAGTCATTGAGTCTGTAAGTCGCTCAAACCTACAACAGGCCATTGCATAGCGTGGATGGTCCGCCATAGTGTATCACCACTTGGTGACATCAACACATGAACATGAGTCTGGACATCGTCTTCCCGTAGAATTCACCTGCTCTCCGATGCAGGTTCAGTTTGTATCCTACACCGTAGTACTCGCACTTGGACTTGGACTCATCTCCATGTCGTAGGGAGTAACGCGCGCGGACCTTGAGTGTGGACCCACTGATCTCTCAACACCTCCTTCCGTCCACTCCTACGTTCTGTCAGGATCACGCGGTACCACGGGTACCTTACCTTGTAGTCGTACTCTTTTCCATTCCCGTCCCCGTCTCCATTCCCGCGTCCGGGCTTACTCCGTTTGCTACTACGCCTGGTTCCACTCATTCGACACCTCTACCCTTTTTCACATCTCCGTCTCGGTAACTATCATCGCTCTTCCTCTCCTATTCTACCTCGACTTCATTCCAAACTACGCATGCTCTTATCGGTATCACTCCGCTCTCTTTTTAGTATATAGACGTAGTCTTTTCTCAGCAATGTCTTGTCGAATGTATTTTGTGTTTTCCTAGTTATATCATTTGACATACATCTCATCGATCTTACAGATCTCTTCGATACACTACATCACTAGGTTTGTTCCCTACAAGGCCTCATTGTCACAGCTCATCGACGCAGACTATTCCGACGTCTGGTCCTTACATAAAATACATTCGACCTTACTTGTACCGAACAAGACCTAGGTGATTACCAACAACACGTTATCGGTTGTTAACAATGTCCCTTCCTGATTCACCCACCTTTGATCGCACATCTGTCGCCAATCTTCGCGATTTTCGACATGATCGTCGCACTTTCCAAGCTGAACTCCAAGAGATGCGTCAGCATCACCAAGAACAAAATCAAGTCATTATTCAGCTTCAAGCAGAACTTGCCGCTCTTCGAACAGCGCCGCAAGCGGGGAATCGTCCTGCAGAAGGACAGGGGACTCTCGAGAACCTGAGACAAGAACCTACAGTGCACGGGTTCTCTCCCAACGTGGCGGTAATGGGTACAAATGAACCCGACCCGCATTCCAATCACTCCTCACCAAATTCCAACCACACGTCGTTGAATTTGAATGACGCGTTGCCAGCTGTCAATCAGCAACGTCCAATTCATACTCAACCAATTCCAATTCCGACAAACGCACATCGGGGCCAATCACACCTCAGAACCCCATTTACTAGTACTCCATTCTCTCAGACTCATCCTGAACGGTTCAGACAGGGGACTTACGAAAGGCAAGGTGAACATATGAATTCCAACTACGACTTGTTGGGTTCAGACATAAGAAAGATTGATATCAAGACCCCCGACACGTTTCACGGGAACGGGGACAAGGTTGATGCTTATGTGGCTGAAGTAAGGCTTTATCTGGATCTTAGGGGAAGAGGCATGAACGATAGATTTAGAGTTTTGTGGGCGGCTAGTTATTTGAGGGGGAAAGCAGGAAGGTGGTGGCAAGCGTACTACGTCAAGTCGGAAAAGGACCAGCCAGAGTGGGCTTTCAACTTGAGCCTTTTCTTGGAACAGGTGAAAAGGATGTTTGGAGATCCTGATAGACACCGCTACGCGGTACAACGTCTAAAACGTCTTCGTCAAGACAAGTCGGTATCGGACTATTACTCGTCGTTCCTTTCAATTTCGGCTGATGTCGATTGGGATGACCGAGCACTCAAGGATGCTTTCGAATCTGGACTATCAACAGAAATTCGAGTAGCTCTCGCAAATCGGGAACACCAACCTCAAACTCTTAAAGAGCTTGCAGACGCTGCAATTAGTCTTTACGTTCATCTAGAAGGTGTCAAAACTTCTTATCAATGGAACAATAATTCTGGTGGACAGGGCAACCGTAACAAAGAAGGGGATAGACAGAGGACAAACACACCTAAAGGAAATCCTACTACGTCTTCTCCGAAATCTACATATGGTCAGCGCGATTCCAACAACCAGAATGTGAAGAAAACAGACTACAACAAGTCCAAATCCAACTCTAGTAGGAAAAGTCTCACCTACGACGAGAAGAAATACAGACGAGACAACGGGTTATGCTTATACTGTGGCAACGCTGGCCACATGGCTAGCGCGTGCCCAGAAGCAAAGAAGAAACCACCAGTAACAGGGTCAAATAAAATCAAGCTGAACACCCTTACCGTAGATAATGGGTACCCTAGGAGGGAAGAGACGTTGTTGGAAAGGGAAACCTTGAAGGAGGAGACAGAGGAAACGAACCATGTCCACTTCTCGTCCATGGTCAAGGAATCAATGATTTCAACTACACCTAGTAGTATTCCAACCACGCCCATCTCCGTTCCAAACAACAACCAATCACTTATCACAATTCCTGTTATTGTTATCGGTCAACCAAATGTACATTCCCGAGCCATGGTAGATAGTGGAGCAACAGTGGACTTTGTAGACGAAGGATTTATTGAACGTTCTCATCTCAAACCTACCACAAAGACCCAAGTCGAACGACTCCGTTTACCAGATGGCGCTACACGCCTTCTGACCAAGGAAATACGTCTTCGAATACTGTTGGGTGAAGGTTTTGAGGTGTACGAATCAACCTTCACAGTCACAAAAATCCACCCTGCCCCTATCGTCCTTGGGCTCACATTTTTGAACAAGATCAACCCAATTATCGACTGGTCAACACAGACTTTGATTCCACGCTCGTTGGAAACCAACAACAGGTTTCAATTCCTAAATATTATTAGCCCAGAAGCTTTCGATCAAGAGGTAGAACCTACCGATATTAGGGGTGCTGTTTACGCACGGACTGTACCAGAAGACGAAACAGAACCAAAGCAAATCGTACCAAAAGAATATTGGGACTATCTAGATGTTTTCTCTAAAGGAGGAGCAAATAAACTGCCTGAACATCGTCCTTTTGATCACCGTATACCCCTGGTTGAGGGGAAAACACCTACTTTTGGACCCATATATTCCCTCTCCCATATTGAACAAGAAGCTCTCAAAAATTATCTCGAAGAAAACCTGAATAAGGGCTTCATCACTCCATCAGAAAGTCCTGCTGGAGCTCCAATCTTGTTTGTTAAAAAGAAAGATGGATCTCTACGGCTCTGTGTGGACTATCGCAGACTGAATGAAATTACAGTCAAGAATCGTTACCCTCTACCCCTTATCGGAGACCTATTGGACCAACTTAAATCCGCCAACATTTATTCCAAAATTGATCTACGTGGTGCTTACAACCTACTACGCATAGCAAAAGGGGATGAATGGAAAACGGCTTTTCGTACAAGATACGGTCTTTTCGAATATAGGGTAATGCCTTTTGGACTCACGAATGCTCCTGCGTCCTTCCAACACCTCATGAACCACATCTTTAGGGATATGCTGGACAAGAACGTCATTATATATCTAGATGACATCCTTGTTTATTCCCCAGATATCCAACAACACGTTAAAGATGTCCGACAAGTGTTAGAAAGACTTCGTCAACACAAGCTGTTCGCCAAACATGATAAATGTGATTTTCATGTTCAAATGGTCGAGTTCCTAGGATATGTCATTCGACCTGGAGGGATAGAAATGGATCCGAAGAAGGAAAAGTCAATAAAAGAATGGCCTAAACCGAAAACGGTCAAGGAAGTTCAATCCTTTCTAGGGTTTGTTAATTTTTATCGAAGGTTCATTGCAGGGTTTGCACATATAGCTAAACCCCTACATGGACTTACCAGGAAGGGGATATCATTCTCATGGGACGAGAAATGTGACAAAGCTTTCGTCAGCCAGTCCTCCACCACAAAATCGAGGATTTTTTTTCGTTTCTTTCGCACGGATCATGGTACTCGTACTCACAGACGCTTCGGTGGCCTTTTTCAAGGACGCAAGTTGTTTACGAGTAACCATTGTTAGTAAAAGTGTTGTTAGAATGGAGAAGGTCAGAAAAGAAATGAGTAAAGAGGTAAAGAGAAGAGACGAGAAGAGAAGGAATCGAACTACACGACGAGGGGAACATTATTTGATAAGTAATGACACGTCATGACCACGTGGAATTCCTGACAACCATCAAATTCTCTTAACAACCATCACGATGACGTCGAGACGACGTCTACCGAAGGAGGGGAGTAATGTCAGGATCACGCGGTACCACGGGTACCTTACCTTGTAGTCGTACTCTTTTCCATTCCCGTCCCCGTCTCCATTCCCGCGTCCGGGCTTACTCCGTTTGCTACTACGCCTGGTTCCACTCATTCGACACCTCTACCCTTTTTCACATCTCCGTCTCGGTAACTATCATCGCTCTTCCTCTCCTATTCTACCTCGACTTCATTCCAAACTACGCATGCTCTTATCGGTATCACTCCGCTCTCTTTTTAGTATATAGACGTAGTCTTTTCTCAGCAATGTCTTGTCGAATGTATTTTGTGTTTTCCTAGTTATATCATTTGACATACATCTCATCGATCTTACAGATCTCTTCGATACACTACATCACTAGGTTTGTTCCCTACAAGGCCTCATTGTCACAGCTCATCGACGCAGACTATTCCGACGTCTGGTCCTTACACGTTCCCAATACGAGCAATGTCCTTTTACCCATGTTCATTTTCTGTGAATGAGGGAAAGATAGGAAAGAGGAGATCTCTGGAGATCTCCTTTCAACTTCCCATTCTGCTCAGTTTAAACTCTCATCCCCTAATAAGAGGGGAAAGGGGAGAGATGAGTTTCTCATCTTCTTCTTGACTGAAAGTGTTCGGATTTAGACCTATCCGACTATGTCTTCATCTACTGAAGCAATGCAAGGGAGAGTCACGTACTATGTGGACAGTTCCCTGTTGTCTCCCCCACTGAGAACTACTTGGTCCTCGATCCGGGTCCCTAAAGAATCTCACAAATCTTTTCATCCAGAGGCTATGCCCGAAAGGACCATAATTTGTGGTCTGGTTCACAACACTACAAAACACCAACTTACAGGGACCTCTTTGATAGCATTCATTAGGACTGCAGAGAGGTCATTGCGTGAGATTGAAAAGAAGTTGGAAGTCAGTGGGTTTCCTGACAACGTGAAATCACAAAAACGGAACACGGAAACCAGACACACCAGGTCATTAATCATAACCAGTGTATGTATCAAATTATTGGAGGATATAGTCAACACTCTGGCCGTGACAGAAGAGGGTCGAAAGTGCCTTTCACAGACTTTCACAGCAGCTCTACTCGCACCAAACTCTCCAATCAAGCGGTATCTCCAATCAAAATCATTGGAAGAGTACTTCCGAAGGGATCTACCAGGACTCCGTGGTTACTCGGTGCTGTTTAAAGCAGACCCCGCACTGTTAAATCTTCCACCTCGGTTTAGAGACAGGCAAAGGGAATGACAGTGATCCTCAATCCTGTCAAACTAAGAGAGAAGTGGTTCAGCTCGCTATAATCAGCACAATCAGAAGAAGTCTTGAGGCTGGTTTAGTATACAGATATTGATGTTGAGGATATCACACGGGTGATGCATACTCAACAGTCAGCAGGACTTGAGATGACAGTGTGTAGTTTCTCCTTGCTAGAGACACACTGTACATGTTTGTCTTAGTGTTCTATTTCAAGTTCACCAAGGCTGTAACCGTAAAGAGTCAGTAGTATAGTATCATACATACTGTACACCCGTGTACATATCATTGAGAGACCGATGGAGAGTCCGACCTCCTTCCTTATCTCATCCCTGTATAGACGGATTACTTTCCGGAACTGTCCGGAGGGATCTTCCCCAAATCTGCCCCGTAGGATCTGGTTTGTACCTTTCTCGTTGATTGCGGGATATGACTTTCCTTGAAGTCGTATCGATCTTTCCTTCCGGTTCAGAGATTTTGGGATACCCTCATGTATGCATGGTGTATAACGCGTGTGACTTCTATCAAATCCGTGGTGCGGTGGTCGAGAGATCGACTTTCGCGTCCGCACGGAGCTTCGGATCTCGCTTTGCCCCACAATAGGGTATGAGGATAACCATGCTTCTCTTGGACTGTGAGAAACTATGATTGCTCCTTTCTGCGGGGTTGGAAGAGGTGGAAGACTGTTGAGGGAGAAAGCTGTGCCTGTGGGGAAGGGGGGGAGGATGGTACGTGAGGAAGGATAGTACGTGAGGAAGGATAGTACGTGGGGGACAGGGAGAACAAAAGAGGTCGGGTTTCTTCCCACGATCTACCCCGAGGTCTATTGGGGTTGAGGGGATTATAAGTTTCAACTTATCACTACCATCTCTACATAACTATCCATCTCAACATATTGTAGGCTGATACATGAGTGCCAGTTTTCCAACCTCAACGGGGAAGGGGGAAAGTCAGGATTGGCGGGAAGGCCTGACTTTGGACCTGGAATATTTCGAATTTCCCAATGATGTGATAACGGGTATGTTGACAGGGAGAGGAAACACGATTGCCAAGTCGCCCGGTTCGGCATACATTGTAGACGACAAAAACAAGATCTCACTATTCTTAAGAATTGTAAGCGATTTTGCTCAGCTTCACAGGAAAGACCTGGCAGACATAAACAAGCTGCTTCAAGTTCAAAAGGGCTCTGCTAAGACCAAGCCTTCCTATCATCTTACAAGGATTGTCACAACAGAGGCAATGGTAGCTGCACTGATTGATAGCCTGAACACAGCTATGAAGGAAGCACTGAACGACCCTTTCCGGCATGACGATAGGTCATTCCTTGGCTTGTATAGACGTTTATCTCAGCTCCCCTCCTCAAGGCCCTTTGCATTGCTCAGCAAAGATTCAATCAGGTATCATGTCATTTGCCGGACACTGCATAAAAAGTTGATGGTGCAAGATCATACTGTCACGCTTAATCGGAAGTTTGTGCAAGGGAAGGACCGTGAGTGGATACAGCATATACAAGCCCAACAGACTCAAGGGACAGAATCTACTATTGGGGCATCAATCTCCACTAGTCCCTCATTTGGTTGTCCAATCAGTGGGGTGAGTTTGGAGGATCTTGAGGGCATAAAACTGCCACTTGAAGATCTTGATACCCTTTATGACATGGTGACCGATCTGGCAGAGAGAGTGGACCGTGGCTTACATCCTCTAACAGATCAAGCTTACCGGGTATCGCCACCACCCATGGAGTCGGGGTTGTTCAGCGGATTTGTAAGCACTCAAGCTCAGACCCACTCACAAGAAGACATAGTCCCACTGCAAGCAGACGAGATTTAAGGTACGTCGGAGGAGATTGACTGGGCGGAATAGACTAGGACTTTCAATGAATGAAGACAGGATAGGAGATAAGTTGATACTGTTTGTGAAGATCAGAAGAGATGAATGTCGTTGATTGGCATAAAGAAACTTGAACCATGTTCTCTGAGTTTCCGCCGGTATTGCCGTCACTGATAGTCAAGCTACTAGTTCTAGTTCTATGGACAGATACGTTGTGTTGTATATCCATTGACCTATCCCCATTCTGCAGGAATCCGGGGATGCCAAAGGATGAGATACGAGGTACGATCAATAGTTACTCTACACAAACGCACGGAAAATGATGATCACCCCTTTCGGCCCTGAATCAATCAACATCTCTCCTCTTGCTTCTTTTTCCTCTTTTCCTTCACTGTTCCTCTCTTCTCGACCATCGACCTAACATCGTCAATATGTCAGACCGTTCTATATATTGCGAACCTCGTTCATCACCTTTCCCCGACTTGACAGATGGTCCAGTGTTGGACTTTCCTCTTCCACCAGGAATGAGCAGTGTTGTGTTTGTGAGTAGAACTTACTTCAACCCTCGACAATCTTTCTTGTGCATTCCGTCACACTTCGACTGGTGATGATTAAAGCACGTATATGGACCACGAATCTTGCTAGATGGTGGGGATATTGGAGGTGCACTTGAGAAATATCGTCACTGATCCTCAGCCAGACTTTCGTTTACCCTCCGAATTAGGAACCATGGAATTCGATACCCCTCATTCTCCTCAGATAAGGTCTGCACCTTGTGAGTCGTCTTTAGTCTGCCTGGCTTTCACTGCCGCTCGATCTTATCACTCGGAGAGATATCCATGAAGTGATGAAGACAGCTGGGATCTTGAAGATAGGAAGGTAGTATCCTGACGATCAGTACCGAGGCAAACCAGAGGTGAAGAAGATGGTCGTCTTTATCCCGTTGGATTCGGTCGTCATACCACCGCAAGGACTTTATTTGCTCCATCACTCAGAGTGAGTCCCCCCTGTCATTACCATGCCATCCCATCTGGAACATTATCTATTCAACCAGGCGGAATGAATGTTGACCAACAGCTATCCTCGAACTCCAAACGAGGCTTAGAAGAACCTACCACTCCAGAAAGACCCATCAAACGAACATCTCTCATTCCTCCCAAACGACCATTCAGAGAAGGAGATTCACCCACAAAACCCTTTACTCCCAAATCCTCTAGGTCGAAACCTACCACCCCTCGATCTGCTAATCCATACTATGACCCTTCTCGACCTCAATCACCATACCACAAACCTACTTCTCCCGCTGTACCACGTTCACCATCTATCCGCTCTGACGCATCGATCTATACACCCAGGTCTTATACTTACAGATTGGGACACACTCGTCATAAATCGTCTCCCCCTCGACCGACTTCTGGGAAGGTAGCCAAAAAATATTCTTTCTTACCCAATTTCGGCTCCCCAAGCGAGGATAAACGAATTAGAAAATGGATTTCTCCTCTCAATATCAAGAAATCTCTGGCGAAAGCTAATCGACGTGCTCGTGGAGAGTTGGCAGGGTATCAAGAACTAGTCGAAGCGGTGGAGAGGGAGGATCAAGTCACGTTTGCTACAGCAAGAGCTGAGAAGGAGGCGGAAGCTATCGAACGTGCTGAAGCTCAAGACAAAACTCAAAAACAAGTATATACCTTGAATGCTGAAGTTGAGGATGGTGCTTCTGTGGAGAAAGCCAAAGATGATCAGGAAGATTCACATTATCGTACTCAAGCTCAACTTCGCATTCAAGCCAAGAATCGGGCCAGAACTCAGGCTTTACGACAATCCATTCAAGCTCGAATAGCCACAGCTTCAGCTCCTATTCCCGATAAACCTCTACTTCATCCAGATTTCCCCGCGATGTCAGCACTTCTCACCGAAACAGACCCACCCCCTGTCGCCCCACCGAAAGATGGCGCAAGAGGACGGAATGCAATACCACGATTATCTGTCGAATCTCTCAACCTTGCTATCAAACTCGCTAAAGCTATAGAAGAAACAGTGGCGATGCATCAAGAAGAACAACAACAAGTATATGACGAGGTTATTTCAGAGTTAGGGAGGATGGAGTCTGATGTTCAGACTGTCAAAGGGGAGTTAGCTCGGGCAGAACAACAACGAGATGCCGCGTCATGGGAGTTGAGTCAATCGAGAGGTTTATATCAACAATTGGAAGATTTACATAAACAAACGTGTGGAGAAGTGAGACAGTTGAGGAAAGATTTAGAACAATCTCAGAATCAAAGACAAACGGTAAGAGAAGAAGAGTGGAAGACTATGTTAGATAAGATGAAGGTAGAAAGAAGGGAACGAGCAGCTTTAGAATTACAATTGAGGGATCTAAAAGTTGCAAAAGAGGTGGAGGAGAAAAGAAGACAAGAATTAGAGGGAAGGGTGGATGAGGCGGAATTTAGTCAGAGAGCTTTGAAGGAAGAAGGGGTTAGGTTGATGAGAGAATTGGAGAAGAAGAGTAGGGAAATGGATGATATGGAGAAGGCTCATAAGAGGTTTTTGAATAGGATATGAGGGTGTAGGTACAGTAGATTTTATCGTGTTACATACATAGTTTTAGACCAAGAAGCCATGAACATTGCTCATAGTCGTCTATACATGAACACATCTATACCATCATTTCTTCCGACAAGCGTTCTAGAAAGATCTTGTGCAAAGGAAGGGTAGAAGATGATTCAACATGTGCATATCATCCAACCTCACTTTGACGATCTTCTATCTTGTCTCCTTCCTATGATTACTCAAGTACTGTGTTAACCGCTAGTCCTTACTTCTACTTGACAAAGATTTGAAGGGATATCATGCCGGTGAGTCCATAATCACTTTCCCACCTCACTCACAATTACCATCTGTAGCCTATGTTTAGGAAGGAAGAATCAAAGTTGGGCCATTGACGAACAGATTGGTTCCCCATCCCCAAGAACACTGGCAGCGCCAACTACAGTAAGGACAGTGGTGGATGTAAGTCTTTCTTTGTTCTCTTCTCCGCCCACCATACACCCAAAATCTCACATCTCACCATTTCAATCACCAATCAGGACCACTCTACAAAAGCTGAATGTTAGTCTTTGGAAGCGATCATACAACGTAAACGACCCGCTGTTCAAGAAACACTCGACTCTCCTGATCGGATCAAGATACTCAAGAGGGATGCTCTCTCACCTCGAAAGCGTCTCCCCGCTTCACGGGACACACCCAAACCTGTAATCGTTCTCAAAAAGGAGTCATCATCTCCACCTAACAATAGAAAGTCAAATGATGTTAGGCCTTTGTCAAGATCTCTTGATTCTACCGTACTCGTACAACTAGATTTCACTGCTTCGCCTTCGTATAACCGCGCCACATCATCAACCATACATGATACTTCTCTCATCGTCGAAACGGCAGATACGGAAATTTTATCCCCTGAAGATTTGACAAAACTCAAAAACATATCCTCTCCATTGATCACCCATGTCCCACCTCTCTTTACCCGCTCTCTCCCAAGAACAAGTGTTCCCAACGATCGAGAGGTCAAAGACGAGGATTGCGAGAACATCACACCGGACAATCTAGAAGAAACGATGAAACTCAGCAAGCTAGTCCTCGCTACCACACTCCATTTTACCAGAGCGGAAAGGGATCATTATCGAAGTTCTAGCTCCCAACTCCAACTCCAATTAGACAGCACCACCACTGAACTATCTCAAGCTCGTCATGATCTAAATGATAGTCGGAGTATACTACTTGATACCCGACAAGACCTTTCGGAGGCTCATAAAGAAGGGATAATGTTGAGACGACAATTATCAGGCAGAGAAAAAGCTTTACGATCAAAGGAAGAAGAACTTGATACTCTTGTGGCTCGTTTGGAACGGAGGGAGAGACGTATAGGTGTATTGTCAACTGAGAGAGAATCTTTGGTGGATAGGCTTGAAGAAACGACTGGTCAGCTGAAGGATGTGAGGATGAGGTTAGATAGAAACAGTGCTTTGTTACTTACCTTGGACGATGAGAGACGGGATCTTCAAGGAAGGGTCGAGGGGATAGAAGTGGAGAAAGACAGGCTGATGAGGGAGATGGGAGATAGAGAGGTTGAAAACGAACGACTGGTTCTGAGAATAGGAGATATGGAACAGGAACAGGCTAGATCCGATTTCTTTCTTCGGATAAGTGAGGTCGAGCAGGAGCGTGACGTCTTGATCGCGAGGCTCAAGGAGGTCGAAGAAGAACGAGAACGTCTGAGTGGAAGGGTTAAAACCCAGATCGAGCGTGATGATGAGGGTAGAGAAGATGATATAAAAGACATGGACAAGGGGAACGATGAGAGCGAGAAGATTTTACGCCAAACCATCGAGGAAAACGTTAAGATATGTTCCAAGCTGGAGGACCGAGATGAAGTCTTAAGGAAAGCAATTCAAATGCTCAAATACAAAGATACTATCATTGAGAGACGAGAACACAAGTTGAGTAAGGCAGCGAAGGAAACGGAAGAGATGAAGGAAGAGCTGGAAAGGGTGAAGAAAGCTTTAGAAGGTGCTAATGCCGATGTGACAAGTTTGAGGGAAGCGTTAATGGGGATGAGTTCGTGGAGGGATAGGAGATGAGGTAGTGATTTAGTGATTTAGTTTTCAGGACATTTAGACGTTATAGTAGGAGACTGGACAATCATCTTTCACTCATGATATTCATATTTGAATCAATTACATCTTTCCATACTACTTTATACCGATTACTTACCATCTTATGGTGGAACCCTGTGGGGGCGTTCCATGTACTTTTACGGCAAAAATGGCCAAGATCGCCACTTTCAATAAAGTGCCACATTCCCTACAGCCTCACGCGCCTATACAACATTTAGGTACCCCTCCCGCACGCCTAAACTATCTCGACCCTATCCAACTTCCCGACGTTGCCCCTCATACTGACGACTATTCAACAATAATGGCCCTCACCCGTTTACTCCGTACCATCCCGGCGTCATTCCAATCACTAGCTATTTCACGAGAGTCACGACTCTTCTCAAGATCTCAGAAGAACGTCCGAACTTTCACCTCCTCTTTAAAGTGGAAAGACGAAAATCATCCTTCTACTTCGCCCCACACGAGACCAGCAGACGTTGTGGCTCATGTGGTTCCAGGTCCAGTGACGATCCATGAGACTCCCGGAGAGATAACAGCGGATGTAGTTTCTGATGCTCCCGGTATGTTATCTTCATTCCATCTCTCCTCTTCTTATATCACTCACATTCCCCCCCCCCCCCCCCCTCCTCCTTCCTCCTTCTCTTCTAGCCTTCACCCCTCGCGATTAACTCACTTGATTCGATCATGTGTGAAAGACAGTCAAAGAGATGAGACAGAATTATCATGAGAAGTAGCTGGACTGCGAAGGTGAACGGCACGGAAAGTAGCGAGGAGTCGGACTTGCTATGAAAGAGTTTAATAGTGAGGAAAATGGTGAAAAATACTGACATACACTTATAGCTGAACTACGTTATCGACCCGTTCGGATTTACCGTCCTACCAAATCAACCATGCAATCAGCCAAGGGTAAAACGAAAAGATGGATCGTAGATTGGGATGTTTTACAAGGATCAGGAAGATGGGAGAATCCTTTAATGGGTTGGGCAAGTTCAGCGGATTATATGCAAGGTACTACTATGGCATTTAGGACGAAAGAGGATGCTATGGCTTTTGTCAGTTTTTTTCTCTTTCTCTTTTTTTCTCTTTCTCTTTTTTTCTTTTTTCGTATCGCTTCATTCCTCCCATTGCATTAATCAACATCTCTTTTACTTTCTAAAATAGTTCCACCTTCCCCTATAATCTCCACGGCTACCCTTCCTCCCTTCCTCCCTAACGCTCTCTTTCATCGCCTTCACCTGAGAGATTTTCATACAGATTATTTTAATACGTCACGACTGGCATTCCGTTCCGAACGTTGAAAGTTTGATGTGGATATTAGAATTGGATTTCCGATCAACTCCTGTCTGTCTAATTGTAGCTAACCCTCAGGCGGAGAAGCAAGGTTGGGATTATTATATACAAGAACCAAAAGAAGCGAAGATCCCTCCGAAGAATTACGGTCAGTCCACTTTACTTTTTCCCACACTCGTACACGCTACACTTGACATCGACATCCTTTGTCAGCCATCATAATGAACTTATGGGAAAAAACGAAACAGAAAGTTAGCTAACGAAATAGCAAACAACTACGTTCATATCCCTGGCAAATTGAGAATTCATCATACAAAATAAACTATGCATGATATTTCCCCTTCCTTACCCCTTAAGATTTGTGTTGAAAAGTTGATCACTCATCATGAGCTGGTACGTCCGCAGGTTGATGTATATGATCTGTATCGACCGTATGATGTTGAAGATGCAATCCTTTTCTTCTTCATCAGTTTGTCTTCCCGAACTTTTCTCTTCACAGAAACATCTCTCCACGCGGGGTATCATGAGTGTGAAATGGAGAGAATGGATCGAGGAAAGTTAAACGGGGAGGGAAGAACAAACTTGATATCCAAACATGCTTTCTCCAATATATTTGCCACATAATCGAAATCCTCCAACTACCAATTTCAGCTCAATTTTTTGACCATTGAGAAGGAAAGGAAAAGGGACGGACTTCATTCCAAACTTGAGCGGAAAACCTAGTCCACCATTTCCCACCGTGAACATACTGATTATAAGCTATCGCATCGCCAGACAGCTGATAGATGTTTCCCACTAAAATACCCTGTCTCGAGACAGTGGAGCACGATCTGCCGTTCAAGAGAGGCATGACGTGAGACTTCGCTTCTTTAAGGAGACTTCTAAGAGGGAAGGAACAAGGAGGAATGTAAACTTCAAGGATGAGATTTTTTACGGGATGAGGATCATATGAGGAGAGAGTAAAGTAGGTATGAACTTACACAAGGAGCAAAACAATTGGAAGAGAATAATGTATCTTCTATATATCTAAGTTGGGTATATTGTTCTTTCAAAGACATTGGAGAAGGTATATAAGGTAAGGCAACATTTACCTATAATGTCAAATTCCCTTACTCATCTGTGTCACTCTGTTTACCCCGAACTGATTTCGTCTCCTTCGATTCATCATTGATCCTTTCGTTTGAACTCATGATCACCCGTACTGACATTACTCATATTACGAGTATACGAGCCTGATATGCTTTTTAGGTCTAAAGCTCAAAAGAGGACCTAGGTAGGGGAACGGAAAGGAGTAAAGAGAGATACTGTAGAGACTGACCATGGCTGCAGTCAATATATCACCTGGAATATCCATCACTTCCGTTTCCCATCTTTCAGCTATTCGTTTCCCACCCCTGAGATCAGTTCTAATTCATACATGGTAAGACATCCTCTCTCAAGATCTCCTTCTAAAGTGATGAAACATACCCGCCTTGCTTTGTGACGATTGAAGACACCCTCTATCTTACTTTTACATACACAATGGACGAGAAACAACTCGGTGGAGTATGATGGGCAGTATGAGACTGAAGACCATTCCTGATGGATGACAAGAAGGAGGAGGAGTAATAATAGATGACAAGACCAAGGAGCAGAGCTGAAAGAAGGAGGTTGAAGAAAAACTCACTCCACAGCGAGAGTATGACAATATTCCATTATTCTTTCTTCCCCTCCTATCTCTTCTCGGAAATCCAATGCGAATGATGGAGATAAAAGAGGAGCCCAATCTTGCGTACCGGTCCATTCGTACTATCCGTCAGTTTTCCACTCCTTCATCACTCCACTTGAATGCACCAATCAATAATCAAAGAAGTTCACATCCCTGGACTTGATACCGCGACCTAGACCTGAATTGACCTGTGTCCCAATCAAGCTCGAGGTGAGAGTCAAAGAGGACTTTGGTACACTCACCTGCATCTCAAAAGACCGAGGTCGACCTGCCTGTTGACCATCAATGTCTAAAGTAGGATACCTGGATGATTCATACGCATGAGAAGTTGGGAAAGTCGTACGCATCAAATGTTGATTTCTTCCTCTTCAGCGCTGTCATTCCGAGAAGGGAGAGACGTACCTGAAGGGAACGTATAATACTGAACAACCTCGATGGGCCATGAGCCATTTATGACAGTTCTGTCATCAACCACCGATCATTTGACCAGGATCTCACAATCGCTTCGTCCCATACCACTACCGTTTGAGATGGCACAGGAAGGAGACTAAGTTTAGTGATGGAGATGGCTAGATAAGAGGAGGGAAGAAAGCAAGGCTGAAATAAGATTGACGACGATGGGTCATGAATGATTTGAAGGATTGTAGGGTGTTGGGAGGGGGATGGTAGGAGAAAGAGGGACATACAGAGATCCAGAAATCACAATCTGCCAATTTGACATTGGTCTTTACTTGACCTATTGCGTGTGCAGCGTCCACGACGGACAACGCACCGTATTTCTTACATAGTCGAACGATATCTTCCCAGGGATAAACAACACTTCTGATCAGCACCTTTCATTCTCCCTTCTGTCCACTCTTCCAAGTGACATTTGTCCGTACTGACGCATTCAGAGTTACGTGAAAGTAGTATTATGGTTTTTGTGAAGGGATACAAGTAGACATGTAGGAAAGACGGAAATGATATGTCGAGTTGTTGTAAGATTTTGGAGGACTCACCCAGGGTTGGAAGCTATTTGATCAACCACTACCATCCTCACTCTTTTCTCGCCTCTTCCAACAGGCTTAATTTCAAGTTGTGTAGGGTTGACTTGTTGATTATACCGTCCTAAGACATCTTCGGTCTTCTTGACTACTTCCTCATGAGAACAAGGGAAGGTGATACTGATTTGTTCAAGGGAGACACCGGGATATTTATCACATATGAACTTTTCTGTTTGACCAACAGCACCATAAGTGGTATTATCTATTGGTCAGTACTCGTACTGACCCAACATTCAAGATGTCATCTCTCCCTTAAATCCGTGTTTACAGAATGAAGTTCACATTCACCATCTGAAGTAGACAAGGTGAACCTTTGTCAAATGATACAAATAGAGCATGTGACAAGGCGGGGAGGGATGATCCAGATGAGAAACGGAGGAAAGATTGAAGGATAAGAGCTTCACTTACAAATGACAATCACATCCCCTTCCTCCCAATCAATATTATACATCACAGTGTTGATCCCATGCGTTGTATTGGGAACAATAACACATTCATGTTCGTCGGCTCCTATCAGTTTTGCCACTCGTTGTTTCACACGATCTAACATCGGTCGACAAGTTCGTCGCATGAACAAATCTGGGAATCGTTCAATTTCATCTGTGAGAGCTCTCATACGTTCAATGACGGGTTTAGGTGGAGAGCCATATGATCCGTGATTCAGGTTCACGTCTGAGTATCAGTTTCTTTTCTAATCTATGCTTTCCTTTTACTATCACGCTACAATCTCATCATGTAGATACTTCGGACAACAAGAGCCGAGAACATTCTCATGACGGAGAAAGTGGTTATGAGAGTGGAAAAAAAAGGAGGTTTTACCTACATCCTGGTTGAAAACCCCAATACTTTAACATATTCCGACCGAAATCTGGAAATCCTTCTTTGGTCTTTCCCTTCACCCCAGTTGGTTTGAAATCAGATTGAGATTTTTCATCCCGAATACCAGGCTCGGCTCGGATAGCAAGATGATGTTCAATTTCATCAAATTCCGTCGTATCTTTCCCCGTCCACTGGTCGGCACGTTCTTTGACGAATTCGGCAAATCTGACCTTCAGCCTCTACTTCAAATATATAAAATCAGAAGACTCACGACCAGACTTTTGGATCCAATCTATCAAGCCCTGCACTCCAAGTGTACACCCACGCTTCCTTCTTGGCGTATATTGAAGGGGGCGTGTTGATGGTTGATTCTCTTAAATTGGGATTCATTAATTCTTGTGGAAGCTGATCGATTGCCGCTGCAGAGGAGAAAGTATGGACCTTGAGGATCTTCCTGGTGTATTCCTATACATTCAGCTACGCTCGGAATGAAACGTATATGTGGGAGGGGAGCAACATCAACATACATCTCCCTCGAATATATCTAAGGCCAGCACATCAGCAACTGACAAGCCGGAAACGAGTGTCCCTCTGGTCGAGGTATCTTCTCTGACATGATAAGCAGTCGCATTTTTTTGAAAGCAAGTCAGACGTACACATCATCACCTGATATTATTCTAGTTGATTTACTGTCTATTACCGCGGGATAATCTTGGCCAACAACACAATGCCTCGTATAGTCCTGTATGGTCAGATCAACTAATGATGGGATAAGCGCACTGACGGGTAGGAGAGCATCTTGAAAGGTAAGATTTTGACAGCCGTGTCCTAGGACTCGAGCGAGGATGGCAGGGACACATAAAGTGCCGTAGAAGAAGACTACACATTTCAGCGACGTGCTATTATGGACGGTTGTACTCACAGTCATAGGATTGAGACGTATGCTCAGTCTTGCCTTCACGAAACGCTGGGGACATGGTGGGCTTGTAGGAAGTGTCACTTGTTCCCAAAGAAGCAGTTACTGGTACGCTGTGTGTGACATGTGCTGTTTGCTGCTGATATATGCACGAGTCAGACATGTACTGTAGCGACTCAGAAGCATCTTATCTCGGACGATCAACCGGATCTGCCCGGAGATTTAGGGGATGATCAGTTTTTCTGAGAAAACTCACCACCTCCACTGAGTTTTCTTTGAAAACCGAAAGAGTGACGCGTATTCGGTTGACTTTACTTTTCGCCGCTTACCGCTGCTTTCTTGCTTTCTCTTCTTTCATGCCTCCTACTCGTAGCTCCTTCTTGATGCTCTACTACTACTTGCTATTCTCTTTATGACCCTTTCTATCACCTCTTCTCTCATGTTGATACAGCCACGATCATGTCCGACGATGAATTTGACGATTCCTTCCTCCTCGACGACTCGTTCCTCCAACAAGTCGATTCCATCACAGCCCACGCAATCTCACAATCCACTTCCGCCAAACCCACTATCCCCACTCGACCACTCCCGGTCAGAAATGGTCCATCTTACAAACCACCCTTGAGATCTATCTCGGCCCCTTCAGCTTCGTCCTCCGCCGGTCCCTCCCGTCAACGACTACCCGCTCAGCCGTCAAGCGATGACTATGGTGATCTTCCTATACCTACCGAATCGCTCATGGCCATAGACTCTCTAACGTCAAGATCGCAACAACGGACTACGATGCCTACTGTCATCCCATCTTCACGTTTGGGTATGAACAGGACGTCCAGTGGTAACGGCTCTTCTTTCTTCCAGACTCACCTGAACTTCCGACGGGAAAACCAGGCGACCAAAGGCAAGCGCTGGGATCGCACCGAGTTCGCAGCGAGTGGACGCAGAATAGGTGCTGCATCCAGAATGAAAGGAAAGGGAAAAGCTGTAGCAAGAGGGTTGTTTGAGGATGAAGCAGGAGAGAGTGAAGAAGAAGAAGATTGGGAACCTTTAGTACCTGGTCCGAAACCATTGGTCGACCCCAGTGAGCTCTCAGTAACGCTTCCTGTTCAAGTGAGCTCATGTCTGAAGATAAAGCATACGAGCCTCAACGTCATCTTCCTAATCCTGCTTCTATAGGGACATACATTTATCCCACCAATCGACCAAAGAGAGACTATCAATTCGACATTGTACAAGCTTGTTTCATGGACAATTGTCTTGTTGCCCTCCCCACAGGACTGGGAAAGACATTTGTTGCTGGTGTGGTCATGCTGAATTGTGAGTCTCACCAACATCACTCAATTATAATCCCTGTTATTCCATTCACTGTACTAATCCCGATAGTTTACAGATGGTTTCCCACTGGCAAGATCGTCTTTTTAGCCCCGACAAAACCTTTGGTCAATCAACAAATTGAAGCATGTCAAATGACATGCGGTATACCTAGTAAAGACGCTGCTGTCATGACGGGTCAAAGTGTCAGTGCGAAGGAACGGACGAGAATGGTGAGATTCTGCTTTTCGAGCAATTAACGTGGCTGACGAGATAGTGGGAAGAGAGGAGGGTGTTTTATTGCACACCTCAAACTTTGGACAATGATCTCAAAAGGGGAGCTGTTGATCCAAGGGATATTGTGCTTGCTGTATTTGGTGTGTTACTCCTTGTTTCTATAATGTCTCCCTCCCCTTTCTGAGAGATCCGCAACGCCGTCAGAGTAGGAATACCATTCGACTGCGCGCTGATGAAGTCAGACGAAGCACACAAAGCTTCAGGCTCCTACGCATATACCACCATACTTGCTTATCTCACTGCTCACCATCCCTACTTCCGAGTGCTTGCCCTCACAGCCACGCCTGGTGCCGATGTAGAGCGTGTGCAGGCGGTGGTCGATGCGTTGCATATAAGTAGGATCGAAATCAGAGAAGCGGAGGCTCCGGAAATCAGAAAATACATGAATGAGAAGGTGAGTTTCATCTCCTGTGAACACATCAGTGGCGGCATGCGAAGGTCGTCAGCTGAATTATAGAAAACGGAAAAGCATCTCGTCAAGATGACTCCCATCATCGAGGACTTTCGGGATCGTTGGGCAGCTCTTATGAAGGTCCGTCTTTATTCCTCTGAGCACGAATCCATTCCAAATCGCAAACGGCTGGATGCTGATCATCAGCCCTACGTCACGAAACTTATCGAGAAGGGAGTTCTTACCGATCGTGATCTTGACATCAAGCGACTTCGTCCGTTCCGACTCACCGCCAAGCGTATGGAAATAGCTCGAAATAGGGATTCTGGCTTGAAGTGGTGTTACGGGAGCCTCAATCAACTCGAGAGGATGGCGCGTGCTATGGGGCATCTCGTGAGTGCAACCTTTCTCCGCTTGAGACCTCGCCTCACTCTAGTAATCTCTCCTCTGTCATCCGCACCAAGTCAATCAATGTATCGATCAAGCAAGAAGCTGACGCTCCAGTTGGAATTCTCACTGGGAATGTTTCATACTGTTTTAGTGGAACTCTCTGGCGGTTCTAACGCGGAAGGAAAGAAAGTCGGGACCAAAGGTGGCGCCGGGGCATTGAGAAACAACATCGAGTTTCAGAGATTACTCCGGGACGTGGAGATCGAGATCAATTGTATCAGGATAGGCAAGGGAGGGCGGACAAAGGCTGATCGGCATCCAAAAATGGCCAAGACGCTCGAACTGGTAGGCTCTCACAATGTTACTTCCATTCTCACTGAAAATCAGTTGTTGGAGCACTTCACTGCGGCTGCCGAAGATGCGAAGAATCATGGGACGGCGAACGACACACGGGCCATGGTGTTTTGTTCTTTTCGGGAGTGTGTGCTAGAAGTCGTAGTGAGTCGGTCTTCTCTGTTCTCACTTGAGTCAGTGGAGGACGAAGGGACTGAGGAAGGGCGCCGTTTGCGATCTGGTGGTCTAACGGTCAGGACGCGCTGAACCAGCACCCGGAGCTACTCAAGGCGACAAAGTTTGTCGGGCAATCCCAAGGAAAACAAGACCACGACAAGGGATTCAACCAGAAAGAGCAGAAACGGGTACATTTATTGTAGTCTTTCAAGTCGTGACTGACAGAGCAGACAATAGCAGATTTCAAAGAAGGAAAATACAATATTCTCGTCTCAACCTCCATCGGTGAGGAAGGTCTAGATATTGGTGAAGTGGACTTTGTCGTCATTTATGATATGCCGAAGCAGAGTATCAAATTGGTCAGTCATGGTCTTCCTGTTTGCACGTGATCAGCTTGAATGTTTTGAGGGCAAAGCTGATTCTCAGCTACAAAGAGTTGGCCGAACAGGTCGAAAACGTGATGGTCGGGTGCATGTTCTCATGTCGGAAAACCGTGAGGATGCCAATTGGGACAGCGCTCAACAAACGCATCGCGAGATCCAAGAAGAGATTCTCCATTCCCGTAATCTTGAATTATTTGAGGATGTCGAATCATTGTTACCTCGAGGCAAATTTCCTCAATGTGTTGAACAAGAAATGCCTGTCGATCCTTGGGATCCGGCGGATCAAAAGTCTAAACGTCCCCTCCCGTCGGCTTCGAACACTACCACAAGGTCGTTGGAAGACGACGGAGAAAAACCCGCCAAGAAGAAAAGAAGAGGTCATGAAGTGCCTGAAGAAGCTTATGATGGGTTTAAGTCGGTCGCACAGCTTTTGAAAGAGAATGGAGCGAAGAAACGAAAGGGGAAACCATTTCAACGGGTTTTGTCAGAAAGTGAGGACGAGTCGGTTGAAGTGAACACTTCAATGGTATCTGCCAAATCTGCGGGAGGAAAGAGGAAATCAAATATCAATGACAAATCCACCAAGAAGAAGGAAGATGAGGAAAGTGATTCTGAAGAAGTCAAACTGGCTAAAAAGCGTCAAGCAAAACAAGCAGCAGAGGAAGAAAGGAAGAATAAAGTGATTGAAGCTTCCACCAAGGCCGCATTGGATTTCTTTGCTACTTTAGGTCCTGTCCGTCGTCAAAGTCGGACCCCATCTCCCGTTTCACCTTCTTCGTCACAGTCCATTGAAATGGACGATGTCTCACCTTCTACCAAAGACCAAGATGTCGACTTACGAGACCAAGATTCTTTGGTTCACGGAGGATCGAGGTTGACCCCTCGGACAGCTGCAGCAGCTGGTTTCTCACAATTAGACCCGGTTGATCTTTCCTTTGACGATCTGAATTCTTCACCTCCCAAACTTGACATCAACACCACCCCTTCATTCAGTGATAAATCTGGGTTCACACCCGCTTCGAACTTGTTGCGTAAACCACCTTTATCCCATTCGACATCAAGAGACGCTATGCCTCCTCCGCCAATCCCGATAAAGTCTAGTCCTTTTCAATTTTCTCCAGAAATGAAGGGAAAGGGAAAATTAATGAAGAGGAATTTACCTACAAGTTCGGAACTTCCTTCGCCTGATGATTCTCCCATGGTGATGAAAAGGAAATACGAGATTTCATCTCCTTTACCACTTCCCAGTCCTGAACTTTCACCTGATATTCCAGTCAGGTCTCGTGGTGTAAGAACAAGTAGAGGTATCTCTTCTGCCCGATCACGAGGTCGTGGAAGAGGTCAACGAACCGCAGTTTCAGGTCCAGGGAGAGGTAAAATAAATCGTACGGATAATGAAGAAGTCGAAGAAGATTCAGTGGGACAATCTTCATCTCATACATTAGTCCAAACTCGAGGAAGAGGAAGAGGAAGGGTAAGAAATACAGAAGAAAGAAGAAGAAAAAGAAAAAGAAAAGATAAAGTTCCACCTGAACAACTAGCTGAATTTCTAGATTTAGACGTAGGAGTATCAGATTCTTCTAAAGCTTCTTCAGATGAACCTACAGAACCTAGTGAAGATGAATCCGATCGTCTGTTCGCTGGAAAAGATTTCCAACCTACTCAAGCACCAAAAGGGTATAATCAAACTGCTGTTTATATAGCCGGATTAGGTACTCAAGCACCTGAACATGGATTGGAATTCGTTAGGGATGGTAGAACTGAAAGAATCAAGTTTTTGGAAAAAGCTAGAAAACCAGTTTTGTTGAGTAGTGATGATGAGAGACAAAGTGAGAATGAATATGTTTTAGGTAGTTTTGTGGTTGATGATGAAGAGATTGAATATGACAGTGAGTTTTTTTTCTCTTCTTTTTCCCTTCTTTTTTTCTGGTGTTTTCCCTTCTTCTTTTTGGTGTTTTCTCTCTCTCTTTATGGTTCCAATCCCACTTTTATCCCTCGATCTCTATCTACCTCGTTATCTGAATTTCAACATCCGACAAAGTAACGCATAGTATAGATATATCTATCGTATCCGTATCAGTCGCATGTTATTATAGGTGTTTCAAAGCAGTTCATATTCCTAGGGTCAAGTTGACAAAGGGTATGTGGTATGTGGTGGGAAGAATAAAAGCTCAGATTTTCGTTACTGTACATATAAATGAATTGCCCTGACCCGCAGCTCAAACTCAAACTCATAGTGATGCTCTTTCCTACATGTAAACTTGCTCTCATCTTCTATACACCATCACGTCTACACTTTGCTTTGTGGATCTATGCATATATATCGTAATCATAATCATAATCATAATCATGATCATGATCATGATCTCATCTCACACTTTCGTCCCTCCTTGTATCCATTGTCATCCCCCTCATTCGTTGCTTATTCTCTATCATATCATCCATGATGAAACCTTTCGTATGAACAGTCCCTGGACCGGGACTAGACGTTGATCTCTTCCGTCTATGTTCTTTGACTTCTTCTTCATTCATGTACAGTGACACCTGTCTCCCGTCCTCGAGATCTGTCCCGGGATGTCCCTTCTCCATGGGGAGATCATGAGTGTCAGAAATGGATGGTTGGGTGTTCGTACGGTCTTGATGATCATTCATCTCTAATCGACGTAATGCTGTCAAGGTTTCGGGAGTGAGTGATATGTCGAATAGATCAAGTACGAATTTACGGACAGGGGCTTGATAATGATTATGAGATATGATATGTAAAGCGCGATGGAAGAGAGGGAGAGAAGAGAAATGTCGGGGTTGACGAGTACGGATTCTGTTTCGTCAGTACTTGAATTCCTTCAACTCCTATCCTGGTCTTCCTTTCACTAATGCAGAATCTCATCGGTGGATATTTGCCTTTTCACCAACCACAAATAGTGTTCACTTTAGACCCAGGGAGAATGGGTCTTGGGTAAGTGCAATGACTTGAGTCAAGGGGGTTAAAACTCAAGTGGAGGAAGTGAACCTTTGGTCACGGGGATCAAAAAGCTTGAGTCAGGGGAAATACGATGGGATTCGACACGGACGGAAGAATAAAGAGGGAGGATGACAAGACGCTATGAGAATAGACAGGCGAAGAGGGAAATCACGAGAAAGAATCACACACCGTTTAAGATTATTCATCGCTCCAGCAGCAAGGACGTAATTGCTCAAATTCGCAATGGCTGACATGATCTCGTTCTCCGCTGGAAGCTTTGGGAGTTTTGGCGGTACGACTGGAATTTGGATTCGTTGCCACGGTTCAACCTGTTTTGTCAGGCTTGATTCATCATAACCATCGATCGGAAAATCATCACCAAAAGCAAAATAGAGAAATGGTCGGGATTGAAAGTCTAGTCAGGGTAATCGATATTGTGTATCATGAGTGATAGTTTGGATTCGGAATGGATGATCAAAACTGAAATAAAAATCCGGTTTGACAGTCCGGTCCGAAGATAGGTTTTCGAAGTCAGAGTTGAGAGGTACACTTAAGAGACGGGATTGAGAAATGCACGTTGGTTATGCGATGGCAAGCCTTTCAACAGAGTTGAAGACCAAACTCACATATGCAAACCTGCTCAGATCATTAGGCAAACATAACCCCGTAGTCAAACCTAATGATGTCCGGGTAGACACCCAGCCGTATTCTTCCAGAAGTTCGGCGCCTATGCGAGTAGAAGAGATTAAACCAATGACGAAGAATGCCACTCTGGTGGTGAGCTTACACGTATGATGTGGCCAGAGTAAAACCCAGTTTTACCAGATTCACCATGGAGACCAATGTCATATTCATATGCCGAGCCGTGGAAAGGCCCCTTGATAAGACGGGGGTAGAGAAGTGGGAGAAGAAAGCGAAGCGATGGCGTGAGGGAGTCAAGCAGGACAGGGAAGAGAGGAGGTGGGTCGGGAAAGGATAGGTAACAGGAATGAGGCGAAGTGAAAAGAAAAAGAGCTGAAAAGATGGCGAGATATGTGACAGAGAAATGTTCAACTGTGTAAGAAGGAGGAGGGAAAAGTGTACAAGACTTACCCTCGCATAGTGAGCACAGTCGATTGTTCAGCAATTTCGATAATCCCATCGATGATTTCCTCATCTTCCAAAAATGGTAATCCCCCTATCGTAGACCCGATATTACCCAAAGCCCAAAGAACACATTTAACATTTGTCAATACTTTCGTATCTTCCGTTTCCATACCTTGCACACGGATGGTTTCACAGAAATCAGAGACGATACCTCTTTCTTTCAACCATTGACAACCTTCGGAGGTTTTGGTGAGTTCACCGAGGAAATGCGTAGGGGCGATACCTTCGTATTCCCTTCTAGTCAGTTACGTATCCAAGCCATCAGGCGGTGTGGTCACAGAGAAGACACGCGTGACTTTGAAATGTGTGAGTGGAATATGTAGTTTTCAAGTCAGACGAGTAGAGTATGGGTCTTCTGGGGTTGATGAGGACTATTTAGGATTTACATTCTGGGAAGTGAATGGACCAATCTGGGATGAAGAAAGCGACAGACGAGGTAAACGGTCAGGCGTGGGGAGGCGCGGGAGAAGGAAGACACACCAGTAATCTTGGATGGTATCACTCGTAAAAGGTCGAAGAGTCTTTGAAACCCATGTCTCCGTTTCGACAACATACAACAAGTTCCGTTCCTACCATGTCAGAGTCTACACTGAAAAATAACAAATAGTCTCACCGTCATCCAATGCTCGAGCTCCCGGTCAATGTATCCAGTCGAGTGAAGGTATTTGAAGCCGACGGAAGTGGATACGAACCTGTTTATCAGGATCTCCAAAATCACACCCTGAGCAGTATCTTCCTAGTTATGAGAACCCAGCATGTACACAGCCATTTTGAGTGATACTTTCCGATCACGACCTCTCCACGGTCTTTTGAGCTGAAAGAGTGATGACACGATGAAGGATAGCAGAAGGAGTAACTGGCAAGATTTCATAAGGCATATGAAGAAGGTCGATTGATGGAAGGAAGGGTGAGGGGAGGAGGTTGAAAATGGGGAGTGGAGGTGGAAGTGGTAAAGAGTCAACAAGACGATCGCTCACCTCATGAACAGTGGATGTCCCACATCTCCCAAATGTTCCAAAGTAGGACGGAGCTGTACTACTTTTTCCAGACACTCTGTATCCGTACACATATCTTCAAGATACATCACGGCCACCTCACAAACTTGCATACTAGTGTCGTACAGCTGAGTAATCATAAGTTGCAGTGCCCAATCAACCAATCCAGATTCTTCATGCATCAGTCTGCCAAGATGGTGAGTTGCGAATAGTCGAGTTTCCTACAGTATCACTTCTTGTCTACCCTAAGTTTGATATAGACGTCACTCACCATATACGAAGAGGTGAGAGCTTTGGAGAGAACTATACGGGGATGGGCGTCGCTGTACGTGAGCGGGGTTATCGCACGACAATTTTGTCACGTAGCTGAGCTTACTTCGGGATTGACGGATCAAACACCAATGGTATATGTGTGATTGCATGATTGGAATGTGGAAAGATCCTGGCAGGAGGAGATCAAAGGGAAGAACTCACATGGAATAGTCGAAACATTCAATAATGATTCGTATGATATCATCCCTACTCCGTTGTTCGGATAAATGGTAGAAACACGTAAAGAATCTGAACCTCTCCATGAGTCTGCAGTCAGCTCAGCTCAGTCGGCCATGAGGGCAGTGGATTCACTTCATACCCTCGGCATGTTTGCTCAACGTCCCTATCATTTCAAAATAGCCGTATGTCAAGGTAGTTGTCAATCGGTCCCGCGCAAAGATGGGTTGGGTGCTAGGCTTGCCCACGTACTTGTTGTCAGCCAGGTCTTCAACCTTTACGGGGACACTCATTGTCGTCTTTTTGTCATGTGAAAGGTCATTCTATCAACATAAAGACACACAAGTGAAAAGTGAACGGGGCACATGCTGGGAGGATGACACCCCGGGGGAAAAACATTGGAGGAGTGTAGCATTAGAGTATGTGCGGACGACGCTAGATGTAATTGTCACAGAGAAGATGAACCAAACTCACATGATCCAACTCTCCAAAACATTCACCGATCTGTCGCAGTAATTTGTCTTCCGCTATGAACCGTATCCCCTCTGGACTAGCGAGCATGGTCGATAATAGAGCACAACCAAGACGGACCCATTTATGATTCGGCTGAGATCAATCTTCTGTCCCTATACCCACATCGCTAATCCGAACATCACTCGCGTGCCACAAAGTGGTCCAGTCATAGCAGTCAGGAAAACACTCACTCGGGTCCTTTTGATGGCTGAAAATCGGTTGTTGTACGGGTGGTAAAAAGAGAATAGCCTGCGCAAGATTTTCGTGGCTTTTATCGCCTCGTCCAATCGTTTGGGATTCAGTAAAGGTCCTTGTACCAGGTCGAGGATGACGTCGTAGTTCCACTTTGTGTGATCACGACCCAGTAAGACCTTGATGTCAGTAACCGGCCTTCCTTTGTGCACTAAGAGTCATGTTATAGGAGATGTTGGAAAACGAGATTTTGTGATGGGTCCCGGAGCTGTCAAAGTGTAGTGTAATTTAAGTCATGACATGAAGAAAGTTCGTCTATCAGGGAGGCACTCAAACTGGCAGAATGAAAGGCGTGGCCTCAGTCATTGTGAAACGCCTGAGGTAGTCTCAAAATCACTCACCCCGGAATCATTGATCATCTGCTGAAACTGCTTATCGTCGATCTGCAATCCCAGCCTCAATTTCACCTGCTGAACCTGTCTCTGACCCCTTTGCAAAGAGTCTTGTATATTGCTTGATCTAGACGTCAGACTCGCATCTCCACACTAAGTCGTAAGGCTATGTTATGACCTTGACTGCCGACTCTTCAGATGACCATATGCATCGTCATCAATCACCGGGCGAAAGAGCGGCGGGGGCTATGAGATCTTCGGCCAATGTATCTGTCCCAGTCACTCTAGCGTGTCCCGAACGGCCATGGAGATGGAAGAGAGAAAGTATACGTATAGGATCTTGGGAGGCTCTGCCACTCACCCAACTCGATCTCTCGACTGAGCTTTACTAGTCTTGCTCTGATTCCTATTCAAAGAGTCTATCGAGGACAGTGCACTCAGTGCCATGTGTCTTTCGGTGGGATTCGAAAAGTTTGCCGCGACGGAGAAGAGTCTAGGTAGGGCCTAGCATTTCAGTATTCGTCCCACACCAGGTGACGAGAATGTATCCTAGAATTTATAAAACGACCTTCCCGAGTAATCAACAAGTGTGCACGAAGAGATTGGGGTAGATGAAGAGACATGAGGGTGGATGAAAGAGGGAAGTGCAAAAGGGCAGAAAAGTAGAGGGAGGAAGGAGAAGTAAGTATGAGGGGGTGGGGAGAAATGTAGAAGGAGAAGAAAACAAGGCAACTACTGAGATATGGCGGTATAGAATAGAATGACCGGAGAAAGACTGAAAAGACATCACACTGACTTGTAACTTCGCAGCGAATTGTAAAGGTAAAATCCTATTTGCCATCTGCAATATCTCTCCCAATAACAACGTCGCTTTCCTATTCAACATTCCAATATCTTCCTCGATCAAAGCGATCAAAGACTATTGCCGATCAGTCCTGTCTCTCATCACTTATCAGAGGTGAAACTCACTTCAACGAGACCTGCCTCGATAAAGGTAGCAAGGAGTAAAGCGACATAATGATCGATCAGATTTAGGTTTTGGCGAGGTTCATCTTCTTCTGGATCATCTTGTAATTGTGAAGCTGCCTCTTGCGTGCGGTTGTATACTGTGAGTCAATGAGTGTATTTGAGTAGTAGAGCGAGTGGGGGGAGAAGAAGAGAAGAGTGAGGAGAGGTTTGATACAGAGAGAAGTCACAAAGCTTGCGGGGGAAGAAGAGAGAATGGATGTGGGCGGATTGGTATACTTAGACTCGAAACAACAGTAGCAATGGCGAGAGGAAATGAGAGAGCAAGCGGAGAAAGTAGAGAGTAAGAGGGAAAGAAGAGCAAGCAGGGAAGTAAGAGCAAGGTGCGAAAGAAGAGAGTAGGAATGGGAAAAGGGGACAGGTCAAGTAACAAAACACTCACCTGTCAGACGTTTTCCTTCCAGGAATGCATCTTTCCAATTCGGAGATTTGATCCTCAGAACCTGATATAAAAGGTTTAAGAAAGCATCCTGAAATTCAGACATTTCTCAACATCACATTCAATTTCTACATGAAGAAGATGTGATGCAGGCGTGGAAACACCATGATTAAGTGGATTAGAGGAAGGCATGAAGAGATATGGTGTAAGGAAGAAGCTTAAAGGTGAAGTGACAAACACATCATGTGATGATTGAAACCAAAGGGTGAAAGACGATTTAATGGAAATGTAGTGGCTGGTGATAATAGTAGAAACCCATGAATTAGAGATGAAGGAGAAATATTTACTCACCTTAACATCTGAACTGGGAACATGTAAAGAACTGATCAAACTTTTGATAGCCCTACATCCATCCATACTCAACACTAATAATCCTTGCCATGAACTCAATAACATGGAAACGTCAGATATACATCTTTGAAGTTTTTCCGTTTGACGGAGTGGTTGACGTGATACGGGTTTACCGTATTCTTCTGTTAAACCAACGAGGACGCTCTGTATTTTAGCTTGGATGCGATTTTTGCAGAACTGGATGAGTAGATGATGATGATGAGAAGAGTGGGTTTATAAGGTTGAATTGACAGATGCACACACGGAGCGAGATACCTATTCCTTGCATCCCATGACGCTCGTCACGGTGGGCTCAGCAACAGGAGGATGTCTGAATCGTAGAGCATGTAGAAAGATGTGGTTTGACCAAAGAAGGAAGTGGCCGGGGATAGAGTTTGGATTATAGAAAGTGGGGAGAAAGAAGGAGGACACAAAATAATGAACTCACCTCCACGTCAGCACCAGGAATAAGGTATTTTCTGGTTGATGGTTGATTGACAAGATGTAACAACAATCCCGTTATTGACGGTCCTAATTCCCATGGACCATCTTTGAAAACCAATAATAACGTTCTCAATGCGTCTGATCGGACTAGACGTCTGACATCGAACACTCCTAATCAAATCAGCCTATGTCTCACCATCATAAAGCTATATCACTTTCACTTACCTATTTCTATCAAAGTCTGAATGCAGACGTTTCGTAATGGGTCGTCTGGATTCTCTGCAGCACTGACTATAGCCCTTATCAAACCATCCGACAAGGCCACACGTTGCTCAAGTACCTCAGATAGGTCGGGGGATTCAGATACCGTAGAAGGTTCTTCTTGGAGATGTGGATGAGTTGGAGCTTCAGTCATTTCCGTATTTGGGTGAATAGAGTGAGTCTCAGGTGGAGGGAGGACAATGACGGCTCGAAGAAGACGAAGAGCTTGTTCTTTCTCTTTGATAGCTTTTGAATCTCGAGTGAAGGTTCTAATCGTTAGTCACGTCTTAAAGATAAATTGGTGGGATGTGATAAACTGACCTGATAATGGGCCATTCCACACCTATAGCAAGCATCTGGTTCCAAGAATTCTTGTCGAGGATATATCGAAGTAAACGATAACTCGCCGTCCTACGTTTCACCCCCGAGTAATCCGATAAATGAATTATCACCCTATAGTCATTAACCTCATCCTGTTATCGCCCATTGCAAGAATATGACTTACATCCTCAGCAACCGTTCTTTGTCAATGGCTTGCGCTATTTTAGGATATTTTTTGAGTTGATCCGTCAACCTGACCAGACAACCATGTACTTCATCCCCTCTATCAGGAGATTTCCCTTTTCTTTCTTTCCCCAGTGTGTCTTTGCTTTCCAGACTCTCTAAATGTCTTATCAGACCTTCAGTGGTATTCAACAGGTCTTGAAAGTCCCCATCATCGGTCATATCACCGGGTGAAGAGCCTACACCTGATATCCAACCTAATCGAGATACTCCTTCGCCGTAAAGATCCGAAGTGTCAGCTCCGGTAGATCGAGATCTAGGACGAGATCCCCCGCTGGAAAGTGTACTCCGATTAGGAGTATCATCTTTCTCAGGTGTACGAGAAGGACCGGCACGGTTGATTGGTCGATGAGGGTTGGTGAGGATGGTATTTGATGTGAGAGAAGAGGAAAGGGATGTTTGAGATGGATATCCGTTGAGTTTGACCGGACGACGAGGTCTTCTGTTGGGTGTTGTTGAATATGAGGCTGTTGGTTTAGTGATATTGACATGACCAGAGTGGCAGACAACAAAAGGGAGGAAGGTATAAAGAAGAGTGACAAAGAAGAGAAATACAGGGAAGTACTCACTTCCTCGTAATTTTTCAAGCTTCGCTTCCAGGGTACGTATATGAGCATTGGCAGCTTCTAGTTGGGCAGTGATACGTTCTTTTACTTGTTCTGAATCACCGGCGTCGTCTCCTGCTCTATTTTCAATCACCTGTCATTGTTCAGACAGAAAGGCATCATACGAGAAGATCACTTACATCTAACATCTTCTCAGCTCCATATTGAACTCTTTTCTCGATGGCCAATTTGGCCATGACAGTGTTTACCTTCGTGTCAGATATTGCAGGTACCCCGTTGAAAGAAACGCAGAGAGAGTGGGGGACAGGTATCAGTTGTGAACCACTTACGGTCTCATCGTCACTCAATCTCACATCGTCCTCGGTCAACTGACCTCCCCCGGTGGATACGCTGCTTGCCAACAGCTCGATGCTGGGTCTCGGAGGTGCTGGAGAAGCTCTTCCTGTCATTCTACCTGTGTGTTCCGTTGGTATAGACCAGCAGTATGACTCATGGGGAGAGTGAGTTCATGATGGGAATGTCACCTGCTGGGATGTCGGTATGAAATAAGAAGCGTTGGTCGTTGTTCATTCCTTGCTCGCTTCGAGACGACGACGGTGGTCCGCGCTCGGGCCTCCAACACCAATCACGTGACTATGGGGGTTTCACGTGGCAATTGAGAGATTTCAACAACATGCTCGCCGCGTTCGGCGGAACGGCATGAGTACCATGGTCGTATGGCGTTGATGATGGACAGCATGGACGACATGTATATCGTGTAGCATCGCACAGCTTGGATCATCTCCTGGCCGTAGCGACCCTCGAATCTGTATGCATGTTGCATAGCCGTTGGCCGTTGGAAGAGTATGGCCGGGGGAGTTTAAAAGTGCCACTTATGATTGGTTGGTCCCCTTTTAGCGTCTTTTCCCTCCCCTTTCTTCAATCGATCACACGCCCCCCCTTCCCTTCAAATTTTCACTCCTCATTCAAACTCGTCATCTCTTGAATACAACAAAGTATCATCTCAGTAGTAGTTCTATCCATACCAGACTCGTATCCAACCACTGATCTTCCATCGCTATAGAAGAGAGAGTATAGGAGCACGGTCGCCACTTGACATCTCCCCGTTCAACAAACATATCTAGCAGCCAATGAAAAAGTCGAAACTACCTAATAGTGGCTTTCCTGGGTACCAACACAGGGGAACCATCTCGTGAGTATATCGTTCATTGCTATCAACATCTCTCCTCTTCTAAGCTTTTCCAAATCCATGGGCTATCAACCCAAGTCGCCATGCGTTAGAAGAAGGGTGCGAGCTGACGCTCGACATTTTTTGTCCTTGCCTCCCCCTCCTTCCCACGCACTCACCACTCACTCACGACGTCACCTCCTTTTATCTCCTTTTTACCATGTGTCATCCCTCTCCAATCATCTCTATCTTCAACCACTCCCATACCTGTCTTCTCGCCTCCTTGTTTCACCGCTGGTCTCCAAAACTCCGACCAAACACCTGTCTATATATCCCGTTACCATGGCAGGTTCTCAACCGCATCCCGTCTTCTTCGACTTCCTCCTCTGATCCTTGCACTACTCGACTCTGAGGAGAAACCCCCATAACTTGACTTCACTTGTCCACTCCAAAAAAATAGCCAGCAACTTCTGGCACAAGCATATACCATCATTGCTCATCGTTTGCGGTCATACCTAGAAATATCAACTTCATATGGGATAAACATCTCATACATTCCTTTCCTCTTGTCCTTCATCCGTCATCCTCTATCTTCATCACGATGCAAGCCTTCCGAACTCTTCCCATCCTAAACCGTCCTTCTCGTCCTTCCTCTCCTGTCCCTGCCGTCACCCAGATCTTCAACACCAACACCACAGGCATCAACGGTGAAGCTAAGCCTCGCTCGAGATCACTCAACAAACAGATGAATGAAATGGTGGCATCGCTTCATATCGACAACACTGAGGTTAACGGCACTACCGTCATCTCCCCTTCACTACCATTAGGCAGGAGACCATCTCCACCCAGCAGCAGACCGGCCACGCCGGCTCTTGCTGCCGAGGCAGCCGCTGGTGGTGGGGGACATATGGATGCTATCCTTCTCCGATTGAACGAGACCGTCAATAAGGCCCTAGCCGGGGCTGATTCCAAGGCTAAGCGTGGTATCCAGCGTGATGCGGGCTGGACGGTCGGGCGTAAAGTCGTCAAGTGAGCTCTTCCATCGAATGTCCTCACACGCATCTAACATGTGCCAGAGAGCTACCCAGTCCAACTTCAGATCCTTACGTTTTACGTGCTATCATCCGAGTGGCCAATCGATCACTTTCTATCTACACCAACCGTCTTGAAATGCTCTTACTCCCCGCCATCACCGATCCCGCATTCTCTCAGCCCTTGTCCCTGCACGTTGGCACCACACAGCCCCTCAACCCCACTCAACACTTTGCCCTATCCGTCGCTCACACAGCGTGGGAAACGTGCGAAGCATTCAAGGAGACTCTTGCCACTGGTCGTTGGCCTAAATTTGTCGGAGACACTCTACGTCCTATCATGGACAAACTCGATAACACGTGGGGTAAAGTGATCCCTCCTCTTCTCCAACTTCTTCGGAAAGAACTTATAGGAGGGTTGAACCGTCCGGAAGGATCCTCCCCACCAGGAAGTAAACCCATCGGTTTGTCAAGTGTTTCTATCCCCTCTGGCGTATCGTTACCAGAAGTGAAAATCGTCAAAGAACTCAGTTCATCCGGTCGAAACCGACTTAATAAAGAACCCTCACAAGCCGGTGCACCTAGACAGGTACCCGTGCCTGTGTGTCTACAGCAATTCGCCCATCGTATCGACCCCGCTCATCGTCTGTTGGAGATCATCGCTGGTCCTTGCAAATTAGACGGTGAGGGTTGGGTCACGGGAATTGTCGTTCCTATCATTTGGAAAGGTTTATGCGTCATCGCTGATCTAACTTCGAATCCGAATACCCCTCCGAGTCCTGGACAAGTATCTAAAGCACTCAACAATTTGACTTCCAAAGAAATTCCATCTGTACCTGCTCCAAGTGCTGTCCCTATTAGTGTGACGACGAAATTCACAAACACTTTATCTCTCATTCCATCCCGTTCTGTCTCTCGACCACCTTCTCCACCCAGATCAAAATCCGATCCTCGGAGTTTGGCGATGATGTCATTCGAGAGTCTCGTCCGACGTCTGCTTGGTCAACTCGTTCCCATTCTACCAGAACCGACATCATCGGATCCTATCAAACCTGAAGAACGGACCGTGGCAAGAGAAGCGTTAAGGGAAGCCATCGAAGCTATCACTTCTTTTCGTCTGGTTTTATCTTCTATCGGATCCACTGCCATTGTGGGTCAAGCCAATGGGAAGCAAGAAGGTTCCAACGTGATTTTACAATCTGCTATAAGAGTACGAGATGATGAACCGGGTAATGAAGAAGAAGAAAAGTTGGATGATGCTTTAGAAGATGTACCATCTGTATTACTTTTCAAGATCTTTAGGGAAATAACAAACTCTACTTTGTATTCTTTACCTGAAGAAATGAAAGTGGAAGGAATGAGGATCCGACATCCATGTGAGGTATGGGGATTGACCAAACAAGAATTTGAGAATAAGATCTTGATGAGTTTCAGTGTGGCGGACGATTGGAGTGGGAGAGTAGGACAAACTCTAAAGGTTGAGGTGGAGAGGGTGAGGAAGATTTTAGATGGAGTGATGAAAGAGTTTTCTACGGGAGATGTTAAAGAAGCTGGTAGATGGGTGAATGTTTTAGGGACGGTTGTACAGGCCAGAACTGGTATTAAAGTTGAAGGGATGCCATGATCTGTTACGTCATGTGCTGGGGTAGGAATCCGAGGGAATGTCGTCAGACTTGGGGCAGGAAAGGAGACTGGAATTTGGGGAGGGGAGGGGGACGGTTGGAAAAACACGATTAAAACTCGTTCTTGTCAAACACATGAAAAGACCCGAGTAGGGTCAAATGTCTGCTTGAGTAGGGATATAATGACGATAGTAAATTTGAGATAGACGGAATTCTATAGACGTTTCTGAATCTTTGCAATGAAATTATTGTCATGCGTTCCTCTTCCTTCTTCTGTTTCAGTCAACGTGCCTCTCCGACCACCAAGATTGTCCACAAGTTGAAAACTTAGTACATGATCCATGGCGAAATATATAAAAAGTAAATTTGCATTCTTGGGCAGGAAGTACGAACAAGTACTCGCTCATACAGCACTTATACTTTATGAGAAGCCAAGATCGTTGAGTCATTGCATTGAAGACCTTGCACTACATCAAAGTTGTCAACACATGTTTCTAGTGGTAGGGGAGGGGGGAAAGAAAGACATCCAGTAATCAATGGAAAAGAAGGAAGAAAAAACATTCATTCGTTAAGAAAAATCACACGAGATAAAGTAGATCGAAATAGTCCGTTCCCATCATTCAACCTTGGCATTAGAGTATACTGATATTCTAACCTCTATCTCCAACCTCCCCACCTGACTTCAAGCCTTTATGTTTCCCCACCCAAACCCCACTTCATTCAAAAGGGGTCAAAATCATAGATCATCCCGGAAATCCCTCACCCCCCACCCTCCACTCCAGCCTCCGTCATACGAAGATGGACGTTACGGAGAAGTATGAATCCACTTTAATCCTCGAGGTCACCAAATGAGGTTATGGAGTCGTACAGATGAGAAAAAAAAGATTATACGGTTTCATCGTGGTTGAACAGGATAATAATGTTGTGTAGTACGTGGTATACCACCACCATATCGATCGTCATTGTAATGATCCCTGTTGATCAGTTAACCCGTTTACTTTTCAACACAGATCCGCGTTTTGGTTCAAATTAAACTACAGTAGACAAGGGGCGTTGAACTTTTCCCGCTCGGCAATTCGGGACGATCAAGGGTTTGGTGATTTTCTCCTTTCTCCGCGAGGAAAAATTGAGGGTCATCAGTGGTAGAGTGGGGAACAAGGGAGGGTGAATTAGGCGCAAGGGGAAGATGGAGGGTAGAGGGGATAAGACGAGAGATGGAAGAGAGAGTAGAGGTATTCATGCATATTATATTCTTAGGAATCTAGGGTACAAATCTTTTGGGGAAAAAAAAAAGATGAACAAGTGTATATGGAAAAAGATAGATGATTGTTTGAAGTAAAGGAAAAAAAGTCGAGGACATGATAGAGGTTTATTAAGATTTATGTGAGAGAAAGGATTAAGTTCCCCCCGAAAACTCACAAAGGTCCACTGGGTTGAGGAGAAGCATCACGATAAGGATATAAATATCCATAATCAGCTTGAGAATGTGCTAGAGGTTGACGAGCGTGTAAATCGTCTGTCCTAGCTGAATCCATCGAGGGATTACGATCCCGAGTTCCCATGACGCCAGGTGGGGTCCATTGAGGTGGGGGAGGGGAATGAAGTGGACGCATAGCCCATGCTTCTGATTCTGAATGTTAGATAGGGGGTTACTTTTGTTCTCTGGAGATGCCGCGTGTTGCGTATCACGTCAAATCATGGTGTGGATTGTGTTTCGAGGGAGAAATATCAAGACAGTGGAACAAGAGGATCGAAAGTTGGCCAGTTGAAAGGTGAATCTATGAAGACGATGGGTTTGAAAGGTGTGTAGTATGTCAAAGAGAGACATGAGAAGGTCATGTAGATGATAGAAGAAGTAAACTCACGATCATATGGAGCTTGGTTCAAAGAAGGAGAAGATTGCCATGTCTTTGCGTCTTTCGAAATAGGTACAGGCGCGTGTCTCCTCTTTTTCCATAGGCAGCAGAATAACTGTCCGAGTCAGTTTTTGCTTCATCAATCACAACTCTCCGTTTAGTGCAAATTCGACTCTTTAGAGTTCGTACACACTTCCTCCAGATCGATCACTCATGTCTCTCTCACGCCTGAGCTACTCTTCTCTATAGAGCGAACGACTACTTTAGAGAACGAGACAGAAAGTGAATGGACGTGTAATGAGGCTCAGGAGACTTCTTCCTAGTGGCGACTTTGGGAGAAATGGACGACGAGCTACCAAGTTGATTACCAGAAACAAGAGGATAACTCGACTCACCAAAACACCAAGAATAGCCAAAGCTGCCAATCCCGCACAAACACCAATAGCAATCTTCCCTCCCGTACTTATCCCTTTACTAGCATTACTATCCCCAGCCTTTGTCACACTTGTATCCGTCGCCGTGCCTGCCGTAGCGGTATCCGAAGTGGTGGTGGCATTACTGGTGGTATTAGTCACCAAAACCTTCATCCAACGATTTTTGATGATATCCGATCCTTTCTCAGCTATTCCATAAGTCGAAGCCATCAAATGTGCTGATATTTGAAGCGGCATGATGGAAGCGTCCATGACTCTTAAATTATTCGTACCGTAAACCGTCAAAGTGGTATCGACCACACCACCTGAATCTTTAGGTAACATACTACATGTACCTAATGGATGATATTCCGTACCGCAATTTTGTTTTGTATAATTGCTCAAGGCGTCACCGACTACTGTAGCTCCTGGTAATGTCTCGGTGATTGTCACAGTGTTCAAAGGAGCTGTCGAAGCTAATTTTCGTGCGAATTGAGAACCGTAATTGAGAATATCGATATCATATCCTACTCCGAAATAATTAGGATCGATAGAAGGTTTTGTGAAAGGGTCATTGGAAGTTATCATTATTTTTCCTCGAGACCATGGATGTTGAAGTGCGACTTGTATACCGACTTGATCAGCGGCGAGATTAGGTCCGAGCATGGTGAGAATGACTTCAAGTTGACCATTGTTGGAAGTTAGATAACCATGTTGGAGGGCGTATTGAGCTTGAAGACCAGTGACGACGTTGTTGGGAAGATCTTGCCAGGAAGTCATATCGGAGAGTAATGTGGACATTTGGGATTGAACGTTGGAAGCGTAGTCAGAGGCGTTTTGAGTGCTGGTGATATCGGACATGCTGACGTCTTGTTGTCAGCTCTCAAAACCTAGCGCATGGAGCTGAGCATAGAGATGCCAGTCGAGCGCTGCCTCATCAATTGCAACGATACAAGAGGCCCTGCACAATTATGACTGCAGAGGGTCGTTCAGGATGAACCCCACACTTGAAAGGGTGGAGAAGATCGTGGGAGAGGGAAGAGCATAAAAAAAACGAAACGTAAGAAGAGAGAGTGAAAAAGAAGACCAGAAGAGACAGAGACAGAGACAAGAGACAGAGACAGAAGACATAGAGACAGAAGAGACAGCGACAGAAGACATAGAGAGAAGACACAGAGAAGGCAAAGAGAGGGAAAAGAGCAGGAGGGTAAGAAGAACAAGCAAACAATGTACCCACATCCTACAGCCTCATTGATAAAAGTCCACAGACCAGTATCACTCGTCTGATATTCCGTCAAAGCAGACGCTTTCAACGTATCAGAATTCGCCAAAGTACCCCAAGTATTGGTACCCGATCTGACCGTCAGTTTATTTGTTTTTTCATTCCCAAGAATGCAAGAACACATACGGAACAGACCAATACATGGAATAAGAAACATGATCTTGTAGGTTATAACCAACGGGTAGATCGACCACTACGTTGATATTGAGACTTTGGAGTAGAGAAGCTGGACCGATACCGGATAGTTGAAGGATTTGAGGGGATCCGACAGTCCCGCCGCTATTTGGTCAGTCATGCGAACCGTCATATGAATCCCTCTTTGAGTCATATACTTCCACAGATGATCGCTCGAAGCTTCCTAGAACGACAGCCGCGTTTGGCTCCATGTGTCAAGCCCTCTTCGGTTGGACAATAATGCAGTGAAGGTGAAGTGGAAGTGGAAGTGACCTGTGAACTCTACCAAAGAGGCCGAGTCATGAAGTATGATGGAAATCTAAATAGCAGACAGACAGATGATCCGAGTGAGTGAAATCCGAAAGAACTCACGCTAAGATCACCTCTTTGTTCGCCTGTACAGCATACTCCGTATCCGTTGCACTAGCCTTAAACTTGAGACCAGAGGCATATTTATTCCCATTCGAATCACTCGTCCCGTTGAAAATAACCTGAGTAACCTGAAAACCAGTCAAAATGACCAGGTTTGATCTCGGCGGGAGGGGTTGGATGTAGCCATAGTACGAATCGGATCGAGTTTCGTTGTGCATGTTGATGGTCGAAGGACAGATCATGACTCCGTCTGACCATTTAGCAATGATTGAAAATGATGAGGGAAAACAACTTACTGACGTTACCATTCCAGAGATCCATGGCTGTGAAACCGAGGTTTTTCCATGATCTGGGAGTTAGTCCGATACGAGCTGAAAATGTCTTCTGCAATTGGAAGGCTCTGAGTCGCGGTCATGTGGTTCGAGAGACTACCAAGAGGAGTTATGGGTGGAGTTGACATGAGGGAGAAAGACTCACGGGATCCAGTTCGCTACAGCGCTGTATATGTATTCCGAGAACCTGACTATCAGCACCGTCATCTCGATGAGCCCGCAATGAACATGCTGGGCCGAAGACAGATTAGGGTGGACGATGAGTAGTATGGACGGGAATGATGTTAGATATCATCAGAGACATAGATGTAAAAGGATAATGTGATGGATAACTCACCCAGTCTGTATAGGACCCCCTGAACCATGTGCAGAAGTATTAAGTTGCATACCAAACGTTTCCTGGACGGAGGCATTAGGTGTAGAGAAGTTTTCAGCCTGAAGATGAGCTCTGCTTTGGTGATGTCGATCATGGTCCGAGATTCATTGAAGACGTTCGTCAAAACCCCCAATGGATATTTCCTCAAATGACAAACTTCCACTGGGCGTGATGAAAAGAATGAGAAACATGATTATCACAAGGAGGATGTATGACATGATGACGACAAGTAGGAGCTATGACAGAAGACAGATTGAAAAGGTATTGCAAGGAGAAGAAAGCGTAGTGATAATGGATCAGTTGCGCACAGAAAGAAAGGACAGAAGAGATAGACATGAACAAACCTACCTTGTTGATATACTTTGACATTTCTTCCCAGTTCCAAGTCTCTGCAGCATTTGGGTTTAGAGCTGATCGTCAGTTCCTGTACTCCTGACATCATGGGAATACACCCGACATGACGATCACAATCATGTCACACATAGGGGATATGACGGTGACTGATCGTTCCACGGAGGAGGGTGGAGTCCACAGTGTCATTACGTGAGCTGCTGAAAGGGGGGATAGAGGGGTTACGACTGGAAAGTATGGTTTTGGGTGAAGAGAACAAGAGTGAGTAGGGGATTGGAGAAATGAACAAGTCAAAAACTCACTAGACCAAGCATCATAATCCTCTACTGAACCTCTTCCCCAAAACATCCCATTGATAGCTCCTGAACCACCCAAAACTTTCCCTCTAGGCCAGTATTTCGTCAGACCTAGAGAGTCGGTCTGAAGTTAGTCTTGTCATCCAAACCTTAGTCCTTATCCATTATCTTCCCCTTGTCAAATCATCCTTCCGTAGAATGCGTCTCGCACACCCCCACCTTGCACACGACCTCTCATGAGCGGCTCGGATGTTCAGGTGACATACCCCTCTCGGTCGTCATAGCCTAGAAGAAGGACAAACGGGGGGGGCTGGTGGGTTGTAGACAGGAGAGATGAGGTGTGAGTCTGCCAAGTAGGTCGAGAAATTGGTCATATTTGAGTAAACAGAAACGAGACACTCACTTGAGCAACGGTGGTATAAGCCCAATCGTATGCTGAACCAGTAAGAGATTTCAAATAACTATATCCTATAATCTCAGCTTGGTTTCTTCACGACTATTCATCCCTTTTCTTCCTCCTCTATCCCGACATGACATGCGACATCTAAAACATCCTTGTCAATCGTTTTGCTATTCTAGGTGAAACCAGAGTGTACACCGCTTTGTTTGCGAAGGTAATGTGAGGTTTTTCTTCCGGATGTAAACACGCCGACGTCTTCCACCATGATGATGACCACGCCCCTTATCCCCGATCCTCGATCTTCGATTCTCGCAACGGTGTCAACACGTTGTTTCTTGCCGCCCTTTCAAGGAACGAAGATGTTCGAGAATGATTTCGTAGCTGCTGGCTGATACTAGACGATGAAGATAGGAGAGGTCAAGGTAGAGAGCATCGTAATTCACGAAGAGGGAGGTAGAGAGCATCGTAGTTTACAAAGAGGGAGAAGGAAAGATTATGACAATCAAACAACGAGTAGGGTATCTGTCCATCCCTCATGTCGCACGAGACTTCCAAGTTCCCCCCGGAAGACAGAAATTAAAATGATTGTTCCCACAGACTTAAACCCCAACTTGAGAAACAATACACATCAAAGGATCATTCCATCAGAACGAAATATGATATATGAATGGCCATCACAAACATTAAAGCCCCCATCCAACCTATTGAACGTTTATGCAAACCGGGAGAAGGGAGATTGAGTAGAGAGAAACTACTTACCGGGCGTTTGTATTTGATCAGCTACTTGACTTCCATCCATCCCTGCCTCAACGACCAAAACAGTAACATTATCCCATTCACTTAATCTAGTAGCGATAGCCAACCCAGCTAGACCTCCACCAGCAATGACGAAATCGAAACTTTTACCTTGAGCTGAATTAGGGTCTGTAGTTACCGATCTTCGTAAAAGTGTTGAATGGGCGTTGAATGGATTTGCTGCTGCTTGAGATGTTGGGAGATAAAGTATGATACCTAATAACAAAATGATTATTCGAGGGAATAGATAAAATGACATTTTCGGTTTTCTTGATTCTCTAAGAGGTCGATATGTTTTCTCAAGGGAGTGAAATGATGATGAAGATTGTTGAAAAGGAAGGTTTGGTTGTGAATGGTGAGATGTGGATTGTTGAGAATGTGCCATCTTTTCCAAATTGGGCAGTTTTGATAGTTAGGATGGGAGAGGGAGAGGGAGAAGGAGAGAGTTTGACTGGATAGGAATGGAAAAGTTGGACAGAACTGCCAATTGATCGAATGAGTGGGTCTCTGGGATGGAAGATCGGGGGTGTCAGAGTACAAGTGTAGTGATTTGTGAGGTGGAGAGAGTAAGGATAGAGATGAAAGGGAACTTTTATTCAACGTGTATCCTTCTCTACACGGCGTGTCAAAACTTACCCGACTTGAAGTTGTGTAGATCGGAAAAGATCGCTTGGCCACCTTCTGTTGGTCCACGCTGCGCTGCGAGATACGACGGTTATGACGGGGTACGGAGTGGAGTGGAGAAGGGTACAGTAGCAAGGGGCAAAGGGGGCTGTGCAGAGAGAGATGTGAGACGCGTTGGAAAAGTGAAAGAAAAAAGTGTGATTCTCCGGGTTTCGGCGGGACGAGGATCAACCACTGGGTCCGAGGTCCTTTCTCAACTCTTACAGTCACCAGTATGTAGGTATGGGGAATGGAAAGTGAAAGGCTACCAACAGCCTACAATTGTACGCGGAGACGGAGATGAGAAACCACGCAGCAGCAGTCAAAACGCGTGGTAAAAGAAAAAAGCTTTCGGGGATTGTCACCCTTTTACCCCTCCCTCCCTTCCCCCCCCCATTTTCCGTCCCTGAAACCCCTGAGCTCGATGGGAATCCGTACTCTTCGGCAAAGTCAAAGATTTCCATCAATGCCTTCTCATACTTTACATACGATACTATGCTTAACTTGTTGCATCTCATCACTCATCCACACCACTCCACCAGATACTAGTCTGACACCCACACCATATACTTTCAAGTGGATAAGCGTAGACAAAGATGGAACAAGGAATAAAATCAAAGTTCACCCTTCACAGCTTTACTAACGCTCTCCGCGAAATATTCGACGTTACCAGAATTCAACCCGGCCATTGAAATCCTTCCATCCCTCGTCAGATAAATATGAGCTTTTTCCGCCAGTTTATCAACTTGTTCTGGTTTCAGACCGGTAAAACTGAACATTCCGATTTGCGATTTGATATGACCCCATTCACCGGGAGTGTTCAATTCGACCAGTTTGTTGTACAGTTTGGTACGCATGGAGATTATACGTTCTGCCATGCCTTTCACTTCAACCAGCCTGTGAATGAGCGAAACTACATTGTATTCTTCTGGCACGGTGTCATCATGGAGGGAAGAGAGCAGGGGAGTAAGGTAGACCAGCAATAAGACAGGTAGACAATTTGAACAGCAGATTAAGATACTGTGTGGGGGGAAGAGGTCAGGATGAAAAAGAAAGAACGAAGACTGACCATTCCTCGTACAACTCTGGTGATCCTAGAATAGCGCTCACGAGTCTAGCTCCGCTGACTTATCAGCTTGATCCTCCTGTTCTCCAGCTGGCGTTCGCTCACTGGATAGGAGGGTTAGAATACATAGGTCGGATGATAATCTTCAACTGAGAATCCACCCTAGACTTCTCCTCTGGAGATCTACAGACGAAAGAGATGGCTCCGACACGTTCACCGTAGAGACCGAGGTTCTACCATTAGCTTTGTCTTTCTTCCTCGAGATTGTCCATCTTATTGAGCAGCATGTATCCTCTTGGTCGATTCAAAGCAGAAGATAAGGAGTGATCGACAATTGTAAACAAGATCAAAGATGAGCAGAGAATGAGCCACTCGACACACCTTGGCGAATGACTGGCACAAGAGAAGCTGATGTCCCTGCTCGACAAAGTATCTCACAGCAAAGGCATCTTTGAGAATATCACCCGATGCAAAGCCTTGGTAGGCCATGTCGAAGAATGGGAAATGCTTCTTCTTTTTGAACAAGTCGGACAGTTCTTTCCATTGAGCTTCGGTTGGGTCGATACCGGTTGGGTTCTGAGGTCAGTGTGGGTCACTCCAAGTGTTCATGTCAGGTGCAAGGGCTCAACTTCAAGGAAGCTGTCATGCCCGGGTCAAGTGAGAGGTCGGGGACAATTGGAAAGACACAGCTGATGAAGACGGGCAACATCAACACAACACCAATGATGTGAAAGGATCAGAATGAGTAAGAAACCACTGGGAGGAGTAAGTTTAAAAGGAAACTCACATGAGCACAAGCATGCAAAAGGATGATGGAACCTTCCGGCGCAGACTCGATATCTTGTTTCATTCCTTCGAAATCCAGCCCAACGGTGTCTTTGTCAAAGTATCTGATGTCAGCGGGTCTATCTTTATCCAGCCTATACCCCCAACCCCCACCATCGCACTTCAAACATTCATTCAGACATCGCCCATCTTACCAAGCATAGATCTTGAAGGTACGTGATGCCAAGGTATACATAGATGTGAGCAGAATGCAGATGAGTTGGGGCATTGTGGAAAGCCGAAGAAGGATGAGAATGGACGATGAGGAAGAGGAGTACCCGCAAGGCAATAAGCGGAATAGAATGAAGGGAAAGGTGGGAGTAGTGAGGACAGTACACTCGGACGCTCACTTGTATTGCTTCACTTCCAGCCCAGAATCTTTAGCAATAGGAATATGGTTTCCCCATGTCGGAGAAGGAAGATAGATGGCTTTTGCACCTGGGTAGAAACGAGCTAGGAAAGCAGTACCAATTCGAAGTGCGCCTGTACCGGAGATAGATTGGGTGATGGCGAGCTGTAGGTGAGTTATTGTTCCTTCACCACGTTTCGCCCACAGAAGAAGGGTACGCTCCTCGTCTATTGATTCGACGGGGATCTTCGAAAACCGTTGCAACATTCACTCTGCTAAGGGGGTGGTTGAGATTTCCAAATACCCCCAAGCCGTATCCTCGTAGTCTGCGCTTCTCACATTGTTTGAGGAACGGGAAAAGATAAGTCGGTCATGAAGACGAAAGACTTGACTCACACGACCCTCTTTCAACGGAATAGACTCTTTTCCATATGCCAACTCCGCTGCTAGTTTCGTAAACGGAGCAAGACCCTAGAGATCAGTTTCATCGAAGCATTCTCCATATACCATCCTTTTTGAATATTCACATCAACAGTAAACTCGCTACAACTCCAAATGTGATGATCGGATTGCCCAGAAATTTCCGTTTTCAAGCACGAGATCCATGCAAGGGTCATTCGAGAGATGGAAATGGATTGTAAAGTGATTCCAACTCACAGTAATGGGAAGATACTCTTTATCACCTTTAGCCTCATAAAGCAACTTCTCAGCTTTTTGAACCGAAGGTAAAACGTAAGGTTTGCCGTTTTCGTCGCGCTGGGCGTCAGCAACACTCCTTTTTGCCTTTCGTTCATGAGGAGGATTCTCTCAAGGTGGAGCAAGTATAGACGTTGGGATTGTTGTTAAACTCACGTATGCACCTATTCGTCAGCTCTGCAACAGAGTTCAATGCTTTGCTCTCTTCCCAGTCCTATTCTTCTCATGTCCCCAGTCCCATTCCTCCTATTTCTAGTGTGCCTGAAAAGCCTCAGTTGAATGGAAATATGAAAAAGTGATCTTCAAGCGTGATACAAATTTTAAGGATCGTGGACGTGTTGAGAGGACTCGGAAGGAGACAGATTATTGAAGAGAAACAAGGGGACTGACCAACACCGAGATTGATCTTCTTAGGAGAAGTATCAGCTTTGAACTTTTCCGTCACTCCTTAACTTATCAGTCATCAAAGTTCGTTGATATTTGAGTGAGGGGACGTACCGAGAATAGGATCAGGAGGTCTGAATGTCAGTCATACATTTCCATCTTTCTTCTCCTTTTCTGGTACACCTCTCTTGCTCAACGAGAAGTACAGTAAGTCTGTTCGACGAGAAGGAGAAGGATCGAAGTCATTGTATAGAGGTGCAAGTGTGAGACGTGCAAGAGGTATAGAAAGTGTACGGTGTGTAGGAGGTATGAGAGGTGCAGGAAGTATAAGTGTGAGAAGAGTGACAAGGCGCAGGGGGTAAATATAAGACGTCCAGTAAACCACTTCATCCACAACCCCAAGAAAAGAACACCCCATACACTCTCACTGGGGTTGATTTGAGAGAGAGATGAGGTCAAGTGGAAGATAAGGACGATATGGAGTGAGGAGAACCAAGTGGAAGATGAAGACGATATGGAGTGAGAAGAATACGAAAAGTCTGCAAAATGTTGATTATGAGAAGTTGACAGTGGAAATGAAGTAGATAGTGAGAAGGTAAGACATAAAGAAAGGAAAAAAAGAAAAAGATAGTAACTTACCCAGCAGGTACATTATTCCAAGAGCTCAATCCTCTCATCATTAAACCATTTCTAGCACGTCCTATACGACTGATGGGTCGAAGGGAGAACATGGTCACTAGGATGTTGAGATGTTCTCTGTCTGCTTATCTAATATCTAGGATCTAGGAAATATGTATAGAAAGATATCTCTTTCTCTTCCTTTGTATCTCTGGCTGTAGGTGTTGTGTGGGATCTGTGAGTACCTAGAGAGTTGAGTGCAAGGAGGGGAAGGTGGTGAAGTGGGGTGAATAGGAGGAATGTACTAGGGGCAGAAAGGTAAGATAGGTCCGGCCGGAACATCCCGGACTTTCTCCGCGGTGACGAAAATCCAAATCTCCCAACTAACTACGCGTCTTGGGTTATCTTGACACACCATGAACTACTACTCCTGCAGTGCTGATAGCATGCAACAGGTGAAATGGACGATGCTTCATGCTTCAGATGATACAAGGGCGAGCGAGTACAATCTGAAGTACAGCTGGTGGAAGATCAGTAGAGGTAAATGCAATCAGTAAAACAAGACAACGTAGCATAGCATAATACCATCCATCCATAACCGGCATGATCACTAAACATGAATGCGTACAGGCAATAAGTGTAACTACTGATTTGTGTGTGTGTGTGTGAGTTGTCTTCGATACTTTTGTTCAATTGGTCGCAACTCTTGGCTGCAAGTCGTACGTCCCATTTGAGAGAGATGTACAGGGAAGACCTTGATCGTACTTCTCATTTGAGAGAGATGAATCATGTAAAGTCCCAATCGTACGTCGATACCGAAGACAATGATCAATGATTGATGCTGGTGAATGTGAATGGATGAGAATAGAGGAAGTAGTAGAAAATAAGAGAATAGAAAAAAAAGTCGTGGTATTGTTTTGAAAAATGCTGGATTGTATGGGAATTGTCGTAATGCAAAAATGTTCGATTCCTTGTTTGTCGTCCTCTTGTCCCCTTTCGCTATCTCACTGAAACGTCCCTCTCCACTATCACCCCCGCAGTGTTCTCCTCAAACTCATCATCCCTCTAAATGAGCCCTTCCTCCACATCACCGTTCCCTGTCCATAGTCACACTCTACACCTCACTTTCCTCCCCCTACACCTCAACCGAGTTCGACGATCCAATGCAAACACGACGTCACCGTCTAATTTGATAACCGCCGTGTTGACAACGCCGGTCCCTGAGCTTGAGCCTGTGGTTGAGGTTGAGGCAAAGCGTGTAACGGTGGTCTAGGATGTGGGTGTACGGTAGGTAATGGATGTACAGGTCTACCTAAAGTTCCTTGTACACCCATAGGTGGATGTCCTGCCAAAGTAGGTTGACCAGCGGTTCTATACAATTTCGGATCTTTCCCAGGATATTGTCTACTGTAAGGTGCGACATTTTCCTTTGCTCTGACATCGAAAGGATTGACCACATTGGCATGAACGGGAGTGATGGGTGTAGTCGGGACTTCGTCACCTGCTTCGGAAGATGAACATGACGTTGAAAGTGCACCTGGTGAACCGGACAACCAACTGTCCCGTTTACCCGATAATGATGAGAGCCAAGAGGATGAAGGTGCGAGACCAGGTGTGTGAAAGGAATGCGTGGGAGTGACGGGCATGAGAGATCCCCAGTGGAATCGATGACCGGAGAGGTACCATTCGCGAGCGACTGTAGAAGAGCGGGAGTAATAGACAGGAGCGTATTTACGAATAATGATTTCGGAAATGGAGTCGAGACGCTCAGCGAATTGTCGATCAATGGCATAGGCGACACGGATTGCGAGGACCTCCATCTTTGGGGAGTACTGGTCGTTAGCTGATGCACGGGCGATCACGACGCAAGTTCAACCGGAGGATGTATACAGGTAATTTCAGAAACAGGAGCAGAACAGGCGAAAGACTTCAGGACAAGTTAAATGAAGTGTGACCCACCTGAACTGGCCTGCCACAGATATATCGAGCCAATATCAGACTTCCCAAAGCTACAAACTCGGCTTGAAGTCCAACAAACTCCCTATGGAACAGCGTAACCTCCATGACAAACCTAGCCATGTTTTGGACCTTTCCTTCTTCCTGCCATCTCCCATCACCAGACGCTTGGACGCGTAACCAAGCTTCCGCTGTTGGATGTCCGACGACCCAACCGATGGTAGCCAAAACATGTCCTTCCATCTGGATGAACGCGCTTTCGTCGTATGCTTTACAACACATCTCAGCGAGTTCACGTACTAGTGGGACTTTGTCTTTGCCATCTTCGAATTTTGCCGCGATCCAAAGAGCTGCACAACCCACGAGTTGATAATGTTTCTTGTATACGACGCGTTTAGAGACGTATCGGTCGACAATGTTCATAGTGAGATATAAGACTTCGGGTCGGAGACGGAATTGAGTGTGAACTTCGATGAGGAAATCGATAAGGTATGGTCGCATGAACCATTGGAGTTCTGGTTGCATGTCCATGAGATCGGCAGAGGCTAGGGTCAAGTCCTAGGAATGTCAGCTGAGTACTACGCGTTGAAATGCCGTCGTTTACTTTCTGTGTAGGGCGTTGGTGGAAAGGAGAAGGATAGTTGTACGAGAAGAGAAGAGAGCTAATGTGAGAAGTGTATCACTCACGTCCATTCGCATCATATAATCCACAATGTCAGGTTCGTACTGTTGTTCAAAGAACAGATCTTCCTTTCGTATCGGCTTATACACCATCTCTCTTGATCGCGGTGGGGGACCCAGAGGGACGGCGGGTGGAGGTACAGCTGTAGGTGCGGAAGCCGCGACCGGGGGAGGAACAAGACCCAATGTTGTCGTGGCGACGGGCGCTAACCCTGGTGGTGGAGCTGAGGCGACCGTGGGTTGAATGAAGGCCTGCGCCTCGAGTTGAGCAGGAGGGAGGATAAGAGTACTCATCGTGTGATCGGGAACAGACGTTGGAGCAGAAACTGAAGTGGAAGCTGATGAAACGGAAGTTCCAAAGGCTGATGAAGATTCCGCTTCTGGTTCTGGTGTTGGGACGATCCGAGGTTTGCGCCAACTGTACAACGAGTTACGAGGTGGTTTCGTCGATGTAGGTGGCACAGGGGGCATCGCCTGATTCACGCTGTTAGACGAAGGGAAACTGAAGAAGCGCCGAATGATGATGACTGTTTTTTTGGGTTGTAGAAAAGAGGTGAAGAGATGTTGGAAGGAATGATTCAAGCTTCGTAAAACTAGACTTTAGAAATCTAGTTGAACGAGGTTTGTCGGAGTGTTCAGATTGGCGGATAAAGTTGTTTGAAAATAAGTGTGATTACAGGAGACTCTGAGTGGACAAAAGACAGTTGTCGATGTTTAGAGACGGAGCGCTGCTCTTACAAGACACGTTTGAAAGACAGATACCAAATGAGAATGAGTATTCGAGGATATATACGAAACACGAATGGAATTGGGGCGTATAGTGATTTGACCGTTTGAAGGAATTTGAGTAAGAAACGATCGAAGCCAGTCGAATGAAGAACAACGGTAGAGTATAGCACAGTTATGATGTCGTTTGGTAATTAGACAACGGGATGTCAAGAGGGGTACGCGAGATGAAAAAATGGTCGTGATAAGATACCGATTGCGGCGAGATTGAAATTTCACAACAATGACGACGACGACAAACAATGTTTCGACGTTGAGAGAGACCAGTGACCAACAAGAGGGGGGATAATAGTGTAATTTGAAGAGTCGAGTCGATTGAACCAACCAAGGATGAAATGGTCGAGAGTGATACGTCAAGATTGACCCGATCGAGCGAATGCGTGGTTTTTCGATAAATGCCGAGGAAGAGTATGAAAATGGTAATTTGATAAAAGTGGGATTGTTCGTCACGAGATGATGAAGATGGATACAGAATGAAGAGAAAGCGTGAGCTCTAGTTCCCAATATGATGTGATATCTCGACGTGATGAAAACGGAAAAAAGATGAGAGAACCCAAGATCCAGAATATGATTGGAAACAGCCGAGTCGTCAAGACAAGGAGAAGGTTAAGAGATGAATGGGAATAGGAGGAGGATCGTCGCCAGGTCGTCCCGATATCAAAGCATGAACCAGCAAGCTATTCCACGACGAGATCAAGATGAGATCAAGAGAGAAAAGAGTATCAAGAAGGAAAGTCTGACAGATGATATCGCAGTCAAGCTGGACCAGCACGAGATGTCCGTCTGGTAGACCCATTAGGGGAGGTGCAACGCCAAAGGAAAACGAGTGAGGGTGCTCATGTCTCCTGGACGGCCAACGAAGGTCAAGTTTGGCACGAAATCACCATTGACGTGCGTCAGTCAACGGGGGTTTCCGAAATTCTAGTCCAACCGGTCCCCATCTGTGGACGCACCAACCGTCCCACGGTCCATCGGTCAACGGTCTATCGAAGACCGGCTCCAGGGGTAACAAGGTAAGGGGTTTGGGATTGACTGACGCCTCCTCAAAGAGCATGAATGGAACTCGAGGTGAGAAAGGGGACGAGTTTAGGGATGTAAGGGGATTGGAATCAGGGCAATTGGACGTTCGATCGAAACCAAGCTAAGTGTCACGTCGGGAAAAAAGAGAAATCACACTCGGCCAGGCGCGAATTTTGAGTTTCTCTCTCTTCCCCTCATCCCCTTCTTTCTTCCTACTTCTTTCCGAAAGCTCAGAACGCACAGACGTGACTGACCAGCCGGCGGGACATATCCTCCTTCTCTTCTCTTCACTGGTCACCTCCATCCGAGCCGATTCCGACGCCTCACCGGGGACTCGTGCAAACTCGAGCCAGAGTTCAAAACGTACCCCCATGATTCAACGGCATAGAATTCAAAAGTCAAGAGTCTGAGTCTGAGTCTGACAGGAAATTGAAAAACAGATCCCAGCGTGACAAACTCACCTTTGTCGCTCCTGTGTATCCTATCGAACTCCTTCAGAACATGCGATTTCCCCGGGTCTTCGGTCGGTAGATTTTGCGGGGCCCGAATTGCCCGAATTCGAGGTGGCGTTCTTTTGGCGTAAGGAATTGTAGGATCGGGTCTTGGCTCCAGGGTCTAATGAAAAAACAGAGTCAGCCATGAATTCTATTGCCTGTCATTGCTTTTTTCCTAAGACCCGAAACTACATAGTAGCTTTTCTGCGAGACAGAATTTGGGATCTGTACGAGACAAGCGACGTATTCCATGAGATCTCTCCAACAATGTTCATCTTCCTTCCACCATTTCGAAGGATATCCTGGGTGGTGAAGGCCTAGGAAGACGCGTCGTCCTTCCCCACGCAACACTTCTCGTAAATGTCGTAAAGAGCTCAAGTATTCTGACAACTCTATCTCGGATGGCCAACTGCCGTATGGCTCTGAAGCAACGTTTAAGCTTCGAAGTGGGAGAGGCACGAAGATTTGCTCTAGCCTCGAATCCAACATTCCCGTTCATATCGAAATTCACACGACCAAATGGAAAAGATGTGGAGGGATGTATGCGGGTATTTGAAGAATGACGCCATGTGGAGAAGGTAAATGAGGAATGTGGGGCCAGTGGTATCATGGATTCGTAAGCGGTAAAGAAAGATAGTGGAGTGTGATCGAAGGATAAATGAAATCGGAATGAAGTTGGAAGCTCACGAGTTCTATCTATTATCTTTCAAGTATCTCTGGGTCTAGGTCTAGGACAGGTGAATGGATCGGATGGCCAGTGTATGGCGAAGCGGTTGGGAATCTTTGAGAATCTGTGAGTGAGTCTTGCACTTTGATCCATTCGATTGAAGAGTGGGGTATCATGGATCATCTGATTACTCACTCTTTTAACTCCTTGGACGATCAGTGTCGATCAGAGACGGTTTTGATAACGTCGGACCCTATCATGTCAGTGAGATATTGACGAGTTGGTGAAGGCCACCTGTTTGACGAGGAACAAGGTACGAGGTCATGGGATAAGGACTGACCGGGATCGTCGTCAAGGTGGATGGAGAACAATAGGTGATTTTATTTTGCCCACTTGTATGGGGCACGATTAATGGGACGGATCAAGGATTGAAAGAAACAATAAGGGATGAAATGATATAGGATAACAATGTAAGTTATATGGAGAGAAAAGATGTCACAAGTCAAAAGTCGCGCTCACTCGTGTTCCCTTCTACGAACAGCCGATAGGCCGAAAGTATGTTGATACCCCGTATAACGACTTTGAGGACGTATCAGAGTCTATGCCTCGTGTAGATCACTCTATTGGAAAGACCAGAGTCAAACACTCCTTTGCTCTTGCACGTCGTGTGGAGAAGAGATGGGAGGGATGATGATGATCGTCGTTCCGTCCGCAATCCGTACTTCCGTGAGCCGAGGACGAAGGGCCGTGAACCGGGGAGGTCTGAGTGGAGTCAATTGACAATCGGGACCTAGAGGGAGGTTTTATGAATAACGGGGCGAGAAGGTTGGTGTCGCAGGTCTGTGTATGGGGAAAGAAGCGGTTCGGCGTTTGCGGAGGGGAGAGATGAGAAGGGGGGTGGGGAGAAGAAGAAATCAGATTTTGTGATAGGACTGACGATCAGCCGTTGGACCGAATTACTAATGGTCATCGCGAACATGTGTGTATAAGGGGTGTTTTTGTTTCCCTTCCATATCTGAACATTGTCTAATGTGTAATGAATGAGGTAGAAAGGGGAGGGAAGAGAAGAACAAATGTGGAGATGTGGAGAGTTTGAGAAAGTATAAAAAAGGACGCACAATTGTTCTCCTTCCCGATCTTCAGGGTTCGTGTGTGTGTGTGGGTGTGTGGGTGTCGGCGGTGGAAGTTTGGGGTTTTACTAGAGGGAAAGATCGAAATTGAACCGACTTCCCGAGTTTGGAATGAGGATCAAACTGTGTGTAGGTTGATATGATGCTAAAGCAACAGATTATCTAAAAGTTGTCGGTTGTCGGTGGTCGGAAGTTGATATGAATTTCTACTTACTTTTTCTGATTTTTGATTGAAGAGAAGGTATTGTCGTTTTGAACAAAGAGAATGAGGATACAAGTGACGATGGATATAGGATGAGGTATATAATTACACAAGAGAGTATAAGGATAGGGAGAGAAGAGAAGAGGGGAAGAAGATTATGGTTCGTGGTTTCTTTTCCCCCCCCACCAGAGATCAGAGTATGAGCCCCCCTAAGCCCTTTCGATCACGATCACCGCTTGACCTTTAGACGAGGAAAGAAAAGTAAAGGGTACACGCTTGGCTTCTTTTTTCTCTCTTTTGACTTTTCTCTCTCTATCTAATTCTTGTCGTCCGTGCGGAGAAAATTCCTTCTTTTTCAATATCTTCTTTCACTCACCTCTCCACCTCTTCGTATTATATTGATGGATAGAGGATTGATCTGATAGAATATTCTCTCTCCCACAGAGCCAAGAACGGCTTTCAATCCGCGGTTCTATGCATTTGGACCATGCACCATAAGTCGCGAATCCCCGTCGCATGCATGTCGCAGATTTCAGATTCTCACTTTTCGGCCTCGAGGCAGTCGAAACCAAGGGGGTGTAGTTGATTGCATCAGACATCATGCATCATCAGACATCAGACATCAATAGATCAGGTATGATGACATACATGATGGTATGATGCATCGTAAAATTGATGGGTGATTGCCCTGCTTTGGAATTCTATGAAAAATCCGAGTATTGGCCATGATTTCGTTCATCTATGTCATTCTCTGCCTTCTATACAAACCATTTGATTTTAATATACATATAGACCTTTCTCCTCCTCTTAACATATGACATATGACATGTAACATATAGCATGCATGTCCGATTCAATACTCGAGATCGATCGCGAAGTATAAAAAAAAGGAATATAAGACTGTTTCGAAACGCGTCCCCCCCCTCCCTTCGCGTCATTCGCGCCCAAAACACAAGACACATCCTGTCCCATATCCCCATGTCATTCATCACTCATCCCTTCCTATCTCATACACAGAGAATACACAAATACATCCTGTATGAAATTTCTTCCTCATCGCGAATCATCAACTTACGTTTTTCTGTTTTTCCATTATAAGACTCATCTCCTACAATGGGGAAAATCAAGGCGTAAGTTGAACGATCACATTTGTCTTTCTCATCGCCCTAACGCCCTTTTTTGATCCTCAACTTACCCCTCCAGGCCACCTGGCCACCTGCACCTGACCATCTTCAATCATTATTACTACTACTACTCTCCGTTTCACGGATTTGACCGAGAGACTTGCCAAGCATACGATTTCCCTCAAACTACAGTATCATCTATCTGTGAATCACCGAAACATGACGGTGCATGTCACATGAAAGAGGAGTGACGCCGTACGCCGAAAGATGATGGTCGTCTAGCGGACATGTACGTGTATTCTAATCTTCTTGGATACCATCTTCCCCACCCCCCGGCCCTCACCAACCTGCTCGACCAACACTGCTCGGCTTCCGGTGACCGGTGACCGGTGATATGAAACGAGAAGCAAAAAGTAGAAAGAGGGTGAAGAGTTAGATCCGATAATTAACTTACAGCACCAAATCATGCACGGTCCCATGATTGTGAAAATGTCATAGAACGAAAGACGGTATGCTCAGACGCTAGAAGGGAAGAAGATGTTTCATCTTTCTCCTTCTTGGCCCTTGGTGGCGTTGAACGTTCTTTTCGCCATGCATCTTTATGTGGAGGTTCCTCTCGAAAGTCACATGGTCATTCTTCTCAGGATAGACAGAGAGATTTGAAAAGTTTTCTTGCGTGATATTGGAAGATGAGTTTGTCCGAGTAAGATGTAAGCATGCATGTAGGCAAAGTGGGAGAAAACGGGCACGTAAGATCGACATGAAGGTACGGCCCTTGTCAACTTTTACATGCAAAGCCATGTTCCTACCAGCTGCCGGTCACCCGAAGCGAAAAAAGTTTCCTATATCCTCAATTCCTCGACAAAACCCGAAAACCCGAAATCCGATGATCTGATTGACCGTATCAACCGATGACCGAGTTTTCCTTTTGACTCTCCCTTTACCACCTGCGTCCTACTCCGCCTTCACCTCACACGTAGCCAGCTCTAGCACCCTATCACCCTCCGTATAAGATCTAAGTCATAATGCCAATGTCAACCGACTTGTCTACGGTTCACATGAAACCATGGTTTCATGGATTATATGAGGAGAATGGAATTTCACATGACACTTTCCATCACAGGTCTAAAATGACCCACCTGACCTGGAGCACACTAAAACCGTCTTGAAAGACGGAGTTCGGAGTTCAGGTTAAAGACTTAAGACGGACATATATCACTTGCTTCCGTCAAAGAAACCAGGGTCATTCTCACGGCCCACGGTTCCGCCTTAATACTTCGCTACCTGAGGTTCCGTTTCTTTTGGCGTTATCACATCTTTTTTCTATTTCCTAACATACAACTTCAGAGACAAAGACCTGATCTTACTTTCATTACTTTATTACCTGAGCGTCTAGATGTGTTTCAGAAATCCTTAATATCTAAGCTTTCTTCGGCTTCGGCTTAATTAAGATACTACTCTTGTCCCTTTTTCCGTTTTTTCTGGTTTCCTTACGCCTACTTTTTCGAAAGATCCAAGATCCAAGGGAATATTGTAAGACTCAAGACACGATTTTCAGGAATTTCAAAGATCTCAAAAAATTCATTATTGTAACATGTGGCAAGTCAAGATGTCAGGTACATATTGTAGCAAATCAGGAAATCAGGAAGTCAGGATAAATAAAGATCGTACTCGTAGGGTCTTAGGTAAGTCACTCGAATGAGACACTACTTTTCCATCCATCATCGAGTTTGCTTCTTTTGATCCTTAAGATCGGTGGCCTGGATCGGTGGCTTGACGCCTGAATATTTCTATTCAATAACCGAAACGAGACCAACACATTACTTCTACGAATATTGAATCATGAATCATGAATCATGAATCGTAATTCATGGACTCAGAAGCTTTAAGTGAGACGCGGAGAGAGAGGAATGGTATGAGACATGAGACATGAGAACGTGTCTCACATTGGGTGGGACATGGGTTAGGTAGCTAATAGCTAATAGTTATAGCCGGACCTCGGTAGATGATCTAGATGAGGAATGAAGTAGAGTACGACGATTCGACTGGTGAATAATGAAAGACAAACCACCCCCACGATCCACAATCCATAGTCATATTCGGGCGTAAGAAAGACATTTGTGGGGCATGATACTACACTGTATCACGAATTTCCCCATGGTTCTCATAAGTTCATGAATTTGGGGGAAATTGGGGATCTGGAGATCTGGGGATTTGGGGATCTGGAGACCCGAGGAATCGAGTTGTCTAGGATTGGAAGACATACGACGGAAATGAAATGTTCATGACTTCAATGACAAATCGTAAATATCTCTCAATTGAAATCTAGGGGAAAATCATCGCATACTCAATAGGAAGAACGGAAGGAAAAAAGGGTAAAAATGATACATGGGATCATACTGTACAAATTTCATGTGAGAGAGACGTCATGACATTGATGGAGTGAAAGAAACGATTGACAATGCCAACAAGAACGGATGAATTTACAATTACGCCAACTTGTTTCGAATCAAGACCCACAAACCATACCCTACTATTGTGATTCCAATAATCCATATGACCCAACTGATCATCTCTCCCCTTCGTCTCTTTCTCCTTTCATCCTCTACACTTACAGGTCGATTGTAAGGTATACCCATACATAGGAAATATACGAATAAGTTTTCTTTCAATCGGGACATTGGAGGATAACGGAGGGACATGATGGGTTCGAATATGAGAGGTACTTTTATAACAGCTTAGCAGTTAGTACTTCTGTCATACGTCCGTCTCATTCTTAAGGATTTAGGGAAAGGGGACGTATAATTGGAGAAAGAAGTGTGAAATACACAAGTAGAAGAAAGAGTCATGAGACAACCCACTCTTGAAATGACTAAAAGTTCGGAATCCATCGTAACCATGATAAGATCCCCCTATTTGTCAACTTCACCAAGACCACGCTCAGAATACTCACATCCTGAATCCCCTACCCCGCCAAACGGTTGTGTTCGTGCTACTCATTAACATCGTTCTTATGTTCATTGAGGGAAGAACTTGCAGATGGTAGCGAAACCAAAATCATTCCAAGTTATAGACCCGCTCGTCGTTTCATTTACCACTGACCGTCAGTCACAGTCACCAGATCATACTATGCGACGCACCTTTATCGAACGCCGAGCGTTTGCTTGAACATACGTAAAGAGCGAGGGGATGAGGTCGGGAGTTTATGTACCGTATAGCGGCATCTATGTCCTACTCGTCAGCCTCGACCATCTTTAAAGCTCACAGATCCGATATGAATGCCGCTGATGGGTGAATTGGAGTTGATTATGACGGTCCAGAGATAATCTGTGTCCTACACAAGCGATAAGACGAGGCGGGGAACCACTCACTCGGACGGGGATCACAGGTAAGACAGGACCGAACAATTCTTCTTCAACCAAAGGTCCAGTCTCATCTTTCCCATCCTCGTTCAATTTCACAACACTGAATCCCATCCGACGACGTAGACGATCTTCTTCTCCTCTGTACACCAACTTACCCTCTGCTTCCGCTTTATCAAGTATGTTCATTTGACGTTGAAAAGCGGCCTCATTCTGCATTGCAGAAGTAGAAGGTGAGTGGATCATAGCGTTTGGATCGGGTGAAGAAGGGTATTGAGTTTTCAGACTAGACGTTAATTTAGAAATCCTTCTTTACTACTGTCTCCAACTTTCAGACGATATATCGACTGGACGTGGTGCATTGGCACTACGTATGATAAAGGAAAGGTTCCACATTGAGTGAATAGTGATTGGGGTGAAATTCAATGTCAAATCGAAGGAAGATGACCCAGGGATTACCAACTTACACATCTTTACAAGCCTCAACAAAATCGTCCACCCTATCTTTGGCGCACAGCACATAATCCGGAGCAACGCACATCTGTCCCATTAACACATCCTCATCGGTTCAAAGGGGAGAGAAATACCTGTCCACAACTGAATTGCTTGATACTGAACATCCTAGCAGCGGCTATTCTAACATCTGCACAACTGCTCAATATCACCGGACTTTTCCCTCCCAACTGAATATCAATGACAATATCCATGCGAGATTATGACTCACTTCGAGAGTGGTAGGACTGAGGGTTTTCGCCCCTGCTGCAGCGACCAATTTTCCGACTCTGTTGGATCCGGTAAAAAGGACTGATGTCAGTCAACCTGGTACAAACCCCTTCCGACTTGAGATGAAGCCAGGGTCAGACGTGACTAGAAAAGGTGAGAAGGTGAAGTGATGACTTCATGTATGACTGTAGAGAGGAGATACGATCAAAAGTTAAGGTATCTGGTAGGATAGTAAATAACTCACTATGACCCCATTGGTATTCCAACAACTTGGTGGATTGTTCAACTCCTCCAAGAACCACAGCATAACCTTCCGGATCTAAATATCGAGGTAATAATTCAGCCAGAAGGGCGGAAGAAGTAGGTGCAAGTTCCGAAGGCTGTATTTTCAGTCTCATTTCACTCACATCTGACTTCCCACTTCCCACATTTCACAAAGTCAGGAAGAAGGTATGAAAGTGAAAGTGAATCACAAATTGTCAACGAGAGTGTGGGATGATGTACATACTGACTTTTATGATAGCTGGACAACCGGCCGCTATGGCTCCTACCAAAGGACACAAAGAACATTGCCAGGGGAAATTCTATTGAGAAATCAGGTTCGATCTTCAGCGTAGAGAGAAACGCTAACCCAAGGACTTATAATCTATTTCGTCAGATACAACACTCTGTCTTCGAACGTGCTTTTGCGAAGAGACTTACCAAAGCCAAACCCCTAGGTTGTTTCTTCACACTAGGTCCTAATCGTAAGAATCACAACAATCATGAGAGTTATAAAAAAGGTATGTACTGACTCATGAATTTATAAGCTAATAAAGCATCTTTATATTGAGTTTCATCTTTCATCCATTTCTTCGTACAACGAATGGCTAGTTCAATCTCGTTATAAGTAGCCATGAGCTAAACGATTTAGTTCTTGAATCTCCATTTGACTGATCAAATCATCTCTTTCCTAAAGGATCCATGAGAAGATCATGTTTCATCTATTAACAAAGATCTACAAATTCTTAAGTTGACCAAAAATGTCATGAGAGTATGAATGAGACGAAGGGGTAAGAAAATAAGAGAAGAGAAGAGAAGAAACTCACATCACTCAAAGCCATATCTTGTCTACCCTTATCGAGATCAAGTTTCAATGCCAACTCGATCCTTTTCTCATTATCATGTAAAAGATATCCTAATTGTTTGAGATTGTAAATCCTATAATCTAAACTTGTCGTTATACCAGAATGAAAACAATCTTTCAATTTATTATACACCTGTTTTATTCATTAACTTTACATTCCATCCCTGTCAAAGTGATGATTTACCTCTCCGATTTCCTCGAGAGGTGTATCGATATGAATTGGAGTATCCATGATTTCTTGAGAGGGTTTGGAAGACATATTGTTTCTTTCCTAATGCCTTTCTTGTATGTTAAGTAGTTTATTGAACTCATCTGTTGCAAGACCGTTCGAGGGGGTTGGTCGCCGATAGCCGATGTGCCGGATGACCGAAAGATGAATGTGGCAATGTGGCGGTGACTAACCTTCCTTCCGTTCAGGTTCAAACTGCCACATGCCACAGCATCAATAAGAAGTGATAATATACGAGTACATACCTCGTTCTGTAAGAGTAAGGGTGTAAGAGTAAAACTCTCTCACTCCGATGTATCCTCAGGGTCTTTCGTCACTCTGCCAGAATTAAGATGCCTTTCGGGAAACCAGGGTGACGAACAAAGGATGATCGTCGGATGAAAGGATACGATGAGGAGTTGTGGTTTCTTTGTCCGAGTGGTGTGATTTTACGAATGAGTAGGGAAAAAACATTTTGGAGTAATCCTCTAAATCTCGATTGTTCCAGAATCATCAACAACTTGATTGACTACTTTCTCGCTAAACACTCATAACAACGACAAAAACCATATCGGTGCTAGAGTGATCCGACACAACAAGAAGAAGAGGACGTGAGGATTGATGATTGTTGATTGTTGCGAAAACGTTGACGATATACGACTTTACTGGTCCCAAATGTTTTGAAAATGAGACCCGATCTATCATGTCATTCAGGATATTATTTATCTTGGGAATATGGGCGATAAGCCCCATCAAAGCTCAAACTAGTAATGCTACGTGTGTTAGATCAGACAAAAATGAATGGTTATTCAATAGTGTGGATGAATCACCATGGTGAGTTGGTCACTGTTATCTCGTTGTCTCTGTAGTTCTCCTATCTTTTATATCTTTCATGTCTTTCCTCTCCCCCCTATTTCTTCTTTCCTTCCAGTCTTCCAAGCGTTTTGTCTCTCTTCTTTTCGTCCTCCATCTTCCTCAATACAGACCTCGAACAGGGAATGAAATATTCACGAGATGACGTCCACTCAACCTTCACAGCATCCCGGACTAGAGACCAAGAAGAACGTGATCCGTAGTGACAGTCTACGGAATGAATACAAGGGATAATCATCATTGAATGAGGTTGCATTGTTGGAACAGAGAAAGAAGAACTAACCTATCAGTCTAGTTTGGTCAAAATTACAATCCCTCTGTTTACCTTCAGATTCATATATAAACGTTCCACCTTTACTTGATCCTTCATGGGGTTATAACGCCCCAGGAGATGAAGGTACTATATGTCAATGTAATTCTTTATCTTATAGTCTTATGGTGAGTGTATGCTTTATCCTATATCTCCCTCTCAATCCTCATATCCAAAGTCTCGAGTATAATCCTTGACTCGTTTCAGTAGTAATTGTGGTGATAGAACCCACTTTACTCTTTGGAATTGTTTTTCCTACCTGTATCAAGTCGATTAATGAGCAATTTGATTTTAGGAGAAATCTCTTTTCATAGTAGCGATCACGTAAACGAAGTAGTTATGGTTGGGCTGATTCATTTAGGCAGGATGTACATGGTGTCAACTTGGTGATTCAGGTGGTTGGGCGTCGGAATCAACTTGGAAATCATCTTGTCCTTCTTGGACTGAACAAGGGTGCGTTAAAATCATATCCTCTCATACTCTCATTCCAATCCCTCCTCTGAATTATTTCATCCTCTACCATATTTGAAACACTTCATCATTCTCTTCCTCCTTCTCTTCCCAAACTTTTACACACATCACTCATTTTGTCCATTGGGTATCACACTTCACATACTCCCTGTTTCTTCATAAGTTTCTTATGTTCCGAACGTGATTACAATGAAATCATCTCCCAATATGACAGATATACAGTACAATCTCGACAATTCCCCTGGAATCCCTGACCCATTTCCAGTACCTAATCCAGAGATGGTGTAACATCATCAAAATGACCGTATCCACCATGAGAGAGTGTAACAAAAGCATGGGTAGTGAGTGATGTTGAGAGGTTGAAAGCTAATGAATCAGACTAAACTTTGCGGAAAATGTAGTTTCTTTACCAACATACATATTCTCACCACTTCCTTCACCTTCAGATTCATGGTCCCCTTCATCAGCATCATCATTCGCACAAACGTATACAGCCACGAACATACCTACTTATTCTCTCACATTATCTCGATCTTTCTCTACTCCTACTCCTAACCCCACTCAACCTATCCCTTCATCAGGAATCAATTCCAAACCCGGAACCTCTTCCACAAACTCCTCTTTGGCAGGAGGAAACAATGATGGTAGTGGAAAGGGGAATGGAGATGGATTTAACGTTTCTAAATGGGGTCCAATAGTTGGAGCCGTATTTGGTTCTTCATTAGTTTTAGCTTCTCTTTTAGCTTTAATCTTAAGATGGCGTAAACGACATCCTTCTTCTTCTTCTAAACCTCTTCCTTCATCTAAAATTCCTCCTTCCTCTTCCAACAACGATTTCGGGGAAAAAAATAAAGATAAATATCTTATTCAATCAGATTCAGAATCACAATTAGGTTATCCAAGATCATCCAATTTGATAGAAAAACAAAGACAAAATACTTTTGAAAAAACTTACAACCAAAAGAAGAAGAATCAACCGAAAAGAGGAATAACAAGAAGACTCACAAAAGGAATAAGAAGTACTTTATTCGGTGATCCTACTTCTTTCTTCGCCTCAAGACCCGCTCCTAATCCCGACACGAAAACTCGACGGAAAACAGGTAGTGAAGAAAGTTTCGGTGCCCATGAACCTGTTTTATCTTCATTACCAGGTGATTATGGAGGTTATACAGATTCTCCATTACCAATGTCAGCTTTGAAACCTTCAGAATTCCCACATAAACAAGGTTCCATAAGATCTTTTGGTAAAAGGGAATCAAATATGATACTTGAACAGGAAAGAGATGAAGCAAAGATGAGGGAATGGAATGATCCTCCTGCTTTCACAGGAGTAGACTTCACAAAAACACCAGCTCATGTTGGATTTGAAGGAGGTGCTGAGATTGTTACTTTATCAAAATTGTACAATACCCCATTAGAAGTTAGAGTTTCGAGTGAAAGTGGGGATTCAAGAAGATTAGCCGACGTTCCTGATGGTCCTGAAGATCAAGATCATTGGGATGAACAAGATGAATGGGAAAGAGAAAATGATCAAGTGAATGGGGGAGATGGTTATTGGGAAGAAAGTAGAGAGAGCAGGATAGAAAGAAGACCATTTTCAGATACGGCACCGACATTACCGAGTTTATACGAACCTCAGACTGGAGCTGAAAGATGGACTTTGACAAATGAACAAATGCCTTCGAGATTGACTCAGTTGAGTGGATATCCAGTCAGGATAGGTTTGGAGAGTCCGAATAGTCGATATCCCGAGACGGAGAGGAATAGTCGGGTGGATAGGATAGAAATGCCTGATTTACCCAGGGGAATCAGTGATGATTGATGGTGGGATTCAAGTAATTCGGGCTATCATAACAAGTTGGAGGTGGATTAGTGATAATCAGTCGGATGAAGAGATTTGGAGAAGCAACGGAACATCTGAGATGGATGGATAGCGGATGGATTGGTATGACTCTACGTATGCATGCTTGGTTGGTCGATTTTCTTATCGGCTTGAGAGATCTAAGGGTATCTAACGATCAAAAGCAGAAGACTTGATCTTCTAGCTTGGAGATGGTTCGTGGGGCGGGATAACCTATGGCGGCCAGATGGGCTCTGAGGTGTTAATTTCAGCTTCGGGTGAAGCTCGCAGCTATATCCTGGGCGCATATCCCTTACGAAGAACTTATATCTGAGGAAGAGGGAGGAAACACCGCATGAGGGGGGAGAGGAGAAATCTCGCGTTGATGAAAGATGGTGATTGTGGAGAAAATTTCAACACTCACTTCATCGCTCCGATCATAGGAGGGGGTCCACACATCAACACCTTTTCCCCTTCTCCATGAACAGAAGATCCGACGCCACCTTTAGGCATGAATTGTTCAATCATTTCTTTCGTAACGAAGCCAGTACCTTGATTCCAGCCAGCTGGGGGATGGTTCAGGGTATGCTAGAGTGTCAGCCATTGCCATTACCCGATAGAGTCACGAAGACAGCCTGTTTCTCTCCAATACAACGGACGTTGGAGGGATCGCCAGAAAAGGTGTATCGTGGACGATTATGATGTTGAGGACGATGAACTCACGTAGAGCTTGAATCTTCCATTGGATTCATCTCTCATTTTCTCAAGATCATCTCTCAACACTACTATCAGCTCTGTTAACATTCGTCCAGTAAGGAGAGCTGACAGATATCATCTTCATTGACATTGGCGTATATGAGAGCAAGCTCAGTTTTGTCTTTTGGATCTTTCAAAGAAGATTTGATTATCTGATACATGGGTGTGATACCTGTACCTCCGGCGATCATGAGTAGGTGAGGGGCGAGGTTACGACTGTGGATCAGTATTGATCATCTTTTTGCCTCGTCAGATTGGTCAAGTCATTTGTCATCCGTCGCAGAGTTGTATGTCACAAAGGGTATGGACCAACATATATCCGAGAGGCAGGGATAGGAACGTAAGGAAAAAATGTGTGGGGTGAAGATAATCCAGTCAAGAAACTCACGTATAAGCGAATTTTCCCCTCGGACCTTTGATCCTAACTTGTTGACCTATAGTGAGAAGAGATAAATATCTAGAAATATTCCCTTTATCGTATGTCTACAATCAGCTATCGATCATATTCCACCCCTTCCCTTCTCTACTCTACTCATAGTCATCCAAGATGTTTACCCCTCCTCTCTACCCGAACAGCAAAGAAGGGCTCATCATTTCACGAAAGCAAGTAGGCATGAAGGGACCTTTTCTACTTCAAGGACAGACACACGTCGATGAGTGAAAAGTGGAATCCTCACTCACCTTGACGACCAAATCGAAATGACCCAAATCATCATCCAAAGTTACAGGCGTATAACTTCTCATAATTTCCTTGCCATCAATTTCAGCCGACACGCTAATATGTTGTCCGATCGGTAATCCTAGACAATCGGTAGATTTAGGGAGTGAAAAGACGTATCGAGCTGTATTATGTGACAAAGCTATTTTGTCGGTCAGAGTGAAGGGACGCCATTCCGTAGGTGAGAGTACGGGATGAGGTTCTGGTTCTGAAGGACGAGCTGAAGTCAGAAGATGATTTTGGTTTCGACATTCCATCTGAGTAGATTGTAGATGGTGTGACATACGAGTAGAGAGTTCAGTGCACGAGTTAAGGATACTTTGGAGTTTTAAAGGAAGAAGAGGTAAAGTAAGTGATAAGAGAGGAAATTCATTCTTCATTCATTCATCATGCACATGAAATGAAGTAGAAGCAGTCGGAGAAAGATAGGAAATGGGTAGGTATAATGAGGCGAGAAGGAGAACATCGGGATAAGAAAAGGAGAAAAACTCACCAGTGATATAAATGAACCCGATTATCAAAACACTTAAACCGATGATAACCTCTATGACATGTCCTTCTAATCCGAAAGGTTGAAGGAGATCATTCAATTTGTCCATCTTGCCTTTCGCTCTTTCTCGTCCCTCCTCGATATCAGCTTGTCTCACAGAATCAAGTGAATCAACAACGGCTGCTCTGTCGGGAAGAGCGCTTTCTGACTGACTGAGATGGTACAAGAGTGAGTCAGCTCAAAGTGTGAGAAGTAGTAGCATGGAGAGGGGGATGGAGTGTGTGGGGATGGAATGTGAGTGGACCGACATTTTTGGGGAAAGGGAGTTGCCACGTGGTCAACGAAAGGTTGTGTGGCGTGGCGGTTTGGAGTGCATAGCGCACATTATCCCTGTCCAATACAATTACTACTGCAGTATGCGAGTGTACGGGGGGAGTAGAGTTGGGTCGTGTTGGGGTAGAGTTGGGGTAGAGTTGGGTAGAGTGGGTAAAGTAGAGCAGGAGAAGGGTGGAGAGGAGTAGATTAAAGTATATCCACCTTCAAAGTCCAACAGGCAACATCTACCTGCTGCATGAAACCAGACACTACTACTCGGATAGTGCCAGTTCTCGCGTTCAGTCGAAAGAGGGTGCCAACACAATTATGACAAGATCAATTGATATATGTCATACATCAACTCAAGTCATATCTGTCAGATCTGTATCAAGATAAATACTAGTCAACGATCCCTATTTCACCTAATATAAACTTTGTGCGTCCACACAAGCTTGTAAGAAAGCTCCTAAATATCCTTCAGGTCTAACTGTCGCTAATGTTTCTTTCATCACTCCTTTCAACGAAGCCGCTCTGTTAGTCAGTGATAATGTCGTGTTTAGTTAGACATGACGATCTCTCTCAGCAACGGGTTCGTTCGATACCGGGGTCAAGGGTTGAAGAGCCTCAGAGTGTGGGAAAAGGAGCTTCACATGTTAAAAATGATTGTCGAGCTGGAAAAGAAGAACGAGGAGATGGTGAAGTTTCAAACAACCGGAAAAGAAAGTATGAGAAGATGATTGATCTCATCAAAGTATTGAGAAAGAAGGAAAGAGGAAAACTCACTCTACTGAACCATATACAGTCTCAACATCCACCTCGACATTCGCCAAACTCCCAGGCCAACCACTGACCGTCTCACCCGTCAAATTAAACGTCACTTCCACTTTCGATCTCATCGCGGGAAAAACCAAACATGTCCGAACTTGCAACAAAGGTGAGAGAGAAGTCGAAGAGAGTGTATATGAAAGTGGATATCTGAGATTTACTAAACGAAGTTCGGAACGAAGTCGTTGGATCGATGACCATAATTGACCGATACGTTGAATGAGCTGATGATTAGTCGATTGATCATATATACCCCACTACCTCTACCTTTACTTTTCTCTCCCTGATGTTTAAGGATTTCGGTTTGAAGAAATGATTGGAAAAGAAGAGGATATGATCTTGTTTGGGGGAGAGGAGAAAATGGCGAAGGGTACAAAGTGGTGGGATGGAATGAAAATGGATCGGTATGAGGGTTATATGTGGTGATGTCTGTTCGGAAAGATTCATTGGATGAAGAGGAAAAGAAAGTAAGTAAGGAAGAAAAACTTACAAGAGGTAAAGTATTACATTCTTTCTTAAAACTTTCCATCGAATTCAAGAACACTTCAAACAAACCTTCCATAGAAATCCCTCCTCTTCCCCTCGGACCTTTCTTCTCACCGTGTCCGATATAAGGCAAAGTGATACCGGAAGACGATGCTTTCTTCCCTTCCCCGACATCTATCAGAGTGATATTGATAGAAGATAAATCAGGATGAAAGTCTTTGGCAGAGAAACAAAGATTGATTTCGTTATCGTATGTGAGTTCCAAAGAAGATGGTGAGAGATGGACGATACGCCATTGATGAAGATGTTGAAGGGAGTCGTATTCATCTTCTTATCAGCACCGTGTCAGGCGAATAAGGTTTGACGGTCAATGACTGAAACTGGCTTGGGTAACATTCGGAAAAGCGGGGAACAATATACACCAGTGGAAAATGAGAAGGGACAATAGCCTACGCCTACAACAGAGAAAATAGCAGAACAGCAGAAGAAAGCATGAGAACAAAAGGTGGAAAGAAGAAAAGGAGGCAGGAAGAAACCACTCACCGCGTAAACGGATCACGTCAGATCTTGTGAACCTATCACACATATTTCTCGCAGTCGTAATGGCCATCAAAAGTTCCGATTTCTTATCTCTCAATTCGTCGAGTTTAGTAGTAAGTGTGCCGAGTTTGATTTGACCGTCTGAAAGTTCCGTGGTAAATCCAGCTATTTGTATGCTGACCGTTAAACACAATCCTCATACAAAAGGTAGACACAAGGTTGTAAGCGGGAATGAATAAAACTCACTTTTGTTCAGCTATAGCCGCACGGAAATCTGCCAATTCTTCTTGATCACATTCCGCCACAGCTTTGACCATCTCTCTTTCCTTGCCCAATTCTTCTCTTAGAGCCGCGGCTCTAGCTTGGAGATCAGGTAAGAGAGTCTCGGTTTGAGTGCATAGTTCGGAGAGCCGAGTGTCGTCCTGCGTATCAGAATGACATTCCACATACTCAACGCCGTCATATTTCCAAAACTCCTCTTCGTAAGAAAAGGGGGTGGGGAAAAGGAGAGGTAGAAAAGGGGAGGGAGAAAAGAGGAAGGAGAAAAGGGGAGGGAGAGCAGGGGAGGGAGAAAAGGGGAGGGGGGGAAGAGGAAGGAGGAAAGGGAGGGAGAAAAGGGGAGGAGGAGGGGAGACGTCATAGATTTGACAGGATGTAGAAGATCGCAATGGGAAGTGAGAAATCGATTGGAGAGCGAACAACAGGTAATCGTGAAAAAGACTCATAAAACCCACCTCTTTCATCCCCAATAACATCTCCTCTACATCCGGTTTGATCTTACTCATCAAAGCAATCTTCCAATCATACCACCCTTCCTTAGCTTTCAAATGAGTGTTAGTTTTGAAATTTTTGAAAGTACTTTCGAACATTGCTTTTTCGTGATCTGGAGCAGCTAGATATTCTTTGATCACAGGTGGATTATGAAGGGAATAAAGTTCTTCTGTAGCTTGAAGATCTAAAGCGGCCGCACGGATATCTTCTCGCATTTTGTTATTTCCCTATTTATCAGATTTCTGACATGTCCATTATTCCGTTCGTTTCATGTATCACCCATCATGTGGAGTTTTACTGAGATGTAGAGATAGACGAGGTACACAAGTACGATGGAGAGGATGAAAATGATGCCGGGAATGAGTTCGTCAAGACATAGGTGGAATTATCCAACAAGGATTGACACTACACGAACTGAGTGACATCATCAAAGTGTGTATGAGTGATGAGGAGAGAATAATGTGGAAAAGTGGTGAAAGTAAGGCAAGAGGCAGGTGGACGCGGACACTGACCCATGTGTACATATTAAGAAAAGCACTGTGAATTTGAGCTTCAACATATTCGTGTAATCCGAAATCCCGATCTACCCATTAATATGACTATGACAAAAAAAGACCTCATAACTCACCCGCTGTACTCTGTCCTAAAACTCCTCTAGCCACACTGCTCCTCCTATTCATACCTGGCAAACCTTCCATGAACAACACTCCCGTCATCTCCAAAAACGCTCCTAAAGCGATGGTAGGTGGTTCTTCCCATTCTTCCTCCGCCTCGGTGATTTCTTCAGATGGAGGAACGTTTATACCCATTGCTCGTCTGATAGCTGGACTTCGACCCGGTGTCCAGGATGTTTTAGGTGGGGTAGCTCTAGCTGGGGAACCCAGAGCTGGAACTTGCTCGAATGTAGTCATATTGGTTCTTTCTGTCACCGGAGACGATGAAGGTTTATCAACAGGTTCAAAGGGGTTCATCTTGACTGTAGAAGTGACAGAAAAGACTTCATCGGACTTCATTTCAAAGTCGGACATGTTTGCGTTTGAATTTGGAATTGGATCGACGTTGATGTTGACGTTGGAGTTTGAATCTTGAAGTGGACGTTTCTTACCTACTGAGGAAGTCGTCGACCCGAAACTTAAACGTTTGGCTACATCAGCCGCAGCGTCCATTCCTCCTTTTCTCGGAGTAGATTTGAAAGGACTTGGAGAAGGTGCGAAAACATTTCGTTTTTCTGTCGGTCTTGACTTTTGAGCAGAAGCAACTGTCGAACGTGCGAAAGAAGGAGTACCACCCTGAGGTCTTGTGATCGGTGCGTGTCGTGGGGAAGTAGGAGGAAGATATGTTGTATTAAGTTGAATACCTCCTTCGGCAGAGGTAAATTCCATATCGGAGGTATGATTGTTTGAAATTTGATCTCGTGTAAAAGCAAAAGACATAGTTGGTTCTCTAATCGAATGACGCGTATCTTCATTTGATCCTCCTGAACTCATAGAATCATCCCCATTGATGATCCCACCTAAAGCAATAGTCTCTTCCATTTCCATTTCCATACTGATATCACCATGACCAGGAAGAAGTCTATCATGATCATGAACATGAGTTGAGTAACCTAGACTTGTCCTACCGGGCGTTGCTCCTCCAGGTGGAGCTCGTGGTATGGCACCACCTATAGCTATGGTGAAATCCATGGTTTGTTCTTCATCATCACCTTTAGATGTAGAACTTACATCAACTTCGGAGGTGGAGATGACTGATGTGTCTCTATCCATTGCAGCCATCGATTCCCTTCGAAGGATACCACCATATTGAATTTGAGTGACATCCATGTCCATCTCATCTTCTTCGTCGTCTTGTTCATCTTGCGTGTCAAAGTTGTTTGGATAGATGTTCGATATGCGATTAGGTGGTATAGCAACATGAAGAGCTTCATCTGTAGAATCGGATTCAGAATCAGTTTCGATATCCATAGATTCTTCTCCGCCGTCATTATCGACAAGAGTTGTCTCTGATCCGGAAGGAGTGAAAGGTCGATCAACTAAAGTTTCGGCATCAGAAGCCACTGACTGAGCAGGGGAAGTAGGAGGGTTGGTAGATGCTTGTGATTGAGACAGTTGATGACGTTCGAACATGCTGAGTGTCAACACAGCTCATATCAGGATTCCAAGATTAGAAGGAGTTGGGAGAACTCACCGAACATGCGCATTCGGAGCAAAGCTAACTCTACGAGATAACACCCTAGTATCAGATTCGTTGTTACTCGAAAAAGCATACGTGTGAGCGTATTGAACTGTGAAATCTGTCGTTGCGTCTTCAGCGTTGAGCGCGTTGGCCGGATTAGATTTCAATATGGATTTCCGAGGTTGCTCATGGTCAGCTCTACGTCATCACAGGCTCATTGCCACACAAAAACGGAAGGGTTGTTTGATGGAATTCTGGTCGGTGATGATGGATGAAGTTGAAACGGTGTGCTGATGAGGGGCCATGTCAGAGAAGGAGGAGAGGAGAGTATAACTGACCATACTACGTCTCGCTTGTCTTCTCGGACTGAGCTTTTGAGAACTACTAGAAATAACCTCTGCTCCCATACTCATGACCGCTCGTTTCTTCGCTTTGAAAGTTTGTGTTTGAGGCATGTTGAGGTTTCTTTCGGAAAGAGAAAGAGACATCCTAGCTCTGGGAGAGCGAGGGTTAGCCGACATGTCGACTGATGGTTCTTGGTGTACCAGTTGTTCGTTGTAGAATGTATGGATATAGACGAGAGAAGGGATGAAAGTATCCAAGTGGGAAGTTGGTTTCGTTCATGTTTACGCCCCCCTGTGGGAAAATCAGTCGCGCGAGCATAGGGGAGTTGCTGACGTAATCACTGACCGTCGATTGTGCCCCCAAAAGATAGGCACGCTAGGACGAGAAGCTAGACGCGCCTAAAAAACTGGTTGCGATTTGATCATTAGCCTCGGTTGTGAAAGCTACCGAAGGGTTTTCTATTGCTCCCGACTTGAAGGGTCAAGGTGGTAATTAAAGGTATATACGACGCTTTAGTGACAAACCTAATGAAACTGCCACCACACTGTACAACACCACCACACCACCGATGTTTCATAATTAGCTCAGATTTTGTTAGGTACTTGGATGTATCTGAAATTCGAGTGTCTATACTTTCACACATTGTCCCCTCTCCCCCGCCCCTATGTCCCTGTTCATCCGATCCGACGTTGATCATACCCTTGTCAAAGTTTAAGTTGAACATCCATGAACCATTGTCGTCCTTGAGAGTCATCCTGCTGGTCAAAGATCGACCTCGAACAACAAGGTACACCCCCCGTGCACTGCCATTCTTCCCCCCCTCTCAAACCCTCCATGTCTATAAATGTCTACAGATTTACCTTCTCGTCGTTTCCTCTTACCTCTCTCTTCTCCGCTTCAGATTCAACATACTCGACCTCATATACGTACCCCTACCTATTCGACTTCCCCTCCTCATTCTGCCATATCATTGCACCGCCTTCGTCGAATCATGATCATGCCACGAAGTGTCGTCCGTACTTTTCTCATAGCTTCTTTACTCTTAGGTCTGGTACTCTTACTCAACATCACTAAAACTTCGATAGATGATGGAACGTGGGATGCATCATCCTATGGTGATAGAAGATTACCGTTACCCATGTCCTTTGGGGAAGTTCGTAGAAGAGTAGGATCATGGACAAACTTAGGACCGAATGAACAAAGACCAATCAGTGGTGGTGGTAAATCACCAGTCCACAAAGAAGAAGAAGAGCAAGTAGATACATGGTCAAATCCTATTGTTGATTCTACACGTTGGAGAAATACACCAAGACCTCCTTCAGCTCCATGGAACACAAATTTGACTTCACGAATACCTCATCAAGGACATTCCAGAGTGATCAGACTCGATACAGATCCGGAAGAATATGATCTAGGTGATTTACCTACTTTGGAAGAAGCGTTTGCGAATCTATCACCGAAAATGATAGAAGTTAAAGAAAAAATACCGGCTATACCAAGAGAACACGAATTAACTCAACCTATCTTCCCTCCTTTTTTAACGACAGAACAAGAAGATCGTTTTTGGCATTTGAGAGAAGAATGGGACGAAGAGAAAAACCAATGGGTTAAAAGTGGGAAAAGAAGATATTTGATGGTTACTATTTGTAGACAAGTCGCAGGTGAGTTAGCCGTGCGTTCCAATAAAACACGGGGATATTGTAATTGATCGAATAGGTATGTTGGCAGATTGGTTTGCAGCTTGGACGGTTTTGGCGGATTTCTTAGGTCCAGAAACTTTAGTATTTTCTTTATTAGAAGGTGATTCTGCGGATGGAAGGTAAGTCACCTTTTCCGATATTCACGGGAACGTTCTTCACACTCCAACAATCAAACTACTATATCTGGAATAAACCATCTGTTCCTTTGAACATCAAGTCGTACTACCTCATTATCGACCCTATATCCTTCCCTTCTTGACATCAATAAAGCCCTGACCTACCCATGTACTCAATCCTGCCAAACTATTCCATTTCCAAGAATATCTGTTTAGTCTGTTGATTCCATACTCATGTCCAGCGGCGAAATCCTTTCTCAAGTCATGCGTTCTCATCTACTCTTCATAGGAGTACCACCAGAAAACATTCATATCCGTACTCATCTCCCACCTATCGATTGGGAAAATAATCATCGTATTCAACTTCTAGCAGAGATGCGCAATGCGGGTATGAAACCCCTTTACGATTCTCTACCTTCCGGTTTAACACCAGATGGTAATCCATGGACAGCTGTCATTTTTTATAATGACGTTTATCTCAGTGCGGCACATTTTTTGGAATTGTTACATCAACATTTCAAACAGGATGCTGATGTGACTTGTGGTTGGGATCATGCTGGGAGATGGTTTTATGATGGTTGGGTAGGTAGAGATATGAGTGGGGATTTGTATACACCTTTTCCTGTGAAAGAGGAGGATAAGGATTTACCTCAGAAAGTGGGTTATTTCATTTACTTTTTATCATCCTCTCGACACATTGCATTCATTCCTGGTCAACCTCTGTCTCTCCAATCCCCTCTTTTCTATTCTGTCACTCAAATCCACCCCCAACTCTCACTTCAACTCCAACTCCAACCCTCATCTCACCTTCACTTACGTCGCCGGTCCCCTTTCAGGGTGAGAACGAATATCAATATCAAGGTTTTTCATTTAAAGAAGAAGAACAAACGAGAAAGCATCCACTAACTTTTCAGCTCTTCCTATCATCTCCCGAAACCAAAACAAGATTCGACCTTCTCCTTCCATTCCAAGTATTCTCAGGTTGGAACGGAATAGCAGTCTTAAATCCTACACCTTTCCTACCCCCATACAACGTTCGATTCCGTAGAGGAAAACCAAAATCAATGTTTTCAAACGAATTAGAATGTCAATGGTCTGAATCTGCTTTCATCTCTTGGGATTTCTGGAAATACGGTTTCGGAAGAGTTCAAGTCGTTCCTGGTGTTCATGCTTGTTATGGGAAAGAAGATGCTATGATGAGAGGTTGGTTGGAATGGCCAAATCCTACTAAACAACATCCTGAAGAGATTGATTGGGATGATGAGTGAGTCGATAGGTTTCCTCCTGTCTTCCTCCCAAGTCTTCTTTTCCCTCATCCCTTACACTTAGATTTTCTGCTCCCATCGCTTCCCCCTTAGATTAAAGTCCTAGACTACATTGCTATACACAACCATGTCACTTCCTACGTGGGGGAGAGAAGAGCGGGAAATGGGATTGATTCAACTCTCGTTCCCATACCTGACGATTTGATGACCTTTCGGGGCTCATACCATTGATTGATCATGTCACATTCACGTTTCAAACCAATCATGGTCAAACTCGATGGGTATGAGCTAATCGACCCAGACCTCCAAAGAAGATTCGATGTCACGATTGGCCAGATAAGAACGGTAAAGGTTATTGGGCTTGGGATACAGTAAGATGGACCGATTCACCTAAACCCGAACGACCCCAAGGGTGATTCACGAGAGTTGTTACAACATTTTCGGGCTCTCAATCGGTCAACTCCCAAAAGCCAACTCGCGAGATCTGGTAGAAAAAAGAAGTGATGGTTAAACATCATTCGATCGGAGGGGGTACGGTCTGTTCTTCTTGTTGCATGAAGGTCTGCGGATCTGCGGTTTCTTGATGAACCGGTGGATGAGGATAGGGAAGATGGGGTAAAGTAGAAGAGGAATGAAGAAAGGTGTGATCCAGTGTTGGTAAGCTGGAAGTCAAGTGGATATGGACATTGCATTTGTTCATAACGGTTAAAGTCATCTGTTTAATCTAGCATGTGATTGTGTAGCTTCTTTGTTCCTTTTCGTCTTCTGACCCAAAAGCATAATGTACTAAACACATGTGACTTGAAGCGAATCCTCTCTTTGGGCGACATCAAAGATGGTAGTGGTCTCGCTTCACTTTACATCTCTTCTTCTTGAACACATAGATCATACACCTCGGCTGATCATCACCCCCTCTGTAAGGATGGAAACATGGGTTAGTACCCTATAATTGGACATGATGAGTGAGAGAATGAAAGGAAACTAATCAAGGTGCTTGTCACTCCTTTCTTGGTAAAAGTTGGTCTTGATCCCTTGATCATACTCTACCATCCCTCCATCCCCTCCAACATTCCACTTCACTTCGTACACCTACTTACTACCTACTACCCATCAGCACCTCTTGCTATACACCACCCACATGATGCTCTCTGTCATACGACACATCATCTGAATGAACACCCCTTCCTTACCAACACCTCTGACGTTGTCCTCAACTTCACAAAAACTCTTACCAATGACTAGAAGCATCTCTTCTATGTCTAATACGACATCCAATCCCACCTTTTCCCGTGGTAGTCTCAACGGCCAACATCCTTCTCAATCACAAACCAGACACAATGATACCTCACTTCCACCTCAACTTATCCCACCATCGTCCTCTCTCACCACCCATGAACACGTTTTGCGGCGAAATAAGAAGATATTCACCCCTATACGTACTTTCGTAAGATTCATAAACTGGGTTTTAGGACCTGAACCCGTACCAATCAGACAGTGGAGGAGACCTTCCGCCTCTTTGTGGGTTTCGATCAGATTCGGAAAGAGAACATGGGATGGATGTCCCGATCGAGCGTGGATGAGAATATTGAGAAAGTTAGAGGGAAGGTCCGATCTCCATGAATACCATCCTGAAAAGGATCAACGGCCAAATGGTGATGATGTGGAGAAACGATCAGATCCTGGAAATGTTGACAGTGAAGATAATGGGGTTTTGGTGGAAGAAGGAAGAAGTTCTATGATTTCTCAAAGTGTAGAAAGAAGGAATATTGGATCAACTTCAACATCTACATCCGCAGGTTCAAATGGACCTATAGGAATCGTCGAAGTACTCAAAAGAGAACACCGCATGACGGATGAACAAAGTAGTTTTACATCTCAACAAACAAAATCCTCACAAGATAACCTCGGCGGGCTTTACAAACAACACGATTTTACTCAAGATGTCAATGTCGATACAGAAGAACGACGACAGAACCAGATGGACAAACAGGGTGATGTTGAAAACACTAGTACTACTATTATGGGAGGGAAGAAAATACGTATTCACATCATTTCTATAATCTTCGGATCATTGTGGTTAATAGGTTTCATATTTTTGATAAGACAACAATATTACGTTTCTAATTTACCTATAGTGACTTGTGACACGGCTCCATGGAACGATTGGCCAGTCGATACTTGTGGACTGAATGCGAGGGAATGTACACTTGATTGGTTTGGGGTCGGGAATGAAGTTGGAATCGAAAGTAAAGATAATCAGACAACTCATAATAATGGGAATGAGAGTGGGAATGGCACTATGATTGATGATGATTTCAATTGGGGTATCTGGAATGATTGGAAAAATGGAGTTAGATGTATGGGAGGATGTAAAGATGTCGTACTTGGTAATGAGAGATGGGTAGGGGATAAAAGAGTTAATGGTGTACCATTGGTTATTGGTGGTGAAGGGGTTTATCGGTATGTTCTTGTTCTTCCCTCTTTCTATTTATCTTTTCTTCTGCATTTGGTTCACTTTCCCATGTTAAGCGAGCCCTTCGTATCGCCAGACCTCCTCTTTTCTCTTACGGCAAAGATATCATTCCACTGGTTTCTGGACTCCATTCTTTTCCTTCTAGTCCTTACTGAACAAGTTATCACTCCCCTTTCTGTCAACTCCCCTTCACACCCTCTTCCCATCTTCCCCGCACGAGGCAGTTTGTCACTTGCTCCCCTCCTGCTTCTTTGCTCTACTAGCTGTCTCACATATTCCGCTCAAAGATGTACCAACGAAATTGGTGTTTGAAAGGAATTTGTGAAGTGTTTAATCGCTAACATCAAGCGCCGATTCATGGTTATGTGCATCAGCACTTCATTCTTCTCTCATATCACCTTTTATGGGAGGTTCCTTCCAAATAACCCCTACCATATATCCTTCTTCCCCATCTTCCTCTCCTCCCAACCCGACCATCTCTACTTCCACAATAAACGACATAACCCCTATCCCATTCTCCCCTCCTTTTCCAGGCGGTTTCATCCTATCCTCTCTATCATCACAAGGAACATCAGATCTTCATCCTCTAATATCAACTTACAATGCCATTTCCCTTTTCCTTTTCACACTTTTCATTCCTTCACCTCCATATCTTTTCTCCATACTTCTCCTCCTTGGATTTCTCCAGATAGTACTTATTTCCGACCTACCTTCCATCCCACCAGATTGGTCATACATCATAGCTTCCGCCCTTCCAGTGGCATTAATAGGATATTGGATCTACAAAGTATCGTTTAAACGTACATTATTTGGATTCTCACAATTACCTGTTGAATTAGCTTTGTGGCAAGGTTTAGGTTATTGGATAGGGATAGAAAGTAATGATATTTTCTCAAAATTACCTATCACTAGATTAGCTGAAGGAGGTTTTGATGGAGCTAAGAAAGGTGGAGTGGTTTTGTTGGTCGTGATTTGTTTGGTGGGATTAGGGGTGGTGGTTTTACAATTTAAAGCTTTGAGGTCGGTAGGGTTGATCAGGTTTTATTTGATCAGGTGGGTCTTTTTGTTTATTGCCAATTGAACATCATCTTCTAGAGCTGTATCATCTCTTCTCATTTCATCATCTATATTAATCATGTCTTCTCATCATCTTTCTTCATTATCGCCTCTCATCGTCCCTTCGCGCGCCATTATTCTCATCATATGTTCCCCCACATTCACAGAATACAAAAGTCTCAAGTAATTCCAGTTGAATCACTCTTCTCACTCATTCTCGAAATTACCACTTTGACCACCATGCTCAATCTCGCTCAAACAAGCCCAGTCAGTACCTATCCTCGAAACTCCCTTGAGAGGCAGAGGGATATACGGCCAGAGTGCAGATTATGAATCTATCATACTGAATTAATTTTTGATCCTGTCAAGTCAGGTGCTGTCAGCTGGGAATTATAGATACTGACATCAGATACATACCTCTAGGTCTTTTAATACTTCTCATAGCTCTCCTCCCCACTGGTTACTCGGTTCATATACATCATTACATGTTAGCTCTACTTTTATTCCCGATATTCAGTCTACCAACGAGAATATCACTCATTGGTCAAGCTTTCGCTTTGGGTTGGTTCCTTGATGGAATTGGGAGATGGGGATGGGATTCTTTACTTGAAACCAAGGCTCAGGTGAGTCATGAGTTTCCCTCCTTTCCTCCTTTCCTCCTTTCCTCCTTTCCTCCTTTCCTCCTTTCCTCCTTTCCTCCTTTCCTTCTTTCCTTCTTTCCTTCTTTCCTTCTTTCCTTCTCTTCTTCTGACCCCCTCTCGTCCATTCCTTCCGTTATGTCATATTCTGCTTAGTGTGTTGTCTGCTACCAACCTACCGTAACCTTCTCATAGTTGAATCTTACATACTTGTTTCATCTTGCTGCCCTCACGCAGAAGTAAAGCTGTTATATACCTATATCTCCTGATGCTAAATCCCTGCACACCGTGCATCCGGTGGTCATGCACCGAAAGAAGATGTGTTGAGAGAGAGAGAGAGAGAAAGAGCATTGAAAGACCGCAATGCAATCGTCAACAGTTCACTGACACCGCAGCTTGTCGGAGATGCCTATCTAGGTTCTCTCACACCTACTTTTTTCCCAGTGAACCAAACTACCATCTCTTGGTCCGGTCTGAACGAAGCTCTTGTATCAATAGGAATAACGGGATATTCCGTCCTGATAGATGACGTATTACGTTTATCCAACGTCAGTATAACAGGTAAGTCGATATCTCCCCATCTTCACTTTCCCCACTTTAATTTTTCATTCCATATCGTATACTAATCCTTCCCTATCGTACCCTAATCCTTCCTGATTGTTTATCATCGAACCAAACGAATCGAGGAGGTAATCCAAATGGTCAACGTTGAAAGAGTCCCAACACCACACGAAAGTCTGAAACGTGTTTTATGGCGTTATACACTACGTTGTTGAAATTCTTGAGCTGAAAGTGTAGAAATTTCATTATCTGATTTCAACTTGACTTTAGAGGAACACTATTTTCGTTTGGCTGTGAGTGATTTGCTCACTCTTGATGATCTCCTCTCTACGTGGATTGATCGGATCATCCCTGTTTCTCTGAACAATCCACACTTCTTGATGTTATCTACCTTTGCGTATTACCCGTAGAGGGAAAGTAAACCATCAGTCTTTGGTGTCTTCTAACTTTGTGTATCTCGCTTAGAAGGGGAGTAAATCAATAGTCCTTGGTGTCTTCTTACTTTGTGTATCACACATAAAGGGGAAGCAAATCAATAGTCCTCAGTGTCATCTAAATTTGAATTTCATCTGTGGAGAAACAGAAAATGACATGAAAGAGAGAGGAAAGAAAAGGGATATCAAAGGAACGAAAAGAGAATATGCTGACGAAACAAAAGTACTTTGCAAACAATACCTCTTTAGATTACATAGATCCCATTTCAGCATGGTGGAACGGTACTTTTCCTTGAATTCTTTCTTGAATCATTTACATCATCTTCACATATATACAATCTGTGTTGAATATCTTGAATCATTTCCATGTACTTTTCATCTAAACTGTTGTTAATCATTATAGACAAGAGAATCTTGATCGTGTGTTGTATGTATCATTTTAACATGTAGGGAATCTTGCAACATGGGACTGATGACATCCACCATTTCCTCAAAATCCAATCAATAAAGACAAATATAATCCTGACTTTTGTCCTACCCAACGACATGAGTAAGCAATTGGGTAATTAGGTGATTATGCGTCGTATATATACCCAAGTCGAATATTCTCGAGAGAACGTATCGTATCTTATATGCATATTCACTTTCCTTCGTATAATAACTACAAAAATACTTTGCCCATATACCAACTTTAATCGATCAAAGCTCCCTTACGTTTACCCAGTTCCAATTCATCTTTCCTCGAAACGGTCCTACGTTTAGGTATCATGCTCGATAACGTCAATCCACGACCGCGTACCTTTCCTCGAGTACCTGGACCGGAATAAGACAATATTTCCAGAGGGGGATTGAGACGAGGCCAGGAGACGTACGAAGTACCCTTTGAGATTAGTTCGTGTTTCACTCACTCTACTCATATTTTCTGACTTGCACTTTCTGATCAAACGTCTTGAGAGGCGAGATAAAACTACGGTCGGATGATCGGATGTAAGATGACATAATGTTATAGGTGGGTTGGGGAAGATGATCGATATATATGACTAGTAGAGAGATCCGATGGGGGAACAGATCAATACAATCAGGAGTTGGCAAGACGTAGGAGTATCATGCTTGGAAGAGTTGAGAAACGCAGGAAAGGGGGAACAGGTATTTATTGGCTAGTATAGATGGAGTCATGAGGCGGGATATGGAATAAGTCAAGAAAGGATACTAAGAGATGCGGGCTAGATCAGAGAACGAATAGAGACGCAGGGAAGATTCATGTATGATATGCGAAAACACTCACATTACCCCAGATGTATGAACCGGACACGAACGCCAGAAAAACCCATAGAAGCAGGAAAGAATAAATCGACATGTCTCCTTGATCAGTTCAGTCGGAATCGCAAGGAACAACTCACCAGAACTACGTGGAAGGGACAGAGCGGCAATGATCATAGTTATCGCAAATGCAAATATGTATGGCATCTGATCGTTAGTCCATCTTTATGGTCATTGTCCGATAACCTGCTCATGAAATATTCATCTCCTTCATGTGATGGTTCAAAGCACCGTGTTATTTTTGGTCAGACCATCAAGCCCTAGAGGAAAGGTACAGATGACGATAAGTGAGATGTAGAATGATAAAGTGCTTTGTAATTTGGTCGGAAAGGAATGATATCGCTGGAAGAAATTGACAGGCAAGAGAGAAAGTGTAAACTCACAGAACGCATGACCAAAGGTCTCGTATCGCTCAAAGGTGGTATTCCTCCTCTCTTGGCCACCCACGCCCCAGTCAAAAGATCAAAAGCATCTTGTCTATCCCCATCGAAAAAGTTATTTCTTACATATCGCATGATAGAGTTATATCCATCTTGTATCATTCCCTCTCGGCTTCTTTGACCCGTACGTGTGTAATCCGATTTTAGTGCACCAGTACCTGCGTAAGCCCTGGATACTGTATCTCCGTGATCTGCCCATACTGCAATTCAGCGCTGTTCCGTAACACTTTTTGGCTCATCCTTATACACTGCCTGTACTCTCCTGTTGACTGACTAAACGTGTTTCCTTTTTCACTAACTTCAAGAAGCGTCGTTCCTACATGACATCCCCTCTGATGACTTCTTTACCCCACCTCTACGGTCCGATTTTACCAACCCCAAGGAGGTTGGCAAGAGCCAAGAAGAAGGAAGAGCGACACTTACCATTCCTGAATATCGACATGAACTCTGGATGTTCATCCACACTTTCTTTAACACTCAAAACACCC